GGGGGCGCCATCGCAGCGGTGGTGGTAATTAGCGACCACACCCAAAAACGGCGCCGATTATCTCAGCGGATCATCTCTTTTTCCGCAACAACAACAACAACAATCATCGGTTACGGTATTGTCATGGTGCTGCGGACAACTCGCGGGGGTTTCGCTGAAATTGTCCGCAGATGGAATTTGATATAGTGAGATGATGGTTTGGACCATTTCTATGGCCTTTGGCTGCGGACAACTCGCGGGGGGTTTCGCTGAAATTGTCCGCAGATGGAATTTGATATAGTGAGATGATGGTTTGGACCATTTCTATGACTTTTTATGCTGCGGACAACTCGCGGGGGTTTCGCTGATATTGTCCGCAGATGGAATTTGATATAGTGAGATGATGGTTTGACACAAATTCAATGCCTTTTTAACTGCAGACAAATCGCGGGGGTTTTGCTGAAATTGTCCGCAGATGTAAATCAACATAGCGTGATAATGGTTTGACACAAATTCGATGATTATTCTTGCTGCGGACAACTTGCGTGAATTTTGCTGAAATTGTTCGCAGATGGAATTTGATATAACGAGGAGATGGGCCGGTTGCCAAAAGCAATAAAAAAATAAGGGCCAACCTTGAGTGGCACGGTAGGAGAATTTCGAAATTTCGGACCACCTGCTGGGCACCCAACATCAACAGCCCCGAGAAAAAAAAGCGAAGAAGTGAGGTCTAATGAAGACGCTCGGTCATTAACCTGGTCGGCGGCATTGGTCCGTCGCACAAAAAGGGTCCCAGTCGCATAAAATCGAAAAAAATTGCGGCCGGCGGGTTTTTAACGAGCGCGTCAGCTGTGTGCGTGTGTAGGGGTCTGATTCCGACGTTTGATAACCAACCCTGTATGTACATATGTATAGTTGATTCAATTCAATTGTTAAACAGGGGGGCTGGGTGGTGGTGGTTTGTATTGTATAAGCTTTTCACAAGGACGATGCCTTGAATAGAATATAGTACAATGAGTGCTGCGGACATCTCACTGATGAATTGAATAAGCGACGAACCTCATTCATCAAAGCGTTTTTGGAGTCCTCCAACACAAAAAAATGAGGGGTTTGTCATTTGACAGCTGCGGACATCTCACAGGTTTTGAATGAAAGAATGCACCTGCGAACGCTCTTTCAATTCAAACAGATGGCCCCTTTTTAGGGAAATCAGAAAAATTTAAATATTTTTGCAATGCTGCGGACACCTCACTGGCATTCTAGGGTGTTAGAGAAACTAGCTGTGGACATCGCTGCGGGTTTACAAAGAAAATTGAAAAAAAAAAACGTCTTCAAGGGAATCGTAAATCGCTTCGGAGATTTTTTTAAAATTGTGCTGCGGACAACTCACGGGTCTGCTAGGTTATTAGAAAATCCAGCTGCGGACATCGTTGCGGGTTTGCAATAAAGGAAAATGTCTTAAAGGGCCTTGAAAATCGCTTCGGGTATTTTTTAAATTGTCCTGCGGACAACTCACGGGTCTGCTAGGTTATTAGAAAATTAAGCTGCGGACATCGTTGCAGGTTTACAAAAAAAGAAAATGTCTTAAAGCTCCTCGAAAATCGCTTTGGGGATTTTTTAAATTGTGCTGCGGACAACTCACGGGTCTTCTAGGTTATTAAAAAATCCTGCTGCGGACATCGTTGCGGGTTTGCAAAAAATTAAAAACCATCATTATTGGGGTTCGACAAGCGCTTCGAACCTCAATAACAAATATGTGGGACACCAAATCGTATCCGTTTCATCGTCGCCAGCCAGCCAGCGTTTATCAAACCATTTTTGGGAGCCGATCGATCATCGGTGGCGGCCAACCGAATTTTTGCGCATCCAATTCATCATTCAACGATGACGGTTCTCGATGAAGAATAGGAAAAGGCAACACATTTGTATAAATGGTAAAACGGAGATATGATTTAGGGGTCATCCGGCCCGAAATGACGGCTGGGGGAAGAGAAGGGGAAGAGGTGGGGACGGGGAAGGGAACGAGCACAAAACAATTGAACGTGGTGTGGAGAAGAAGCCGACAAAAAAAGTTGTAATTAGAAAGGACGACATAATTTGTCACCTCTAGTGTGTCATTAGAGGCGAGGGTGCGCCAAATCGGACCCCCCTCAAACAACAATGATTCATGTTGGTCCTAGGACCCAATAGACCTCCAAAAATTGGATTTTTGGGGCCGACACCCTTCCGGGTTTCAAACGAAAATTGTGTCAAGTCCAAATAAGGCGAAAGTGTCAAGTACCGATGGGGGCGCGCGCAGCGCATAATTGCAACTGTCATCGGCAGGCGAAGAATATTCGCCGACAAAACGCGTCTTGAGCCGAACCCTCGCGAATTATTATTAAGTTGAACGTGATGAATGAAGTGGATCGCCGAGGAGGCCGTTTGGTTATAATTATGCGTAGAAGTGAGTTGTTTGGCAATTAGGTCGATATAACAACAAGTGTTTGAATGACATATTGTCGGGAAGCTTGTTGGGACCTTGAGACATCATCAATTTCAATTTACTCGTTGACTCGACAATTGGATGCTGCCGACAATTCGCGGGATTATTTGAAAGCGGTTGGCTGCATAAAAGTCGCTTAAAAGAATCAAATCTTGCTGCGGACATCTCGCGGGTTTTGCTGGCTTTACAGTGCTGCCGACAATTCGCGGAAATCGTCAGAAAACAAATTGCTTGCACGCAAGTCGCTTCAAAAATTCTTGGTGCGGACATCTCGCGGGTTTCGCTGGCCGCACAGTGCTGCCGACAATTCGCGGGAATTGTCAGAACACAATTGCTTGCACGCAAGTCGCTTCAAAAATTCTTGCTGCGGACATCTCGCGGGTTTCGCTGGCCGCACAGTGCTGCCGACAATTCGCGGGAATCGCCTAGAACAAAATTGTTTGAGCGCAATTCTCTTTAAAAAAATTCTGCTGCGGACATCTTGCGGGTTCCGCTGGCCGCACAGTTTTGCCGACAATTCGCGGGAATCGTCAGAACACAATTGCTTACACGCAAGTCACTTCAAAAATTCTTGCTGCGGACATCTCGCGGGTTTCGCTGGCCGCACAGTGCTGCCGACAATTCGCGGGAATCGCCTAGAACAAAACTGTTTGCGCGCAATTGGCTTCAAGAAAATCCTGCTGCGGACATCTCGCTGGCAGCACTTTGCAACCCGGGTGATTGTCCGCAGCATCATTATGAGATTAATGAAACAACAGGTGACTTCTGGCCATCATCACCTACCTATTTACATCCGGATGAGATTTGCGAAACAGTCGAATAGGGAGAAAAAAAAAATCTAATCCGCATTGAGGACATCTGTGTGGGAAGTCAATCAGTGTCAATTCCACAACATATGGCACCCATGATTAGCACTCGACTGGACAATACACGAACCACACCTGACATGCATGAAAATGGGGGGGGGGTCCGAAACCCATGATTAGAGGAATTTCGCAGTGTGCGAAGACGCCCAAAAAAAAGAATTGAAACGAAAATGAGGTGATGCGTCGTATTGTGCTCATTTCGAGCCAATCGACCACCTGGCCAACCATACAAAGGTATTGTGTTCGAATTTGGCGGCCAATTAGTTCACACCTGGGTTGGAATTGTTAAAGGAGGACGCACTGGGATGGCTGAAGTCGCGAAACGCGGAAAAATCGCAAAACGGGGGGAACCCGGGCGAGGGACCATAATTCAATTTGTTCGTCGTCGCGCTTCGCCCATCTGTCAAAGCATTTTTGGGAAGGGTTTTGTCGAAACAATTACGCGCGCTTCTGAATAACTGAGTTATATTCGACACATGTCGTCTTGCGACAAAAAAAATTTTGTGCTGCGGACGTCTCGCGGGTTGGGGGGGGGGACGCCGAAATCGCGATCATGCACAACAAACACACACATGTTGAATCGACGAAGAAGAACAATGCAAATAGAAATTTGGTGAGAAGCTGCTCGTACAGCTCGCGACGAACACCTGCCCACCCAACGATATCTAATTCGACAATGTTTTGGGTAGATTGGGTAACAAGTGGAGAGAAGGGGGGGGGGTCCGATTACACATTCAAATTTATTGCGCCTATATCATTTCATATATTGCATTCATCATTATACGGTCCTTTTATGCCTTTTTTATGTGTATTGTATACAGTTGAATGGCGCTTTTCTTTTCATAGGGTGCGTTCGGCGCGCGCGGTTTCTTCTACGCACCTTGCGCCTCGGCGACGATGTGTCCTGTTGGCGTAGCGCCTAAGCGCGCCGTTTTGCAACAATCAGTCTCGCGGGTTCGACTCAACACTGTGGCGATGCTCATTTGCGCTCAAATTTTATCATTGTTTACACACACATCTGTCACCTGTCTTCAATAGTTGTCGGACCATAAATATTGGGAAGACCACACGCATACATCAAAAGGGCCGAATAAAAATAAAAAAGACAATAAAACGATGCACTCGGTGTCAGGTGTCCGATAATTAACAACGGAGGCGAGGCATTGTGAATCACTGGGGCGCAACAAACCGCAAAAAAAAGAATTTGCAGCGTGCGCGTCAAGCCAAAAGGGACCCTCTTAAGTTTGTGGCGATGCAAATCGGATTAGGGACCATCGTGATCCGTACCGAAAAGCGCGGCAACAACACAAACAGTTTGCGCGCATGTCGGATTAGGCGAATCTCAGAGGTTCTCTAATAAATAACAATGGAATTAATAGAAAGCGATGCTGCGGACAATTCGAGGGTGCCCTAAAGGGGGGGGGGTCGGAAAGGTAGCACCGGAAATTGAGGAACCCGACGTTTTCGCCAATTTCCGATAAATTGGGAAAGGCTGATGAGGGGTGGGGGGGGGGTCGAATGGCGAGCTGGAGCAGCACAACACATTGAGCATGACTCACTCATTAGTTGCATAATAAAATAGTTAGCGACGATGGAACAATAAAAATTGGGACCATCACGCGCGTTTCAAAAAAAATGGAAAATTTTCATTTCTTCGATTTTTTTTTCCGATGATGACTCCGTGCGAAACGGGCGTCCATCGAATATTGAACGACGGGGAATTTGATCAAACCGTAGGCGACAATTTTTAGGGACCATCTTTTAAAAAAAGAAGCACAAAATAAATTTTTCAGTACGAATGCGCTTGCGATTATTTCCATACCGGACAGCATTGTGAGATAGGTGAGAATGAGAGAATAAAAAAAGAAAATTTTTATTTTTCTTGTTTTTTTTTTGAAAAAAAAAAATTAAAAATTACATTTTGCCCCTTTTTTAGTAGCTTTTTGCCCAAATTTTAATTGACTCGGTAATTAGTCGATAATTATCCTATATTGATTATGATAATTAGCAATTTATATATATATATATATTATCATCGCCAAAAAAGAGTGAAGCAATTGTGGACCATTGCAATTTTTTTGTAAAGCGGTAATTCAAATTACAAATTTATGCCAAAATTATGTGAATAAAAGAAGAAAAATGTGGGATACTGTAGCCGCAATTTTGCGTCGCGTGATTGCACGAATCATAGGAAAATTCTCAGATTTTTTTTGCAATTAAAGGTCCCATTGAAGAATTCTTGTTTTTGTTTAATAAAAAATGTTTCACGAATTTTTTTTTCCAAATTTGAATTGCCGCGCTTTCAAAACGAAACAAAATTGAAAACCCCTCCGCTTTGTTTCATTAGGTTTTCACAAAAAAAATTGTATTTAATTTTTGAGTCTAAAAAAAGACCCAAAACGATTTTGAAAATCTAATAAAATTTGAAAAAAGCGAGCCTCCTGGGGAATTTTTTCATTTTTCTCGCGGCTTTCTGCAAATCAAACTGAATGGAAAAATTTTTCGATAATAAAAATACAAGAATGCTCATTTTGGTTGGTTTTTTTTTATTTAGGTAATAATTATATATAGTTTATAATTATATTTAGTTAATTTAGTTTAAAAAAATATTTAGTTAATAATTATTGGCAAAGATTTCGAATTTTGATACGGTACGCACCAACACCCCGACGCGCAATTGCGGACATTTTGTTTTTATTTAATTTTCCCATATTCGAACCAACTGTTTCGATTTAAATTCACGAGAAAAATTGCGATGGTCCACAATTACTCTTGGTAATTGTTTTGCGATGGTAACCCTTTTTTTGATATTTATTAAAATAAAAAAATAAGATCACCCTAAAAATTTTTTTGCAAAATTTTCGATAATTATCAAAAAATTGGCCGACACTTTCAAAATGCAAAAATCCAAGTGCGGCTCACTTTTATTTTGAAATCGTAAAACACTAAATAAATAGGTATTCAATTAGGTATACTTAATTAATTAATCTGTCAAGTGTGACCGTGGCCGAACCGCCGCCAACGCAACAGCCACAAAAGAGAGATGCCGCCCTGTGTGGCACTTGTTATCAAATTATGTTGCCACAGCAAGCAGCGCAATGGCGTAGTGGCACTGTTTTTGGACTCATACGCTTAAGATGGCGGGTTCGATCCCGCTCTGGCGCGAAGTGTGTCGATGCCTGCGCCTCCTTCCTACCCACACTCTCTCATATATATTATGCTTAATGATAGTCGCCTTGAGATCAAATTTTTGTTTCCAGAGGTCCCTTTACCGTGGGCGTTTATGCTGACGAGCACGATTCTCACATTGGTTCTCATTCTGTCGGTGGCCTACTCGGCGGCGCGATTTAGGTAAAAATTTGAGATTTTTAATAGCGAATCTTTTTGAAAATCCCAAAAAAAAATTTTTGCCCACAAATTTGAAATTAAAATTCTATTTCAAAAAATGATTTTCGAATCGCGGAAAACCGCAAAAATTGTCATTTTTTGTCTGAAAACCCAATAATTTTTCAGCTTGAAACTCCGCCCCTTTTTTGTCATCAAAAATTTGCCACGAAAATTTCAATTAATTAACTTCTTTTTTTTTTCGCAAATTCCCACTTTCCAGGGGTTTAAAGGCGCATACATAGGGGGGTCCGATTAGGATGAGCTTTCCACTGAAAATCGACGGGATTTCTCAACAAGAATATCGCCAATTCAATCCATGATTACTGTAGCTGTCTAATGGTCTCGTAGCGACTACAGTAATCGCAACAAAAAAAATTGAAAAACGCGCTAATAATTCAGCAACAAGAAGATCTATTTGTTTCGCGAACGCGAGCGCTTCGTCGATTTGCTCGAAGACGTGCGATTGAGCGCGTGCGATTCGCTGGAAGCGGCGATGCGCTCGAACGAGTCGACGTCGCCGATCGCGACGACGACACAAAGCGCCTCGGAGAATCGCACCAAGACCGACGAGGCGAGTGTGCAGACGAAAGAATCGAAGACGTCGAATCGATAGCTCATCTCGACGCTTCTTTTTCAATAAAATTGCTGATACAGTAATCTCGGATTACGGTGGTTTTGTGATTCACGATTGTTAGCAAAAATTTGTGGTATCACCGTAACTTTGAGAATTTAAAGGAGCATCTAGTTTTTTTTCTAGGTCTCGCCGCAAAATTTACCTACAGTACTCAATTTTGGTTTTTTTTTCTTGGAAAATTGAATTTCAGAAAAATGGTCAATTTTCGCACAAAAAATTGGAACAAAAATTAATTTTGTTGAGAAAAATGTCTAACTTTCAAATTTTCCATCGGAAAAAATCATCAATTCAAAAAAAAATGTTTTTTAGCTGAGATTTTCGCAAATTTCGATGTCAGAATTGCTAAAAACAATTGAGAAAAATCCAATCTGTCTAGGTTTTCCATAAATGTCGCTCAAAGTCACTCCCGGCGAGTCGGCCAAAAAAAAAATTGGCCTTCTCTCTGAGCAAATACCCATCCATGGGGGTCGACTCGCCGTTTTTTTTTCATCCTAAAATGGCGACGCTTGCGTGCACACACATAACACAGCCGGCCGGGCCGGGCCGGCCACCACACAACCAGACGGGGGCTGCTTCCCATCGGCGTCTCTCTCACCTCCACAATTCCTCGATGGCCTTGTCGATGCGCGTTCGCCTGACCGACCGAATCATCATCACCTCCTCCTCCTTCGTCTCCTTTTTCTCTATTCCCTCTTTGTACCATCTTGTTGGATGATTCATTCATTCGCACAACAAGCCACATTTAAATTTATTTATTTCGATTTTCGAATCAGCGTTACGGTGTGACGAATTGTGTGTACACGGCGACGCCGTAATGCGTACCGGCGCGTTTTTTTTTTCGAATTTTTCTTTTTTTTTTGCGATCGCAATTTTTTTTGTGGGTTTTCAGCGATGACTTTGACGAATGGCACACATCAGCACTCATTTTTCAATATTGATGAAGTCAAATCGAAAGCGGTGCTCAATTTGATCACACAGCTTATCAATGAGGTTTGTTGAAATAATGATTCATTCTTGAATTTTTCTAATATTTGATAGCTTTTCAAACGCTATGAACTCATGGGTCATTTTTTGCCATGTGTAAATAGAAAAAATTGGCCAGCAAAAAGTAAATAAAGTTTGAAAAAGTTGATTGGAACAAATTTCTTTGAAAATGTTTATTGCACAAGTAAAATTATTGAAAAATTTCCAATTTTGATTCATTTGGATGAAAAATAAAAGGAAATTTCATTATTTGCAGGTCACCAACATCACTGAGACGTTTCCATTGGAAAAAGGCCAAACCGCCGAGGGTCTCGTCAATGACGTCGATGCCAGCATTCAGAAGTTCCTCGAAATGGGCTCCTACGCTATCTCGACGTGTCTCATCGCGAAAACCGATCCGCACGCGTTAGATCAGCTGAAACGAGCGCTCGATGCCGTTCAAGATACAGGTTTTCGATTGTGATTTGAAATTTGACACCCGAAAGGCGATTCATTTTCGATTAGGTTCCGGCTAGCCAAAAATGGACATTTTGAAATATTTATAGAATAATGTCTCAAAAACCAGAAATTTGAGTTTCTATGCTGTTTCATCTTTTTAAAATAATAAGAATTTCTCGAATTCCGCTTTAAAACTTTTCAAAATTGTCAAATTTTGTTTAAAAACTTGAATTTTATAATTTTCTTTAATATTACTATGAAGAAGGTCCTTTTGGCCCCTAAAAACCGTATTAGATATTTTTTTTTCAAAATTTGCATTGTATCATAAAATTATTGAAAATTTCCAAAAAAATTGCCAAAATCCGAAACATTTTTGAGATTCATGGTCCACTCTGAAAATCTCTTTTTCAGGCCAAGAAATGTCGCGAACCGGTCGCGATTTTGTGCGCGATTCGACGTCGTCATCGAAACGCTCGAGCGCGGTGAACGCCGGCCGACAGTTGCTCAACGCCGTCGCCTACTTCCTCATCATCGCCGATGCGATCGACGTGCGCGGCATCGTCGAGATGGTCGATCATCTACGCGAGACGGTGCATCGCATTCAGGCGGCCGAGTCGAAAATCGAGGTCGACGAGCTCTACAAGTTGCTGATGTCGCAAATCGAGGATCTCGATGTGACGGTGCGACGGCGCGCCGTCGATTTGGTCAAACCGAATCAGCAGGACGATCTGCTCGCGGCGAGGAATGCGCTCAAAACGACGGCCCCTCTATTATACACCGCCACAAAAGTGAGCGCGACATTTTCGTCTCAAAATGAGAAAGAAAGAAACTCGAGAGGCTGCATTATGATACTGTAGGCTTAAAGAACACTTTCAGACGTTCGTCCGTCATCCCGAGCACGATCAAGCGCGAAAGAATCGCGATTTTTCGTTGTACGAGATGCGCGTCGCACTCGACGACATCGAGCGCGTCCTCAATGGAGCGTCGCCTCAATTGACGTTCTCCGAGCACGGTCGAATCGGCGATCTCATCAACGAGATCGACATGTTCCAGAATCGCATCGAAGTCGAACCATCGGCGTATCGTCGCGAGATTCATCGACCCGAGCTCGAGGAGCTCGCCGAGCGAATTGTCAGCGGCTCGGCGTCGATAGCGGATGCCGGTAGATGAGAGGGAAAAAAAAATAACAATCATCATCATTTCGTTTTGCAGAGAGCACACGCGAATCGCGAAAACAGAAAATCGTCGCCGAATGCAATAATTTGAGGCAGGCGCTTCAGGAGCTTCTCACCGAATATGAGAAAAGTGTAAGTCGTTTCGACGTCGTCAAGATGGGTGGGGGGCGTGGCCCCGGCGATGTTTCATTATCGTGCGACCTTCGAGACACGCAGTCGCCGATTAAATCGCCCGCCGTCATCATTGTTGCCTTTCATAGATCTAATCCGCGCCATCCAATCCGTCATTCAAACAAAACTCTGAGGGGTCAAATAGGAAAGGGCGAGTGAAATCGTGTCCATTTTCAAGTGCTAACAACCAAAAGATGTTTGTTTTGCCTTGTTAGACGACACCTTTTTTTTTGGGGGGCATGGGATTTTGGAATGAAATTTAATAATTGATGTCCTCGAAGTATCCTGACGGTCCGATTCGACAGTCATCAGAAGATCGCACGGAAGCCAAAAAAATTTGAAAAAGTCATAAATTTAAACGTTTCCTTACTGAAAAATTGACAAATTCACTTTTGTGATAAAAAAAATCTAAAATTTCTAAAAAAAAATAAAAACTAGTAAATTGAAGGTTTTTGTAAATTTTAAACGACTTTTTTGGATTCTCACGAAAATTTGCACCAAAAAATTCGCGACTACGCCAATCACCTGAAAAAATAATCATTAAGCGAAAAAATGCAATAATTTTGAAAGAAACTACTAGTTTTTTAAGGATTTTTCGAGATTTCAAGGTTTGTTGTGAAATTGTTACCAATTGAAAGAAATTTAAACGCACAAAAATGATGGGTTTCGAATTTTCGAGAAATTCAACAAATTCGGTTCAAAAATTTGAATATTATTGCAAAATTTTTCGTTTTTCCTCCCAAAAATCGACTTGAAATTTCGATTTTCCTGAAAAATCTTGAATTGGTTTTAGATTTTTTTTTGATTTTCCGAATCACAAATAAAAAGTGTCGTTTCAGAGAAGCCAATCGAACAATGATGATATTCCGTTGGGCATCGCCGAAGTTCATCGAAAAACGAAGGATTTGAGGAGGTAGGCGAAGAAAAAAAAAGAGGCGCCTTTTAAGGGAGATGCATTTTTGCAGACATTTGCGTCGAGCCATCGTCGATCACATCAGCGACGCGTTTCTCGACACACAGACGCCGCTCGCGTTGCTCATCGAGGCGGCGAAATCGGGCGATCACGAGCACACGCGCCATCGCGCCCAATTGTTCTTTCAGCACGCCGACAAAATCATTTCGGTTCGTTTTGTTTTTTTGTTTCATTATTGAGGTATTATCGTCGTCGTCCGCGGGGTAGATTTACGCGCATGCGCCTTGAAACGGTGTCTCACCACGATTTATTTTTTTTCGGAATTTCTAACGTCGTTCGATTTGTCGAACCGCTAGTCCGCGCGAGACCAGGAGAAAGGAGCGTCACCCGTAAATATACAGCAGTCACCCGTAAATATACAGCAATAAAATTTTGCATTGTTTTTTTTTTTCAAAGAAAAAAAAAACTCCAGGTGGCGCGCCTGTCATGTCGGCTCTCATCGGACGTCGAAAGCGTCAGCGTCATCATGCACACGTCGACGCAACTCGAGAAGTTGGCGCCTCAAGTCGCCGACGCCGCCTATCTGTTGTGCTCGAAGCCCGACAGCAAAACGACGCAAGAGAATATGGAGAGTTTCGCGAAAATTTGGATTGACAAGGTCAACATTAATCTTCTCTTCTTTTTTTTTTGGTTTTTGGAATTTCGCGTTTCAATCGTCAAACTGCACAGGTTGTATTGTTGACGACGGCGTTGGACAATATCACGACACTCGACGATTTTCTTGCGGTCAGCGAGGCGCACATTGCCGAGGATTGTAATGAGGGAATTCAGGCGATTATGGTAGGATTCAATTTTTTTTGCAAAAATTTTGAGAAAAACTAGATATTCTTTGGCGGTTTCTATTGGTGGATTTTTTTTTTTTTGAAAAAATGTTTTCTTTGAGAAATTTTGACGATTTTTAAATTGTTTTAATGGTAAAAATTCCAAAAAAAACTTTGTCTTGCTTTTTTCCTTTTCAAAATTGGTAGTATTGTAATTTTTTTGATTTCTAGAAATTTGATATTAGAGAATCTTAATTGTTTTCCAGTTTTGCTATCAAATGCAATTTTTTTTAAGCATTTTTAGGCGATTTTTGAAAAAAATTCCAAAGAACCGCTGAAAAACGAGATTTCTTTTTCCAAAAATTTGCATTCTTTTTTTTCTAGAGAAATTCAACATTTGATCTTGTAGGCTTCGGTGTCGAATGCCGGCGAGAACGCGCATCAATGCGCGCGCGTCGATTCGGCGGCGGGCGCGATTCGCGGTCGCGCTCTTCGCGTTTGCGACGTCGTCGACAATGAGATGGACTTTCTGCAGACGTCCGATTACACGGAGACGGTGAAATCGGCAGTGAGGATACTTCGCGACAAGAGTAAGAAGCAACTATTATATATATTTTTTTTTGCTATCAACAATTTTTGTGATTTAAGGGGTCACCGAATTTTCGGCGCGCGCTGGCGATTTGGTCGATCGGCAGCAGGCTTCAGGCGTTTCATGGAATGCCACCGACAAGTGAATCGGATTTTAGTTTTTGCAAAATAAAAAAAAATTAATTTCTCAGAGAATCCGAGATGAACGAGTTTATCAACGCGTGCACATTGGTTCACGACGCCGTCAAAGAGATTCGTCACGCGCTTCTGATGAATCGAAGTATGCACGACGTCGATTCCGACAACGAGTATGAAGCCGATGGGCAAACGGCCGCCGACGCGACCAAGGTTCGTTGGGGTGTCACACGATATTGAATTTCACATTTTTGACAGATTCCCGATCAGGACAATCAGCAGAAATTGATGAGGCGATTGCCGGAAGAGGAGAAGAAGAAGATCCAGGCGCAAATCGACATCTTCAAGGTGACGCAGACACGATTCGAGCGCGAAGTGGCGAAGTGGGACGAGAGCGGCAACGAGATTATCAGTTTGGCGAATCACATGTGCAAAATCATGATGAACATGACGGATTTCACGAGGTTTATATTTTTTTTCCTGGCATTTCGTTGAAAATTTTAATGGTTCTTTTATTTTTCTCGCGTTTTCAGAGGTTGCGGACCATTGAAGACGACGATGGATGTGATTCGTGCGGCGCAGGAAATATCTTTGGCTGGTTCGAAGGTACTCATAGAGGGGGTGTTCGAAAAAAAATGATTGCGAGCCATTCAATTTTGCAGCTCAACAATCTTGCGCGCCAAATTGGCGAGGAGAGCGCCGATTCGCAGACGAAGAATGATTTGATGGCGTATTTGTCGCAAATGACGCTCTATTGCCAACAGCTCAACATTTGTAGTAAGGTAATGATGGTCCCGCGTGCGGAATCGGATGTGAAGCCAATTCTCTCGGTTTTCAGGTGAAAGCCGACGTGACGCAAGTTGGCAACGAGCTCGTCGTGTCGGCGCTCGATTCGGCGATGTCGCTGATTCAGACGGCGCGCAATCTGTTGACGGCCGTCGTGCAGACGGTCAAAGCCGCCTACATTGCGAGCACCAAGGTATGCTTCAATTTTTTGCAATTGATTGATTCTTAAACCAAAAAACGAAAAAAAGAAAGAAAGAAGCGAAAAGCAATTTGAAATATAGTATTGTTGTTTGATTAAGTGCGCGCAACGCGAACGAGCGCGCGTCGAACGCGCGGTGGCTCTCGGCGCCACACAACGCGATTAATTATGAAGCGTCGACGGAAATTGGCGGTAATTAGTCGATTGATTGGCGTGGTGTGATCAAATGAGATGTTGGTGTGGCTGGCTTGTCGTTTCGGCTTTGTGCCAAAAAACAAAGCGAGCCCATTATGAGATTATTTCCAAAAAAAAAATGGAATCGCGAATTTCCCATGCTTGATCCATTCGTTATCAAATTTAATTTTCAATTTCTGATTTAAAACAAAAAAAATCCCGATTTGTTAAAATTGTCGAAGACGAACGAATTGCGCGAATTTGAATGATCGAACGCGTTTGGCCATTTTTGGTCTTTGCGCGAATTTTTCTCTAATTTTCAATGAATTTGAATACTGGATCCAAATATTTTGAGCAACGCGCTCCCCGCCGCCGACCGCGACGCATACGCAACGCGTATGCCGGTTCTCGGCGCCGCCTTCACGCGCGAGTTTGAGAAATTTGGTTTGGGCTTCGAAACGACAAGCCTAGTTGTTGTTGTTGTGATTTGTATCGATTGGTTATTTATTTTGGGTGCAAAAGAAATGCACCATTCATTTTTTTTGCTGAGGTTCTCAGGCAAATCAAAAAAAAAAATTTTGAGAATCAAATATTCAATAATAAACTCTAAAATATTTTGAGAATTTCGAAAGTTTATTGACGCTTTTTAAAACTTATTGAGAATCGCTAAACTTAAAAATAGTTTTTTTTAAAAATATCTTATAAGTTATTTTTTAAATTTATTGAGCAAATACTGAATTATCTCAAAAAATTCTAAAATCTTCTAATAAGTTCTAAAGTTGATTGAGAAAATTCGAAATTTTTGAAATTTTTTATTTGATTTACCTGAGAAAATTCTTCAACTCGGGCAAATCGAATAAATTATTTTGAGGTTCATTGAGAAATTTCGAATTATTAAAAGATTAAGAGAACTTCCAATTCGCTCAATTAATTTTTTTGAAATCTTCCAAGACTTTGAAAAGTTATTTTTATTAGAGTTTTTATCGAATCTCATGGAATTTTTTTAAAGAAAGTATCAATAAATTTTAGAATTTCAAACAATTTTAAAGAGTTTTTTTTTGAATATTTGATTTTCCAGAAAAGATGAGGAAATTTTGAATGAAGCAAAAAAATTTATCCGTTTTTCGGTTTTTTTTTGCATAGAATATTGTCGGGTAAAAAAAAAATTGAGTTTTTTGGATCATAAGCGAAAATTTCAGCATTTTTTTTCCAAATATTTGAACCCTCTACTCGAATTTGAGTAATCAAAAACAATTTTTAAGAGATTAAAAAAATTTGTTCATTTCTTTTGCAAAAAATGACGATTTTTGAGCGATTTTGTTTAGAGAATTAGATTTTTTTTTTAATTTTTAAACGCACTGAGAAAAAAATGCGAAAATCTTTGACTCGATTCGAGTTAGTGGGTTTTTGCAAGGAGTTTCAAGAAAAAAAAGTTTGGCCAATGAGAAAACCAAAAGGTATCAATTTTTCTGCTATCAATGGTCCCCTCAATTTTGCTCGCCCATTTACGGCACTCGACTAGTCGCAAAAAATAAAACGTCATTTTCTTTGTCCAGTCCATTCATTTTAAATGTCTCTCGTGTGTATTGTTGTATTGGTTTTTTTTTGGATGAGTGCTATGGAGCGCGATTGCTTGTTGAATTTAAAGGAGCATGCGCCTTGAAATGTGATTTGAAGTGAAGTGAATTGATTTGGTTTTCGGAGAGATCCAATTGCAATTTTATTTTCTCTTCAATTTTCAGTTCCGCCGTCCTAACTCGAACACGGTTCGCGTCGAATGGCGAATGGCGCCGCCGCGCAAACAGCCGCTCATTCGGCCCACCAAAAACAACGCCATCATACGGTAGGTGGTGTTTTGAAGTTAGCAGGCTGCCGACATTCATCCGGGTGTCTTGCATCATACAAATTTGTGTTTCTCGTTTTTTTTTGAAAACGAGGATTACTGTAACCCAATTGAAATGAAATGGCCCCCCCCCCCCCGCTGGATTTGAGCTCGAATTTCGTTGCGAGCCCAACAATTCGTTTTTCTCGGTTGTCCCTTGAGACGCGCGCGTTATTTTTTGTCTGTTGTATCGAGCAAAATGAGCAAAGAGCCTTCAACGAGAAAGCCCCCCGGCCGGCCGCCGTCAAAAGCGAATTGTCCACAAATGCATTATTCATTTCGAATTGGTCACATGAGCCGCAGTCATAGCTTTAAAAAAAAAAACAATCTACCGTACTCTTATTTTCCAGTTTCTTTTTTTTTTCTCGCCCTTCGAGACCCTGTCCTATTTTTTCTTCTTTCACTTTTTATTGAAATTTGGAATATCGGAAAAAGGCACGTGCCGAAATTGATAAGAAGCGGTAATTAAAAAAAAAAGAGAAACCGGAAATTTGTCGGCAGCAGGTGTTATTGATAATGAAGCAGAAAAAAAAATGAGACGAGTTTTAGACGGGCATCGGAACGACGGCCGCTTCCGCCGGCGAAAGCGCTCGCCGAATTCACGTGCGGTTAATTATTCAAAACGACATCGTCATTATTCCATCGCCTTCGTTTCGTTTTCATTTTTTTTTACGAATTGACCTCATCTTCATTTGATTTTCAGTTGCCTTATTATTATACTAACTATTATTATTTATATTATTATTACTATATGATTATTTGTTTTTGTGTCGCCGCCGCCGCATTTCAACCCAACCTAATTATTTTTGTGTTTGTTTTTGTTCCCCCCCCCACCCATTTCTTCCATTTTTTTTGTTCGAAGAGAAGCTTATCCTATTGATGTATGTACATTTTGATGATGCTATAAAATTTGCGGTCTCAATTTTAAAGGCGCATCGACAAAATTGCGCGGCAATAGTCGTCACGCTTCCATGCGCCTTTAATATGAGTCAATGGGCAAAGAAAATTGTTTAAAGGTGCGTTGAGCCGTTGGAAATATGTATTGGGCTCCGCCCACAAATTGGCGTTCAGTTTTGGCCACCTGCGGCGCGCACGCGCGCGCGTTCTCTCGTATTGGCGCACCCCGCCATCATGCACCCTCCGCCAACCGCATTTGCTATTACTTGCTGCCGCCACTGCAGCTTCTTCTTCTTCTTCCTCCTCTTCTCCTTCTCCGAGTGCAATTATTCATTGTACGACGCCCTCATTTGGCCGTCGCCTTTTTCCATATTTTAGTCGAGACCCTCCCCCACTCGTGTTGTTGATCATCATTGGTTTAAAGGCGCATGCTCGAAATTGTTGGGAGCTCTTCGAGAGTTTCTTTTATGGAATTTGAAAAAGGGGCGAGATTGTTTGTTTCCGAGAATTTTCTTAAAGGCGCATATCCAAAATTCTATTTTTTTATTTTAAAGGCGCATACCTCAAATTTTATTTTTGAATTTTAAAGGAACATATCGAAACATTTATTTGCGATGTTTAAAGGCGCATTCCCCAATTTTTTTGGAATTTTAAAGGCGCATCCCCAAAAATTTATTTCGATTTTTAAAGCCGCATTCCCCGAATTTTTTTAAATTTTAAAGGCGCATGCCAAAAAAATTGATTTTTGAATTTTAAAGTGATATACGAAAAAACAGTTTTTTTCGAATTTTTAAAGGCGCATACCCAAAAATTTATTTACGATTTTTAAAGGCGCATGCCAAAACCTTGATTTTTGAATTTTAAAGGGATTTACGAAAAAACAGTTTTTTTTTCGAATTTTTAAAGGCGCATACCCAAAATTTTTTTCCGATATTTAAAGGCGCATAGTCAACGATTTTCAAGTATGAAAACCGCCCCCCAAAAAAAAAATTGACCCCATTTTCTTTAAAGGCGCACTCCCACACATTATTCGTCATACACTATGAGACGACGACGACTCAAAAATCAAACAATTCCAAAAAAAAATTTTTATTTGTTTTTTTTTTGCGCCATCGTGATTCACACCTGCCAGTTCGATTGGTCCCACAATTTAAAGGCGCATACCCCGTGGACTTTGACCTCTCGGGATAATTATGCAATTATCGGTGGGTCGCTAATTGCTCGAATCAATGTTGCTCGAATCTAGTAGTAGCAAAAATGGCAGCTCCGTTTTATTTTTTTCGAGAATCGCTAGCAAGAAAGTGCAATTTTCGCTATAAAATTTGTAGTCGCTTTCGCTCGACAAAAAGTACAACAAAAAAAAAAAACACATAATAATAATAATAATGATATATGAAATCGTATATTCGATTTTAACGATGGCCCTTCCCTCCCCCTTCCCCTCCCGTTCCCCCAATCATCCGGGAACGCCGTCGCTTCGTCGGCGCTCTCTCGCTTCCGCGTGCTCTTTCGACGATGATGTCATTCCTGCGAAAACACGTGGCGAGGTCACGCAAAAATGAATCGTCGGTAGATAATGTACAAAAAATATGCATTCCTAATCGAGTTGGTCGCCTCGATTCATATGATTTCCCATGTGCCGACACTTTACGGGTGCCATTTCGCGGCTTCGTTCCACTCTCTTCTTTCAGCTTCTGTTTTTGTGCAGACGTGCCACTGGGAAAGCCCTCTTTTCAGCGCTCATTTTACACCTGCCCCCGACATGCTTCCGGTTTCGCGATCTCTTCGATTCCCTCATTTCAGCCTCCCATTTTGCATCTGCGGACATTCCGCGGCCGTCGTGATTCGCAATTCACTCATTGTACTATTTTATATTTTTCATGTGCGGACACCTTATGGGTTTTGCAATTTCTTCGACTCTGGATTTTCAGCCTCTCACTTCACACCTGCGGACATTTCGCGGGTTTCGCAATTCCTCCAATTCCACTATTTCAGCCTCTTATTTGCATCTGCGGACATTTCACAGGTCTCTCAGTGCCCACAATTCCCACCTTTCAGCCCCTCATTTCACACCTGCGGACATCTCACTGGTCTCGCCAACCTTCAAATCGATCAGTATAATTATTATTTACATATAATATCGATTTAAAACACCCTCAAAAGTGGAATCGATGAACGATTTGCAGAAAAACAAAACAAAATAGGCGTTTGGTTTCGACAAACACAAAAGGGCGGTCCAAAAAAGGCAAAAAATCCAATTTCCTTCTCGGCGCTCGCGCGTGAGTATGTCATTTCCACTCATCATTATTTGCATAGTTGATTCAAAGACTCGCTATTGATAACAAAACCCCGGATTATAACCCGGTCCCCCCCCCCACCGATGACCTTGTAAGGGCTCCAGTGGGGCTGAGCCAAAAAAGCGAAGAATGCTGGGAATTTGGTGTCGATGAATGAACACCGCAATTTCGCAATCGGCTCATTTTCGATGTTTGTGTGTCACTGTTTCGCTTATGGGTCGCACCCCCCCCTCCCTTGGTGTTATCGCGACCCGTTTGTCGTCGAACTATGGCGTGCCTCTTCATTACAACGCACTCAGTCGTCGACATACAACCCCGACATAAATGGTCACACATCGCCGCTTTCGCCCAATTCATTGTTGTCGCGCGTTTTCAGACGCATTCTTCTTCTTTCCATTCATAATATCGCTTTGTTCCTTATTGATTTTGATGGTCCCTAGCCTGCAAAGAGGTCAGCAGCTTCTAGGGACCTTGTCTATTTTTCATGCCTTTTTTCATGATTTTCTTTTTTTTTCATTTTTTATTCTAACTATACAACTATTTTCCTTTTTGATTTTGATGGTCCCTAATGAGATTCCGTGGACCCGGAATGATGTCAGCAGCTTCTAGGGACCATGTCTATTTTTCATGCTGCCGACAATTCCCGAGACCTTTTTTTCATTTTTTTTATTCTAACTATACAACTATTTTCATGTTTGATTTTGATGGTCCCTAGCCTGCAAAATGGTCAGCAGCTTGTGGGGGACCATGTCTATTTTTCATGCTGCCGACAATTCCCAGGATTTTTTAGATGTCATTTTTGATCCAAACAATATCGTTTTGTTCCTTATTGATTTTGATGGTCCCTATTGTGCCTCGGTGGTCCCGAGAAATTTGTGGCGGCAATTTTTTCCCTAGACTTTCTATATATATTTTTGAAATGTTTTTTTTTTCGTTAAAGCCTAAGCATTTAATATTCTGTATTGATTTAAATGGTCCCAAATCTCGATGTCCAATATATCAATCGATAGCAAATTTTGAGCTCTTCATTCCAATAATAAAGTGACATCATCGAAAAATGAAAAATCGTGTGTGATTTGCAGAAAATCGTTGGTGTCGTCGTGAAATGCTCAATGACCAACTCGTTCGGCTCCTCTCGCTGATGCACCTCCATCCGTCGAACATCGGCCGTCGGAGTCTGCTGAAATCGACAAAGAGCCCAAAATCGGCCAAGTTCGGCCAACTGCCCGACGCGATCTGGGACCGTGTGCTCGACAATCTGACGCCGTTCGAGCGCGTCAAACTGCGACGCGTCAATCAGAAGCTGAAGGGTCTCGTCGAGAAGCGACGCCGACGCCTGTTGTACGCCGATTTTCTGCGCACCGACGTCAACACGATTGTCGGCGTCGGCGAGACGGCCGACGCCGACGGCGAATTCCATCGAATGCCGACGGCGTCGCGAATCGTCGCCCACGAGGAGACGCGAAGCGTTCTCATCATCGTCGACACCCATTGGAGCGCCAGCGACGCCGTCCGAATTATGGGAGCCATACGATACTATGGGGCTTTTGCGCACACGGTTACCGTGAGTTTTGAGATTCAATTCAATTTTTCGATTTTGGGACCATTGAATACCTATATTCACATTTTTAAATGGTATGTCGTCAGACGCGTTGCGGTTCGCGTTGCGGTTCGAATTGAATTGAAACGCGCCTAACGACATTGCCAAACACCGAATTTTTGCTTTAAAAAATTTCGTCATAAAAATGGTTTAGTTAGAATCCCTCGAATCGCGATTTTCGGTTTTGATCTACCAAATTTTTTACTGGAAAAAAATTGGAAAATTATGATTGAAAAAAATTTTTTTTTGGGCATAACCAGAATTTGCTTCATATTTTTGTTTTTGCATAGAAAAGTGCTTAAAAAATTCAATTTTAGACATCACCAAATAAAAATTTTTTTTTGATCTACCGCGTAAATTTGAGGTGTCGCTTGAGACTCGAAAATGAAAAAAAAAAACGCTTTTGCGAAACACCGAATTTTTCCTTAAAAATTTTGTCATAAAAATGGTTTTCTTTTTTCGATTTTCAATTTTGATCTACCAAATTTTTTACTGCAAAAAAAATTGAAAAATGATGGTTGGGGAAAAAAAATTTTTTTTGGGATTATTTTTTTGCATAAAAAAGTGCTTAAAAAATTCAATTTTAGACATCATCAAATAAAAAATTTTTTTTTATCTACCGCGTAAATTTGAGGTGTCGTTTGAGACTCGAAAATGAAAAAAAAAAACACTTTTTTCCTTAAAAATTTTGTCATAAAAAACAATTTTTTGGGATAATCAGAATTTATTTTATGCTTAAAAATGCTCAAAAAATCCAATTTTTAACATCATTAAATAAAATTTTTTTGATCTACCGTGTAAATTTGGAGTGTCGTTTGAGAGCGGCTCGAAAAATGAAACTAAAAAAAATTGATGATTTCAGCTCGATGCTTCGCTGGCCGAACTCTGCGTGGCCGCCCAATCGACAAGCGACATCGCGTTCTGGTTCGCGTTCCAGTCGGCCAACGCCTCGTCGGAGTCATCGGTCGGCGTCGACGCGTCGCCAAAATGGGTTCCGGAGGCGATGCGCGTCCATCGTCGCGTCGACGACGTCGTCGAACGCGACCACCAACTCGCCGCCTACACCCAATGGCGCCCTCGCACCCAACTGATACCGTTGGGACCATTGTTCCCAAAAGCCACCGAGTTGACGATTCGCGCCACGATTCCGCAACTCCGACGCCTCCGACGATTCGGCGTCTATCGTGTGCCGCTGACGCGAAGCCTCGTCGACGCCGACGCGATCAACGCGTTCCGATTGGTGATCGCGACGAGCGGCGCCAAAAAGAAATGCCCGCACGTCGCGCAATCGCTGAAACTCGCCGAATTCTTCAAATGGGCCGACATCTCGCGATTGGGCCATCGATTCTCGATTCAATTCGCCTAGTTCCACATCGTTTTCAATTTTTTTTGGTTCTCCGGGTACACTAATTATTAATAAAATACATTTATTACGTGGATGCCACGTGGCAAAAGGACCCCCGAAAAAAAAATCGAAAAATTTCCCCGTAATTTCGAGCTTCTTCTCTATCGATTCAGTACGCCATCACGACGAATTCATGCGATAATTGAGATTGGTGGTGATCGTCGAATCGCGATGATTGATGCGAAGGACGAGCGACGAGGAGCGCGGCGACGAGCGCATCTCGTAGTCGTTGTAGATCGCCGACAGCGAGAAGCTCTTGCGGCAATTGCTGAGCACACCTTTGCGGATGACGCTGCTGAAGAACAGGTAGAGGAGCGGATTGACGAACGAATTGGCGGCGAACACCACCATCACCGCCCAGTTAATCCATTTGCCGTGTTTCGAGCATTGCGAGATGAACACCTACAACGAATTTGACCAGGAGGTGGCGGCTTTTTGAATCCAACCAACCTGACCGACGACGAATAGAATCGTGTTGATGATGCATGGCACGAGAAGGCGCGTTTCGATGCTCAGTTGGCGTTGTTGAGCCGCGTATGATGAGGCGCAGATCGGCGTTTGCGAGTATTTCGAGCGCAATTCTGAAGTTTGCACCGAAAATTGAACTTTATTTTGCTTGCTGTGGACATCTCGAGGGTTTTGCTATTCAAAAATCCAATATGAAAGTCATTCAATTTTTATGCATTACGTGCTGCGGACACCTCGCGGGTTTGCGATTCAAAAATTCAACATAGAGGCGTTCAATTTTTATGCATTACGTGCTGCGGACACCTCGCGGGTTTTGCGATTCAAAAATTCAATATAGAGGCGTTCAATATTTATGCATTTCTGCTGCAGACACCTCGCGGGTTTTGCGATTCAAAAATTCAATATAGAGGCGTTCAATTTTTATAAATTTCGTGCTGCGGACACCTCGCGGGTTTTGCGATTCAAAAATCCAATATGAAAGTCATTCAATTTTTATGCATTACGTGCTGCGGACACCTCGCGGGTTTTGCGATTCAAAAATCCAATATGAAAGTCATTCAATTTTTATGCATTACGTGCTGCGGACACCTCGCGGGTTTTGCGATTCAAAAATTCTATACGAAAGTCATTCAATTAACTGCAATGGACAACTAGCAATAGAACTTGGTAACCAATTTTTTCGATTCTCATCAATTTCGTGCTGCGGACACCTCGCGGGTTTTGTAATTCGAAAATTCAATATAGAGGCGTTCAATTTTTATGAATTTCGTGCTGCGGACACCTCGCGGGTTTTGCAATTCGAAAATTCAATTTAGAGGCGTTCAATTTTTTAGGAATTTCGCGGACACTTACGAATATTGCGATTCGTCTGGCGTTTGAACAGCACCGCCAACGCGGCGGCATACAACGGAAACGGCAACACCATGAGTATCACATTGCACACCATATAATAGGTGTTGGTGCCGCTCTCCTCATAGCGCACCCAATTCGAGTCCATTCCGTACCGCGACGGACTATAATAGAGCGGCTCGAACCAGTCGAACTGCAATCGATCTCGGTTTTATCGACGAGAGCACGACCCGCCCCGTCCCCTACCTGATGCTCGACCAACGATTGAAGCAGTCCGACGAACCAGGGAAGCGCGCAGATGAGCACACAGGTGCCGTGCGGAAGCGTCCGAAACCAATTGGGCCATTGGACGGCGGCCCAACGCGACCACGCGATCACCGTATAATGGTAGACCATGGCCCACCAGGTGAAGTCGAGATAGATGTGCACCGTCCATCGCCAAGACGGATCGATGATCTCGTGCTGGATGAGGATGACGACGCCCGGCCACACGCCGAACTTCAATGAATTGTGTGTTGATGAGGATACGGGATAGGGGGCGGCTACCTGTATCATTAGAAGAACGTCGGTGATCGCCTGACTAATGAGGAATCGGAAGCCGACGATCTCCGTCGACATTCGCCACATCGAGCACACGATCAGCGAGTAGAGCGCGCAGCCGATGATGCCGAACAGCAGTAGGAAGAGGCCGGCGATCGCGTCCGACACCTCCATGCTGGCGAGAATTGGTGTGGCCTGCAATTTGTGAGGGGGTCCGAATTGATGATGAAGAAGCCTTTTTGCTCATCTAGGCTATTAGACTAATTATGGTCCGAAATTATGCATGAGAATTTTGAGGGTGCAACTCGCATGGTGCACTTGCACACATTTGAGATCAAACCATCAAGATTTGAGAGCGAAAGGTTAGAACTATAGCCCAGGAAAATCTCCCGGGATCGACTCCACCTGCTATTTTTTGCAAAAATTTGAAGAGCGAGAGGTCGCTGAATCGAACCCCGCCACGATTTTGCTTAGGAAAATCACGCGGGATCGACTCCACATGCTGTTTTTTGCAAAAATTTGAAGAGCGAGAGGTCGCGGAATCGAACCCCGCCACGGTTTTTGCCCAGGAAAATTACGTGAGATCGACTCCACCTCCTATTTTTTGCAAAAATTTGAAGAGCGAGAGGTCGCGGAATCGGACCCCGCAGCGAATTTCGGCAAAAAATTTTCAACATCAATAAGCGGGGCATTTTTTTCCCAAAGAATCAAAGTCGAAATATCTCAGGACCACTTAAATGCATAGTGGTCCGTAGAACGAGAAAAAAAAGACGAAAATGGAGAAAATGTTTGAAAGACGAATAATTGTCGAAAGCGGTGTGTGTGTGTAGGTTCTTTTCCAAACTTGTAAGCACTAGTGTAAACAGAAAACCACGAAGAAATTGGAATTCGGCGAGGCCGTCTCGGTTTTTTTTTGCCCCCCCCCCGCGACTAAAATCCATCATTATTAGTTTTTTCTGGCATCAAATTTGAGACTCCGGCGATCGATTTCGGATTTTTCCAAAAATTTCTCACGCGAGAGGTCACTGAATCGAGTCCAGCCGCCATTTTTGCTGATTTTTGAATCGGACTAGAAAAAAAGATAGCGCACGAGAGGTCACGGGATCGATTTCGGCTGTGTCATTTGAAAATTTGCCAAGGATTTCATAAGCGAGAGGCAGCTGCATCGAACCCAGCCGTCATTTTTGCTGGTTTTTGAATTGGAATGGAAACAAAGATAGCGCACGAGAGGTCACGGGATCGATTCCGGCTGTGTTTTCTGAATTTTTGTGAAGAATTTCATACGCGAGAGGTCACTGAATTGAGTCCAGCCGCCATTTTTGCTGATTTTTGAATCGGACTAAAAAAAAAGATAGCGCACGAGAGGTCACGGGATCGATTCCGGCTGTGTCATTTAAATTTTTGCGAAGAATTTCATACGCGAGAGGTCACTGAATCGAGTCCAGCCGTCATTTTTGCTCATCTTTGAATAGGACATAGAATGAAGGATCGTGCACGAGAGGTCGCGGGATCGATTCCGGCCCAGTTATCAATTTTTGGACATTTTTGAATATGACAAAATGTTGAGAAAAAGCGCGCGAGAGGTCGCGGGATCGAACCCCCACCCCGCCGAATCGCTTCAAAATTTGAGAGATCGACCCGTCATATATCGTCTCGTTTCTGACAGGCGATCCGAATTTCCAGTGTGTAAAACAAATAAACGGCAGGAGAGGGGAATATGGGGGGAGGGGGGTTCGAAAAAAAAATAAATATATGTAGGAATGAAGAAGCGCATTAATGCCTACCATATACGGCCGAATCTCAAACGCAAACAAACACAAACATCATATTTGTTCGAATCTCGCCTAGAGGCTCAAAAAAAAAAGACGGGGGCCGGGGGGGTCCCCTTGTATGGCTTTGATGCCATTAGTTTGATTAGACGTGAATAATGCACAAAATTCGACCATTTTTAGAAAAGAGAGGCGCCGAATTTGAAATGAGCCAACCGTCTTTTGGGTCCCTAGATATCCTATATGAACTCAAGGAAATTGATTTCAATGCCGTCAGACGCGTTGCGGTTCGCGTGCGGTCGATCACCGCATTTTTTTTGGGGCGGCAAGTTGTTGGGGAGGGATTTTTTTTTTGTGGAAAAACGACATGGTCCCATTAAAAGCCGAGTTGTGGGGCCACCGAAATTCGAGAAGCGCTCCTCCCTAATGTGACGTGCACACTCATTGGGGGGCTCACGGGACCCCCCCCCCCCTCTCCTTCTCTTCCCAGAAATTGAAATTAATTTCGCCGGCACACAAATTTTTAGTGGCACCCGCAAGCAATGCAAACCCAACGAGATTTCAATGGTCCGATGGGAAAAACGCGCTAATCGGATCAGGTCCATCATCACGATGAACGTCATTCGGCGGTTTCAAGTTTCAACCGCATTTTCTGGGAGGCTCGCCGCGAAATGCGGATTACGGTAGCGATGGTTTGAGGTGTGTCGGAAGGCATCATAGCATTCCGGGGGGATTACGGTATCAGGGTAGAGTTGTGAATATTCTGGACTACGGTAGCACACGTTTAAGATGTGCACAGCCAATTGATTAATATGGAATGTAAAAAAGGATTACTGTAGCAGAGGTTAGAGCTGTGCGAGCAATCATTTATGAAGTATGGAATAGTCTAGTCTAAGCCACACTGGATTACGGTAGCACAAGTTTAAACTGTGATATCTCAAATGAAATTCGAAAAAAGGAAGAAGTGTATTATGGATTACGGTAGCAGAGGTTAGAGCTGTGCGAGCAATCATTTATGAAGTATGGAATAGTCTAGTCTAAGCCACACTGGATTACGGTAGCACAAGTTTAAACTGTGATATCTCAAATGAAATTCGAAAAAAGGAAGAAGTGTATTATGGATTACGGTAGCAGAGGTTAGAGCTGTGCGAAATCACTGTTTGAGCGGAGATTTAAATCGTCTGGATTACGGTAGCACAAGTTTAAACTGTAATATCTCAAATGAAATAAATAAGTGTATTATGGATTACGGTAGCAGAGATTAGAGATGTGTGAAATAGAAGTTAAGCATGATGAGCTGGATTACGGTAGCACAAATTCAAGGTGTGTCAAAATGCGAAGAGCGGGTGAAAAATAGCGGAAAACGTCGAATTTGGATTCATTGATATTTGTTTTTTTTCGGGATTGAAAGCGAGAAGCATTTAATTTGCCAAGTTTTGCGTTTTCCATTTTTTCTTTCTGCGGCTCGCTCGGACCTCAATGAAATCATGGAGATGTCGATGTTCGCACAAGAGAGAGACGCGATTGAATTCGAGCGAAAGCCTCCGTCGTCGTCGTCGTCGTCGTTTTGGAACAGACGAAAAGCGCTCACGCACGAAACACGATATTCGTGTTGTTTGCGACGGCGATGGATGGATGGATGCGGCGGGAATTTGTCCGCAGATCGAATTCAATACAAGGCTTTATAGAGGAGCGCAAAATCCCGGGATTTGTCCGTAGATAGAATTCAGCATAAGTGGTTTCAGAGGAGTGCAAAGTTCCGGGAAATTGTCCGCAGATGGAATACAATAAAAAGATTTCTAGAGGAGGGCAAAATCGCGGGAATTGCCCACAGAGAGAATTCAATTGAAGGCCTTATAGAGATGCGCGAAACCCCGAGAATTGTCCGCAGATAAATGTCAATATGAATGGTTTCAGAGGAGCGCGAAATCCCGGAAATTTGTCCGCAGATCGATGGCGTCGCACTAAGCGCGCGAAATCCCCGGGAACTGTCCACAGATGGAGTTCAATAGAAGGCTTTATAGAGGAGGGCGAAATCCCGGAAATTATCCGCAGTTGGAATTCAATAAAAGGATTTCTAGAGTAGGGCGAAACCCCGAGAATTGTCCGCAGATGGAAACTCTCAATGGAGCGCGTTTGAACACATAATTATTTATTGCGCATGTTTCGCGCGCGCAAAAAAAAAAAAAGAAAAAGCATTTTCCATATATGTACAACCAAAAAATGAGCTGAATCCACGTGTCAGCACTCCCAAATCGTTGCCAACGATTTCCAGTGCTGAAAAAAAAGAGCAAAACGCGTCTCGGGGTTATTCTTGATGTTTGATCTACCGGCTCATATTGTCGCCAGAAATTCGCGCCGCACACGCTCGTAATCGACGATTTCAGGCATTGTTCGCAATTCGTCAAAAATTGGCAACGCGTTGGCGTCTGGAAAAAAAATGCCAATTTCGTCGTCGGTGGTCCCTGTCATACCATCGATGAGAGCTTGTAGAAGTCGACGACGCACGGCCTCGTGAGCTCGCGGAGCTGCAAAAAAAAATCTCGATGAGATTCGCGTGCCGCCCCGATTGTCTCTCTACCGTACTTTAAAGGAGCATGGATAGAACGCGCCGCTCAGATACACCATATAGTCGCATTTCGCTTTGAGACCATCGACAACCTTCTGATCGATGTCCGAACAGCCTTTCAACGAATTCAGGCATGTCTGCAAGTCGCACTGAATGTCATTTCGATGGTCCCTATTACCGTCGTCGATTTGCACATCTGATAGATGCCCGTATGATAATTGGCTTCCAGACGAAGGTGATCGGCGTGGACCAGCGAGAACGTCAGACTCAGAATGCTCATCGTCTGCAAAAATCGAAGTGAGCTCGAGCAGAGAGAATTTCGATATTTGGTTTTTTTTTGATTGAGGCGGAACCCCGAAAAATGTCCGCAGCTGAAATTCGATAACCTCTGGTTGGTTGGCAAATTTTCTTATTTGCAAAAATCGGAAGCCCGGGATCGATTCAGCGACCCGTCGCGCAGAAAATTGCAAAACCTCGATTTATGTCCGCAGCACGAATTCCACAAAATGCGATAGCGAAAATGCAGGAAATAATTTATTTGACATATTCTTTGCAAAAATCTCGGACACGCCGGCTGGGAGCGATTCAGTGACCCCTCGCACGCAAAGATTAAAAACCCCGAAAGAGGTCCGCAGATTTAATTTGATAAATCCTATCGGAGTCATTCGAATAATATAGTTAAACAAAATTTATATAAATTTCTTTTTGCAAAAAATTTTTTGCGTGCCCCGGGATGGATTCAACGACCCCTCGCACCGAAAATTTGAAAACCCTGAAAATTGTCCGCAGCAGAAATTCGATATAGGTAAGAAAAATTTGTGTTAAAAATTCTTGCAAAAATCTTCAACATTAAAAATCCCGAAAATTGTCCGCAGCAGAAATTTGAAATAGGTAGAAAAATTTTCTTTTTAAATTTTATCAAAATTTCTCAAAATTAAAAATCCCGAAAATTGTCCGCAGCAGAAATTCGATATAGGTAGAAAAATTTTCCTTTCAAATTTTATCAAAATTTCTCAAAATTAAAAATCCCGAAAATTGTCCGCAGCAGAAATTCGATATAAGTAGAAAAATTTTTGTTAAAAATTTAAGCAGAATTTCTTAAAATTAAAAATCCCGAAAATTGTCCGCAGCTGGATTTCGCGAAAACTCACACTTTTGCACGATTGCGCTTTTCGCTGCTCGCCGGCATCGCAAACCCGCGGCGCTGGTCCGAGTTCGGTTTCTTCGAGGAATCCGAACGTCGATCGACAAATCAATAGCGGAATAATGATGAGAAAATTGCGAAAATTCATCATCGAACATCGAAATTCTCGGAATTCGCGTTGAAAATCGCAAATTTGATCGCAAAAATTGAATTTTTCGAATCAAAATTCTCAAAAAAAAAAACGAAAATTTCGCGTTTTTGGGCAAAAATTTCAAAAATCCAAGTAGATCAAAAATCGGCGAAAACGAAATCCACTAGCCGCCAGAAAAATAGGGAAAAGCTGCAAAAATGAGAATTTTTTCGAAAAAAAATTGCGATTTTTCTGAAAAATTACGCAAAAATCGAAATATTCGAAGCAAAAAAATCCAAAAATTGGTAAATTCAGCTTAAAATTCACTGGTCACAATAGTAGATCAAAATTCATTTTTTGGGGGCAAAGAACTAGAAAAAATGTCAATTTCTTTCGAGAAAATCGCAAATTTCAACCGAGGTAGATCAAAAATCAAAATCAATCTCGAAACAAAACAATTTTGGGACAAAAAATTTAATAAACCGGTAGATCAATTCTCGATAAAACCAATTTTCGATCAAATATTGATCAAAAGCAGGAAATCAAAAAAAAAATGAGGGAAAAATCTGAAAAAGGACGGTTTCGGCAGAAAAAAAAAAATAGAAGTAGATCAAAAATTGCTAAAAATTTTGCATTGAACTATTTCAGCCAATTAGACAATTTACGGGTAGATCAAAAAAAATCATAGTGAAAATTTTCGAGTAGAACAATTCCAATAAAAAAGTAGATCAAAAATCAATTTTTTTCAATTTCTGAGTAGATCAAAAATCAATTTTTTTCAATTTCTGAGTAGATCAAAAATCAATTTTTTTCAATTTCTGAGTAGATCAAAAATCAATTTTTTTCAATTTCTGAGTAGATCAAAAATCAATTTTGCAAATTTTCGAGTAGATCAAAAATCAATTTTGTAAATTTTCGAGTAGATCAAAAATCAAGCGTCCAAATTTGACGAATAGCGCCGCAAAAAATTGAGGGGGTCGAGAAGGCGAATTTTTTCTCGCCGAAAACGCGAATCGACGGTTTTCTGTTCGAACGAACCTTCCGACACAAAATTGATACCATCTTTCTTCGGTCTCCCTAATTGCCCAATTATTTTCCGGTCTTTTGAATTTGATTCAATTATCTTCTTTCTTCTTCTTCTCATCCATCATTCAACCAACAGAACAACCATTTTTCATTTATCGTCAAAAAAAATTGAAATACAAAAGGGGGGGGGTCTGAATTGTGCATGCGCCTTTAAAAAGACCCCCTCTTCCCCCCGATAGCTGAAATTAGTCGTATCGTTTTCCGGTGAGCTTGACGCAATCCATATTCGCGTAGGAGCCGCGCGCGAACTGCAAAAAAAAATCCCGAATATTGTCCGCAGATGAAAATGATTATCCCCCAAAAAATGTTTCCCTATTATTAGGCAAAATCCACAAATTTTCCATCCAATTTTTTTTGAAATTTTGCCAAAAAATTTTTGAATAATTTTTATAAATCTCAATAAAAATTTTGGATCTAAGATTTTCAAAAAAATTAATTTTGAATTGTTTCCCAGAAACTTCCAGAATCCGATTTTTGGGGTTCAAACTAAAAAAAAAAAGGGTTCAAATCTTATCCCAATCCAGATGGGCCTGTTCGCTGCATTCCTTCGTCACATGCCTCTTCATGCACTCCCTATTGTCCCTCATCAAATTGCAAAGGTCCCTGTCAGTTTTCTGTGGGAACCGTTTTGAGAGGTGTTCGATTCAATCTCTGGTGACTCGAAACCAAATCGGATTCGACAAAATTCGCCTACGGAATCAACCTGATCCGATTGGATAATTGTTGGATCCTTATAAACATTGGTCGGATCCCCATGGATAATTGTTGGATCCGATTGGAAATTTGTCGGCCAATATTGGATAAATGTTGGATCATGTTGGATATTTATTGGATCCGACTGGATATTTCCGATTGGATATTTGCCGGATCATATTGGATAATTGTTGGATCCCCATGGATATTTGTCGGATCAGATTGGATTATTGTTGGATCATATTGGATAATTGTCGGATCCCATTGGATATTTGTTGGATCATATTGAATAATTGTCGGATCCCCATGGATATTTGTCGGATCAGATTGGATTATTGTTGGATCATATTGGATAATTGTCGGATCCTATTGGATATTTGTTGGATCATATTGAATAATTGTTGAATCCGATTGGATCTTTGTTGGATCAATTTGGATAATTGTTGGATCCGATTAGATATTTGTTGGATCATATTGGATAATTGTTGGATCTGATTGGATATTTGATGAATCCCTACGGATTTTAGCCGTATCCGTTTTGTGTTAATTTTTCAATCCGAATCGGATCCAACAACTACCCAAAAAAAAAATCCAATCCAGACGGATCACCTTGGCGCGCCAACAAAACTCGGTGACGTCTCTGAAGTCGTCGCTCGCCGGCGGGCATTTCAGCTCCTCGATGCATTCCTTCAAAAAAAAATCCAAAAAAAATGGTCGGTCCATCAAACTCTTGCTAGTTTTCCCCCGGAAAAAACTTTGCAAGAATATCACGTTCTATATATCAATCAAACGCTGATCGAAAAGCTCGTTCCGACGCGCCGAAGCTCGTCAGAATCCGAGCATCGAATCGCCAATTGCTCACCACCGCTTCAATGCACGCCTCTTTGACTTTGGTGACGTTTTTCGTCGCCATTTTCGCCAGATTTTTGAGCTGCTTCTGAACGGCGACGTTCTTCTGGAAACCTCGACGAATGTCGGCAGCACGTTGGCGACTTACGAACACGCATTTGGTGGTTTTCAGCGATGTGACGAAGCCGCACTGCTTCAAATAGCGCGCCACGTCGCGCGCCTCCGACGCCACCAATCCGATGAATAGAAGTAAAAGAAGGCGACGAGGCATCGTCGAGTAAGAGGGGAAACTGAACCGGACCGGACCGGACCGGATCGGATCGGGGGCCGCCAGGTGTCATCGAAATGATAAAACCCATCGATCACTCTTGTCAATTCGAGAAAAAGTGTCTATCTCTCTCACCCACTAGAATTCAAGCTTCTTTCAAAAAAAAACCATGCCTCAAATCCGAAATTTTTGGGACCATCTTTATCCTTTCAAAAAAAAACTAATATTATTCTCTATTCGATTCTCTCATATTTCAACATATCAGTGCATCCCATATTGTACAATCTCAACGCTTGATACTGCAACAAAAAATTTGGGACCTCTTCAAAAAATTTTTTTGGGGACCTCTTTAAAATAGTCGACGTGCTTCGCCTCGCAGCTCCGCTCGACGGCCGGCAAAACACAATTGAGCTCGCGCTCCAATTCTACGCATCCGCGCTTCTCCTTCTAAAAATTGCGACTTCCAATTATTATTCTTTCCATTTCGCTCAAATTCACCTCGAGGAAGTTGGCAATACACTCGGTTTTCTCTTGCGGATGCTCATAGTAGAAATCATCAATTTTGTTGAAGCACGGTTTGAATGGTCCGACGTCGTGCATCTCCTTGATGCAATTGTCGAGCCTCAAGTAAAGATCGCCGTCGAGATAGCAGTCGGTTTTGTTGAAGCAATCCTGAAAATCGCGTGTCTTGATTTTGATGGTCCCACTCTCTTTACAATCAGCTCCATGCAGCCATCCTTCATGTCCTGAACCGTCAGCGCCGAATTGTCGACGAACAGCCCGTACTTGATGAGGCGCCACGTCTGCTTCATCGGATACTAGAAGGGGGGTTATTTGAACGAATGCATCTGCGGACACCCTCACGGGTTCACCAAACTCACTATAAAGCAAAAATAGGCCTTCTGTTTGCCCCATTCGGTGCAGTTCTCCTTCCACTGAAGCGGATAGTGCCAGCGGCGAGCATCGACGGTGAGCGCGAACGCGGCGATGACGATCAACACCGAGACGATCAATAATCGCATTGAACGACAAGGAAGGAAAGGAACGGGGGGGGGTCTGATCTGATGGGGTAAGAGTGAGATGGAAAAAAGAGAATTGCGATAAGGCGAGTGAACGCGGAACTAGAATTTCGGCGACATATGTCGTCTGGTTTTACGAGCTCGTGCTCAAGAAGCTGGTCCAGCTTCTCATTCCATTCAACAGTTGGTCGAAAATTGGTAGACGCAAAATTGCACCAAGTTCACGTTTGTAATCAGCGCTGTACTAAGATGGAAAATTTTGAGTATGACTAGATGGAGCTGGAGCACCTTATCACATTTTAAAGCTTCTAGATCAAGCAATTGGACCTCTCAATTTTAGGGACTTATAATTACAGTTTGGTTCGATTTTTGCTCCGGAGAGCTGGACCATCTGAGTTGAAGAGCATGAGCTAATGGCAGAAGCTTCGAGATTTCGAAATCTGTTGACCTCAAGACAGTTGAAAATTGATAAAAATTGTTGAGACCTCTAGTTTATGACTGTAGTTTATGATAGATAAGAAGCTCTCATGCCTATAAATGGAGGCGACTTGATAGCTCGGAAGCTTCTCCTACTTCATATTCCCTCTATCAAAAATATGGCGTGCAAGTGTGGTAGGCAAACGGCGCTCCATCGCACATCATCGTTTGATCTACACGATTAATTGCAGATTGCAAGAACTCGTCGTGCCAGTGTGCCGCCAACTGCCAGTGCACCCAACAGCAATGCTCCAAACAGTGCCAGAAGGCGTGCTGCTCGAAAGCCGCCGCCAACAAGTGCTGCGAGGATTGCAACAAGGAGTGCAAGCATTGCGGATGTCACTCCTGCAAGTGTTGAGCCTCAACCTCACGCTCACTATTTTCAATATTTCAATAAACTCATTGAATTCTTGTCATCTCTTATTTTTTTGCTATAAAGAGCTGGAGCACCATCGGAGCAACTTTTCCCAAAAACATTTTTTCAGAAGAGCTGGACCAGCTTGGAACGAATGGCTCAGAGAAGATTGGCGGTTGGAGCTGGAGCAGTCTATGATTTTCATTAGGCGAGCCGAGCTGGACGACCTTTTGAGCGCGAGCAATGGAACAATTGCACCTATTAGAGCTCGAGTAGATGCTCCAGCTTCTTATTCCTTATCTATCATAAACTACAACATGGGAGCAAAAATGAAACCAAACTGTAATTATTGGTCTCTAAAATTGAGAGGTCCGACGTCTGTCTTGATTGCTTCGAAATCGATCTAGAAGCTTCCAAACGTTGAAAAGCTTCTGCCAGCAGCTCATACTCTTCAACTCAGATGGTCCAGCTCCAAGGATAAATGGGAGCAAAAATGAAACCAAACTGTAATTATTGGTCCCAAAAAATTGAGAGGTCCGATGCCTGTCTTCAGACGAATTGCTTCGAAATAAATCTAGAAGCTTCCAAACGTTGAAAAGCTTCTGCCAGCAGCTCATACTCTTCAACTCAGATGGTCCAGCTCCAAGGATAAATGGGAGCAAAAATGAAACCAAACTGTAATTATTGGTCCCAAAAAATTGAGAGGTCCGATGCCTGTCTTCAGACGAATTGCTTCGAAATAAATCTAGAAGCTTCGAAACATTGAAAATATCAAACCACCACTGGCATTAGATGCTCCAGCTCCACCTAGTCAGATTTCGAAATCTCGATGCTTCTGCCAATAGCTCATGCTTCTCTTTCAACTCAGATGGTCCAGCTCCAAACATGATGAGAGACACCCAAATCAATTTTATTCTATGCATCTACAATACCCAAAAACACGCCGAAAAAACGAAAAAATAAATCAATCAATCAACAAGAAAAAAATTCAAGGAATCGAGGCGGTGACGGACTTGGTGCTCGACGGCGTCGACTTCTCCTTGCCGGAAATGCTCATAAGGGTTCCAATCTTCTTGCGAAATTCCACACTACTGCAGATGAGCAGCAGCGGAAGCGACATTTCCGGCAGATAATTGAACACATTGAGAAGCGAGATGAACGTCATCTGAAGGTCGACGTTCGCGCCCCAATCGTAGATGGTGATGATCTCGAAGAGTATCGGCATGATCTGAAATCGACTTGAGCAACACCTATGTATGGCTCGCGCTCACCCCATACAAGACCGATGTGATGAGCAGCTGGACGAACGCCTTCTGATCGGCCTTGCTCGTATTCCTTGACAGCACGAGATTGGCCTGCTTCCTGAGGAACTGCCATAGAATGATGTAGCAGACGACGGAGCCGAACGGGAAGACGTAGAAGAAGCGATTGACGACGGTCTTCAAGCCGACGGCATCGCCGATGTCGACGAAGCCGAGATTGTCGACGAACACGCGTCGGATGTTCGAGGTGACGATGGCGAGAATCGCGCCGATCATCGAGACGACGAAGCTGACGACGATCGGCACGACGACATTCTTGCTGAAAATTGAGTCGAACAATCGGAATTCTGACCCTTCAAAGATCATCGTGTTGGTGTTCCTCGCGACGAAGCAAAGGCACCGATTGAGCGACATGCAAAACGTGATCGCCAACGAGAAATAATTGCTCCAATAATCGACGTACAACGATGATTTGGAGGTGAATTGGAACAGGTCGGATTCGGAGTCGACGAGCGCCGAGACGATCACCGAAACGAATGAGAAGAGGATGCGAAACGTCACCGAGATTGAGAGAATCGTCAGAATGTAGAAGAAGGTGCCCTGAAATATTGAATCAATGAAATCAAAATACAAAGAAGGAATGGAATGGTTGAAAATTTTGGGGGGACCCGCTGAATCGCCGCCTTCATATGGAATATTGTGATAATGATGAGCTCGATGGTGATGGTGATGGCGAGAAGGATGAGCATCGGCGCGTGAGGCGCTTCCGATTCATCGACGTGTTGCGCGATCGCCGGCAGGTCGGTGATCAGGCACACGCGACGCTGCTCGATGCCGCGCGACAAACAAATGTAGGGCTGCGATTCGTAGCCCGACGGATTGTTGGGACGCGGTGCCAGTACGAGCACCAGCGGCATGAAGCTCGTGGTGACCAGCAGCTGGGGATGATGATGAAGCTCGTTGTGAGCAGTAGCTGGGGAGGATTATGAAGCTCGTGGTGACCAGCAGTTGGGGAGGATGATGAAGCTCGTGGTGACCAGCAGCTGGGGATGATGATGAAGCTCGTTGTGAGCAGTAGCTGGGGAGGATTATGAAGCTCGTGGTGACCAGCAGCTGGGGATGATGATGAAGCTCGTTGTGAGCAGTAGCTGGGGAGGATTATGAAGCTCGTGGTGACCAGCAGCTGGGGATGATGATGAAGCTCGTTGTGAGCAGTAGCTGGGGAGGATTATGAAGCTCGTGGTGACCAGCAGTTGGGGAGGATGATGAAGCTCGTGGTGACCAGCAGCTGGGGATGATGATGAAGCTCGTTGTGAGCAGTAGCTGGGGAGGATTATGAAGCTCGTGGTGACCAGCAGTTGGGGAGGATGATGAAGCTCGTGGTGACCAGCAGCTGGGGATGATGATGAAGCTCGTTGTGAGCAGTAGCTGGGGAGGATTATGAAGCTCGTGGACCAGCAGCTGGGGATGATGATGAAGCTCGTTGTGAGCAGTAGCTGGGGAGGATTATGAAGCTCGTGGTGACCAGCAGTTGGGGAGGATGATGAAGCTCGTGGTGACCAGCAGCTGGGGATGATGATGAAGCTCGTTGTGAGCAGTAGCTGGGGAGGATTATGAAGCTCGTGGTGACCAGCAGTTGGGGAGGATGATGAAGCTCGTTGTGAGCAGTAGCTGGGGATGACTAGCGAAAGAGTGTTTATCAGAAATGCGCCGCGCAAAAAAAAAATGCCGTGGCGAAAATTATAGGGAGAAATCAAAAAAAATTTTTTTCTTGTTGTTTTCTTTGAAATGTCGCAAATTGGATTTTTTGATCTCAAACTAAAGGCATTTTTCGACGGAATTCCAACGGCCACGACATTTTTCGGACACAATTTTGTTTTCGAAAAAGAATTTTTGAATATTACAGTAATCTAGTGGGCTACAGTAATCCAAAATTGCGCAATTTTTAGGGCACAATTTTCTTTTTGCAAAGTTAGCTTTTGAAAATTACAGTAATCCAAGTCGGCTACCGTAATCTAGCATTACGACATTTTTAGGACACAATTTTTTTCGCAAAGATAACTTTTAAAAACTACAGTAATCCTGGCTACCGTAATCCAAAACTACGAAATTTTTAGGCACAATTTTTTTTCGTAAATTTAACTTGAAAATTACAGTAATCCTGGGGGCTACTGTAGTCCGAAACAACGGATTTTTAAGCACAATTTTTTTCGCAAAAAAATTTTTGAAAATACAGTAATCCAAGTCGGCTACCGTAATCTAAAATTACGACAATTTTGGGACACAATTTTTTTTGTAAATTTAACTTGAAAATTACAGTAATCCAAAACATCCAATTTTTTTTTGAGCAAAACCAGCTCTTGAAAAACCACAATAATCAAGCGCATCTGATTTTCGGATACCTTCTTCCAGCTTCCATGCGCCTTGATCCAATAGATCGTCGACAATTGCAGAAGGATGTCGAACACTAGAACGCCTTCGGCGATCAATCGCGGCGCCGTCGGATGGCGCGCTTAAGGCGACGCTAATTGGCGGGTTGGCGAAATGTCGCGCACTGACACGTTTAGGGTTCGACAAGATTGCTCACCGCGCTCGGATTGACGAGTCCGACGATTTGAGCAAGACCGGCGGCGAGGAGCACGAGGTGCTTGATGAGAGCATGAGGTTGGAACGGAATCGGCATCGGCGAGTCGCTCACCGGACCGTTGTAGAGCCATTTCAAGAATTCATACATGTGCGATTCGGGATAGCAATACCACATTCGCTCAAGACGATGAGCCAAAGGTCGTGCTCGCAGAATGTTGGAGCGAGATTGAGCCTCAACATTTCTCAAAAGCAAATGTCGCGATAATTGAGGGTCGCCGAAGAAACGAGAATAATCACGTGCGGCACCCCCCGCTGAATTCTATGGTCCCTTATATGGGTTCTAGGGAAATCAAACCGTTGCTTTGAATTGATCGCAGCAGCTGGATGAGATTCGCCACGTGAATTGGTGTCGACGCGTGTTCACCATCGCACACCAATTGGCGGCAAGCGTTTCGCCAAATGGGAATCGCCGAAAGCGTTCATTGAACGTCTAATTGCTATGGGTGAAGGGGGACCAGCATGGATGTTTGATGTTTGGGTCTCAACGCGATCGGCAAGATTACCTTCTTCCTTTTCGACATGCCCGATATCATATAAATGGTGAAGAGTTGAAAGAATAGATCGAAGCACAGAACGAGATTGGCCAACGTGATCGGCACCGAGAACACGCTATGCGTGAGGCGATGCTTCTCCGGATCGGCGCCATCGCCGAAGCAGACGAGCTCGCCGCGTCGATTCTCGGAGCACATCGTGTCGAGCGTTTCTTGCTGCTGCGGCATCGGTGGATTCGCCGACATCGTTCAATTGGTCCGACGAACGAGAGGAGAAGAGATGGCGGTGGGGGGACTGCCGATGGGGGGTGTGTGTGAGTCGAATATCGAATAATAATTTTCTGGCATTTTTTTTCCGTGTTTGTCGACGTAAATGCCGAACATAATTGGTGTTTTGCGGTAAAGAGAGAATGGCGAAAAAATTTTTGGTTGAGATCATTTTCGGATATGAATTTTGGTGTCGGGTTGAACAGCTATGTAGGCAGCAAGATCGCCTAAACTGTGGAATCTTATAGCCGCGAATTGTCCGCAGCAAGATTGCCTAATCTATGGAATCTGATAGCCGCGAATTGTCCGCAGCAAGATTGCCTAATCTATGGAATCCTATAGCCGCGAATTGTCCGCAGCAACATCGACAAATCTCATAGCCGTCTATTCTTTCTATCGATTCTCAAACCGTGAACTGTCCGCAGCACAAATTCAAAAAAAAAAAAAAACAAAACACATATCTAGCAAACGCGCACCTTTTTGTACATCGACGACGACCAAAACCGAAAAATCATAAGCAATTGCGAGGCGATGTCGAGAAACAACGTCACATTCATGAGAACGACGATCGGCGAGACGGTGGTGAGTCGCAGCTCCTCCTGATCGCTCGTCTTCGGACGATCGAAACACGCGGTCATACCGTTCGGCAGAAGCGGGCAATTGCCGAGACTTCCCGGTTGCTGGCGCCGCGGTGTGAATACATCATCGGGCGCCGAAAACATCACCATGGTTTGGCCGACGAAAAAAAAAAGGAGAAGCTGAAGGCATGCTGGCAAGAGCGGGGTGTGGCCGGCGAGTGGCCGGCGCTTCGCGATTTCGCAACCACCCGACTTACCTTCTTATACATCGCGAAACTCATTGAGACAATTATAAACGCTAATTGGTTGATCAAATTGAAGAGCGAGATGAGATTCAAAAGGACCACTATCGGCGAGACGGCGCTCAATCGAAGGACCACCGGAAACACTTTGACGCATATGAGCTCGCGTTTGACGATCTCGCAATTCTCGACGGCGATTTTGTCGTTCGACTGAAGAATCTTGATGAGCTTCGAGTCGACGAGCACAACCATTTGGGTTTGAGGTGAGAGCAAACCAAAAAAAAAAGAATGGAGTTGCGCAAATTGACGGGTCTATGCGAGGCGATGGCATTTGCGCTGTGTGAGCCGAACCAATCCGACCAACACGCCAAACCTTTTGCGATGCGGGTCGTTGGCGAATCGCCACCAAATTGCCGAGTTGCACCACGCCATCGATGAGCTGCACCAAATTGGCGCCGAGAAGCCACGGCGTGAACCAGTTGACGTTGAGCAACGAGTCGCCATCATCCGTGTTATAGCAGACGGTCTCGCCGCGACGATTTCGACGGCAAAACGATGTGATCAGATAATCGTCGGCCGATCCTCCCGAACCATCGACGACGAGCATGAGCGGGAGCTGGACGAGCTCAACTTTGATGGCGGGGCCACAAAAAAATTGTAACCAAGGGCAACACAGAATGAGAGAGAGAAGAAAAAATTGTGTTGTGGCAAAATGCCATATTAAATTGGTGGGTGTCGGCTGGAAATCAACAAATCGACGTACCATCGGTTTTTTGGGGACCATCGAAGTGTGCCACGTTCTTTATTTAAGGACAGGGAGGCATTTTCATAAGTAGATCAAAAGAGGAGATGCAAGTGCGCTCCAATGAGATCGTGTATTTCAATAGAAGTTCGTACGTGGGAATCGCTAAAAGTCACCTCAGGGGTGTTTCAATAGGCTCGCAGGCTCGCTGAATACACAAGTAGATCAAAAGAGCAAGTACAAGTGCGCTCCAATAAGATCAAGCTCGCTGAATATACAAGTAGATCAAAAAAGGCGAACTGGGGCACAGCGATAATTTTTTAATGAGGATTGAAAGGGACCATTTTAAGGTTTTACAAGTAGATCAAAAAAAGTTGACACAAGCGCGCTCCAATGATAAAAAAGGGGAATTTGAAAAAAAGCCTGGGGACCATCAAAGTCCGACTGGAAAACGTACCCGCAAATCGTGCGGCATCATCGCCACATACAAAACGGAAGCCAACTGGCTGAGTAGATCAAAACCCAACACCAAATTTGGAAGCAATTTCGAGACGAGCATGGCGGTGTGGGTGGCGATTTCGCCATTCTCCTGGCTCTCACCAAAGCATATCAATTCGCCAAGTGGTGTCGTCTTGCAATTCTGATAAATCGCATTCAAACCGTTGGGAGACGATGGTCCGAATATCGACATGGCGGGTGGAGAGCAAACGCGAGCGCTTAGGCTTCTTCAGCCTTCAGTCAAATGTCGGCGTTGGTTTTTTGATCTACCCGCCCCCCCCCCACACACACAACATCAATTCATACCGACGTCTGTTTGATCCGTCGACTCGCCACAACCAACGACGCCATCTGAAGGCCCAAATCGAGAAGCGACGTCAAATTCGACGCCACGATCGGCAACGAGAAGAAGTGCAATTCGAGTGTGTCGACGATCGTCTCGTCGCACGAATCCTCCCACTCGTACGGCGAACATTCCACCGGCATCGCCGGTTTTCCCAAAAAATGCTCGCCGACGGTGAAGCGCGTCGACATCGGCAAAAACGAAAACAAAAAAAAAATTGGGAGAAAAGTTGCGAAAATATTGACGACCGCCGAATTTGTCGCGTTTCTCGCACACTATAATTAGTCTGATTCGAGCGTCTCGTCGACTTCTCACGTTTGTAGCAAATGCGCACCATTGCGCATTTTATTATGCGTCTTTTGACACCAATCGTGAATTGTTCTGTTGCAAATGCAATCGCGCTCCATTGAGAATTCTTGATCTACCATCCCAACGCTTTTCAGGAGAACTTTTCCAATGCAATCGCGCTCTATTAAAAATGTACACCAACTTCTTGAAAATGCAATCACGCTCCATTGATAACTTTTTTTTCATCATTGTGGTACACAGGTGGGTGCTATCCGTCAAAAAACCATTTGTCGCAATCGCGCTCCATCGAGAAATCGTGATCTACCATTCCAACGCTTTTCAGGAGAGCTTTTCCAATGCAATCGCGCTCTATTAAAAATATGCACCAACTTCTTAAAAATGCAATCGCGCTCCATTGTAATTTATTGATCTACCAGCTCAAAATTGTTTTCAGGAAGCATTTCGCGCTCCATTGATAAATTTTTTTCTCATCATTGCGGAGTACACAGGTGGGTACGTTCCGTGCTATCCATTTGTCGCAATCGCGCTCCATTGAGAATTCTTGATCTACCATCCCAATGCTTTTCAAGAGAGCTTTTCCCATGGAACCACTGAAATTCGTCTTTCATTGCTTTTCCATTACCTACCCCCACATTTGCAAGTGCGCTCCATTGAACAAAACGCAAATTGCAAAAAAAAATTCATTAATGTGAAATCTTGCCGCGGACAATTTTTTAGGGGCCATGTTGAAACTAGAAAGAAATATCAATGTTCAAAAAGTGATGTTGCATGTGTCAACACCAATAAATGATCGCCGCCCCACTCGCCGATAAGGAGTTTCGAATTTTTGCGAGCAAAAAAAAAATGCGGTCGCTCGACTTCCTACTGATCTACGGCGTCGTCGTCGGCGTCGTCGGCGCCGTCGTTCTCCGACACGAATTGCAATGGCGCGAAGCGCCGATCGTGCAGATGCTCAAACGCGGACAGTGAGTGATTTGTAGATCAAATTGAATCGCCAAATCGGGGAATTCCAGACTCGTCGACTATCTCGCCTATCGCGATCAGATGTCGTCGGAGTTGGGCGTCGTCGAGCAGGGCGTCGGCGACTACGTCTACTATGAGTACATGGGCAACATCACCGTCGGCACGCCCGATCAGAATTTCGTTGTGATCATGGACACGGGAAGCGCGAATCTGTTGATTCCGGGCACGAATTGCACGTGAGTCATCTGCGGACATCGTTGCGGGCCGGCCTCACAATTCGTGTTTTGAAGGGCGCATTGCGAGAAGAAGCGGCTGTTCGACGAGAAGAAATCGTCGACGTACGTCTCGTCGAATCGACCATGGTCGATCAAGTACGCCAGCGGCGAGGCCTACGGAACCCTCGGAATGGACACGGTGAAGATTGGCGGCACCGGCGAGCCGCAACTCGCCATCCCGAAATCGTTTCTCGGCGTCGCCGACACCGTCGGAAGCGATTTCGATTGGGTACGATGGATCTCGCAATCATGATCCCAACGATTATTCAGAGTCCGAAGGAGGGCGTGTTCGGAATGGCGTTCACGAAGCTGGCCGTCGATGGCATCACGCCACCGCTGATCAACGCCGTCCAACAGAATCTTCTCGATCGTCCGATCTTCACCACATGGTTCGATAAGCGCGCGCCGCCGGGTCAGGCGTCGGGCGGCGCCATCACCTACGGCGCGTTGGACCCCGAGCATTGTGGTCCCGTCATCGGCTACGTGCCGCTAACGAATCGCCGCCATTTTCAATTCATGGTAATTGTCCGCAGTTGGCAATTCATATCCTAGCCAAGCGTTTAGGCGAGCGGTCCCTCGTTGGGCGCCTACACCAACGCGGGCACCTACGAGATGATCACCGACACCGCCACATCGTTCCTGTGCGGACCACAAGCGCAAGTCGACGCTCTCGCGCAGGCGGCTGGAGCGACGGTGAGCAACGGACCTCTTCGAAAAAAACCGGAACCAACCATTTTCAGTGGAGCGCCGACAATCAAATCTTCTACATTCCGTGCGGCACCGACGCGGGACCCATCAAACTCAAAATCGGCGACTACAAATATGTGATTCGCGCCAATAACTATGTGATGGACATTGGCAACAATCAATGCCTGTTCGCCGTCATTCCGCAATCCTATTCCGGCTTCGGACCATCGTGGATCCTCGGCGTCCCTTTTATGCGCCAATACTGCAATGTGCACGATTTGGGCGAAGCTCGCGTCGGCTTCGCGCTCTCATTGAACGATTTCTGAATTTCCGCTACTATTAATAAAGCGTTTCGAATCTGCGGACAATCCCCTTGTTTCAGTGCGACAATGAAAATCTAGAGGACGGCGTCGCGTTTATAAATTCCCATCTGCGGACACCTGACGGGTCTCAAATCAGACGAGATGAAGCTTGAATATTAAAGGCGCATCCATTATTTTTTCGATTCGTTCTCTCTCTCTCTCGCTCGCCCAAAGCCATTAAACAAACAAAAAAAAATATGATATGAATCATTTCGGCGGCCGCCCTCCGCGTAAATCACAATTCTGACTTTTTTGTGACTTTTTTGGGAAATTTCTAACTATATATAAATATGATCGACTAGTCACTCCATTCGCAAAAATTATGCCGTCGACGACCAATATTTTTGGATTCTACAGATACCTTATAAAGTAAGTTCCATTAGTTTTCTTTTTGTTGTTTAAAGGCGCATACACACCTCGCATCCCAGTTTTTCGCTTAAAACTATCCTTGTCAAACAACAAGAATTTTGAATTAAAATTGCGATGGTCCACAATCGCTTAAGATGATTTGTGTGCAAACACCGCGACGCAAATATTACAGAAAATTCTCAAACGTTTTTTTTGGCAGCAAAATCGCAGGTCGAAAAATACCAAAAAAATTTTTAAACTATGCAACATATAATTAATTCCAAAAATTTTGTATTTTCTAGTTAAACTTCGAATTTTTTAAAGATTCCAACAAAGACCTCTTCAGAATCTCGCCGTTGAATTGCGGAAACGGACCATTTCGAATCGTCGGCGTCCTGGGATCCCTCGTCTCGATCGCGTTGCTCTTCTTCCGAATCATCTATCTGTTCGTCAACGTGTCCGAAAAGGTCCATCCCCGCCCCCTCAAAAAAAAATCAGCTTCAAAATTTCAGACGCTCTCGCTCGGATGGGCCGAGAAGAACGTCAGTCTGTTCATGGCGTTCGAGTCGCTCGCGTGCCTCATCGCCGTCTGTCGAATCACGGCGATGAGGAGCGTCGAGCGCGTCGAAGAGCACATCAACAATCTGAAAATGCTTCGGGTAATCGTCCAGCGTCCAAACCACCACCTCCCCATTGAGATTTTCAGCGAACTTGCTATTCCGAGGTCCACGACAACTATCAGAAGACGTGGACGATGATTCTGATCTACTTTGCCATTATTCTAATCGGCGTCGGATGCAATGCCGGCTATCTGTGCGCCAACAAGATGGTCCTATGGGTCCCACCATTGAAGCTCTCCCCGGATTCAGAGCCACCGAATCCTCCTACTACTTCATCATCGATCCGGCGGTGAGCTTCATCTGCGTCTACACGAATTGCCTATTCATCGCCTACAACATTCTAATGCACGCGGCGATCGATCGCGAGGTGATCGTCTTCAATGAAGAGCTCATGGAGGCCGCCAACCTCAAACAGCTAGCGGACCATGACGTCTTCTCGCGATTCGCCGATCGTCAAGTCCAACTCCATCAGATGGCCAACACGATGGCCGATCGGCTTGGTTTTGTCCGAAATGGTCCCCGTCCTTATATTATTTGTTCCAGGGACCATGATGCACTATGCCCCGTTCACCGGCTCGCTAGCCCTTCTCAACGGCACCTTCATCACAATGACGTAAGCAGTAACTAGTGCTACCGTAACCAATTTTTTTTAAAGGTACAGCTACCTCACCCCAACCATTTATTTCGTCTTCCTCATCTTCTACTCAATATCGCTTACCACCATCCTATCAGCTCTTCTCATTCCTCCAGCTCGCATCCAAGATACGGTATGTGTGGATTGGTGGGTTACGGTATCACTAGTTATCATTCAGCTTCTCAAAACCAGCCAAATTCTCATGTCCGACGGGGTTCTCCAAACATCGGACCATCCGAAAATCTATCAAATCTATCGAATGATGGTTGATCGAAGTCGGTACAATCGAGCGCGAATGCACTTCATGCACATATTCGCCATCAATTTGGTCAACGTGAAACGGGTTTGTGGCCAGGGGACCATTATTATTGTCATTGGTCCGTTCTCCCAATTTTCAGACGCTCTTCACCATCGCCCATCTCGCCGTCGGGTTGTCGATTCTCAAAGCGATTGTCATTCATTGAGGAATAATTTTTGATCTACCCACGAAAATTGATTTGGGTTCCTTTTTTTCGATATTTGGCTGAAATAAAATTTTATCAATTTTCAAAATGGCTGTGGCCGAGCAAAAGTTCGGCCATGCAAAAAGACAATTTCGGTTTTCACCAAAAAATGCCATTTTTCAATTTTTTAGGCGTGAAATTTTTTTTCGAGTGCGGGTATGCGCCTTTAATCATACTGTAGCTTTTTAAAATTTTTCCTAAAAATTCGATTTTTTTTCAAAAATAAATCGATAATGTTCAAAGATTAATCAATTGCGGTTAGAAGCGGGGTGTTGGGGGGGGGGTCCGAGTGTAAATTATGATGGTCCGCAATGATGATCGATCATCGCCGCATTGCACGAATTTCAACACACACACACACACACACATCTGTTTGTTACACATTGCCAAAAATTAGTGGCGAGCCGACGCTGCTGAGCTCTCGAAATTGTTGTCCCCTCGTCGGCGGGGACAGTCGACCGGCCGACCGCAAAAACCATGTTATCAGGGGCGGCGGATTTGCTTGCAAACATTCTCTACGACACACTATTTCGCGTTTGTGTGCTCCTGTATTACGGTAGCCGTCGCGCAGGACAAGCCCTTGAGCGGCGTCTCGCCGCGACCCTCGACCACTATCGATTGATATGCAATTGTGATGCTTGTCTGAAATTTGCTGCTCGCCACGCTTTCTTATACGCCGTTCACCCCCACCAACGCATGCGACCCTTGTGGCGCAGTGGTTAGCTGCGCCGTCCCTCCCCTTTTTGGCGACGTGGGTTCGAGCCCGCCGCGTGTTTTCCCCTCATCAATTACATCGCGTTGATTTTTCTCCCAACTCTCTATCGATCGCAATTCGATTTTGTGTGCGTCTCTGTGTGTGTGTGTTTTTTTTAACTTCCAATATCATATCATTTCATATTGTTAACAGAGACGACGACAACGACTGCTGCTGCTGTTGCTGTTGCGGCCAACAGTGTGACGAAATAGTGCACACGAACAACAATAAATAAAAGACGACAATATTCTGCCTGACTCAGCGTGCAGAAGGGAAAACAGCACAAATCAAGGAATTGGTATCGATTTTTCGGCGTTGGGACTCAATTAGCTCGAAACACTTGACGCAAAAATGGATAGTGTTCAGGTGAGATCGAATTCTAGCGTTTATTCTCGTTTTTATTGTAAAAAGGCATCTGCGGACATTTTCGAGTTTGTCCGCAGCACGCTTTTCATTTATTTGAAAAATAATTATCGAATCGTTCATTTTAAAATTATTCATCTGCGGACAATTTTGAGTCATCGCGATGGTCTATTTTTTCGAAAATACCGATAATAGTAATCATCTGCGGACATTCTCGGGCCTCCATGATTGTCCGCAGCACGATTTTCATATATCCAAAAAAATGATGCTCGCTTCGTTAAATATAAAAATATTCATCTGCGGACATTCTCGGGCCTCCATGATTGTCCGCAGCACGATTTTCATATATCCAAAAAAATGATGCTCGCTTCGTTAAATATAAAAATATTCATCTGCGGACATTCTCGGGCCTCCATGATTGTCCGCAGCACGATTTTCATATATCCAAAAAAATGATGCTCGCTTCGTTAAATATAAAAATATTCATCTGCGGACATTCTCGGGCCTCCATGATTGTCCGCAGCACGATTTTCATATATCCAAAAAAATGATGCTCGCTTCGTTAAATATAAAAATATTCATCTGCGGACATTCTCGGGCCTCCATGATTGTCCGCAGCACGATTTTCATATATCCAAAAAAATGATGCTCGCTTCGTTAAATATAAAAATATTCATCTGCGGACATTCTCGGGCCTCCATGATTGTCCGCAGCACGATTTTCATATATCCAAAAAAATGATGCTCGCTTCGTTAAATATAAAAATATTCATCTGCGGACATTCTCGGGCCTCCATGATTGTCCGCAGCACGATTTTCATATATCCAAAAAAATGATGCTCGCTTCGTTAAATATAAAAATTTTCATCTGCGGACATTCTCGGGCCTCCATGATTGTCCGCAGCACGTTTTTCATTAAATCACAAAAAAAAACATGATACGAACCGGGAAATTACGAAATTTCTACAGCGACTTTTTCGATACTAAAAAAAGAATTCATCTGCGGACATTTTTGAGCCTTTCCGATGGTCTGGTTTTTCGAAAATACCTATAGTAGCAATCATCCTACTTGTCCGCAGCACGCTTTCATTTATTTGAAGAAATTATCGCTCAGTCGCTCATCATAAAAATATTCATCTGCGGACAATTTTGAGCTATCGCGACTATCAATTTTTTTCATAAAAAAATGATGATCGCGTCGTTAAGTGTTAAAAAATTTTCATCTGCGGACATCCTCCGGCCTCCATGATTGTCCGTAGCACGATTTTCATATATCCAAAAAAATTATGATCGCGGCGTTAAATATAAAAATATTCATCTGCGGACATTCTCGCGCCTCGATGATTGTCCGCAGCACGTTTTTCAATTCAAAAGATTCGAATGCGACAATTTCGGGTGTCGGCAAATCACAAATCAGAACCATCTATAAATAGCGACCCTAGGTGGTAGGTACATAGTAATGATGGGAGGGAGGGCTACAAGTGGGTCCCCCCCCCTCCGACCACTTTACGCGACGCCTAAAAATATAGCGGTTGGAGGAGCGCCGTCGTCCGAGTGAAAGATATTACATTTCGCCGTCTCGTCGAGACCCTCATCGAGTTTTTGTTGCGTTTCGTCAGTCGGTCGGCCACGCGTGAATTCGATTATTGATCGATCGAAAATTTCCATAATTCTCGCCGAAACCCGCCGATCGTGTTTGCAGGAGGCCAACGACGAGCATCGCGCGACACCATTCGTCGCCCATCACACCACCAAATCGATTGTCAGCAGCAAAAAGCCCGGCGTTCGTCCAGCCATGCAGATTTATCGTCCACCAGGTATATTGAAATCAGAAAAAAATTTTTTCTGCATTTTTTGCCATTTTTTTGATCAAAAAAATTTTTTTCCTAACAATTTTTTGAAGGAAATCCCCTTTAAACTTGAAAAATTTTATTGAAAAAATATTTTTTGCATTTTTTTGGACAATTTTTATTTATAAGACCTCTTTAAAAATTTTTTTCGATTTTGAATTTTTTTTCATAGAACCCTCAAATATTATAAAAAATTGACAATTTGTTGAATTTTTTTCAAAATAAATTTTTCCGGATAAAAATTTTAAAATTTCGATTCCAAAATTCAAAAATTCGGATTTAAAAAATCGATATTTTTGATCTACCCGAGACTTTCAAAAGAACCTCAAGATTTTCAAACAACCCGTCTTCAAATTAAAAAAGATTAAAAAAATCGAGCACCCTAAGCAATCGTGGACCATCGAATTATTATTTTTTCTTCCAAAGGCTTGCCAAAAAATCTTGATGGTCCGTATCTCCAAAATTAATAATTTGGGCCTGGTAGAGGCCTAATTTCAATCGATTTCAATTTTTTCAACAAAAATGCAAAATATTAGAACGCATAGTAACTTTGATTTCATTTTTTTCCCCCACTTGGCAATTAATATCAATTAGGACTCCGAGCCGACGGAACACCGAATTCCGGCGCGACGACGACGAAACCGAGACCGGCAGCCGGTTCAAAGCTGTCCAACAACGGCGAAAATGAGACGAATGCGCTCAAAGAAGGTCGGTGAGGGTTTCGACGCGATTTTAAAGGCGCACACCATCTCATTGTGACGCGCTTCTGAAATTATCCGCTCGCGGCGATTTCTTATATGCCGCTCACTCCATCAAACGCGTGCGACACGTGTGGCGCAGTGGTTATGCGCGCGGTACCCTTGGTTTTTGGTGTCGTGGGTTCGAGCCCGCGGCGTGATTTCGATTTTTTTTAACAAAACGACTTTTCGTTTTTCGCTTTCAGAGAACAACAACAAGAAGGAGTGCGGCGAGTCGACGAGCTCGCGCGCGAGCTCACGCGCCTCCAACGATCGTCCGATGAATGGCGGCGGCGCGAGCCTGATGCGTACCGAGAGCTCGCTGAGCACCGAATCGACGCCCTCGTCGCAGGTACGTCGACACGCCAAACATCACCAACAATTTTCTGTTGACAGAAGTCGTACGGCTCGAATTCGAATAAGCACAACGGTCAACAGGGAATGCAATTGAAGCGAATTAGCAACGCGAAAAAAGAGCACCTCAAGGTTTGCGCTTTTTCGCGGTTTCGACGCGCACACTCGAAACTTGTGCTACCGTATCTCGGCCAACACAAAATCCGAGCATTTTAGAATTTTTTTTATCACGGCAAATCCGTTTTTTCTATTTTTTTCGTGAGAAGCCCACACCTGGAATTTGTGCTACCGTAATAATTGATTCGCACTGGTCTCGTCACACTCGAAATTTGTGCTACCGTATTTTTTATGGCTACCAGAAAAAGTCTAGCTTTCTATAGTATTTCGAAGGATCGTGTTGGTCTCGACACTCGCCAACACACCTCAAATTTGTGCTACCGTAAGCCTATAATTTGCATAGTAATTTTTTCTCGCCAATAGCACACAGTAGAAATTTGTGCATTTTTATTTATTTGTTGGTCTCGACACTCGCCAACCCATCTGAAACTTGTGCTACCGTATCTCACATGAGGGACCATTGAAAAACTTGATGGCCGGTTTCAGAAGAAGGTGATGACGGAGCACGAGGTGGAGAAGGCGATCACCGAGCTGCGCGCGCTTCAAATCGCCTCGCACGGCGCCCAAATCGAGCAATGGATCGGCGGCGCGTTTTGCGACGACGAGCTCGCCGAGACGATCGGCGCCGCGTTGTGTCGACACGCGATCGAGGGCGGCGGCGGAAGCGGCGTGGCGATAATCTGCGCCAACTTCCGCAACTCGCCGTCGATATCGGCGCTCGTCAAGGTTGGCGCCCAAATTGGCGCGTTGGGCGAACACCACCAAAAAATTGTCTTGCCATTTCCAGGGCCTCACCATCGCGTTGTCGCAATACCTCGAGTGTCGGCACAAGATACGCGAAGACCATTTCCGAATGTGGATCTCGTTCATTCAATTCCTCACCGAGCTCTATGCCAACATGTCGTCGGAATCGAAAGGTCCCTCAATATCTATTTTTTTTTTCATGGTTCTTTTTTTCTCTAGGCGATCTCGCCAACATCGTGTTCGACGTGTTCAACTTCCTTCTACGGCCGCCGATTTTGGAGCACGTGAAAATCCAGGAGCTCGAGTGCCTCATCTCGATTCTCATCAAAGGCGGCTACGATTTGGAGCGCGAGTGTCCCGATCAGTTGGCGTTGCTCAAGGATTTGATACGGTTCGTTGATCGCATTCTCAGCTGCGGACGTTTTCAATTCAAACTGTTGCTACCGTATTTTTTGGGAATGCCAATTTCCTGCAAGAGTGTGACGTCGTGAGAGATTTCACAAAAAATGTCACTTCGGGTTACTGTAGCTACCATATCCGGATTACTGTAGATTCACTAGATTCGGCATACTCGATTTAGTCTAGATTCTCAGTTTTTTGAAGAATCCGGCCATTTCAACAAGGGAGGACAAGCGGCGAGAGAGTGTGATGAGGTGAGAGACGCAGAGAAAGATCATTCTGGAAATTCTCGAAAATCCACGAAAAATCAATATCATTCGATTCAGAATTTCACGTAGATTCTGAAATTCGCAAAATAAATTCGAAATTTTCACGTTTTCGCTTGTTAAATTTTTTCGACGATGAGAAAGTGTGGCAAAATGAGAGTCGCAGACAAATATTTCACAAAAATGTCAGAGTCAGGTTACTGTAGCTACCGTATCCGGATTACTGTAGATTCACTAGATTCACCAAAAACGATAAAGTCTAGTGTTCAAGCTTTTTTTTTAAGAATTGGAAAAGACCTTTTGAAAAAGGACTGGCGAGCGAGAGAGTGTGACGAGGCGAGAGACGCAGAGAAAGAGTATTCTGGAAATTCTCGAAAAATCCATGAAAATCAATATTTCCGCATATCATTCGATTCAGAATTTCGCGTAGATTCCGAAAATCTCAGAGAGAATTACGAATTTCCACGTTTTCACATCGAAATATCAAAAAAATCAATTTTCAGTGACGCGTTCATCGATGCTCCCGAGCCGTGGGCGCGAAAAATGATTCTACTTCTGCTCGAACTCGGCGCATCCGGTTGGAAGCTTCCAATTGACGCAAACGAGTACTATTTCAATGAGACCTCCAATTAGAATGGTCCCTAGTTCGGACCCCCCCATGGTCCCTTTCCCCCATAATAATGCGATATCTCAATGCAAAAATGATACGTTTAGGTGCTAAGGAGACCAAATTGTGTTTCGATGGTCCCTTCCCGCTTTTAATTCTTCTTGATTTTTCAAATTTTAGTTTCTAACCCAAAAACTCTTGTATGTATATATTTTTTCAATAACTACTTAGCACATTTTAACAGGTTTCGATTTTTATTTCCCAAATTTTTTTTTCAAATTTCTGCTCAATCAAATCAACAGTTTCACTTAACAATTTGTTCAAATCGTCGTCTTTTTTTTTTCGTTTTTCGTCAGAGCTATTTATTCATTTTTGTCATTTTCAATAAATTTTTATTTTTATTATCTAAAGGCCTCAAAATTTTGACTTGATTTTGCGATTTTCAGAATCTACGTGAAATTCTGAAGCGAATGATATATCTAAAATCGATTTTTCATGGATTTTTCGAGATTTTCCAGAATGATCTTTCTCTGCGTCTCTCACTTCATCACACTCTCTCGTCGATTGTCCTCACTCGTTGAAATTCTTCAAAAAACAGTAGATTAGAAAAAAAATCGAATGTGAAGAATCTAGTGAATCTACAGTAATCCGGTTACGGTAGCTACAGTAACCTGACTCTGACATTTTTGTGAAATATTTGTCTGCGACTCTCATTTTGCCACACGAAAAAATTTAACAAGCGAAAACGTGAAAATTTCGACTTGATTTTGCGATTTTCAGAATCTACGTGAAATTCTGAATCGATTGATATGCGGAAATATTGATTTTTCGTGGATTTTCGAGATTTTCCAGAATTCTCTTTCTCTGCGTCTCTCACCTCATCACACTCTCTCGCCGCTTGTCTTCACTTGTTGAAATGGCCGGATTCTTCAAAAACTTGGAATCTAGACTAAATCGAGTATGCCGAATCTAGCGAAGCTACAGTAATCCGGATACGGTAGCTACAGTAACCCGAAGTGTCATTTTTTGTGAAATGCCATCTCTGCGTCTCTTACGACGTCACATTTAATCTCTCTCTCTCTCTCTCAAGCCGTCAAAAAAATTGCGCAGCGCGTGATTTTTGGAGAATCGCATATCCAGAAAAGCTACAGTAATCCGGTTACGGTAGCTACAGTAATCCATTCAGAGGAGAAAAAAAAAAGAAAGGGGACGCGAGAAAATTTTTGGAGACGTGCTCCAAATTTGGTTGGGATTTATTTTATTTTATTTTTCTCTTGCCATTATTTCTTCCACCATATTTGGAAACAATGCGATGTGCATCGTTCGTCGACAAATTCTCAAATCGCGAAACGTGAGTAGGGACCATCAATTTTTTTTGTTTCCTGGAGCCATCTTTGAGCCATCAATTTTTTTTTGCAGACACCGATTCGACCGAAACAAAAGGTTTGTTGTTGTTTTGCTGATTTTTTTTCTGGCGTCGCGTTCAAATTTATTTCGGGTAGATCAAACTCTCGCCGGCCGGCGACTCGCTAATGGAGGAGTCGTTGCGAAACACCCAAGAGATTAGTGACACCGAATTTGTGAAGAAATAAACTTGTTAATTGTTAGCTACCGTAACCGGATTACTGTAGATTCACTAGATTCGCAATATTCGATTTTTTGTCTTTTGAAGAATTTCAACGAAGACGAGAGAGTGTGACGAGATGAGAGACGCAGAGAAAGAGCATTCTGGAAAATCTCGAAAAATCAATGAAAATCAATATTTCCGCATATTAATCGATTCAGAATTTCACGTAGATTCTGAAAATCGCAAAATCAAGTTCGAATTTTCACGTTTTCTCTAGTCAATTTTTTTCGAAAACGAGAAAGTGTGGCAAAATGAGAGTCGCAGAGAAAATATTTCACAAAAATGTCAGAGTCGGGTTACTGTAGATACCGTATCCGGATTACTGTAGCATCACTAAATTCGCCGTATTCGATTTAGTCTAGTGTTCACGTTTTTGAAGAATTTCAACAAGGGAGGACAATCTGCGAGAGAGTATGGTGAGGTGAGAGACGCAGAGAAAGATCATTCTGGAAATTCTCGAAAAATCCATGAAAAATCGATTTTCGATATATCATTCGCTTCAGAATTTCACATCGATTCTGAAAATCGCAAAATCAAGTCGAAATTTTCACGTTTTCTTAAGAGAAATTTCTTCTAAAATCGAAATAGCGTGACAAGTTGAGAGTCGCAGAGAAAACGTTTCACAAAACCGTAGCTTCAGAATCCGAATAACGATCGTTTGAGTAGATTCAGAATATTCGATTTAGTCACATTTTCAAAGAAAAAAGGGCCCAATTCAGACGGCGAGGGTGTGTGCCAGAATGAGAGACGCAGAGAAATTGCTTCCCAAAAGAAAATCAATATTTCCGTGTATCATTCGATTCAGAATTTCGCGTAGATTCCAAAAATCGCGAAATCAAGGTCGAATTTTTACGTATTCATAATGATTTTCAAATTTATTTCGACAAAATCGACGAAAAGAGGAAAATGATGAGTGGTGCGCATAATTTAGAACGAGTGATGAGCGGTGGCGAATCCGATGCGCTCCTGTCCGATATCATAGACATTGCAATATTGGCGAATGAACGTGTCGCCGAGAATCCACGATGGTCCGAAGCCGCCGCCGCCCATGCCGAAGAAGGTGAGCGCGCATTTGCCGCCGCCCAACTCCAAATCGAGAATGTACTCGACGGCCGGCACGTTGTACTTGACGCCGCCGATGACGAACACCAAGTCGGGTTGCGACGACGTCGTCGAGCAGTCGACGGTGTACAACTCGTTCTCCCAGTCGAATTTCGCGCCGGTGGCTTTGACGACGCCGGAGACGACCGAGTTGGGCGCGCCGATCCACGAGGTGCCGGTGTCGGAGATCACCTGCGCCACTTTCGACTCGCTGAAATCGCCGATCGAGAACGAGTCGAGCGGAAACTGCCAATAGGTCTTGGCGCTCAACTTAACGTAGTTGATGGCGGCGTCGCAATTCTGTTTGTCGATGTCACCGTAGGTGATTTGACCGCCGCTTCCACCTAGACGAATTGAATTGGTGTATTCAAGAAATTGGGACCATCTGGTTACCTTCAGAGATCTTGAGTTTACGATCGAGCCACACGGTGAACAATGGTTGGTCAAGTTGCGGCAACGCGTTCTGCATCGGCGGTGTGACGTCGTCGACGGCGAGCTTCGGCCAGCCGAGTCCGAGGATGCCGTCGACCGGCTGATAGCCGAACACCTCGGCGATGTGGGTGGCGACGCCGAACTCTTGATTGTCGACGATGACGCCGCCGAAGTTGAGCGAGTCTTTCGCGAGATGTCCGCTGCACGAGCCCGAGCCGTACTGAATCGAGAATTTGCGCGTCTCGCCTTTGTACGTCGACGAGGCCGACGTGTTGAATTTGTGTTTGACGAAGCCGCTGTTCGGATAGCCGTTGCACGCCTGCGATTTGCAATTGGCGTCGATCACCCACAAGTTCGACGAGCCGGTGTCGAGCACGACGGTCATCGTTTGCGCCGGTGTGCCGAGCGTGATGTTGCCGAGATAGAAGTCGTCGTAGTAGTCGATGAATGGCTGGCCGCCGGTGTTGAGTTGCTCGATGCGCGCCTGGTGCTGAGCGGCGAGGAAGTCCTTGTAGGCGCCCGATTTGATGAGCTTCGCACGAAGCGAGCCCGAATTGCGTGTTTTGAGCGTGAATGTGGCCGCGTGGCACGCCGCCACGATGAACGCGAGTAGTAGAAACACAGAGGTCCGCATACCTGCAATTCGAATTGGATTCCGGATTTTTTTGGGGGGGGGATTCGCAACAAAAAAAAATGAAAGACGAGTTTCAAATTTCGACGAGACCACTTCTTTTTATTGGAATCGCCTGCTGACGTATGCGTGTGTGTGTATTTCGCTTATCAGACGCACAATTTTTGAGAGCAATGGGCGGGGCCTGTTTTGATGGAGTTTCGACCGCTTGACCAGTGAATTGTCCGCAGATGACTTGACCATTAGAATTTTCAAGATTGTCTCTTTTATCGGAAATATTGACCAGTGAATTGTCCGCAGATGACTTGACCATTAGGATTTTCAAGATTGTCTCTTTTATCGGAAATATTGACCAGTGAATTGTCCGCAGATGACTCGACCATAAGAATTTTCAAGATTGTCTCTTTTATCGGAAATATTGACCAGTGAATTGTCCGCAGATGACTTGACCATTAGGATTTTCAAGATTGTCTCTTTTATCGGAAATATTGACCAGTGAATTGTCCGCAGATGACTTGACCATTAGGATTTTCAAGATTGTCTCTTTTATCGGAAATATTGACCAGTGAATTGTCCGCAGATGACTTGACCATTAGGATTTTCAAGATTGTCTCTTTTATCGGAAATATTGACCAGTGAATTGTCCGCAGATGACTCGACCATAAGAATTTTCAAGATTGTCTCTTTTATCGGAAATATTGACCAGTGAATTGTCCGCAGATGACTTGACCATTAGGATTTTCAAGATTGTCTCTTTTATCGGAAATATTGACCAGTGAATTGTCCGCAGATGACTTGACCATTAGGATTTTCAAGATTGTCTCTTTTATCGGAAATATTGACCAGTGAATTGTCCGCAGATGACTCGACCATAAGAATTTTCAAGATTGTCTCTTTTATCGGAAATATTGACCAGTGAATTGTCCGCAGATGACTCGACCATAAGAATTTTCAAGATTGTCTCTTTTATCGGAAATATTGACCAGTGAATTGTCCGCAGATGACTTGACCATTAGGATTTTCAAGATTGTCTCTTTTATCGGAAATATTGACCAGTGAATTGTCCGCAGATGGCTCAACCATTAGGATTTTCAAGATTGTCTCTTTTATCGGAAATATTGACCAGTGAATTGTCCGCAGATGGCTCAACCATAAGAATTTTCAAGATTGTCTCTTTTATCGGAAATATTGACCAGTGAATTGTCCGCAGATGACTTGACCATTAGGATTTTCAAGGTTGTCTCTTTTATCGGAAATATTGACCAGTGAATTGTCCGCAGATGACCCGACCATAAGAATTTTCAAGATTGTCTCTTTTATCGGAAATATTGACCAGTGAATTGTCCGCAGATGACTTGACCATTAGGATTTTCAAGATTGTCTCTTTTATCGGAAATATTGACCAGTGAATTGTCCGCAGATGACTTGACCATTAGGATTTTCAAGATTGTCTCTTTTATCGGAAATATTGACCAGTGAATTGTCCGCAGATGACTTGACCATTAGGATTTTCAAGATTGTCTCTTTTATCGGAAATATTGACCAGTGAATTGTCCGCAGATGGCTCAACCATTAGGATTTTCAGGATTGTCTCTTTTATCGGAAATATTGACCAGTGAATTGTCCGCAGATGACTTGACCATTAGGATTTTCAAGATTGTCTCTTTTATCGGAAATATTGACCAGTGAATTGTCCGCAGATGACTCGACCATAAGAATTTTCAAGATTGTCTCTTTTATCGGAAATATTGACCAGTGAATTGTCCGCAGATGACTTGACCATTAGGATTTTCAAGATTGTCTCTTTTATCGGAAATATTGACCAGTGAATTGTCCGCAGATGGCTCAACCATTAGGATTTTCAAGATTGTCTCTTTTATCGGAAATATTGACCAGTGAATTGTCCGCAGATGACTTGACCATTAGGATTTTCAAGATTGTCTCTTTTATCGGAAATATTGACCAGTGAATTGTCCGCAGATGACTCGACCATAAGAATTTTCAAGATTGTCTCTTTTATCGGAAATATTGACCAGTGAATTGTCCGCAGATGACTTGACCATTAGGATTTTCAAGATTTTCTTCTTTATCGGAAATATTGACCAGTGAATTGTCCGCAGATGACTTGACCATTAGGATTTTCAAGATTGTCTCTTTTATCGGAAATATTGACCAGTGAATTGTCCGCAGATGGCTCAACCATAAGAATTTTCAAGATTGTCTCCTTCAACGGAAATGTTGACCAGTGAATTGTCCGCAGATGGCTCAACCATAAGAATTTTCAAGATTGTCTCCTTCAACGGAAATGTTGACCAGTGAATTGTCCGCAGATGACTTGACCATTAGGATTTTCAAGATTGTCTCCTTTATCGGAAATATTGACCAGTGAATTGTCCGCAGATCGTTTTCCACATGGATTTGTAGAAGATTATCATTGTTGCCAACCGATCAGGTCCATCTCGTGAATTGTCCGCAGCACCATATTTTTATTATTATTAATTAATAATTTCAACTCAATGATTGCTTGCATTTTTGTTTATGAATTTCATTGTAAATCAAAGAAGCTTCAAACTAGAGCGCACTCATAAACTTTAGCCGATTATTTTTCCATAATTCGATTATCATTGATTGATTCGAATTGGAGCTGATACAAAACTCGATGTTTGAATTGTGAAAATTATCAGTTTGATCAGTTTGATATGCGGAATTATATCAATTTCTGGTGCAAAAACCATCAACTATAATTTTTAGTCTCAAAAATTATGAAGACTATGTAGAACGAGCGTACGGGTTTCATATACGCACTTTCCTCCACCGGATGTCAGTTGCACCAATGGCTCAGTGGCTCGTCGGCGCCGTTTTTGCGCCGTTTTGCACGCGCGGGTTCAAGTCCGCCACATCCAAAAATAGCGTGTTGCTATCATTTAAAGCGCGTATCATTTGTCAATAAAGTGTCCGGTTGTTTAGTGCGGTGTGAGCTCGTAAAATAATTCCGGGTGACTTGCAACAGTCGTCATTCGGTTTCGCGAGATAAGCTCCCTTATCGGACAGCCCAAAGCGAAGTACAATTGTTGCCAATTACGCACAATCAATTGACGATGTCGTCAGAAAGCAGGGAAAAAAAAATAAGGGGAGGGGGGGTCCGATTTAAAAATAATCCGTCACCCCCTTTAATATTGTGGATCGAATCGCCAAAACCGCTTCTTCAAGTTTTTGCCCCATTTTCGCCAAATTTGGCGATTGTCGTACTGATAAGCTACTTTGCAGATGATGATTACAAATCGGGCATCACGGGACCGGTAAACCGGAATAATTGACCAATCGCGATTTTTGGTTGAGCGTGATTGTAGAAAATTTCAAAGAGATGGGGGGGGGAACAATAATACCAAAAATGGAATTTTCATGGATTTCCAATTTTGTGAAACCGATCCATAATATAGCTGATCACTCTTCCGAGTGGACTACACGGACCCAAGTCGGCGCCAAGTGCCAGGGACCAAATTAGACCCTCGTCTGACTGGGACCCCCCCCCACCTATTTGAACAAATTTCTACTACATAGTTTAGGATAAATTATTCGGACCCATAAAATTATAGGACCTAGAATATTGTAGGATCCATTATTCGGACTCAGAAAATTGTCGAATCCATTATTCGGATCCACAAAATTGTAGGATCCCTATGAAACAGAAATATTCAAGATCAGAATTCGATTTAACGTGTTGAGAAACTTGTTTTTAGCGAATTGTGGCTCACTTTCATAAATTGCTTGCAACTCTCCTTTTGCAATTTCAATTCAGGAATGTCCACGGCCGAAAACTTGATAAATTTAAAGAGAAACCGGAAATCCGAACAAAATTTTCACATTTTTTCTCACAAATTGCAGTCTCCATTAAGCAAAATTGGAAATACATCCAATGCTCAACCGATTTCACTAATTTTTGCGCTCATGGAAACTCACCTAGAACTCTACGTGTTTAACCAGTTCCAGACACTTTCAGAAATATGGTATTTGGCATTCATAGATTTCAAAAATATTCTCGTTGGGGGTCCCCCGGTTGGAAATCATCGAATTTTTCGTTTTGCAAGTTGTTGACAATTGAAAATCATCGAGGTTGTTATCAATCGCACGACTCTTTTTTCCATTAGCAATGAATTCTCCAAAAATTGTATTTTATAAAACATTGATGAACCAACCCAAATAGCAATTTCCGATTGGCAGATCACATTCCAATGCTATCCCGATTGCTCTCTGAAAAGGTAAACCCAATCACAAATTGTTGATATTTTCATTTTCAGAACAAATGTATATTTGATTATCTGAAATCGTGGAGAGAAGAGGAGAACGAAAACGAGTGCCAGAATGGGGCGTTGGTGGAGAATTTGCAAAAATTGATCAACGTAATTGGATCAGTGTCAATCTCCATTTTCGTCTCGGAATTGCCAAAAGATGTTAGGCATGAGTTTCGATGCAAAAAAAAGAATTGGCACTTCTTTTTTTCAGAAAAAACGCGCTTTAAATCTGAAATTGCACGAGTTGAAGGAGGCGGTCGGTGGAAAAGACGAGCAACTGGATGAGTTTTTGCGATGTGTTGAACAACGAATTTCGATGACGAAAATTGGCGAGAAAGAAGGAATAATATGGGTTGGCTGGGGGTTTCGAGAATTTCCAGAATTTCCAATTTGCTTCAGATAGGCCTGATTCCGATGATTCGACAGCGAATAATGCAGAAAGAGTCAGGAATTGGGGCAGAAGCTCGACAGCCATCAATGGATGATCATGGACTTGATTCGAACAGGACAAGTTCAAAGGCGCATAGCGGGATTCAATCTAGTGGTCCTGAATGGACGATGGTTGATTACAGTGGAACGAAGGAGCAGCGAAAAATAGTTGAGAAAGGTGAAAAATTATTGGAATTGATCGCGTTTGGGAATTCAAATCGAAAAAAAAACAAAAATGGAAAGAGAATAATGAAACGAACATTTTCAGACATCAAACCGGACGAGTGTATTGCGAAATTCCCGAAAAAAACTAAAGAGAACCATCAGGTTCGTCGAGGAAATTTAAAAAAAAAGTTGGAAACATTTGAATCACTTTCAATTTTCTAAAATTTCTTTGAATATTTCGAAATTTTAATTGTGATGAAAGGCAAATTAAAGGCGCAGCGAATCGGCGGCGGTCTTGACAATAATTCATCTGAATGATTTGGCACCCTGGCGGTAGCTAGGACGATGGCAGAGAAAAAATCTCGGCCGCGGCCAGCTTCTTTTATGAGATTGAATTTTTTTTTAGAATCCAAGTTATTTGTGATTAAAGGCGCATACAAATTTTTTTTTAGAAATTAGTACTGTAGGCTTCGAAACACCTGGCCGCGGCCAAGGTTTTTGAAGTTTTTAAAAAAAATTTTTTAAGGCGCCTAGCGGGGTTCCCTTGAGTGGTCCTGAAGAGACGTTGGATGAATGCAGTGCAATGAAGGAGAATCGAAGAATAGTTGAGGAATTCAAAAAATTATTGGAAAAAGAGCCCGAATTGATCACTTTTGGTATTTCAAATCGAAAAAATAATGAAAATGGAAAGAGAATAATGAAATGAACATTTTCAGACATCAAACCGGAGGAATGTGTTGGGGAATTCTCGAAAAAAACTGAGGAGGACAACAAGGTTCGTTGAGGAAATTAGAAAAAAAGACGTTGGAAAAATTTGAATCGGTTTCAATTAAACAAATTCCATCTCAAAATTATAATGAGGGTCTTGACAATAATTCTTTGAAATCTGGCCCTAGGCCAGATTCAACGTTGAGCCTTCTGTCATCACAATAATCATCATCATCATCATCATCATTAGAGCCTTCTGTCATCGCAGTAACCCGGCCCTTCGCAAGGGCAACACCTCAAACCCTACTCCCTTCAAGGCCGTGCCATTAACCGAAGAAACTTCCGCTAAATAACAAAAAAAAACCACAAACCTTGCTTCTCCAGAAGCTCTTCTCGCATCTTCCCCACAGTAATAGATTCTAGAGCAAACACAAAAGAACGTCGTCGCTGGCTCAAAAAACCGAGCCAAAAAACGCTGTCCCAAATTCGCCAAAAGTCGCCGCTCTCGATTACTGTCGCTTTTCGCTGCGAGATATCCTAATGGCGTCACTGCATCCCCCTTTAGCCGCTTGATTCTGCGTCTCTCTCGCGCCCGTCATCTTTTCTCCAAACGCGCGATATCTCTACCTCTCCTCGCTCACACACACACACACTCTCTCTCTCTCAGTGTTTCATTTTCCCTGAATTTTCAGTCATTTCCTCTTGTTATTCATTTTTTTTTGAAGCGGACCCATTGGTCCTTATTATGGCAGAAAAAAAAAACTCGAAAAACCTGACCGTGGTCTAAGTTTCTGGGGGTTTTTTCTGTCATCTGACCAAAAATGGAAAATTGAAGTTCAGGAGTTCAAAAAAATTTTGGAGCATGCAAAAACGTCGGCGATGGCGGCTGATAAGCAAATTTCGGAGATGACCGAGAAATTCACAGAATTGAGGAAAAAACAAAATGAAGAGAGCCGCGAGACGTTGGCGAAAATCGATGAACAAATTGAAGAAAATCGGCGGCAATTTGAAAAGTTTATCACTTCTTCTCTTTTTTTCCAAATTTCAGATGATTATTCTCAATTTCTAGAATGGCTCAAAATGCCGAAGAAGCGCATCGCGAAGCCATTGAAAGATTGTTGAGAGAACGAGAAGAATCTTGGGTAATCATGTGATATATATGTATGTACGCGGGTAGATTTTCGCGCATGCGCCTTGAAAAGGTCTCGCCACGCATGAATGCTTATTTTGCTGTTTCTTCACGTGAACTGCTTCATTTTTCTTGATGAGTTTCGCATTTCCTTGAATTTTCAACGTCATTCGATTAAAAAATTATCGAACCGGTCCATAGAAATTTGAAATAACCTGTTAGTCATTGCGAGACCATTTCGAAAGACGCATTCTTGTAAATCTACCCGCGTACAGCAGTCGCCGGACGCCGACTATGTGTATGTGTGATTTGATGATTCGAAAAATGTTTCAGAGAAAATTCGAAGCGCGACGCGACGAGAATTCGAGACGAATGCGTGAAACCATTGAATTGATTGAGCTGGTTTTTCGGAAAAAAATTGAAATCCAAAGTCGAATCCAATTCTGGCGTGATTACGTCGAATTGTTGAGGTGAAATCATATTTCACATTGGGTCAATTCGAGCGAATTTTAGAGAAGAATTGAAAAACGTTGAATATTGCGCGAAGATTTGGTTTCAAATTGTCGCGCTACTTCAGACGAATTACAGCGAGAGGATGCAAAGGGTGGGATTATTTGAAGCTGGGAAGCTTCTGCAAAATGTTGAAAAAGCGCATTTGGCAATGTGCGACGAATACGAAAAGCTGGAAATTCTTCAGAGCCAGAATCCGGAGAATTCAATGTTGGCCATTCTAATGGTTGGTATCATTTTATACTAACAATATCCTATTTTGCCAGGATTCGATTCATCAAATTGCTTCCAAATGCTACCAAGTCGAAGGGGAGATCGAAAAATTCATGGTATTCAATCATTTGTAATTTTTGCTTCATGGAATTTTCAGACATCTGACAACTTGGAATACAATCAATTGCGTTCAACCCTCACCCAGATCACACCATCCCTTATTCCATCAATTAACCAATTAAAGGAAATGAGTGCGAGACAGCCAAACTTCCAAAAACCCACGACACCAATCAAGAGGCCAATGCACTATATTTGAAGTTGTTTTTGTTTAAATAAACATTTTTTGAAAAAATATCATTTTTTGTACCCAAATGATGGTCCACACCAATGGGACCATTCTTATCAAAACGTTTTCATTGTAGAATTGCTGGATTCGAAAGAAGTCTCAAATCGAAAAAAATGGAAATATATCCAATGTTCAGCCGATTTCACTTATTTTTTGATGTAGGCCTAGAATTTTTTGAGCATAATTTGGCTCAAAGCCAATCGGGCTGAAATTTTTGCTGTGTACGCTAAACACAGTTGCGCAAGTTTTCATTTAACATGTGTCATTTTTTCCATTTTGTGCATTTTTATAAAATTTGTGATTTTTCGAGAAAAAAAATTTCCTGCAGTATGCGATATCATTCAAACTCATTTTTAAACGTTTTAAACATGTGGTAAAGATTTCAGCCCGATTGGCTGTGTTTAAGAAGTTATGCTCTACTGTAAATCGGAACCATTTATCAGACACCTAGAACTCTACTCGTTGAAGCTGTTCAAGACAATTTCAGGCATTTGGCATTCCAACCTTTCGAGTTTTTGTTCGTTGGGGGTCCCCCGGTTGGAAATCATCGAATTTTTCGTTTCGCAATTTGTTGACAATTGAAAATCATCGAGGTTGTTATCAATCGCACGACACTTTTTTCCATTAGCAATGAATTCGCCAAAAAAAATGTAGTCTCAAATCGAAAAAAAAAATGGAAATATATCCAATGTTCAGCCGATTTCACTTATTTTTTGATGTAGGCCTAGAATTTTTTGAGCATAATTTGGCTCAAAGCCAATCGGGCTGAAATTTTTGCTGTGTACGCTAAACACAGTTGCGCAAGTTTTCATTTAACATATGTCATTTTTTCCATTTTGTGCATTTTTATGAAATTTGTGATTTTTCGAGAAAAAAAAATTCCTGCAGTATGCGATAGAAATATGGTATTTGGCATTCCAACCTTTCGAATTTTTGTTCGTTGGGGGTCCCCCGGTTGGAAACCATCGAATTTTTCGTTTCGCAATTTGTTGACAATTGAAAATCATCGAGGTTGTTATCAATCGCACGACACTTTTTTCCATTAGCAATGAATTCTCCAAAAATTGTATTTTATAAAACATTGATGATTCGTATTTTGAAAATTTCAATTTTTCTTCATAAGCATTTCATTTCCCTCAATTATTAATTGCTGAAATTAAAAAAGAGACCATAGCAAAGGCATTGCTCGACTTCAACAGGTCTTGATTGGACAATTTTAAAGGCGCATAGGCGAGTTCTATCCAGAAATGAGCTCTATCGATATTTCTGCTGAATTTTCGATTTCTGATATTGATTTACATTGAGGCAGAAGAAAATTTGAATGTGTGCAAACACCGCGACGCAAAATCGCAGACAAATATCCAAAAAATGTCCATCGCATCGTTTTTTTAGAAGAAAAATCGAAAATTCAAAAAAATTTGTTCAAATCCAATACAATTGAACCCATAATTAATTTCGAAAGTTTCTTCAAAACGAAATTGTTGATAACATTGCTAAGTATTTCATTGCTATTGTGAGAATTGGCAGACGATAAGAAATATTGAAGAAGGCCGCATCACACATTTCACCGTCGCCATTGTCGTTGTGTTTGCCGCGAAGAAAAAATGGGAAGCAACAATACGGTAGGTTCTAGTTTTTTTTTTTTGATTTAAAGTAATAATCAAGTGCGGTATAGTCGGCGTCCGGCGGCTGCTGTAGATTTACGCGCATGCGCCTTGAAATGGTCTCGCCACGATTTTTTTTTACATTTTTTTCTTGATCATTTTCGCATATTCTTGCATTTCCAACGTCATTCGATTGAAAAAAAAAATTATCGAACCTGTCCATAGAAATTTGAAGTGATCTGTTAGTCCGTGCGAGACCAAGAGAAAGACGCATCCCTGTAAATCTACAAAGCAGTCGTCGACGATACAAATCATTCACAAGAGAGCTCAATTTTCAGATCGAACATTTTCAGACTAAAAAAAATTTGTTTTGGTCGATTTCGAGAAAAAAATGACCTGCCTTGCGAATAAAATTGAAAATTGACGTACAATTACTTGAATTAATTAATTTAGAAACTTGAAAATGCTCACAAGGAGGAATTGGCGAGGATGCAGTCGGAATTTGTTAAAAAGAATGCTAAAATTGAAGAGGTGAGATAAATGTTCTCTTTTTTGAGGGGGGGGGGTCTTTAAAAGTATATTACAGTAACTTGTTGTTAAGCTTAATGCTAAACTGAGATCAGAGGCAACTGCAGAAGAGAAGGCGCGAATTTTGAAGAAGATTGAAGAAACTAACGAAAATATCAAAAAAATGAAAAACAATTTTGAACAGGAACAGCTTCGGTTCGATTATTGAATGAATTGCCGACGTCGAATTGCAAAATTCAGAATTCACGAAGAAGCGAAAAAACGGATCGAAAAAGAGCATTTGGCGAAGGAAGAGCTGATTAAAAAATTGGAGCAGCAGATGACGAAGACGGCGGCGCTTCAAAAAGCTGAAATCGAAAGGTTGAAGGATGAAAGCAATCAGTTGAAGATGATGACGGCCGATGGTTGGTTTTTGGCGAGCGACTTTCAGAGTTGGCGAATCGCGTTTCAGAGGCCGAACGATATCAGCAAAGAATTGCCAAGATTGAGGCCGATGGGAATCAAAAGTTGGAGGCGATCAAGAAGCAAATAATTGAAGTGGAGGAGAAATTTGCGACAATTAAAAACGGGATCCAGGAGAAAATTCGTGAGAACATTTTGATGAGTGAGGAGAAATTGAATGAGCTCAACAAGCAACGAGAGGCGTTTATGTTGAATATTGAGAATAAGAAGAATGCTCTGCAACAACATGCCGGTGAGCGAATCGTTTTACGAGTGTGTGCTCCTTTAAAGAACATTTCGCCGGAAATGTGTGCATAATTGCGTCGGTGTGCTGACGGCAAAATGTTACTCTACATTTTAAAGGGACATGGCCAATCAATTATTAGTACTAGACAGTTTGCACAATTTTTCGATGTCTACAGTATCGAAGATGTTCCATAAATCGCTGCGCCTTTAATTATTATTTAAAAATAAAATTTGGATTTTAAATAATTAAATCGTTAAAGGCGCGATATGATTGAAATTTGTAGTATTGTAGCCTTGATGGTCTTTTAAAGGAGCACACCGTCACATAGTTATGATTCCACAATTTTTTAGAATTTATTGTCGAAGTCAAACGACTTGGCGAAATTTTGAAAATTTCTAAAAAAAAATTCTACATCATTTTCAGTTCTCCAAAATACTGAAATAATTAACGCTATCAATGAGAGGGACTCGAATCGTTCGATCAATGATGAAATTGACATTTTGAAGCAGACGTCGAACACTTTGCACATGGTTTTCATGCGAAATCTGGCAATGGTAAATCGGAGGAAGCGGATTGCCATGAGGCTTTTCGAATGTCAAACAAAAATTGAATATAGTCATGATTCCACAATTTTTTAGAATTTATTGTCGAAGTCAAATGACTTGGCGAAATTTTGAAAAATGATTGCCTATGTGCCAATGCGTCTCGCGGCAGCTAGACTGCGTACATTGACATTATAGTGTACGCGCATTTAATACTCAGTCAACTAAACATTTTAATCTACACTGACTTCGCGAATTTGAATAGAATTTTTGAATATTTCGAAACCTCAAACGACAATTTCAAATTTTTTTTTTACTTTCTTTGAAATTGAATCGTTGGGTCTTGTGACGATTTGTCAATAATTGAAAAAAAAATCGATTTTAGCTGGAAACGAACGTCAAAATGATTGCAAACGGTCAGACAACAGAATTGAGGTGCAATACAGCGCAATTTCGTGATTTTCTGGAGGAAATCGGAACAACCAATAACAGAATTGTTGAGAACTCAAAATATCAGGTTGGTCACAAAAAAAATTGTTTTTAAATTGTACTTCCTATTCATTGATGTGCCATTCTTTGGATTTCTTAAAAATTATCAAGGCCGCTCGATCACTGATTTTCGCTACGAGATATCCTCTTCGCCTCGATGTCTGCGCCTTTAGCTCAACGCACACTGCGCTCTCTTCGAACGCGCTTTCTCTCGTCGCGTCTGCCGCTCTCTCAAATTCGCACACTCTCTCTCTCGCGCGCGCTTTCATTTCCAAAATTTACGCAAACTCCGATTCGCATGTTTATTTTGTAGGAATACTATCGCGGTATCCAACAGCCCCAAGAAGCCGCGAGCACGAGCCTCACCAATATTGAGGTGAGAACACGACGGGGGGCGGAATTGATCTAATCGAGATTCAGATGTGCGACAAAGAAACAATAGCCACCAAATTTGGCGTTTTCAAGTGCTCGATTAGCCAACTCGTTAAGCTTATTGCAGAGGTGAGCGCAAGCGATTTCAAGTTTTCGCGGGCGAATTTTCAATTTTTTAGGCGCCGCGTGAAGAAACCAATCAAGTGACGAAGGCTTTGAGCAGCGCTATTGGGAAATCAATTGAGAAAGCCTCAACATCGAATCTCGCGATTCAAAATCGCAATGACATCGAATCTGACAATTCAGACAATAATGACGTGCAAAAAAAGTCAGAAAAAAAATGAAAAAACTCGGCCACGACCATACATTTTTAATATTCAAAATCGCATTTCATTGATTTTAAGTGCCGTATTTTTGATTTTCGGCAATTTGTTGAAAAGAATAAAACCGTTTATGTGAATTGCTGATGATGAGTCGTGAAAATTCGGTATTTATTTTTACAAGCCAAGGTTCTAATGAGGTCATTCGCGAATTGCGTGAAACTTTGTGGGAATACTCCCTATCGATTGGTTTGAAAATATCCGCGTTCAATTTTTACGCAAGCGCATGCTCTGTCCGATTTTTGGACCCTCAAAGTAGTACTGCGAGTGGCGCGGTGGCGATATGTGAGATCTAACACTCGAGCCAGCGCCATGAGGAAGACCCAGCACAGGGAAAACGCTGTGAACCAAATTTGAGTCCTCTGTGGCTCAGTCGTCGTGAAAAAAAAAACGTGACTCAATTATGATCATTTTTGACATTCAGCGTTCGAACGAAAGCGAATAAATTTTTGCAATAAATTTATTAATTTACGCAGAAAAACAAATTTATCAATATAAAACTGGAACAAATTTTATATAAGCTACTAAGCAAAAAAAAATCGCAAAAGTTAGAAACGAAAAAAATCAAAAAAATCTGATGAGAGGATAGGTCAGGCTCAGCGTCTTGTCAAACGCGGAGCCTGAAACGACGAATACGACAAAGTGACTAAACTACGGCAAGAGGACAGAGTTTACGCAAAAGAGGAACTTGAAACCAATTGGTATTAGTATTCATTGTGGCAAAAAAAAATGCGAAACAGAGTGTGCCGGGAGCGAACCCCAACAATAAAGTTACTATCCTAGATGATAGACAAAAGTTTTCTTTAATTTTTGAAAAAAAAAATCACGAAAAAATCTTGAAAACCCATCGAGAAAAAGCAAAATGAAAAAAAAACTAATTTTGAAAATCGTGGGGCGTGGCCGCATTGTGCAAAGCGGCGCGCGGTTTTGCAATGTTGCGGCACACCTCTTCTATGCGCGTCTGCTACCAGTTTGGCGCAAATTTTGAGTAGGTTGTGTCAATATTCGACGAACCGGCAAAACAAATTTATATATGCCGTCGAGAAAATGAAAACGAGAAAAAAATTGGTGGGGGGGGGCATAAAAAAAGCACTATTAGAAATGATTTTAAAACTGATTAAAAAGAACCGAGGCCCAAACACGAGATTCCAGATTGGATTCCAATCCTATACCAGGTATCATGGAGACAATCAATTGGAACCAGGTATCATGGAGCCTATTGGAACCAGGTATCATGGTGACAAATATGAGAGGCGCCGAGAAAAAGATTGCGAGCTGTAGGAGACGCAGAGAAGAATAGAAAGCGGGAAAACATTTTAAGCCGAACTGCTCGGTGATGCTTTAATTGACAATGTGTTTTGCTGAACATGATCTTCCATGTTGATCTCTTGGCAAAATTGGCAATCATTCGCCTGAAAATGAGCAAATCAATTTTGTCCCGAGTACCATCCCGCAGCTCACCAGTGTGCAAATGGAGTGGACGGCCATCTCAAAACCGTTCAGCGTGTTTTCATCAGCAATTTCGCGCTTCTAAAATCAAGTGGATCAGATAATGAAAGGCGCGAGCAAACACACCGAAATATGCGCCGAAATTTGCGAGTACAATTTGTAGTAGTCGCCTTTGATCGCAGCCGATAACGCGTTGAGTTGAGCGTGAAGAGTTTGGCTTTCAGCGAGCGACGAGCATCGCGAGAGTTTCAGTTTAACATTACTAATCAAACTCGAGAAGCCATTGATCGAACTATTCAGGATATTCAATTCATTTCGTGCAAATTGGAACTAAACGAGGTATTCGAATGATTTCGAATTGATTTCGAAACTCACATCCAGCGTTCTATCCGCTTCCGAATTGGCCATTTTTGAGAATCTCTAAATTCAATCGTTCGTTATTATAGCTCAAAAAATCGGCAAAGAAAACTAGGCCACGGCCGCGGTCAAATTGCGACGACTCAAGGCGCGTATGAAAAATGGTCGATGAGTCTCGCAGCGATTGAGGGCCTCCGACGGGGCACCCCCTCCAAAGCAAACTCGGCCACGGCCGCGGTCAAATTGCGACGACTCAAGGCGCGTATGAAAAATGGTCGATGAGTCTCGCAGCGATTGAGGGCCTCCGACGGGGCTCCCCCTCCAAAGCAAACTCGGCCACGGCCGCGACGACTCAAGCCGCCGAATAGTCGATTGAGGCATACTTGCAACGGGGCGGGTCGGGGCGGGACGGGGCGGGTCAGAGTGAAAATTCTACCGACCCGCCCCGACCCGCCCCGACCCGCCCCGACCCGCTCGACCCGCTAATAGATTTTTTGAAGAAAAGTTTATTTAAAAAAAAATCGAAAACGAAACAAAAACAGTGAAAGTTGGTTCAATCAATTTTGTTTGAGGACTTCTGAACAATTTTTGTTGCGAGAATAATTAATTCTACTCAAATAATGTAATTCGAAATTCTTTTTTCGCTAAACAAAGGCCTCGCTGTAAACTTGGAGTGTCGTTGCGGGTCGGCGGGGCGGGGGCGGGTCGCGAATTTTTTGACTGACCCGCCCCGCCCCGACCCGCCTCGCCCCGTGGGGCGGGGCGGGGCGGGTCGATGGCGGGTCGACCCGGGTCGACCCGGAAATTTGCAAGTATGGATTGAGGGCTTCGAATCTCTTTTTCTGTGTACCTCTTTAATCGTTGGCAACGCCCTGGTCACCGCTTCAACATTCGCCCTGATTTTTTGAATTTCCGAATTCACTTCTGCAATTTTTCGCGCTTTGATATTGGTCACCTAGAAAAATGAAAATCGCATCACGCTCTCTCGATTTGATCTACCGCATGCCCAATAAATGCAGTCGTCATTTCATTTCTCTGAATCGCAACTTCCCTGTACGATGCAACCTTCTGAAAATTGTCATTTTGGCTCAATTTCAGCCCTCAAAATCTAGAAAAAATGGCATTTTTTAAAAGAAGCCCCCCCTCCTCACATCATTTGTCAATTTCTCATGCTCCTCTCGATATTTCTGCGCATTCTGTTTCTCAGCGACCAATTGCTCCTTCTTCAGCCCCATGATTTCCGTATTCGATTGCTTCTCAATTCCCCTGAATCGTATCATATTATGAGTTTCGTTTTTTCTCTTTTTTACATTTTTCGTATCTCTTCACTCTCGATTTTTTTCGCGTTCGCTTCTTTCGCCTCCTTCTCATCTTTTCGATTCTGTGCGCCGAGCTCAACGAATTCTTTTTGGCTCTTCGAAATCAGCTTTTCCAGCCCGTCTTTGGTTTCCTTCAGCACTGCCGTCGACCCTTCAGCAGTTTCCTTCATCACCGCAATCTCTTTTTGGCTTTGCTCTCTCATCTGTGGAATTAAATAAAGCTAGTAATCCAAATTTCGTAAATAGTTGTGCGCCTTTAAAAACAAATTTTGTGTGGGGCGGGGGATGTCTGCGTCTCTCTTCGACGCCCACTATCTCTATCTCTCGATTATTATAATGGTTCAGATCTCGCAAAAAAAAAACAAAAAAAAAACCTCGTCTGCGATTTTTTTTAATCTCATTGTTTATCATTCATTTATTCCCAAATTCTTAACTTCTCCTTTTTCTTTTACATTTATTTCACCAATTTAATTTAATGAATTTATGCACCACAATTGCGCCAAGTTACAAGTGCGCTCCATTGAGAGCCACGCGAAATCCACAAACTAGCAACATAATCAAAACCGTCTCACTTCTTTAATTGCAGAATTCGTATTCTCATCGGTTTCCTTCCTAATCATTATGATTCGATTCGTCCCATTCTCGACGAGCTCTTTTTCGACTTGTTGAGCGGCTTCGAGTGTCTTCCGATAATAGCTCAACTGCTTCTCATCGCTCGCCGCGTTCAACTCGTTTTGAATTTTTTTCGTTATTCTGATGGGCGATGAAATGACAGTGAGAGAGAAAAAATGCGACTTACGCGAGTTTTTCGACGTGCTCGTCATTGAGCCTAAGCTTTTCGAGTTTTCTCACGGTTTCACGAGACATTTCGATGGAATTGAATACTAGATGAACCGAAGACGAGCGAGGCCAGTTCAGTTTAAATACGCTCGTCGCCTCTCAACAACAATATTGCTAATGGTATGGTGGATGACGGAAATTGATAACGCGAACTAGCAATCATCAGTGTGTAGATTTCTTTTTTTCGTTTCGAAACCCTCCCACTGACCTTCAATTTCAATTTTCATTCGAATTCCGATTTGAATCGAATCCCGGAAGACGCAACGTGCTTCGAGAATTTGGATCTCTTCGAAATTCCTAACAATCTTCAAAAATTCGAAACTTGATCACAAATTTTTTCAATTTTCTGCATTTTTATGGATCTATTCAGTGAATGTAAATTAAACAAAAACGACAAATTTTCATTATGCAGCGATGTCGTTTTTGTCGCAATAAGCGCTTAATTTTACTGAGGGGTACTGTAGATCGCGGGTCGATATTTCAAAAAAATTGGCACATGCTCCTTGAATATCGATTTTTTTAAAATATTTTTTATATTAAAATTTTCGTATTTTCACTCGTTTTTCGCGGATTTTTTTAAATAATTTAAACTTTTTTTTGAGTAACACTTTTAAATAATAATTTCATATCGTTTTCGTTTTTTTCTATTCCAAAACTGAATCGATTTTATTCGAATATTGTTTTAATTTAAAGAAATTGAATATTTCAGATCGTTCCATGGCTAATTTGGATAGGTTACAAAATAAGAAAAAGGCTATAGTAAGAAATACAATTTAAACAAAAAACAAATAAATGAATTTATAGATTGCACTGCTTATGAAAAAACGAATTATTTTGGTTTGGATATTGAAACAAAATGCATTGAATGCATCTGAAACAATTGAAGTGATCAAGAAACAGAGCTTCGATCTTTTTTGTGAAAAAGTCAACCGATTAGTAGATTGTGGTGGTATTGAGGTAAGGAAACAAGTAAAACAAGTGAATTTCTGCATAAGTAATGTAGAATAAATTAAGTTCGTGACCGGCGTTTCTAACAGCACGTTCATGGAACTTCTGAAGATATGCCGAAATCACGAAGGTCGAATCAATGCGACAATTCGATTGGCAGTTTTCTTAAAATACACAAGAGAAGGTTATTTTTTAGTTGTTTGTTAGTTTTTTACAAGCATTAAAATTATAAAATTTATAGGTATTAGCCAAAATCTTCTTGCGAAGGAAATTGGAGTTTCGCAATCAACGATTTCTCGACTAGTTAGAGATACAATCGAGGATATCGTCCAAGTTGCCGGAGAACAAATCCGATTGCCACAAAATCGAAGAGAATTAATTCGTCTGGAAGAAGGATTTATGAACTCTTCTGATCGAACTCCTCGTCGAAGAATTCCATGTTTTGCCATATTGGATGGAAAGCATTGGAAGATCGAGCATCCTGCGCATACAGGATCGTTAAATTATAATTATAAGTCGTTTTATTCATTTAATTCTCTTTTTTGTTGTGATGCAAACTTGCGTGTTATATATTTGCAAATCTCTGAGCTTGGAGTAAATTCGGACTCCCAAATGTTCAGAGATGGGCCTTTGGGAGCACTCCTCGAAAATGTAGCCACAATAGGTGGATATCGCCCGCTTCCGAATTCATCCATTATAATGCCTCCATTTATAATTGCTGATAACGGATTTGGACTATCTAAGTTTCTTATGCAACCCTATAGGCAGCTTTCCTTGACTCCAGAAAACATGCGTTTTAACGAGATTATGTCGGCAACTAGGGTGAAAATTGAAAATTTTTTTGGTGTGATGCAGTCGAAATTCCAGATTTTCAAAAAAGCCCTTAATATGGACCCGTCTTCTTCGCGCGCCCTCATTGTAGCACTTTCAGTTGTACATAACATATCACTAGGTGCTCCTCCCGATCTTCCACCTGACCACAACTTTCCCTTACTTCAAGACCCATACAGCGATGCCGAAGATCAAAGAACGGCATTAAAAAATTATCTTCTTTATCATGTTTAATGTTTATCTTTTTAAATTTAATTGTTAATATAATAAAAAAAATACTTAAAAATAATTTTCGTCCAACAAACTGAGAGAAGTCGTCTGCTCATTTCTTTTGCCCGTCGGTTGGAGATCCATGATGAAAGCGATCGCTTTCGCTTCGGCTTGAATTTGATCCAATTCAGGCCAATCCGCAACGTGGCTGGCCATGACCCTGCACAATCGGTCAAATTTACATTTGGGGGTTTCCTTGGCTTCCTCATCATTCGATCTAAGCAGCTGCTTGATTTCGCTGTTCGTCTCGCGCAACATACTCATCAGCTCATCGCTGTCTAAAACATACCCATAAAACTCCATTTTTTATTGCTAGAAACCTGATTTTCTTCGTTTAGCAGTCTTCGGACTATCCGAGGGTCCCCGCGATTCAAGCAACTCAATACTTTTATCACCGCATATGAAGGCACTGATGAAGTCCACAATAAAGTGTTGTGGAAACTAAAAAAATTTAATTAATTTATAAAATCCAACAATTCATTTTTAAATACTCACCGCTTCATATCCGTCATCTACAAGTGGCTTTCTCCTTCTCGTGCGCTTAGCTTCTTCACGCTGTTCAGCAATTGGCAAATTTCTTGGCCCATGTGCCTCCACCACGTCTTCGACCAAAGAGTCGTTTCCTTCATACTCAGCGAATGACATGCTTCAAAAAGGAAATATATGCACAAATTAGTAGTTTTTATGAATATCACCAAGTGTTACTCAAAAAAAAGTTTAAATTATTTAAAAAAATCCGCGAAAAACGAGTGAAAATACGAAAATTTTAATATAAAAAATATTTTAAAAAAATCGATATTCAAGGAGCATGTGCCAATTTTTTTGAAATATCGACCCGCGATCTACAGTACCCCTCAGTAAAATTAAGCGCTTATTGCGACAAAAACGACATCGCTGCATAATGAAAATTTGTCGTTTTTGTTTAATTTACATTCACTGAATAGATCCATTACAAACAAAGTGCAACTCGGAGCTCTGCCGATTTGGAATATTTTTTTTACAATGGTCCCATCATGTTCATTTATGGAAATTGCAAAGTCAGATACCTATTCAGAATGAAAAAAAGATTCAATAATGATATTTTTCTTCAAAAAATGTTTATTTAAACAAAAACAACTTCAAATATGGCCTCTTGATTGGTGTCGTGGGTTTTTGGAAGTTTGGCTGTCTCGCACTCATTTCCTTTAAATGGTTAATTGATGGAATAAGGGATGGTGTGATCTGGGTGAGGGTTGAACGCAATTGATTGTATTCCAAGTTGTCAGATGTCTGAAAATTCCATGAAGCAAAAATTACAAATGATTGAATACCATGAATTTTTCGATCTCCCCTTCGACTTGGTAGCATTTGGAAGCAATTTGATGAATCGAATCCTGGCAAAATAGGATATTGTTAGTATAAAATGATACCAACCATTAGAATGGGCAACATTGGATTCTCCGGATTCTGGCTCTGAAGAATTTCCAGCTTTTCGTATTCATCACACATTTCGAGATGAAGATATTCGACGGCTTCCATTAATTGGTCTGTTTGAGACTTGACTAACTTCAATCCGAAATCACTGTATCGATTTTTGAGTTCCTCAACGTATCGATCCAAATTCTGCTTACTGACATTCTCAATTTGCCTTCTAAAATTATTGAATTAAGAATACTTGAATTGAATCAAACCTAAGCGAATCCAGATGTTCCTTCCACATCCTTATTTGGTTTTCTGTCATTATCCGCGCATTAACTGCTCGATTAACTTCCTCCATTAATTCTTTCATTCTTCTCGCATTTTCTTCGAGATTCCTTTCAAATTTCTCCTAAACTCGAATGAATTGATTTGAAATATTTGAAATAAGCAAATACCCGATTTTCTCGTCGCTCATTTTCAATTTGTTCCATTTTTTCTCGATGAGCTTCTTCAGCTTCTCGATTTTGTCTAGAAAAAAAAACATTTAAAATTCTAGAAAAATATTGAAAAAAAAGAGAACCTTTCGAATTGTCGTTTCATTTCCTCCGCTTTTGCTTCAATTTCTTCCTGTCTTCTTCGACTCGCCTCATCTTGTGCTTTTCTTTTCTCCTGACCTCTAAAAATTCCAGAAAAATTTAACAAAAGAATTTCAAAGATAAAAACCAACTCTCTTTGCGTTTTTTCAATTTCTTTATCCATTTCTTCCTTGTGTTTTTTCGCTTCGTCTAAAATTCCAGCAGATCTCTGAAATCACTAAGCATTTTTCATTGAAATCTCTCAAATTCTCACAATTTGATCTTCTTTCAATTTCTTCTCAAATTCCGCAATTCTCGGATCTTCCTCAATTTCTATAAAATTGATTGGTAGTTAGTTTTTCAACAACCAATTAAGTCAATTACCAAAATTAATCAATGGTGGCTCATAGTCGTTCAAAGCGGCCTGTTCTCTAAGTCTTTCGACGAATTCTCTATTCTGTTGTTCTATTTCTTCGATTTTTTTCTGATTCTCCCTAAAATCGCGCGAATTTTGGAAGTTTGCCAAAAAAGAAACCCACAAAAATTGGTTTGTATTATTTTCCGCGGGAATTCTCCATTCATTCGGAAACATTTCAAATAACAATTTCTGAACCGCAATTAATCGATCTAATTAAGCATAATTAAGCATCTTACCCATAATCGACCTTCTTCCTCTTTTAAATCTTGATTTAAGAATCGAAATTCGACATTCTTCAAAAATGTCTCCAATTCCTCGTTCTTTCCTTCCACATTTGATTCTATTTCAAATATTTTTATTTTCAGATCATGTTTCATCTGAAAATTGCGTTGATTTGATTCAAATTTCGGAAAATTCCAACCTGCGGAGAAATTCGCTTTGAAGAATACGACAAATTCAATTTGGAATTAAATTCGATTGAAAGATTCTTCAGAATTCGAATCAGATCATCATTCGACATATTCTCGTTTTGTTCTCTTTCAATCCATTCATTTATATAAATAACTATAGCAGGATCGACCTGAAAATTATGAAATTCTTTATATTATATTATGGAAAAGTGACGAATATGCATTTTGACTGAAAAAATTCAACTAAAAATTATTTAGCTAATTATTGATCGTTTTTATTTATATAAAACAATTAACTTTGAATAATATACAAAATTAATTACTATTACACTTTTTTCAATAAAACAGTATACATAAAACCATAAATTTGCGAAGAAAACACAGCAAAAAAAAATAATTGATTAAATAATTTTCAGTTGAGATTACTGTAGCTAAGGTCGAGATTTGCGACTCGGTGTACGCACACAATGCATAGAATATTGCTGCACTTTTTCACATTCGTCATTTTTCCACAATATCACCCACCGAATTGAAATGTTTAGAATTGACTAATCGAATAAAAATGTTACAGGTGGATTCACCAGAGGAATCTTCGCCACTGACAGTGTAAAAGTAACTCAGGCAAATCAAATAAAATATTTTGAGAATAAAAAAATATTCAATAATAAACTCTAAATTATTTTGAGAAAATCTAAAGTTTATTGATACTTTCTAAAACTTCTTGAGAATCGATAAACTTTAAAATATTTTTGTTAATCTTATAAGATTTTCTAAAATTTATTGAGCAAATTCTAAATTATCTCAATAAATTCTCAAATCTTATAATAATTTCTAAAGTTGATTGAGAAAATTCTAAAATATTATAGACACGTTAGTTTCTCAATGAATCTCAAAATATTTTATTCGATTTACCTGAGAAGAGACGCATGCTCTGTTTCTACCGTAATCCAAATCAATCGATATTTCTGGTTCAGCTTAGTTCTAGCAGCCACCCCATATAACCTTCTCATCTCTCTATCGCGTGCTAATACACACTTAATGTTTGGATTACTGTAGCTACCGTAGTCCAACTGCAATCGCTTAGATATTTCTACAGTACCACCGTAATCCTACAGTATTTCGAAAAGTACGATTTGTTGTTCAGATCTGTCCATTATTTTGATTTCAAAAGAGAATTTCAAATGGGGCATTCGAGCGAATTACAAAATTGTTATCGAGAGGCCTTTTCAAGGCGCATGCGCGTAAATCTACCCACGTACAGTCAGTCGTCGGAGGCCAACTCTAAATACCTTTTTAAATGCCTCCATTTCTAATCGACGAGCTTCTTCTTCTTCTCGATTTTTTCTAGAAAATCTATGGAAATATTGTGAAACGGCAATTAAAAAAAAACCTTCGAATCTCCTCATCTTGCGCTTTTCTTTTCAGCTCTGCTTTAATTTCAGGCAATCTCTGAAATCACAACGCATTTTTCATTAAAACCTCTCAAATACTCACAATTTGATCTTCTTTCGATTTTTTTTCAAATTCCGCAGTTTCTTTAAAAATGATTGGTAATGCTTTTTCAGCTTCTTGGTTTTGTCTAGAAACAAAAACAATTAAAATTCTAGGAAAATATTGAAAAAATAAAAACCTTTCGAATTGTCGTTTCATTTCCTCCGCTTTTGCTTCAATTTCTTCCTGTCTTCTTCGACTCGCCTCATCTTGTGCTTTTCTTTTCTCCTGACCTCTAAAAATTCCAGAAAAATTCAACAAAAGAATTTCAAAGATAAAAACCAACTCTCTTTGCGTTTTTTCAATTTCTTTATCCATTTCTTCCTTGTGTTTTTTCGCTTCGTCTAAAATTCCAGCAGATCTCTGAAATCACTAAGCATTTTTCATTAAAACCTCTCAAATACTCACAATTTGATCTTCTTTCAATTTCTTCTCAAATTCCGCAATTCTCGAATCTTCCTCAATTTCTATAAAATCAATTGATAATTATTTTTGGTAATTATAATTAAGTCAATTACTAGAATCATACGATGATGGTTGTCGCCTCACGAATTCTGTGCTGTCAGCTTCTTGCCTTGTTGAAGCATAACAATTCCCAAAATTTTCCTGAGATTCTCGACTCACCGATCCGCAAAATTCGTGATTCTGAGAGAATTCAAAATTATTATATATATATATTTTTTTTTGAAATTCTCATACATAGAAATTCGTCGTTGTTGAATTAGAAGACGATTTCGAGAATTCGCCACCATGTTCGCTGCAAAAATTTGAATAATTAAATTTTCCGGCCCCGCCCATTATTCCCAGAGTGGTCTCACCGCGATAATACTCACCTGGATTCCTTCTTGCCCCTTTTCAACACATGGTTTTCTATATAGGAAATAAGCTTCTCCTAAAATTCGCAATTCTATTATTCCTTTTAAGTATTATTTCACCCATTCGTTCCTTTCGGATCTAAAAATCTGTTTTTCATTTGCAATTCGTTTTTCGACATTTTCGACAAATTCCTTTATTTCGATATACTCATCGTAATTCTCAAAATTCAGCGAAATTGTATATAATTTCAGTTTCAATTCACGCCTTTCCTGAAATGAGATGATTATCTTTCATTTTGTAAAGGTAGTTCGCCTCGAGGCTAACACCTTCTAGGGTGATCTCGTTGGCCGATGATTCACCAGTATCAAACCGGCCTTCTTGATTAAAACCGAACCACCAGAAGCGCGGTCTGATAAACAGCAAACGCTTCCGGTGGCTGACCAACCTTTCACATTTTAATATACGGTTATTGCAGATCTCGAGCAAGTCAGAGTCAGCTCGAGGCCTCACACGATCTACACCAGCTTCCCCCCCCACGTCTGCCGTACCCCATACGAGCTTCCGGACTTCGTCCGCGCTCGCGCCCTGACTTCAATACAATCTCTTAATGTCATCACGAACTCGTGAATAAACTGGTTTGCATTGAAATCGTGCCTTTGTCACATGGAATACGAGAGGAAAAGAAAGACCCGGCCTCCGTATCGGGGACATCTTTCACTATTTTTTATTCACTAGCTTCTCGTTTCTCACAACCTCTTTCGATAGGATTGGAGCTGTGGACCACACTCCACGCGTCTTTCCGATTTCCTCCAATAATCTTGTCAAAATCGAATTAACTTCCATATTTTTTTCGTGGTTCATCCATTCTTCAATGCACTTTATGACGTACTTTGTCTGGAATATTCGAATTCGATTATCTCGCAATTGCAGGGTTACCTCGGGAAGCCGTCGATCAAAAAATCCGCTCATTATTTCAGTTATCGTTGAAAAATTCATAGAGGCTTCTGAAAAAAAAATTGACAAGCTAAAATGTGCATTAATTTTTGCATGTGGAGAAAATGAGAATTTTCAACAATTTTTTTCGGAATTATAATTTTAATGAGCATCATTTAAGGCATTTTTTGTTGAAATCAAATCGATAAAATGTTATCAATGAGTTGAAAATGTCTCGAATTTCTAAGAGAAATGATGATCACACGGATGAGGAGGGGGTTATTCATTGATAGCCAACCATTATTGGGTCTCAACGAGTTGCAGGCGGGTTTCGTTGAAAGGAAATCATGTTTGGAAATCGCCGAAATTTCCGGAAGAAAACATTTATTTTTAGGTTTGGAATGCGCTTTTCAAAAAACGCAAGTTCGACACAAAAATTCAGCATACAATAATCATTTTAAACAAATTAATTGAGAATGTCGAAAACCGATTATTAATATTTCCATGTCGTCCGCTTATATTGCTAATTGAATTTATCATTGTTGGGTTTGGTTGGGTTAGCTCATCAATTTTTTATATAATACACGAATTCATTGCTAATGGAAAAAAGTGTCGTGCGATTGATAACAACCTCGATGATTTTCAATTGTCAACAACTTGCGAAACGAAAAATTCGATGGTTTCCAACCGGGGGACCCCCAACGAACAAAAATTCGAAAGGTTGGAATGCCAAATACCATATTTCTATCGCATACTGCAGGAATTTTTTTTTCTCGAAAAATCACAAATTTCATAAAAATGCACAAAATGGAAAAAATGACATATGTTAAATGAAAACTTGCGCAACTGTGTTTAGCGTACACAGCAAAAATTTCAGCCCGATTGGCTTTGAGCCAAATTATGCTCAAAAAATTCTAGGCCTACATCAAAAAATAAGTGAAATCGGCTGAACATTGGATATATTTCCATTTTTTTCGATTTGAGACTTCTTTCGAATCCAGCAATTCTACAATGAAAACGTTTTGATAAGAATGGTCCCATTGGTGTGGACCATCATTTGGGTACAAAAAATGATATTTTTTCAAAAAATGTTTATTTAAACAAAAACAACTTCAAATATAGTGCATTGGCCTCTTGATTGGTGTCGTGGGTTTTTGGAAGTTTGGCTGTCTCGCACTCATTTCCTTTAATTGGTTAATTGATGGAATAAGGGATGGTGTGATCTGGGTGAGGGTTGAACGCAATTGATTGTATTCCAAGTTGTCAGATGTCTGAAAATTCGATGAAGCAAAAATTACAAATACCATGAATTTTTCGATCTCCTCTTCGACTTGGTAGCATTTGGAAGCAATTTGATGAATCGAATCCTGGCAAAATAGGATATTGTTAGTATAAAATGATACCAACCATTAGAATGGCCAACATTGAATTCTCCGGATTCTGGCTCTGAAGAATTTCCAGCTTTTCGTATTCGTCTTTCTCTTGGTCTCGCAAGGACTAAAAGGTTATTTCAAATTTCTATGGATCGGTTCGATAATTTTTCCATTGAATGACGTTGAAAATTCAAGGAAATGCGAAACTCATCAAGTCAAAATGAAGCAGTTCACGTGAAGAAACAGCAAAATAAGCATTCATGCGTGGCGAGACCTTTTCAAGGCGCATGCGCGAAAATCTACCCGCGTACATACATATATATCACATGATTACCCAAGATTCTTCTCGTTCTCTCAACAATCTTTCAATGGCTTCGCGATGCGCTTCTTCGGCATTTTGAGCCATTCTAGAAATTGAGAATTATCATCTGAAAATTTGAAAAAAAATAGAAGAAGTGATAAACTTTTCAAATTGCCGCCGATTTTCTTCAATTTTTTCATCGATTTTCGCCAGCTTCTAATAAAGAATGCAATTTTAGGCTTGCTAAATTGAGGGCGATGTGTAATTGGAGTGTTGTACTGATTGGATAAAAAAAGTTTTCGGGAACCCCGTGTAATCCCTTTCAAATCGCTGACTATTCAGAATTTTCGTTAATTTTTTAATTGTTTTAATTCCAATATAAGTTACACCCATGAGGAATCACCAGGGCCTAGGCGAATCTTATTTCCAAATCGGCGGCCATCTCGATCAGTGTTAAAAAATTGAAAAAAAAAAGAAATTTGATTTCAAACAATCATTCATTCATTTTTAAATAGCTTATTGTAAAATAATTCCGTGTCTGATGACGCGAAAAACAATGGCGTTTTGAATTGCGACGTTGGAACCTCGAAGTTGACGTCGGTTTGCGAATTCAGAATCATTTCGACGCTCGGTATCAAATTCGGTGTGAGTTCGCCGATCGAGTTCATCATTCTGTCGTACTCATCGACCAATCGAGAATCGCTTTCCGTTGACGAATTGATTTTCATACTTTCGCCATAGTTGATCATGCTCGATTTCGCGTTCGCACAAATTTTCTCAATCTGCTTCAACCATTTCTGAATAATAAGCTTGTGTAGTTTTTGATCTTTTTTATTTCTCTGTCTCTCACTCTCTCTCAAACACACACTCTCTCTCTCTCTCTCTCTCTCGCTCTCTGTCTCTGTTTCTCCCTTTCGCTCTTATATCTCCCCCTCTCTCTTTGTCTCTATCTAAAAAAAAAAAAAAAAAAAAAAACAAACCCTTAGATTATTTATAAAAGTTTTGTGGTGGCTCGCGCTGAATTGCGACGTCAGCCATTCATATTCGCCGTTGATCGTTCGATGAACATTGAAAAGAAGCTCGAACATCTCGACAGCTTCCCGCAAATTTTGTTGGCTATCGAGCGGCTCATTGATGATGGTCCGATAGCGCATCATACTCTCGCGGCCATCTTGTACTAATTCCAATTCTTTTCTGAAATACGCCACAAATCACGCGCGATTTGAATTACAGTAATTAAAGGCGCATGCCTCACTCACTTCAGTCCCTCTAAATATCGCTCCCAGATCTTCATCGAAATTTTGGCTTCAATCAAGCTATTGAGCTTCACAAATATCGTTTGAATGTCACGAATCGCTCGTTGATTGCCGATTTCGTCATCGCTAAACTATGTGAATTCGAATTTCTTGTCGAGACCCGCATTTTTAGAACTCGAAATATGACGAGAAGCCCCCACCTCAACATTATTTTTCACTTCCTACCATTTAATAGCTACAGTAATCTTTTTTTTTTGAATAATTACTGTAGGGGGAAAATGCCTCCCTAATGCGTACCCCAATGATGGATTCGATTCGGCTGATGATGGAATCCAGCGTCTCCAATAATTGAACATTTCATTAGCGATCAATTGAATCGAAACGGACAAAAGCGTCTGGAACTGAATGCTTGGGTCTCGCCGCGCCTTCAACGTACCATAAGCGATTGGCCGAATTTTGTGCGCCAACTCATGAAAACGATGAACAGAATCGGCAGCATTTTCCAATAAGCCTTAAATGGAATATAATTTGGCGACAGAAAAGCGGGAGTCCTTATTTGGACAACCCTGAACCCAATCACTAACCAAGCTTCGAAGGATGATCATCACACTTAGAACGATTATCAGAATGGCAATGATGTTGTAAATCGGTTCATGGGCTATCGGGTGAATCTCGTCCTGAAACACACACCTTTGGTGAGAAGCGAATTTAAAGGAGCATGGACCATTAGAACACATATCGGCGAAATATCGCGAGAAGTCTCGCTGCGCTCCTTGAGAAAATTGTACTCCTTGCGGAACTCGCTCTGAGCCATTTCAATCAACTGCTGCTGATTCGGAGACCGACAATAACGCGTCTTCAGCTCATTGATCGTCTCAATGTGCTTTCTGAACTCAAAAATTTGACGGTCTCGTCTCGCTTATGGCGCACCTCAATTCCACCATCCGACGACACCATTCATTATTGTTGAATTTGAGACACACATATCGAATTCGCTCGAGTTCACCGCGAGACACTTTCAACTCGTCGCAATTGGTTTTCTCTTGGACTCGGTACAACTTCTGAAAAGCCGAATTCGGCGCCGACACTCGCGTCGCACCTACCCACGAACCGACGCGCTCAACTGAGAAATTTCTACTGGTGGCGCTGATCAGCTGATCGTCATTGGCGTACATTGGCGACGATTTGCGGAGAAGCACAACTTCTGATTATAAAAACTGATCGAAATGTCTTCAACAAGACATCAAATTGATGACAACCAAAATGATAAAAACTATCAAATTCCTTATCTCTCTCTCAAATCATTAGCAATGCGTTTCAACAAAAATCGACTTTTCAATGTCAAACAAAAGCATTTGTGAATTTTCGAAATTCTTCATATCTCGAAACTTGAAGAGGGGGCGGCCGCAAAATAGTCGACCATGGCACATTTCACGTCCGCCATTATTCCATTTCCCTTCCGCTATCATGGTTCCGGTGTCCGCATGGTTCCGCATTTTTTTTCCACTTACTTAGTCACTTAGTCGGTTCGTTCTCTTCGCCGGTTGAGGCGCGAGCCACAGCTTCAGCTTTGGTGTACCACGGTGTAATCAGGCCTTCGTCAGCTTCCGAAGCGAGTCCGACCATCTCATGGGAGGCCTTCCTCTTGGCCGTGTCTTTCATCAGCTCTTCTAGCAACGTGTCCAGCCCAGGTCATCTTCCTCTTGTGATGTAGGGGGTCCTGATCTTTGGACATGATGCTGAAGATCTTTTTCACGTTGTTGGGATAACTCTCCAGCGTGACTAGTTCGGACCCTTTCGGCAAGAGCATTGGTGAAGGTTCAAGTCTCTGATCCGTAAGTCAGCGCTGGCAGACCGATGGAATCGAAGAGCTGTGCTCGAGTTCTGTTACAAGAAATCAAATCGGTGTTCCTAATTCCACTGAACGCTGCCCCAACTGCTCTGCTCCTTCTGAACATCTGATTCTGGCCGAATTCTGATGCGTCTCATTTATTCATTCTAGAATTTCTTCTAGAATGAGAATTGCGAGAGTCGAGTTAAAAAATTTCTTTTTTTCCGCGATCGCTTCAAAACTTTTAAAAACGAGCAAAAAATATTATTATCAAAATTTATTTTTTTCTCATTTTCCGTTTATTCGTACCGGTGATGAATTGGGTGAGGTATGTATGTGTGGTGAATGGTGAACATGGCGAGTAAACAATGAGGTAAACAACAACAAATCAACAAACGAACAATTGTATACATCGTATTAGTAATTTGATCAAAATTTTCGAGAAAATTTTACAAAATTGCCACTGAGTCGGTTTTTCACTTCAAAATTGCACTTTTCACTTTTTTCTTTCGCAAAATCCACAAAATTGCGGCTAAAATTATAATTCTTCGCATTTCCGTTAAAAAAAAAACCCCCAAAACTTTAAGGCTTAAAAAAAATTTCCAAAAAAAATTCAATTTTTCGCAATTTCATAGTCTTTTTTTTGCAAAAATCTCAAAAAACAAACCCTCAATTTTTTAAAAATTCTGAAAATCGTCGACAAAATTTCGCCTAAACGGCGCGTTTGATTCGCAAATCGCGACAAAACACCGAAAACGCCGGCGACGCTTCGACTCGCTCGCGAACCGCCAAATAGAGGTGCTCGAGCTCACGATCCGATATCGATCCGATCCGTTCTTGAAGCCAATCGAACTTCGCACCACTCAGCGGCCACAACTCGCTGGAAAAAGAACTGTCACTGATCCACGGATCACATCTCATTCTGATCCGATGGATCGCATCCACTACCAGCTAACTACCTGACACAATTCTCGGCGATCTTCGCGCTCGGCTGCTTGCCAATCAGCGTCATGAACATCGCATAGGAAGCGATGGATTGCGGTCCGATTTCGCCGAGCATCCGATCGGCGATCCGAACACTGATCCGCGGACTGATCCGAACCGCGTACTGAAGGCGACTCGACAATCCAACGTCGGCCAACTTCTTCTCGTGCGTCACCTTCTTCAATTTCGGCAATTCCGGATGGAACGAGGTGAACGGATGGCCGGATTTCGACGGACTCAAAAATCTGGAAGAGCATCGTCAGCTAACTATATACAGTACTGGCCATAATGATGTTCGCCTAGTGTTTTTTGAGCATAACTTGGCTCAAACGCGGCCGATCGGGCTGAAATTTTTAGCATATCTTTAAAACGCGTTGAAAATGCGTTTGAATGATATCGCATACTGCCGGAAAGTTTTTTTTTTCGAAAAATCACAAATTTCATAAAAATGCAGAAAATGGAAAAAAATGACACAATGTGATTTGAAAGTCTCAGAAACCCGAAAACGTTACAAATGTGTAGAAAACCGGTTTTTAATTCTTCAATACTTTGTTGCGTATCTCTTGGCATCCATAACCGCGTGGCATCTGCGAGTAATCGAGTCCAAGAGGGTGCGGATCACTGCATCGGAATGGCACCCCATGCGGCTTTGAGTTGAGCGAACTTCTCGTCGGCGTTTGATGCACGGAGCCCTCTAACCATGCGTACCAGTTCTTCCCAGAGATGTTCGATCGGATTATGGTCCGGAATCTGCGATGGCCATGCAACAATATCAAGTCGGCGTCGCTGGAACCAATTCTTTGCATGTCCAAATGTGTGCTTAGAGTCGTTGTCTTGCTGGAAAACGAATGCACGTCCGACGTTTGCCAATGCCCAAGGTCTCATTGTGGTTTCCAGGATATCCTTGTACTGGTACCGATCCATGATTCCATTTACACGTCGAAGCGGTCCCATGGCGGTGTCGGAGAAGCAGTCCCATCCTCTGCAAGATGCTTCACCGTTCGGAGGTGGTACTTTGGCATGAATCTGGCTCCAATAGGTCGACGAATCCACTTAATTTCATCACTTCCGAACATGTTGAACATCGATTCATCGCTATAAATGTGTTTGACCCATTCACGTCGTCCCCAGTTCAGATGATCCTTGCACCATGCCACCCTTGTCTTTCGGTTCTTCTCACTGATCAATGGTTTCTTCACCGGGCGTCTTCCATGAAGTCCATTCTCCCCCAAACGACGTCTAATTGTTCTTCTGGATGGCATTGAAGCATTTGGCGTTGCCACAAGAATCTGGATATCTGCTGAAGTCCGTCTAGGATCTTCTCTTGAAGCCCGACAGATGTTCCGATCTTGGAGCCTAGTAGTTTTGCAAAGTCTACCATGTGATTTCTTAACAAAAATGCAGCCCAATAGATTAGAAATAGTCCAGAAAGAATAAAAAAGCGTAAATTTTGTCTTAATCATTGCAAAACTTTTTGGATTCCTCTTCGGGAGCACAGGAACTGCTGAGCCAGAAGGCTTCTGGACGACCCAGTCTTATGACCGTTGTCGATCGCTTTTTGAACTTCCGCCGTGAAATTTTTCTTTCCAGAAGGTTGAAAAATTACTAAAAACATGTTTCATGTTCAAATTTCAAATAAAAACATTTTTATGGACAAAGTTTGAAAAAAATGAAAAATTGGTAAAATCGAAAAAAACAAAAAAAATTTAAAAAAATTAATTTTTCAACATGAGGCAATTTTGTTGTTTCCAAGATTGCGCAACTGTGATTAGCGTTTACAGTAAAAATTTCAGCCCAATCGGCAGCGTTTGTGCCAAGTTATGCTCAAAAAACACTAGGCGAACATCATTATGGCCAGTACTATATATATATATATATATATATATATATATATATATATGCGTGTGATGACACTGAATTCATATTACTCGAGATTGAAGAGTTTGTGGAACACCGCCGAATGTCGGCGATGTTGATGCGAGAGGAAGTTGAGGCGCTCGTCGGAAGCGCAGAGGAATTGCGAGAGGATGCTGCAAAAAAAAATATACACATAAAATATGAAAAATTCTTGTTTTCACAATTTTTTCGCTCTCAAGAAAACCCCAATGCTGGTCTTCTTTTTTTCGAAAAATCCGATTAGCACTATATTTGGCGAACCGGAATAGTGCATTCAGCCAAAATCAAATCAATTACCCGCAATTGAGGAATGTAAACAATTCCGCTGGTCCGTAGGCGAAAATCGTGTCCAAATCCTTCTCGGAATGATGCAAAATCGCGTGTTGCTAAACAAAAAACAATGTATAAATCTTCCATTTTCGCAAAGTCAAAAAAAAAAGAATTCCCACCCACCATCATTGCCTCCATCACCGATTTCTGGGCCGTCGACGTCGGCAACACCGTCAACAACCTCGGCCGCCGCTGGTCGTGCTCCAAAATGCGAATCGGCGACGACACATTGTCCCATTCTTTGGCTAAAAATAATCAATTTTTGAAGCAAAAAACTTTTAGCCACCTAGGGGACTCGAACCCCTGACCTTAAGATTAAAAGTCTCACGCTCTACCAACTGAGCTAAGGAGGCCACGTGGCGAGCGGTGCCAACGCATTATATAAAACCAGCGCGCACAACAATTTCGCAATGGAGCGCGTTTTTTCTCGCCGAAAAAAAAAAAAAAAAGAAATTTCTTGCCTGAAAACAGCAATTTCCTCGGAAATCGGACGGTCTTCTTCCTTCCGACGCCCATCAGCGTGTAGATGTCAGCGCGAAACGCGTCAACATTCGAGAATTGCGCCGCGAATTTCTGGAACCAACAAAAAAAAATGAAACTTTTTTTTTGTTTTATTTTTTTTTGGCATGGCCTCGAAATTCCCAAAAGAGCGCATGTCGAAAAATAAAAACGATGAATTCTGTCAAATTTTCGCCTCAAAATTTTCGATTCCATTAAAAAATTCAAATTTTTTCGCTCTCATCAAAAACAAAAAAAAATTTTGGCCTATTATTCGTCGAATAAATAAATAAAAATTGAAGACGGCAGCGAGCACACGATAATAAAAGCGATGCTCGCCAATAATAAATCATGGGTCAATTAAAAGATGAACGAGCGAACGAGCGAAACGGACCCATCAATTATTGGGAAGGGTCCGAACAATTTCAAACGGGGGTCAAATGAGGTGCTACAAAAGTGACAAATGGGGCGAAAAATGAAGAAAACGCACATTTTCGACATTTGAAAAAAAAACCGAGAAGAAAGGAAATCTCTGAAATTAAATATTTCCATTTTTGAGGCAAAAATTAGTAAATTCCAAAAAAACTTTCTCAATTGCTCCATTTTAAGCAAAAAAAAACTTTTCTTCAAAAACTGAATCCCTATTTTTAAATTTTAAGCCAAAAATCTGTCAATTCCAAAAAATCTCTAAATTTTTCCATTTTTAAGCCAAAAATTTGGCGATTCAAAAAAAAATCTCCCCTCTCATTTTTCATCTGCCGACAATTTTCCGGGTCACAAAAACGAATCTCGACTTCCCAAATTTCGAAAATACTCTCGTCACTACGAAATTGACACGTCCCGAATAATTTATGCATGGTATACAATGAGTTAGGAAGGGGGGGGGGTCCAAAAGAGTAATTCATCATATCCTCGCGCATCCATCAAAAAATGTCCCAAATATCGGTCAAGCTCATCTGCGGACATTCAAAAATTGCCGAATTTTATCAAAATTATGAAATTGCAGGCCAAAAACTCGCATTTTCGCCATCTGCGGACATCATTCCGGGTCTCGCCCCACAAAACAAAACGAGTTTTGCAACAAAAAAAAGAACCATTTTAGCTCGGTGCTTTCATTTTCGTTCCGACTTTTTCAAACATGGAAGGTCTCGCCAATCTGCGGACATCATTCGGGGTGTCGCCACAACAAAAATCTTCTCATTTTCTTCTATCTGCGCACATTTCATGAATGGTCCTCAATTTTTCCAAACCCAGGTGAAAAAAAAATGAAATGGAAATCCCCCTATCTGCGGACAACCATCCGGGTCACAAAGAAAATAATGGCTGCCGCGGCAACATTATTTGGAATGCCGATTGAGAAATCTCAATCTACGGACCTCATTCAATTCAAATCATCTGCCGACATCCATCGAGGTTTCAATATGCCAAAATACAATGTCCAGCCGCACTCCTCGGCGGTTCCAAGAAGGACGAACGAGACGAATGCCACAAGACGAGTGGGCGTGGCCACGACGAGCAATGGGCGGAGCATTAATTGTGTGCTCTCATTTTTCAGCACAAACCTCATTCCACCCCGACGCCGTCAACCATCTTCTCAAATGCTCGACTAGCCGACGACGACGACGCAATAACAACAATGAACTCGGCACAGGTAGATCAAAATTTTTTCGTTTTGGAAAAAAAATGATATCTGAGAGACGCCCCCCCCCTCACAAATCCAAGGCTAACTCTATTTTGAAACAATTCCAAAGAGAATAAGAAGACGTCGAGAAGAAGAAGAAGAGAGAGAGAAACCGAGAAGGGGGGGGGGTCGATTCTCCCCTTTTCAACTCCTCAAAAATCCGATTTGTCGCAATCTCTTTCGAGCCGCCTCAAGAAAAAAAAAAGTTCAACACCATCCGCTGGGGACCATCAATTGCGATCAAATACTATATTCTATGCATATATTGCAGAACACCAACATCGTCCTGCTCCTCTATTTCGTCTACTCATCATATTGCACACACAACATCGATTTCGCCGTCGAGGATGTGCCGTTCAATTCGAATACCACCAAACGCCATATGCATCGATTGCGACACGCGAGAGGTCGGCCAAATTGGCGATGGAGCGCGTTTCCATCAACATAGATCAACGCGCATTAGCAATGGAGCGCGTTAGCTCAATTTAGCTATTATATTGCTATCAATTTTGTAACTAAAAACCTATTCCTCGAAAACCGGCATTAAAACGCCCTTTTCAAAGTAGATCAACAAAATTCTCAACGGAGCGCGTTTGCTCAATTTTGCTATCTATTTTGTTGCTTTCAGTTTACCACTAAAAACCTATTCCTCGAAAACCGGCATTAAAGCGCCCATTTCAAAGTAGATCAACAAAATTCTCAATGGAGCGCGTTTCACACTACGTAGATCAAAACCCGTCGAAATCAGTAAACTAAAAACCGACCGAGTGAATTATTGCCGACAAACTCTCATACATTATGAATGAAGCCCTTTTTCAAGAGCGATTCATTCCAACAACCTTCAGCATGCATGCGCCTTTAAGTGACTACAGTCGTCAATGCATATTTCCAGGCGCCCATCCCTACATTTCAGCCTCGTCTACCGTAACCAACCGGAACGATCGAATCGAGTCGTTTTCGCTGAATTGCCCACACGTCGCCGACGCCGACAAAAAAGAGGTATTGGAGGAATTGAATCAAACCATAAAAAATTGGGACCACCCAACACATCCTTCAATTTCAGATCAGCATCGAAATCGTTTGGTCGCTCAATGAGACAGTTTGGCTGAAAATCGAGGACGGCGTTCGAAAGGTCATCAACGGCGAGTCGACATTCATCAAGCGGAGAGTCGCAGGTTCGAGTCCGCTCCCCCGTAAGCGGCGTTGATGGGGGACCACTTGAAAACAAAAAACGAGGGACCATCGATGTATTATTAAATGCAAAACCTGGGAAACACGCATTCTTGCACTACTATGCAACCAATTGTTCGCCACCCAACGACACAAACTTTAAAGGAGCATGCGCTTTCGAAAAAAATTTTTTTGATCTACTCTTCATTTCGAATCAAACAGTGTCTTTAATTTGCTAAAGTCACATGTATCGATTAGAAAATCCAATGCGCCTTTAAATAAGACCAACAATTTTCTATGCGCCTTTAACTGATTTATTTGATCTACCAATTTTGGGTCGTCATGGGTCCCAATGAGCCTTTAAGATTCGAAAACTGCGAATTAAAAAAAAAGAGAAATCCGTATTTTTAAAAGCCTTCTTATTTTTGTGATCTACCCGTCTAGGTCCCGTCGCGAAGCGAAACGCGATGCGCCTTTAATATACAACACCAAAAATTCGCCGAATTTCGATAAAAAGTCTTTCGAAGCATATTTGATCAACCCGAATCGAATCGTCTAGGTCCCGTCGCGAAACGCGCCTTTAAAATCGTTAAAAAAAAATTGTTGATGATCGATTTTTCGCAGGCAAAACGGTGATGCGAATGTTTCTCAACAACGCTCGCTACATGTTCGACTACGACGAGTTGACCGGCGATTTTTCGATGGAAATCTCGCCGGTGCTGATGACGGCCGACGTCGGCATCTGGCAATGCCACGTCATCGTACGCACCGGCGATAGCACGCACACGTTGACGAGTCGACGACGAATCAGACCCGTCGAGGTGGGCACATCATTTTTCACCAAAAAAAAATGGCGACAAAAAAATTTTTGGCACGAAATTTTTTCATTTTCTTAAAATTCAATTTTGCAGATTTTCATCCAAAAATTCGTAATTTAATGTCAAAAAAATTGCAATTTTTGCGAAATTTTCACATTTTCGAAATTTTTGGCTTTTTTGCCGATTTTTATCTAAAAATCCATAATTTAATGTCAAAAATCGCTTTTTTTGCGAAATTTCAACATTTTTGTCAATTTTTGTTTTTTTTTGCCGATTTTCATCGAAAAATACGCATTTTAATGTTAAAAACTTGCATTTTTTGGGAAATTTTCACGTTTGCGAAATTTTTGGCAGTTTTTTACAGATTTTCTTCCAAAAATCCGTATTTTAATGTTAAAAATCACAATTTTTGCGAAATTTTCACATTTTCAAAATTTTTTTGGCAGTTTCTTGCCGATTTTCATCTAAAAATCCGTATTTAATGTTAAAAAATTGCTTTTTTTCGAAATTTCAACATTTTTGTCAATTTTCGACAATACTTTATCAATTATTATGCAAAAATCAATCTTTAGAAGTTTTTAGGCACAAAATCACAGTTTTTGGAATATTTCAAATTTTTTGGTCAATTTTCATCTAAAAATCCATATTTTTATGATTTTTTAGACAAAAAAAAATAATTTTTTTTCGAAAATTTCGGCGATTTTTTGTCAATTTCTTAGAAAAATTTGTCAGATTTTCAGATTTTTAGTAAAAACTATTTTTTTTTAATTTCAATATTTCAGCATTATATTACAAAAATATCTCAAATTTGTGAATTTGAAGCCACAATCTCGATTTCTGGCAAATTTCATCATTTAAATCAGGAAAACTCCTGTTTTAAAATTCCCAAAAAAAAGTCGGGACCATAAAAAACGATTTTCATCTAAATGGTTCATTTCAATATCAATTTTTTCCAATTTTCTACAATTTTTGCGCAAAAATCCTCAAAAATCGTCAATTTTCGTGTTGAAAATCTCCAAAAAACTGCGATTTTTCGACAAAAATCCCGCCAAATTTGAGCCAAAACTCCGCCTCAATGAAATTCTTCCCAACTTCCTTATAAGGCGTCTCACGCGAAACCCAATTACCCCCCACTCAATTGATTCAGGCGGCCTCAAAAACAAAACCGGCGACGAATTTCAAACGAGAAGCATCGACGACGACGAATGGTAGATCAAAACTGGTCAAAAAAACGCGTTTCGCTCATTTTCTTTTTGTTTCAGACGCGCATTTCGTCGAATTTCAGCCGGCGCACGAGAAACGCGACGAACGCTCGATGGCGTCAGCGAATCGTCGCGTCGGATTCGCCGCGTTCTCGCGAAACTCCGACGACATCGTCTATATTACGAGGTCTTTCAAATTTGGCCAATATCAACAAAAACCTTGCAATTATTCAATTAGCCTAATTGACTTGCAGAAAACTCGACGACGCCAATTCGATCGTGTTCGCCCGAAACGACGGACCACGAAAATCGCGAAGCAAACTCGACAACGAGGCGTCGTTGGAGAGCTTGCGGCGTCTCGAAGCTCAAATCGATTACGAATTAGGTATATAATTGAAATTGGTAGATCAAAACTCAAAATTGCTTCACATTTTCAGATATGAACGACGCCGAGTCGGCCTATTCGCGCTATTTGAGCCCCCCCAGCGCGATATTCTTCAACACCTCGCCGACGCCGACGACGACATATCTCATTCTCATCATTTCACTTGTGCTTCATTCATTAATTATCAATAATTAAATTGCGAGGGGCGTTTCCTCAAAAATCATGCAAATATCATCGAAAATTGATGTTGATTTCGAAAAAAATTGCAAAATTTTTTGCTGTCGTCAAATAAAATGCATTGTCCGCAATTTTCGAATCAATGACGAAAAACCCCGGCGGCGAACATTGGGAATCATGCAAAAAAAAAAAAAACAACGGCACGTTTTAATAATTGTCGTCAAATAAAATGCATTCGGTGTAAACACGCATTTGTGAGAAAAAAAATGTTTCGAAAATCCTCAAAATTCGAAAATTCACCAATTTCTAATAAATGGTCCAATAAGGGACCCAATCGAATTTGAAGTGGTCCCCAGAATATATCGCAATCATGGCACTCCCCGTTGGTGCGCAAAATTCGAAAATTTCATCAAATTTCTAAAATTGATCCAACTAGGAAGATTTTTTCATTCAAAAATTGAGAATTTCGCCAAATTTGTAATAATGGTCGCTTGAATTCGAATTGGTCCCCATTTCCACCTCAAAATTCTTTTGAATTTTTTTCCAATTCCGACGATTTTTCTCTCAAAAAAAGAATTTCAAAAACAATGGTCCCTTTTCGCCAATAATGGCCCCTTGAATTTAAATTGGTCCCTAGAAACCATCTTTGCTCATTTCGCCAATTGCTAGAAAAAACCTAAAAAAATTGATATAATTGGGGTCTCTGATTGGTTGCCAAAAATTTGCCCAATCGATTTTCGTGGTCCCTAGCCGTTTTCAAATCAATCTCTCTTCGTTTTTTTTTTGACAATAAAAATTCCAGCATACCTTGGCGGTTTTCGAAAACGTGTGCGAACTCTCGACAATCACCAAACTGCGCACATTTTTGCTCAATAATCGCTCGGCGAATTTCGTCGAATGGAAATTGAAGAGTGTGACGTCGACGTCGGACAGCGACGTCGACAATGATGAGCACTGTTGAAGGCCGCCCATCAGAACGCCGAAAATTTGCAACATTTTTCATTTTTTCCGTTTTTTAAGCAAAAATCAACTTTTTCTCTCTTTTTTTTTCCAAATTTTTCGATAAAAATTTCTTAAATTTCAGAAATCTTAATATTTTTTGAGAAAAAAATCATTAAGATTTAATTTTTTTCACCAAAAATTCTTTAAAATTTAAATTTTGATAAATAATTTTTATTAAAAAATGTACAGGGTGTCATTTAAGTTCCCGCACAACTTTGAAGACGTATATTTCTGAGACTAAAAGTCCAAATCAAACGAGACTTGAAATATTTTTTATCTATAGTATAACATATAATTTTATATTAACTCTTTTCGATTCGGCCTTCTTTCGGAGCTATGACTTCACAGAGACGCTTCGGGTAGGATGCGACTGTGGTACGCAGATATTCGATGGAAAGATTGTCCCATTCCGCCAGTAATGTCTTCTTCAGAGCCTCTACACTTGAATGGGGTTTTGCGTTGACCTTCTCCTGCAAGACCCCATCACGGGAAAGTCAAGCTGATTCAGGTCTGGGGAGCAATCAGTCCATTCGGATGACTTGATAAAGTCGGGAAAGTGGGTCTGGCACCACTCCTGAGTAGTTTTGGCATTGTGGGCGGGTGCTCTGTCCTGTTGAATGACCCATTTCTGCCCACCGAAATGCGTTTGAGTCCAGGGCATCACATGCTTCTTTAAAATGTCCCAAACGTAGACTTCTTTGTTCATTTTCACCCCCTGATCCACGAAATCCAGGGGGCACCTCCCGGTTGAGCAGATGGCACCGAAAACCATTACACTGGCAGGATGTGAGGCTCGATTAATTGTTCTTCCTTTCTCAGAAGCTTGCTGGGATGTCTGGGCAAGTACTCAATGGTTTTGTGAGTAGAATGCCGTCTCCATAGTGAATAGCTTCTCGTCGGAGAAGACAGTGACGAGATCTTGTCCAGACCGCGTGCGAGCAAGAAGTCGTTTTGCTTTTTCGAAGCGTCTCTGCTTGTTGACGGCCGATAGAATTGCCGCTTTTTGGACACGATATGGGGTCAGTACAAGCTTCGTTTTGACGATTTGTTCCAAAGCGAAGATGCTCATTCCCACGTCTGACGCCATCTTTCTCATGCTCCTGTAGGGGTTTCGCCTGATCCTCGATTTGACGGCGTTGATCTTCTGAGGAGTGGTTACCGAGACGGGTCTTCCTTGTCTGAGACGGTCACTGGTCGTATTTAGCTCCTTGAAACGTTTGAAGTTGTCGTAAAGCGTTCTACGAGGCACACCGAGGCTTTGAATGATGGCTCTCGGGCTAACATTTTGCTTATGAAGTTCGATAATGGAAGCGCGATGGATGTTAGCCTTCGCCATTTCTCGGAAACACATCCGAATGAAGTGAAACTTGGAAAATAAGTAAAATATACCTTATTTAACAAAAATAAATTGTATTGTTTCACGAAAAGTGCGACAGCCAAGCTCTTCATGACGTCAAACTTTTGTGCGGGAACTTAAATGACACCCTGTATAAAATCAATTTTTCTCAAATTGTTGGAAATATTCATCAAAAAGCTCATATATAATTTTGATGAAGTTTTTTTTTTCTGAAGCCGGGAGGCCATTACGAAATTGGTTGAAGAATAATAGTTGTTACTTATCGTTCTTACATATACAATGTTAGATTTTAATTTTGAACTTTGCCAATTCTGTTATCTTCTTGTTTCTAAATTTTAATTGTGTTTTGCAACTCAAGTCTATTAGTCACTTAAGCGTAGGCCCGGGGAGTGTGCTCGTTAGCACTGTTCAGACACGCCCATTGATGCAATATTTGTGATTGTTACAACGATGATCAATCATTATTAACATTGTGGCTCGCTATGAACTATTGCTTTTTCTATTTGTATTTTTGTTAGTTTTATAACCTACTTATATTTTATTCTTGCCTCGTTTATTAAATAAAAGGTTTAATTACCCAAGTTTGAGGTGTCAAAACAAATTGAAAATTTTTGATATTTTTCAAGACATTTGTTGTGTCCTTGTGAACGAGCCAACGTAGAGAATATATTTATTAGACACAACTATGAATAACTGATTATTGAGCGTAAAAAGGGGTTTTTATATCGCTCCTATGAAACGTGTGCCACGTGGTGTGTCACGTGACGTGTCGAGGTCACGGCTCCAACAACATTAAAAAAAAATTCAATTTTTCAATGAAATTTTCGACAAAAAATAATAAAAATCCTAAATTTTTGACATTTTCGCAAAAATTTTTTCAAATCTCAAATTTTCAAAGAAATTTTCACCAAAAAAAAATTGTTAAAATTCAAAATTTTTGATATTTTCATCAAATTCTATTAAAATTCTGAAATTCTGCTCTTTAAAAAATGTTAAAAATCGACAAAAATTCTTATTTCCCTTCATAATTTCCATAATTTTGTCGGTTTTCAGATCAAAATTCAATTTTCCCGCGCAAAATTGATAAAATAAATTCAGTTTTAACAAAAAATATGATGAAAATTTCAATTTTTGGGCTCAAAATTGCCAAAAAATTTCAAATTCAACAAAAAAAAAGCCAACTCACTCAAAGCCGATTTGATGGGCGCGTGACCGTCGGATCGATTTTCTTCAATAATCTAAAAAAACAAATTTAGGGACCATTAAAAATCGAGAAGGACCCAAATAACCAGGAGGACCATGTCATTTCAATATCTCTACTTCGCACATTATGGTCCCTAAATTCTCCATACCTCATTTCTCCGCGATTTTTTCTCAATTCTCTCCTCGTCGATCTCCGCGCGCGGTTCGGGACCAAATTGCTCGCCGGCGGCCCATTGGTCCGGATCGAATATCGGCAATGACGATGATGGTCCCACCGGTAGGGGACCATTGAGCTCAGACGAATCGCGAGCTCCACGAAAAATCGTCGGCGTCAATATTCGCAACGATTTCAGCATCGTTTTTTGGTTTGTTGAGAGCGACGAGAGAGCACGGTGAACGAGGAGGGCACAGAGAAAATTTTCTAAATTTTCACCATTTTTGCGTCAAAAAATTCGCTCAAAAATATCGAAATCGGATTGCAAAAACCCGCAAAAACGAAAAATCAATAATAAAATCAAAAATTTATCGAAAAAAATGCGAAAATATGCACAAAAAACGCGGCGACCAGCTCAAATCGGCTCGATTTCCATATTAAGCGTGTATCCTTCGTCCTCATCCGTCATATTCGTTATGATCTCATGGATTTTTCGTCGTTTCTCTTCATAAGCCGCCTAAAATCGCAAAAATTTCCATTTTTCGATTAAAAATCAATAATTCTTGTCAAAAAATTCGATATTTTTCCTTAAAAACCCAAAAATTCGCAATTTTTTTAAACCAAAAAATTGAAAATTTAACATTTTTTTCCAATTTCTTTTCATTTTCACACCAAATCTTTTAAAAATCGTAATTTTTCATCAGAAATGTTATTTTTCTTCAATTTTTATGAAAAAATCTATTAAAAAATATTAAAAATTTGAATTTTCAGCAATTTTCGACTAAAATAATCATTTTTAATGTTTTTTCTTCAATTTTCTCGTCAAATCCTTCAAAAATCCTATTTTCCTTCAAAAATTCTCAATTTTCTACTATTTTATTGCTTTTTCACAACAATTTACCACAATTTTTTCATCTCAAAGCTTTCCCTTCATTTTTCATTCAAAATCCATCATAAATCTCCCCGAAATATCAATTTTCAGCAATTTTTGACAATTCCATTATATTTTTTCACGAATTCTTTAATTCTTTTCATTTTTCATCAAAACCTTCAACAATCTCAAAACAAAAATTCAATTTTCTTTTATTTCTCAGCTTTTTCACAAAATTTTCATCATTTTCATCAATTTTGATTCGAAATTTTTCAAATTTTCTCATTTTTTGGTCTCTTTTCTCAATATTTCATATTTTTCTGGGTTCCAATTATTCCCTCAAGCTCAAGCTTTTCCTTCAACCATCCAATTTGACCTACCGTAATCTTTATCCTATTCCTCGCTTCATAAATCGTAACACTGCCTTCCAAACTCGGTATCTTGACAATTTTCGTCGTCTGATCCGACAATCTCACCTCAGTGAACTCCAATTTTCTCTATAATTAGGGTGTGGTAATCAAAAAAATAATTGCATCACTCACTTTCTTCAAAAAACTCGTCAATTGCGCCGACGTCACTATTCCGTTTCGTTTTTTCCGCTTAAACCCATCGTTGGGAATCGGCTGCAAAATTGGCGTCCAATTAATTAATTAATTAATTAATTAGCATACCAAAAGCTCAAATTGATTATTATAGCATGAAAGATGGCAATTGATTGGCGCCACCGCCAAATTTCTATCGATCGGATGCTTCATAAACTTGAGATTTTTCACAATCTACAATCAATTATGCTAATTACCTTGTAATTAGCTGTTCATTTAGTAATAATTAAAACCAATTAAGAGTAATTAACCTCTAAATTTTAAATTTTGCAATTAAAAAAAAGCTTACATCCGGATGGACTTTGACCTTCACATTCATTTCCTTCTTCTTCGTCAATTTCGACAAAATCATCGGCTCATCAAACATTATCGATGTCACACCACCCTGTAATACTACTAATTAACGGGTAATTAAATAATTAAGCGAACCAATCCATAATTAAGCATCAAATCGCTTCGATTCGGCATCAACGGCGACATAAATTGAGGCGGCGAGATGACAAACTGCAAAATTTAAAAAAAAATCGCAATTCTCAAAATTTGCGTTCAGTTAAATGAAAAATCACAATTTTTTGTGGAATTTCCAAAAAAATTGTAAAAAAAAAAAATTGAAATTATCACAAATTTTCACATTACTCTTTAAAAAATCTCCATTTAAATTTAATTTTTTTCAAAAAATTATTTTTTTTGTGTAATCTTTTTAAGTTTTTCGCATAATTTTCAATTCTCTTCATTTTTACGCGAAATCCTATAAATATCTCATTTTTCAAGCTATTTCCATGAAAAAAAAAATCTTCAAAAATCCAATTCCTTCAATTTTTCAACAAAACATTTTTGTTCCGCTTTTTTTTCTCGCACAAAATCTGAATTTAAAAAAAAATGTTAAATTTTCAGCAAAAAATCGCAATGTTTACAACAAATTGACGAAAAAAAAACGATTTGATTTTTGTTTTCACCCATCTGCGGACATACTCCCGGTTTGACATCGGCCAAAATCGCATGAAGCTCGTCGAAACTCAAACGAAAGTCCATCGGGCAACTCATGAACGCGATCGGCAACTCTTTGAACGGATCGCGAACATCATCGAACGCGAGATCGGGATCGGTGAGGATGACGGCGTTGCGCGAATCCCATCCCCACACCTCGACCATATGAGCGGCGTCGCCGATTCGAAGCGTCGAATGGCCGGCGAACATCTGAAACAAAACAAAAAAAATAGTCGGCGTCCGGCGACTGGCTGTGGGTAGATTTACGCGCATGCGCCTTGAAAAGGTCTCGCCACGCGTGAACTGCTTCATATTGTCTTGATGAGTTTCGCATTTCCTTGAATTTTCAACGTCATTCGATTGAAAAAAATTATCGAACCGATCCATAGAAATTTGAAATAACCTGTTAGTCATTGCGAGACCATTTCGAATGACGCATTCTCGTAAATCTACAGCAGTCGCCGGACGTCGACTATAAATATATGAAATTCTAACAGAAAAATTTTAAAAATATCAAATTTTCGAGAAAATTCATTCTGAAATATTAAAAACCATCTAACCTCGAAAAAATTGCCAAATTTTGAGAACCTCGTCCCTTTAATTTTATTTCAAAAATGAGACTCCCAAAATTTTTTGCACAAAAATCAAATTGAAAGGGTGTCCAATTGAAAATAAAAATGCTGAGCAAATTAGCGAAAAAATTTTTTCCGCTTCTTCTCCGTTTTTTTATTTAATTTTCTTAGCATTTCTCTATAAATTTCATCAAATCGCCTAAATTTCAACAAAAAAAACCCACAACACACGGCGTTTTGTATTCTTTCGAGAATTCGCCATACAACGAATCATAAATTTTCAATCGGCCGGCTTTCACTAGCTGAAAATCAAACATTAGTGGAATTTTCTCAAGTTTCGCGCTTGAAAAAAATCACAAATTTGCCGACTCGATAAAACCGCAACGCGACCGCGACGCGCCAAAAAATCACCAAAATCATTTTTTTTCAATTTTCGTCCATGTTTCGCGCTTGGAAAAATCAAAAATTTGCCGACTCGAAAAAACCGCAACGCGATTGCGACGCGTCTAAAAACCCCCCTATATCGGCTTAAAAACCGATTTTTCTTTTTACTAAAAATGCCCAAATTCCTACCGCTGAATGCCTAAATGGCTCTTCGGGCTTATAAACATTATTCTGCCAATGCGGCGACATCCATTCCGCGCTGATGCTCGCCAATGCAATCGAGTTCTTCGCTTTCGGCGATATCAGATAAATCGGCGTGTCGATCGAGATGCCCGGCTGCAATTCGCCACAATTTGTGCACAAAATAGCCGTAAAAAATCAATTTTTTTATATTTTCAACATTTAAAATGCAATTTTCGCCGAAAAATTCAAAAATTTGCTTTATTGGATTCAAAATTTCCAATTTTTGTCGTAAAAATTCGAATTTTCATACATTAAATTCAATTTCAATAATTTACCGTCTGATCGATAACATCCGAAACGGCTTCCAGTAGATCATAGACGCATCCGACGCTGCTGATCGGCAACAGAACATTTCCGCCCCTTTTAAGGGTCGTACTCACAATTTCTCGGACTCGATGGTACACATTCTGAAATGTTTTTTAAAATCACAATTTGCGGTAAAAAAAAATCAAAAAATTTTTAGTGAAAATTCAAACCTTTTTCATAAAAACTAAACAATACCACATTTTTAATTAAAAAATTGCACTTTTTTTCAAATTTTTGTCAATTTTTTTTGTTAAAAATGAAATTTCTAATATTTTGTGTTGAAAATTTGAAAATTGTCAATTAAAGAATGTCAAAATCATAGTTTTCTCAGGTAAAAATACATTTTTCAAATCATTTATTTTTTCAAGCTTCAAAAATGAAATTTCTTATATTTTATGTTGAACATTTCAAATTTTTCAATTAAAAAATTCAAAATTTCAGTTTTCCACGATAAAAATCCATTTTTCAAAATTTTTGAGTGAAAAAACCTCAAATTTTCCTGAAATTTTTTATTTTTTAGGTGAAAAAATGTCAAAATTAAAAATTTTTCTCAAAAAAAAAAAAAAAAGCATCAAACCTCCAACGTGATATCAACTATACGATTCATCGACGATATGAGCATATAATCACAAGATCGGAGGCCTTGAGTGTCCAACGTCTTCACATGCGACAAAATTTTGCTTGAAGCTGACAAATAGCCGACCTGAAATGCTAGAATTGCCAAAATTTGATCAAAAATTTTCATTTTTTTCTCCAAAACGTCCCCTTTTTAATAGAAAAAGTCAATTTCATCAAAAATTTTAATTAGGCAATTCGAATAAATTCATCAAAAATTGAATTTTAAAAATTCGATGTTCTCTAAAATTGGTAATTAAAAAGATGATTAGCCCCATTTTCACCTTCTCATTTTCAGTTTTAATTGTCCAATTAGCAGATCCGAGCGAATATCCATTACAAATCGGCGTGATTTCAATCCGAAATACCTCCTTCAAAAAATTGGATTAAAAAGAGAGAGAGAGAAGGGGGGGGGGTCTAAAATTCTCACAATGGTCTGATTGAATGAGAGCGTTGTGACGCGATTATAGCACGAATCGAGCACATGCTCGGAATAGAATGAATGCCATGAAGCGGGCTTCGAGTGCGGCACATTCGGGAAGCTCGTGTAGACGTCTTCATCCTTCCATCGATTATCGATCGCCGGAAAATCGATTCTCGCGAAATATTCAACCATTTCTTCGATGGCCACTCTAAAAGATTCCACAAGAAAAAAATAACCTCCAACTTTCAGACAATTCGAAGAATATTCAGAGGATTTGACACAAAAATCAAGATTTTCCAGACATTTTCAATTTTTTTGCAAAAAAAAAGAATTTTCAGACTTTCTATGAATTTTTGACACGAAAAATTGAATTTTAGGCGTTTTTATTGGAAATTTGACAATTTTAAGAATATTTCGAGATTTTATAGCATTTTGACACAAAAATACAAGTTTTCCCAAGCATTTTCAACTTTTAATAATTTATTTTATCAAAAACTGAGCAATTTCAAGAATATTTGGAAACTCGTGAATTTTTGAGCCAAATTTTCCAAAAACATTTTAAAAATTTTCTTTTTCGGTAAATCAATGAAATATTGTTTCAAAAAATTGAAAATTTGGAAAAAATTTAATTGCCAACAATTTTTTCATTAAAAAGTGGCAATTTCGAGAATTTTTGAATAAAAAATTGGTTTTTCTTCTCAAAATTATTTCCAATGTCTAAATTTGAAAAAAATCCTACTTTCCCAATTCAAAAACGGCGTCTGTCATGAAAACTTTTCCGCTAAATCCGGTGCCTTCCGTATAAAACGGCAATCCGACGAAATTTTCAATGTTCGACACCAAAATCACATCGACCTCGTCCATTTTTAAAGTATTTATCTATAAAAATCAATTTTCTATTTCAAAAAAAGAATCGAAAAGCAAAAAACCATTGCGTGACGGACTTCAGGAGCCGATTCCACATAAACTTTATGGCCAACTTCTTTAATATACGGAATATTGAATCGTTTCGATGAATGGGCGTCTTTAAGACGCGCGCTAAAATTGAAATATTAAAAAAAGAACCGATTTATATATTTACCTTTGGTATACATATGGCATAAATGAGAAAAATGGGGCATAGTCGACCGGCGAATCCAACAAAATTCGGGTATTCGGCAATTGCAACAGAAAACATGGCCTGTGCGGCAGAAAACTGTAATTAATCTAGAAGCAAAACACCAATTTCAGCATTTTCTCAAAACTTGCCACTTGCATTTCACCGCATTTGTTCGTGTTGGAAGTCTGAAATATACTTAATTTATTCCACGCTGTTACTGTAGGCAAGAAAGTACGCAGAAATAAGATATGGTATAATACACCTACAGTATTCTACGTTTCGAGACTGTTCAAACGAAATAGGACAACGCGCCATTATTTTTATTTTCGAAATTCATTTTCTTTTTCAATTTTTTCACTTTTGCCGTTTTCCATCGTCGTTTGACTCAATTTTCAACTAAAAATCGGAAAAATAAAAAACGGAATTTAAAATGAGCATATTTTGATGCGGCAAATGCGCCCCATCGTACATCAATTCAAGGATTTTCGAAAATAGTAAAATTCCGTGGAAATTCGAAAAAAACACGAGGAAATCTAGTGGAGAATTTTATAGTTTCAATTTAAAGATGTCGTCGAAGAAAAGAAAGCAAATCGATGGAGACGTGGAAAAATCGCGAAGTCGCTCGTCGTCGCCGCAGAAGAAATCGAAAACCGAATCGTAATGGAGAACAATTTTTTAGTTGATAATTTATTTTCCAAATTTCAAGGGTCGAATCAATGTCGATCGAGGAGTCGAACAAACTAAGAGCTTCTCTCGGTCTCGCACCGCTTCAGATCGACGAGCCGAATAAGGGAGAAACATTGGCGGACGATGGAAGCGGCGAGAAAATCTACAACGAAGACGGCTTCGAATTCCGGCATCGAAAGCCGGCGAATTGGGCGGAGATGAAGCGCGAGCAAGAATTGAAGGAGAAACTGGAAATCGCCAAAAAGAAACGCGATGTCTATTCAAAAGTGCTCAAGTCGAAAGGTCTCGCCGACGCCGATTCCGACGATGACGAATCGACGCAAAATTGGGTGCAAAAATTGCGGCGAAAAGAGGAGGACGAGAAGAAGGCGGCCGAGCGGGTAAATTTTCATAGCATTTTCGAGATTTTCAATCAATTCAGGCGAAATTGTTCGACGAATTTGAAAACGAGATTCTCGAGAAGGAAAAATCGAAGAAGAAGAATGGGCATGTGGGTGATTTTTAGAAATCAAAAATTGTGAAAAATCGAATTTTTCACATTTTTTCTGCCAAAAATCGTCGTTCTAGAAAAATCGAAAATCGTCGCATTGCCCAACAACGGCGGGCCTCGTCGTCGGCCATTCACTCGACGCCTTCACCGAAGGTCATCAGATTCTTGTGCTCGAGGACAAGGGTTGGAGTCGACAAATGTCTCAATGGTCCCTAAAATTTGGCCACTCGTTTCAGGTGTTCTCGACGAAGGCGACGAGGTTCTAATGAATCCGAATCTCGTAGAAAATGAGCGACATTCGAGAAACGTCGAATTACGCAAACGAAAGGACCATTATAAAGGATTTGACGACAATTCCGATAAGGTAATTAACTAATTATCGATAATTATGCCCGTTGATTGTAGGCCGGCGTCATTCTCGCCAAATACGACGAAGAGTTGGAGGGAGCACAGAAGCAGCAATTCCGACTCGATGATAAGGGCGGTATGGATGTGAGCGAAGAGCTGAGGTGCCGAGTGTCTCGAATTTCAGACATCTTGAGTGCGAAATTTCAGAGAGAAAGAAGCGCTCAAAAAAATGCAAATGGCCGGCAAACGACTCGAATCGCTTGAATCGGTCGGCGCGCTGAAATTGGCCACCGAGTTCTACACGCACGACGAGATGGTCGAGTTTCGAAAAATCAAAAAACGCAAATCGGCGAAGGCGCGAACGCGACGAACGCTGAAAGCCGCCGATTTGGAGCCGATCGAGCGCGCCGACGAACGGTGAGCAATTCGGCTGACGATAAATTCAAATTAATTTCGAGTTTCAGCAAAGATTTTGGACGTCGACGTTCTCGCGATGACGAGAATATTAAGGTTCGCCGACCGGACCATCAACATTCCAACATTTTTTTTGCAGGAAGAATCTGAAAATGGTCCTGTTGTCGATTTGGCACGCCTTCAGAAGCTCAAAGACGAAGCGTTGGCGGACAACGACGACGATAGTGATGGTTTGGAGTGATTAACCCGATGCGCCTTTAAACCAGCGCGTTTTGAATTTTTGTGTCTCTCAACGCGCCTTTAAATCACGATCCGGTTGATACATTTTTTTCAGTGAAAAACTATCAATCAGCACTTTAAAATGTCAATGCGCCTTTAAATTGGGTCTCGCACGGCCGCTACACCCAAAATGCGTGGTCAATTCCCATAATGCGCCTTTAAATCGGGTCCCATCGAGAAACAATTCGCGATAATTCAGATGATTTGCTGCCGACTGGCGGAATCGATATCGCCGGCGTCGTCATCGACGATGACGCCGAAGACGAGCTGAACGCGGTGTTGGCGAGAACGCGAAAACTGAAAGAAGCCGAGCACGTCGGTCATCGAGACGTCGGAGCCAAGGTGAAAGCGTTGATGGCGTGCCACGAGACGACGCCATCGGAATCGATAGACAATGAGAAGAAGATTTGTTTCGACGCCACCGTCGAGTATTGCCGTCAAATCGGAAAATCGGGAATTCTCGAAGACGACGCTCAAATGAAGAATGAGGAGATGCAGGAGCTGGAGCAGGATGATGATGGGTTTCAGCGAGAGCAGCGCATCAAAATCGACAATGAGATTATTGAGAAGGAAAAACGCAAAAGAGCTGATAGGTAGGCCAATTGTGTTTTTGGTTTTCGAACGACACTCCGCCGTGGACACTGCCCGCGGTTTAGCGTAAATCGGAATTGAGGGGATTTTCAATGGAATTTTTTTGTTTTGAAAGTCGACAAATCGATTCCATTATGAGTAAAAAAAGGGTGAAAATCGATTTGGTTTTTTTTTTTGAAAATTCACCGCCAAAATAAATAATTTTGGGCATTTTTCAAGCCAAACAAAAATGTGGAATTTTCTGGAAAATTTTCGCCTTTTTCCTTTACATCAGAAATTTCGATTTTTCAGCTGCGGATGGATGGCCGGCGGCCGTCCGATCTCGACGACATTGGACAGCGACGACGAGGAGGCGCTGAAAGAGGCTGAAAATCAGGTTTGCATTTTTTTACGCCAATTTACCCCCAAAAACCATCGTCAAAAATTTGAGAAATGGTACGAAAATGACGATGATGATGAGGATTATGAGCCGGCGCTTGGAGAAGAAGTCGATGTTTCGAAGGGTGTTGGAGCAATGCTCAAATTGGCCGCTCAGAAGGTAAGTAATTGCCCATAATTGGCCAATTAACAACATGATTGCAGGGTTATCTGGATGATTCTGGGCGTCGACGAGCCAATGGTCCCTCATTGGACCATTTGAGAAGCAAGCATCGGACCCAAATCGACCCGACGAAACAGTAAATTTCTTTTTTTTTAAAGCTGCTTCCAAATTTGGGAAAATTTTCAGTGATATTGAGGACAAATATATGAAGAAGCTCGATCGTCTCGGCACCACTGGCAAGGGACCATTACAGCCGTTCGTCGAGAAGACCGAATATCATCCGGATGTCAATATCACGTATACGGACAAAAAAGGAAGAGACATGGACGCGAAAGACGCTTATAGAGAGTTGTCATATAAGTGAGTATTTTCAGATTTTTTTCCTGTTGAACCAAAAAAAAAATGCCGAAATTTGGAGATTTACAGTGATTTTTTCGAGATTTTCGAAATTTTTTGCAGATTTCACGGTCGAACTCCCGGCAAGAAGCAGCTCGAAAAGCGCGCGAATCGAAAAGACATCAAAGAGCGAATGTTGAAGACGAACAGCTATGATACGCCGCTCGGCACGCTCAGCAAGCAGCTCAAAAAGCAGAAGCAACTCGCGACACCGTATTTGGTGTTGAGCGGCGCCACCGATCAGTGAGTGATTTTGTGATAAACTCGAAAATTTGAGAAATTCCGATTTTGATTTAGAATTTTTTTTTCTTCCGGAGAAATGGTTTTCAAAAAAATTTGAAATGCACAAATTTGATAATTTTTTTGGCATATCTTCTCAAAATTTTTTCATCAGTTCGAATTTTATACAGAAAAATTCCAATACCAGAATTGAAATTATTAGAAATCGCAAAAAACATTGGAAATGACCATATTTGGATGGTTTTGTCACGTTTTCTTTGAAAGTTGTAATTTCACATCAAAAAGAATCATTTTCGTGTTGAAATTCCCATTAAAATGACCATATTTGTCGTGGATTTTAGAAATTTCATGAAAAATCCAATTTTTAACCGAGAAATTAAAAATTTCCACTGTTTTTGTCTGAAAAAATGGCCAGCTTAAATAAAAATGAAAAATCTCCAATTGGAAATCATTTTCAAGAAAACGGTCCACCTTTTTTTCAGCTCGGCTCTCAACAAAAAGGAGTAAATCCGAATAAGGACCCCCAAAACGAGATTAATTAATTAGAAATGTTATTGTTTTATTGTTTAATGCCTACTTTTTAATGAAGAAATCGCAAAATGTCATAAAATAACCCATAAAAGGTGAATGATTGGGACCCGTGAAGAGTTTGAATCACAAGATGAATCAGACGCCGTCCGGGAAGCACGTCGTCGGCGATTCGCGAAAATCGCACAAAACCTCAATCGCGTCGCGGCCACCCACACGAACAACATTCACCGGGTTGGCGGGATGCTGGAATTGAACGCGATGCTTCTCCCATAAATGACGATGAAGCTCCTAGAATCAATTGAGTGGACGATTTGGTTCGCTTCAACGCGCCTACCGCCGGAATTCCGGTTTCGGCGAAAATTCGCTGCGGCGAGTACGCGTAGACACGCGGCAAATCCAGCGCAATTGAGGTGTTCTAGAAAAAAATTCAATTTTTTTTATTTTGAAGGGACCTTTTGTAACGCGAATACCATTTTCATGATGGACTCGCGAATCGCCAGCGTCGACGTCGTCTCGATGGCTGACGATGTCGGCGAGAGCAGCGAAATCGGCTGGAAATTTTCAGGTTTCAAATGGAAAATCCATTTTGCCCCCCTCGTCGCCCAAAAATTCGATTCACCTGTTTTTGAGGTCCCAGAATCATCGAAGGGAACACCGGCGACGCCGGTCGGGTCCCGCCGCGAACACAATTGATCTCATATCGGCAGAATATGTCGAAAAGACTCATCGCGTTGTTCCAAACGAAGCCGAATGAGTGCGAGCGGCGAACCGAGCCGAATCTGTGATAGAAAAAAAAATTTTTCGATAATTTCCAACCGAAAAACTGGAAAATTTCAATATTTTGACGGTAAAAATTTTTTAATTAAAAAAAACGAGAATTTTGACGAGAAAAAATCAGGAAAATTGAAATTTTTCAAATAAAAATTGACCAAAAATGATTATTTTGAATTTTAGGACCAAAAAAAACTAATAAAATTCAAAAATTGAAAGTTAAAAAAAAATTAGGCATAAAAAATTGAAAACTTTTTCTTAAACAAAAATTGAACGATTTGAATTTTGCCGTTCATAAAATTTGCGAAAATTTCCAAGAATACGTCAAGAAATTTCAGAATATTAATGACAACTTCGATTTTTTGTTAAAAATTGCAATTCTCAATAAAAAAACGGAAAATTTCTAAAAAATTCTTTTTAAAAATGAAAATTTTCGAATTTTCGCATCAAAAATTGCATAATTCTCAAAAAACAACGACAATTTCCTAAAAATCTTTAAAAAAATTCAAATTTTCACGTCAAAAATTGCATAATTCTCAAAAAAAAAAAACGAAATTCATCGTTTCAACGGGAAATTTTTGAATTTTCCAACCTCAATTGACTTCAAATTTCGATTCAAAACAAAAAAATGAGATTAAAAAACTCACGGAACTGTGTTCGTCGACATAAAATTCACCGAGTTCCCATCGGAGTCATGCGTCAAAATTCGCGAAAACGCGAGAATCGCCGTCTAAAATCACATCGTCATATTTTCGCCGCAATTTTTGCGCCGCGGCTTTGCCGGCGCAAACGCCCTCGCTTTAATTTCTACTTATTTTTCGATTCCATCGTCAAAATCAAAGCCTCGACACACAATTTTCTCAACCCTAGTAGAATTGGCTAACAAGGGAGGTCATTTTGCTGTCCGTCTTAAAATTTTTTTATTTTTTGCATACAGATTCTTTAGAAAATTTCCAATCGAATGAACTAGGTCGCTACCTGCGCAAACTTCTAGTTATCGAAATATGGACCCTCAATGTTGAATTCAGGGGAGGAGGGGCTAAAACTGGAAATTTTCTATCGAGCTAAGTGGCGGGATTTTGTAAGATATGACTAGCTTCTTACAAGAGAGGTCATTTTGCTGTCCGTCTTAAAATTTTTTTTATTTTTTGCATACAGATTCTTTAGAAAATTTCCAGTTTTAGCCCCTCCATCCCTGAATTCAACTTTGAAGGTCCATATCTCGATAACTAGAAGTTTGCGCAGGTAGGGACCTAGTTAATTCGATTGGAAATTTTCTAAAGAATTTGTATGCAAAAAATAAAAAAATTTTTTAAGACGGACAGCAAAATGACCTCCCTTGTAAGAAGCTAGTCATATCTTACAAAATCCACCCATCGATTAAAATGAATTTACTTATAAAATTCACATTTTCATTTCATCATTTTTTTTTCAAAGTGAGTTTGAAAAAAAGCCAGCTCGACGCCAGATTTGACAAGTCTCGGAGCAATTATTATATCGAAAACCCGGAATTTCTGTCGCCCTTTAGAACGAAATTGTCGAAATCTGCAAAATGTGCGTCAAACACCGAATTTGACGCAAATTTTCAGAAGCTGCGTTGAACAGTAATAATCATACTTGCAACGAGGCGCGTCAGGGTGAAAATTTCACCGACTGGTTCAATCAATTTTGCTTGGGGACTTCTGGGCAATTTTTGTTCCAAGAACAATGAATTCTACTCAAAATTATACTATTCGAAATTCTTATTTCGCTAAACAACGGTCTCGCTGTAAACTTGGAGTGTCGTTGTGAATTTTTTTTACTGACCAACTATGCTGGCCAAAATTCACCGCAAAAAAAGGAAATCACCTTCTTCGGCTCGACATCCACCGATTTCTCGCGATCAATTTCATCCGAAACGTCCCATTTTTCGATTTTCGCCTTGATTTCCGGATCGAACAGCTCGTCGCCGATGAATTGTCTGACGCGATTCGCTTTCAGCATCAATTCGATGAGGTCGTCGATGAACGCCGACGTGTCGGCAGCGCGATTCGCGTATTTCTCTGAAAACGATGGGACCATCGAAAATTCGCATTGAATTTCAATTGTTCGCCGCCAAACAATCAACCAACCTGTGACGTCGTCGAACAGTTTTCGAAGAATCGGAAAATGATAGGGCAAGTGGGGTCCAGCAACGAAATTCTCGGCGCCCAAGGCGATTTGCTCGGCTCGCGTCACAATGCTCGAATAGCCGGCGAGATCGTGTTTCGAGATCAAGCCTCCTGCAACGAAAACGACATTTTTTTCGCAGAAAAATTTGAAAAAAATGAATAAAATCGAAGAAAAAAAACTTTTATTTAAAAAAAATCGAAGAAAAAACTTTTATTAAAAAAAAATAGCAATTTAAAAAAAGAAATATCAAAAACTGGTGAAATTGAGAAAAGAAACTAATTTTTCACAGATTTCCACTGAAATTTGCGGTAAATTTCCAGTTTTCGAAAATTTCTTAGAAAAAATACCAAAAATATTCAATTCTCGCGATGAGAATTAAGAGAAAATGTCAAAACCCTAATTTTTCAAAATTTTCAGAAAATTTCCACTTTTTAAATAATTTTCTACAAAATTAATCATTTTTTTTTAATACATTTTTAGGGAATAGATTAAAAAATCTAATTTTTTTGATTTTCGATGAGTGAAAATGCGAAAAAATCCATTTTTCAATGTTTTTAGGTGAAAAAATGTGCATTTTTCATAAATTTGTCTAAAAATTCAATTTTTCGCCAAAAAAAATCACCTCGCTTCTTCATTTCGTCGACAATTCGACTAGCGAATTTTCCCCGATAGAAATCGTGTTCGGCGTCGTCGGATTCGGCAAGCGACGTCAAAAATCGCCGAAATTCGGCGTTCTCGAATCGACTAGCTTCTCGTTTCGTCGCATTCAACAATTTTTTGAAGCTCTTCTCATGAAGAATGTGGTTTTTGCGCGATTCGAAAGCGTTCGCCAAAAAGCGATCCATGAAAATTCCTAAATTTCAAAAAATTGACAGAAATACCCAACAATTATGAAATTTTCCTTAAAAAATCGCAAAAATCGTCCAACCTTTCTCCATAAGCTCAATCGTCGGCTTCAGAAGCTGATCCCATTTGATTTTCCCGCTTCCGAATTGTTTGAAAGCCGTCCAAATCACTGACATCCATCCCGGAACGCCCATCGACGAATACCCAATATGGGCAATCGTCGGGTTGATCACAAATGTGTTCTGGTTCGCGTTTCTTGGCGCTCGTTCTCTTCCATCGATGATAAATGTCCCATTTTTCTTCCTAAAATTTATTGATATCATAATTTTTCTCTGTTAAAATGATTGTTTTTTGCAAGTTTTCGACATTTGAGTTAAATTTAGAAACAATTTTGGGAAAATTCGCTGAAAAACGAGAGAAAAATCGAAAAATTGATGGAAATTTGAAAATGGGAAAAGTGAGTTACAGTAACGCTTTCAAAGGCGCATGGGTGAAATTGTTTGACAAATTCACGCCTAAAATGTTTGCACATGAAAATTTGAATAACTCGATGAAAAATGGACAAATCGAAAATGGGAAAACACCAAAAATCTTAGAAATTTGTGTAGAATTTTTGTAGAAAATTTGAGAAAAATCGGTGAGATTGCCTAATCCGACATTTCAAAGGTGAGCCGACGTCGAGGTGAATATCGAAATTCTCAAAAATGAACCAAATTTGCTGAAAATTGGCACAAATGTTTGGAAATGCTTTGATATGATGCCTGAGAAGTTTTAAAACAATCCGACAAGAATGAAAAAAGTTATGCCGTTTTTGCCGAATATTGTCAGGAACAAAACCAAATAATGGTTAATTATGGTTATTTTGTGTTTTCATTATTTTTTTAAATACAATTTCAAAGAAAAATTTAAAAATTCTCGAATTTTTGCGTTAAAACACAATTTGTGCTCTGTTTTTTCGAAATTTTTCGCTCAAATATTCCAAAAAATGCCTGAAAGATTTAAAAATTTGTCAAGAAAATTTTGTAAATACTTAAAATTTTGTAATTGTTCATTCAATTATTTCTTTTAGTGTGCGTAAATTCTGTGAAAATTCCCAGAAAAATTTTGGGAAAATTCGCTGAAAAACAAGAGAAAAATCGAAAAATTGATGGATATTTGAAAATGGGAAAAGTGAGTTACAGTAACGCTTTCAAAGGCGCATAGGTGAAATTGTGTGACAAATACACGCCTAAAATTTTTGCACATGAAAATTGGAATAACTCGATGAAAAATGGACGAATCGAAAATTGGAAAACACCAAAAATCTTAGAAAATTGTGTAGAATTTTTGTGGAAAATTTGAGAAAAATCGGTGAGATTGCCTAATCCAACATTTCAAAGGTGAGCCGACGTCGAGGTGAAAATCGAAATTGTCAAAAATGAACCAAATTCTCTGAAAATTGGCATGAAGGTTTGGAAACGCATTAATATGATGCCTGTGAAATTTTATAACAATCCGACAAGAATGAAAATAGTTATGCGGATTCTGCGAAACACGCGAATTGCGTTTTTTCGAATTTCGGAAGGTGAATATTAAAATTGTCAAAAATGAACCAAATTCGCTGAAAATTCGCCATTTTTCAATATTTTTAAACAATTTGTGGATAAATCAATGAGATGATGTGAAAAAAGAAGTGCGACCCACTTGGAGTGGACCATCATAATCGCTCCAAATCCGGGTCCCGTCGAATGCGGATGAACAGCGGCGATGCAAAACTCGGCAGCAATCATACCATCGATAGCATTCCCACCATTTTCCATGATTTTTCTGCAAAAAGCAATTTTTTTCAGAATTTTTTCTCCAGATTCTTATAGAAACCTTCCGATTCGGCTACATTCCGGATGATGCGTCGAAATCGCGAATTTCTCGAATTTCGCACTTCGACTCCGAATCGTGTGATTCCATTCGATCGGCTTTGACGGCGTCGGCGTCGTCGGCGCCATCGACGACGGTGTTGGAGCTGGAGCAGATGATCGGCCAGTTGGACGAGGTGTTGGTGAGGCTTCATCATCTTCAATAGAAGTTGAAGCATCAGATTCTGCATCAAATCTAGTTGGCGTTGGATGAAGTCTAGTCGGATCGGATTCAGATCCACTACGTTCCGGATCAGGTCTCGTAGGGATTAGAGTAGGAAAAACATCAAGTCGTGTTAGCTCTGAATTAGGGCTGCTTGGAGCTGGACCAGGGCCATTAAGAACAGTTTCAGGCCTACTAGTAGGAGCTGGAGCAGATCCAACAATATCTTGATCAGGTCCTGCTTGATCCATATCATTTATATCCTGAGCTGGATCAGGACTAGTAGCAACTGGATCAAGTTCAGTAAGATCTGGTTGTGGACTAGTAGAAGTTCGATGAAAACTAGTATGATTTGAATCAGGCCTTGACCGCTCTGGATCAACCGGATCTTCCTCGTTCCTTCCCAAATCATCCTCATCTCGTTCCTCCGACATCCGATGAGGTGCAGAAGCTGACGGACCCTCTCGATTCCAATGCACCTCATCCGAATCGAACTCGAAGTTGCTCAAAATCTCCAACGACGTCGTCGTCGTCGTCGTTGGCGCGTGCGTTGTGCTCGACGGAGCCGTCGGTGTCGTACTCGGAGCTGGACTCGTCTCGTTGTCCAACACGCCGGTTGTTCGATGGCGAATCGGCACAATCTGAAATTGGCAATGCGAGAATGTCGTGAGCCCAATGATTCTCACATCGACGTTGACGGCTTCGTCGACGACGCTCGCCGACAATTCGTCGACGTCGTCGTCGTCGTCCGGCAACGGACGCTTCTCCTCGTTGGGCGCCGCCAGATTCCGTTGCGCCAAATAGAAATCGCGGCTCGAGAACACCAAATAAATGATGAGAATCGTCAATAGCACGAACAGCAAGCAGAAGACCGCCAGAAGCCATGGGAGACCTCTGGAAGTTGATAGATGCTGCAAAATTGGCTCAAACACTCTCCACATACCTTTCTCGTATGTCTATGAGCTCATCGGACGGTCGATGCCTTAATTTTTTTATACGCATCGCTCAAGGCATTTAAACCGCTGACGGGTTTTTTCTTCTGCAAAACAAATTCTTGCAAAATGCGAATTTTTAGTGGCGGGGTCGAGTTGGCGACCTCTCGCGCCAAATGCAAAACGCCATCCGATAAACAACTTAACTAACGTTGACGGTGGCTGACAATGGCGGTTAAGTGCGTTCTGTCCACCACCTCGCACTTTTAATTAAGAACCGAAAATTTTAACACTAGGAGCTGGAGCAAAATAATAAAAATAGCACGAAACACGAGCAGGCCAATGGCTCGGTGACGATTTATTGGGGGACGAAGGCAGCGGCTCGCGAATTACAACTCAACTAGCGGCATTCATCTTCTCACAGACTTCCCACTTCGTTATCAGTTGAACATCTCCACGGATACAACACATGTCGTGCGGGCATTGTTTATGTTGCGTTTGTTGGCCGCTTGGAGAGCAATTTGTCGCGATTTTTCAACAGAATCGCGCTTTTCCGAATATCGGATTTCTCGAGTTGTAGGGTGGTCTGGAAATTTTTTTGTCGATTTCCTCACAAAACATTGGATTTTTTCTCGAAAATGAATGCTAATTTCATTCAGTTCGGTAAAGTTTTGAAGATCTTAATTTTTTTATTCAAAAAAATGTTAACATTTTAATCATCAAACAACTGAAAACTTGAATTGACAAAGGGAAGCAAAACATTTCAGCAATTTTTACAGTAAAATTTTTTCTCGTTCCTTCTTTACATTTAATTTAGTAAAAGTTTTGCGAAAATTCGCTGAAAAACGAGAGAAAAATAGAAAAATCCATGGAAATTTGAAAGTGGGTAAAATGAGTTACAGTAACGCGTTCAAAGGCGCATAGGTGAAATTGTGTGACAAATTCACGCCTAAAATTTTTGCACATGAAAAGTGGAATAATTCGACGAAAAATGGACGAATCGAAAATTGGAAAACACCAAAATTCTTAGAAAATTGTGTAGAATTTTTGTGAAAAATTTGAGAAAAATCGGTGAGATTGCCTAATCCGACATTTCAAAGGTGAGCCGACGTCGAGGTGAATATCGAAATTCTCAAAAATGAACCAAATTCGCTGAAAATTGGCGTAAAGGTTTGGAAATACACTAATATGATGCCTGAGAAATTTCATAACAATCCGACAAGATTGAAAAAAGTAATGCAAATTTTACGAAACACGCGAAAAGCGCTTTTGGAATTACGGAAATTCAAAGGAAAAAATTTCAAAATTTTTGCAATTCATCTCAAAATTATTCTTAATAAACATGGTATTCAATTTGCAATAACAATTTTTAAAAAAACATTCGAACGTGAAATAAAATTAATTTCTAGCCATTTTCAGTAAAATCCAAGTAAAAAATGAGGAACAAACTATATATTCTTTTAATATTTTCGATCATTGGACAAACTTTTCACTTGAGAGTTGAGAATAAGGAATACAATGGAAGTAGGCTGAATTTGAAAATAGAGAAATAATTTTTTTTTCAGAAAATTATTGCCACGTTCGAAGCGATTTGATCGAAGAGAATGTCGCGTTGATAAATCGCGACGATTTTCGTTGGAACTGCACTAATATCGCCTCAACAATGCTCTATATGATAAAATGGACCGAAAATGAGATCAATTCGTTGTTGGGCAATGCCGAATATTTGTACGACGTCCACATTTTCATTCAAAACTCGCAGCTCGAGAAAATCGATTTCTCGTCGTTGAAATCCATCGAAAACGTTCAGCTGAATATACAGGATAATCCGAAATTGAAGGAGATCATTGTGCCCGAAGCGATATTTGGAACGAGAAAAAATATTTGTGAAAATCGGCCCCATCCGACTCCAAAAATTGTATGAGATTCTCGCATTTCAGTAATTTATCTGTTTGGAAATCCGTCGTTGAGCACCGAGAGCATCGAGACTTTCAAAAAATTGTGCGACGTTTCTTGTGGGATGAGTACGCCCACGAAGACCGAAATCAAACGGATTCGAATTATGGTCAATCATGATGAGATCGTCAAAGGGTTTTGGTGCAGGTTGGTGACATTTTTCAAAATTTTATCGAATTATGATGATGGGCGTCATTTTTCTTGAATTTTTGCAATTCGTTATTGATAAATAATTGCGAAATTTTTCAATTTTCTCTTTTTAATTTAAAATTTGCCGAAAAACGATAGAAAAATTCGAAAAACTGGTGGAAATCAGGGCTGTGCGGCAATCGGCAATTTGAAAAATCGGCAATTTCGGCAATCGGCAATTCCATTTTGATTTTCGGCAATTTGATATCAAAAAAAATCGGCGAAACAAAAATCAATGTCCATTGAATAATTTGGGATACCGTGAAAATTCGGTATTTATATTTCGAATTATCGTTGAAAACATTTAATAGCCGAAATTTTTATTTTTGGCAACTTGCCTAATTGCCGAATTGCCGAATTGCCGAAATTTCCGATTGCCGCACAGCCCTGGTGGAAATTTGAGTGGAAAAATAAGTTACAGTAACGCGTTCAAAGGCGCATGGGTAAAATTGCGCGACAAATTCACGCCTAAAATTTTTGCACATGAAAATTTGAATAACTCGATGAAAAATGGACGAATCGAAAATTGGAAAACACCAAAATTCTTAGAAAATTGTGTAGAATTTTTGTGGAAAATTTGAGAAAAATCGGTGAGATTGCCTAATCCGACATTTCAAAGGTGAGCCGACGTCGAGGTGAAAATCGAAGTTGTCAAAAATGAACCAAATTCGCTGAAAAACGGTACGAAGGTTTGGTAATGCTTTGATATCATTCCTGAGAAGTTTTAAAACAATCCGGGAAGAATGAAAAAAGTTATGCCGTTTTTGCAGAATATGGTTAGGAACAAAACCAAATAATGATTATTTTTGTCCCAAAAATTTTTCAAGAAGATTTTATAAATGCTTGAAAATTTTCAAAAATTTTCTGCCTCCAGATTCAACGATTTGGGTGACGCACAAGCGGCCTTCTACTCGCCTAATGAAGAATTGAAATTTTGCCGAAATTTGAACCAAATCAAAATAATCATCACCGACTGGTCGAATGAGCAAATCAACGAGTTTTTGGGCAATTTGATAGCGGCGAGCGTCATCACACTTCTCATTGCTCATTCGCAGCTCGAGGTGCTCGACCTCTCGGCGATCGGCTATCTCGATCGCATCATTTTCATTCTCATCGACAATCCCAAGCTCAGAACCATCAAGTTCTCTCGTCTCGTTTTGGATCAGAAGCGCATTATGAATGGTCTCGACACGAATTCAAACAAGCTTCTCATTCATTTTTCTAATTTCCAGTTGTTCAATCCTTCCATAATCCCATGTTGAGCGATGAGAGTATCGAAGGATTGCGAAAGATTTGCGCTTTTAATTGTCTGATTGAACGAGGTTTGTTTGAAAATTGCAATTTTTCGCTAAAATTACCGTCAAAATTGACCAATTATACAGTTTATTTTAAAAACTACCATTTATGTTCACCAGTTAATTTCTAATTCGATATTCTTGTATTTTATGAATTTTCAAAAATCATTTCTAAAAAATTATGTTTCACTGAAAATGTATTATTTTTAATTTTCTCTTTTTTTTATGGAATTTAACAAAAGTTTTACGAAAGTTGGTTGAAAAACGAGAGAAAAATTGAATAAATTGGTGGAAATTTGAAAGTAGGAAAAGTGAGTTACAGTAACGCGTTCAAAGGCACATAGGTGAAATTGTCGTGACAAATTCACGCCTAAAATTTTTGTACATGAAAATTGGAATAATTCGATGAAAAATGGACGAATCGAAAATTGGAAAACACCAAAATTCTTAGAAAATTGTGTAGAATTTTTGTAGAAAATTTGAGAAAAATCGGTGAGATTTCCTAATCCGACATTTCAAAGGTGAGCCGACGTCGAGGTGAAAATCGAAATTCTCAAAAATGAACCAAATTCGCTGAAATTTGGATTCAATCTTGCCCACTCTCAAATATTTTTTAATATAAATAATTAAATTTTTTACTTGGTTTTCGAGTAATTTTTTGAACAAATTAACAATTCAAAAAGAATTCAAGTTTAAATATTTTAAAATTCAAGGTAGTATCAAATTTATGCTCCGAAATTGGGACATTTTACAAATTTCACATGCTTTTTTTCGGTCTTTTGTCAAATATTGTCAAACGTTTTAAAAAGTACAGTTTTTTTTCAAAAATTAAAGCATTTTCAGGCAAAACGACACCCGCACCGACGACGCCAACAACGACGACACCATTGACGACGACACCATTGACGACGACACCATTGACGACGACGACGACTTCATATTCTGATTCTGATTCGACTTCTATTATTCTGATATTTGCTGCAATATTATTATTTTCAATTATTTATAAATAAACAATATGGTATATTTTTAAATTTATGTAATGTATCAAAATTTTTTGTGCGAAACAAGAAGCGAAAATTAAATTGAAACAAGAAAAATAAAAACATAAAAATGCATTTTAACAAAAGATTTGTATAAAATTCGCAGAAAAACGAGAAAAAAACCGAAAATTTGGTGGAAATTTGAAAGTGGGAAAAAGTGAGTTACAGTAACGCGTTCAAAGGCGCATGAGTGAAATTGTGTGACAAATTCACGCCTAAAATTTTTGCACATGAAAATGGGAATAACTCGATGAAAAATGGACGAATCGAAAATGGGAAAACACCAAAATTCTTAGAAAATTGTGTAGAATTTTTGTGGAAAATTTGAGAAAAATCGGTGAGATTGCCTAATCCAATATTTCAAAGGTGAGCCGACGTCGAGGTGAATATCGAAATTGTCAAAAATGAACCAAATTTGCTGAAAATTGGCACGAAAGATTGGAATTGCACTAATATCAAGCCTTAGAAATTTTTTAACAATCCGACAAGATTGAAAATAGTTATGAAATTTCCTTGTCAAATGCGATTCGAAAAAAATTGCAAAAATCTAATTTAATTTAATTCTCATTGAAAATTTGGGTTCAGTCTTGCTAATTCTCAAATGTTCAGAGCAGGAATTTGAATTTCAATAAATTTTGGGCCAGATGGTTGACTAAAACTCAATTATTTAAAGGGAGATTTGATTTCTAAAAAAAACTGGCTGAAATTGGTTAAAGCCGGGTGAAAATCATAAAATTTTCCAAAAAAAAAAGGTTTCCGAAAGTCTTTTTCTCTCAAATTTCTAGTAATTTTGTCCTTAAATATTTTTGAGGGAAGGCCATCAAAAAAAAGAAAAGAAGAAGGAGAAGCGAAAATCAAATTTCGACGTGAAATTTCACGAGACTGCCGATTTCAGTTTTCGAAAAGACGAATGAGCAACAAATTCGTTCTCATTTTTCTATTATTTTTCGCATTTTTCGACATTTCCGAAGCATTTAATCTAACCTATGAAGAATATCAAGGAAGTATGCATTTTTTTCTTTTTGGGAGGCGCTAATTTTTTTATTGAAATTCCAAAATTCAGGACGCTATAGCAATTTGAGAAATGAGAACAATGAGGAAGCGATCATTCGAAATCGAATGGAATTCCGGTGGAATTGCCCAAATCGCGCTTCGATGACGTTCTACATGGTCCGATGGTCCGAATACGAGATCAATTCGTTGTGGAGCCATGTCGAATATGTGTACAATGTGAAAATCGTGATAACGGAGACGATGGCGGACAGAATCGAATTCAAATCGTTGAAGGGCATCGAGAGGTCGGAATTCACAATAATGGACAATCCGAATCTCGACACGATCGAGATTCCGCCGGATGTGCTCAAATCGCGACGAGGCATTTGTAAGAGATGATCGAACTTGGGTGGAATTGATATTTTTGGATTTTTTTCAGCAATTTATACGCTCAACAATCCGTCGATAAGCGATAAATCGTTTGAAACGATTCGCGATTTTTGCGACAAATATTGCCGACTTCAACCTTGATTTTTTTCCTCTTTGAAATTCGTTCGGGTAGATTTACGGGGGAGGATGCGTCTTTCTCTTGGTCTCGCGCGGACTAACAAGTTATTGGAGATTCAAGAAAGTGCCAGACTCATCACGAAAAGAAAAAATGCGTTGCGAGACCCTCTTTTCAAGGCGCATGCGCGTAAATCTACCCGCCGACTATTTTTATAAATAAATTTGTTGTTGTTTTGTTTTAATTTGACACATGCCAATTTTTAGATCAATTTTATTTTCAAGCAAAAACAAAAATTCGAAAAATTGAAACAAAAAATTGTCAACTTTTGGTTGATTTTTGACATTTCATCATATCGCATTTCGACGAAAAACGGCATAACTATTTTCAATCTTGTCGGATTGTTATAAAATTTCTCAGGCGTGATATCAATGCATTTTCAATCCTTCGTGTCAATTTTCAGCAAATTTGGTTCATTTTTGAGAATTTCGATATTCACCTCGACGTCGGCTCACCTTTGAAATGTCGGATTAGGCAATCTCACCGATTTTTCTCAAATTTTCCACAAAAATTCTACACAATTTTCTAAGAATTTTGGTGTTTTCCAATTTTCGATTCGTCCATTTTTAATCGAGTTATTCCAATTTTCATGTGCAAAAATTTTAGGCGTGAATTTGTCGCGCAAGTTTACCTATGCGCCTTTGAACGCGTTACTGTATCTCATTTTTTTCCACTTTCAAATTTCCATCAATTTTTCGATTTTTTTCTCATTTTCAACGTATTTTCACAGGTTCCACGCGAAATTAAATCAAACGAAAAAATTTAATTAAAAAAATCAAAACTCAAAACTCTTTTGCACCCAGACCCAAAATGAATCGCTTAAAATATTTGAACCATGACAAATAAACAAATTGATCAGAGATCATGCGATCAAAATTTTTTTCCTGTTGTGAATTGGCCACCACGCGTCTGCCAAACTGTATTAAAAGGTCACCGTCGGCGATTCCAACTACAAACTCCATCATTTTTTGTGCATTATAAAAGAAACGTCGTGTTCGACATCATTGATCAAATCGATGTCGCTGACGCTCACCTATTTCGATGTTCGCGGTTCGTTGATTTGTTCTTTTTCTTCAAAAAAAAAAGAAAATTGAATTCAGGACGCGGCGAGTATATTCGCCTACTTCTCATTGATCAACGCATCGAATTCAACGATGATCGCGTCAAAATTGAGCGGGACAAATGGCCACAATTGAAGGCGACACTGGTTTTCAGACATCTTCAAATACTTGATTTAAAATTTTTGATTTAGGCTTTTGGTCAACTTCCTCGTTTGAGGCATGGGAATAAGGAGTATTTCCAGACTGGCGCAATCATGAGACATCTCGGACGAGTCTACGGTATTCTGCATTGGATTACGGTAGCCATTGTTGTTTTAGGATTGAGCGGATCGAATGAGGATGAGGCGACGTTCATTGACATGTTCTTTGAAGGCGTCAAAGATGTTCGCGCGATATACCTTCGCTTCATTTATTACGATGATGTGAGTGCTCGCTTTCAGAATCGAATTGTGATTTGGCGTTCCAGCCGACTCGTGAAGAGATGATCAAAAATGTGCTGCCAGCCGAGCTTGAGAAACTTGAGAAGCTTCTCGGAACCCGTGCGAACGGGGACCATTTTGTCGGCGGTGAGAGAATCAGCTACGCCGACTACATTCTGTTCGAAGAGCTTGATGTCTATTTGACATTGGATGCTCATCTACTCGACGCATTTCCGAAGTTGAACGCGTTCCACGCGAGATTCTCGCAGAGGCCGAATTTGAAGGTTGTCGTTGGATTCATATCAATACAATCCAATATTCTTTTTGAGGATTATTTGGAGAAACGTGCTGAGGACAAGGTGTGGATTAATGGGATTGCGAAGCAATAAAGGATTGGCCTCAATATTTTTTGTTTCTCGCTTTTTTTTTCTTCAATTTTTCGATTTGAAAATGACGCCCAGAATCATAATTATGATCATATGGCCTTCAAAAATGAACTTTTTTTTTTAGAAAAAATACGTATTTTCTTTCTAGATACACTTTACTCAATGTCCGCAGCAGACTTAGTTATCAAAAGGTCATTGCTATCAGAGATGCACAGAATGCCATCTTCCGTTTTTCGGAAAATTCATGATTGGCAAGCAAATTTCATAACTATTTTCAATCATGTCAGATTGTTAAAAAATTTCTCAGGAATAATATCAAAGCATTTCCAAACATTTGTGCCAATTTTCAGCGAATTTGGTTCATTTTGGTGTTTTCCCATTTTCGATTCGTCCATTTTTCATCGAGTTATTCCAATTTTCATGTGCAAACATTTTAGGCGTGAATTTGTCACACAATTTCTTTCATGCGCCTTTGAACGCGTTACTGTAACTTATTTTTTTTCACTTTCAAATTTCCATTATTTTTTCGATTTTTCTCTCGTTTTTCTGCGAATTTTATACAAATCTTTTGTTAAAATGCATTTTTATGCTTTTATTTTTCATGTTTCAATTTAATTTTCGCTTCTTTTTTTGCTCAAAAACTTATGATACATTAAATTTAAAAAAAATACCATATTTTCAAAGCGAACTCTAAAATTATGGGCGAAATTGTTTATTTATAAATAATTGAAAATAATAATATTGCAGCAAATATCAGAATAATAGAAGTCAAATCAGAATCAGAATATGAAGTCGTCGTCAATGGCGTCGTCGTTGTTGGCGTCGTCGGTGCGGGTGTCGTTTTGCCTGAAAATGCTTCAATTTTTGACAAAAAGACTGTACTTTTTAAAACGTTTGACAATATTTGACAAAAGACCGAAAAAAAAGCATGTGAAATTTGTAAAATGTCCCAATTTCGGAGCATAAATTTGATAGTATCTTGAATTCAAAAAATATTTAAACGTGAAGCCTCTTTGAAATTGTTAATTAGTTCACACAAATTAATCGAAAATCAAGTAGAATAATTATTTATTTGTAACAAAAAAATTTGAGAATGTGCAAGATTCAACCCGGAATTTCAAGAGGAATTCGATAATATTAGGTTTTGGCAAATTTTTTTTTGAGAAAATTTAATAACTTTCTTCATTCTTGTCAGATTGTTATAAAATTTCTCAGGCATGATATTAGTGCTATTCCAATCCTTTATGCCAATTTTCCGCAAATTTGGTTCATTTTTGAGAATTTCGATTTTCACCTCGACGTCGGCTCACCTTTGAAATGTCGAATTAGGCAATCTCACCGATTTTTCTCAAATTTTCCACAAAAATTCTACACAATTTTCTAAGAATTTTGGTGTTTTCCCATTTTCGATTCGTCCATTTTTCATCGAGTTATTCCCATTTTCATGTGCAAAAATTTTAGGCGTGAATTTGTCACACAGTTTCTCCCATGCGCCTTTGAACGCGTTACTGTAACTCACTTTTTCCCACTCAAATTTCCATCAATTTTTATTTTCTTATCAAATCGTACCGTAGAAACGGGTGCATTTCTAAAAGGATATTTGCGAGACGGAAATATTTCGTTTCATCTTGAGTTCTACGGCACAATTTTGCTGAGTCGTTTTTTTAGCGATTCGGAAATTTTATAATTTAGATGCTTAAAATGGGCTAATTAAACGGTTTTTTTCTTGATTTGTAGTGAAGAAATTCGGCAATTTCGTCTTTTTTATGAAAATACAGTTATTGTAGTATTAATTATACAAATTCAATATATTTAATTGTTTTAATTGTCACAATGAGCATTGTATTTGATTGAAATGAGCTGATAGTTGCTCAATAACACAGAAAAAACGAATAATGACTAAACAGTGAGTAATTTAGTAGGAAAAAATGGCAAAACCCGATAAAAGTTGGGGGGGAAAATTCGAGAGATATGGTAAAGGAAGGGAAAAATCTAGCGAGTTTTGTACAGAATTGAATTTCAAGAGACATTATGATACAGAGCATCCCTGGTTTCGCGACGATCGCTGTTGACCTCCGGGTTGAGCCGATCTGAATGGAAAACCCCGATTTGTTGAAAATTTAAAGGCGCTTACTCATATTCCTCTTGTTGAAGGGCTCTGGCGAGTTGCTCGTCATTGGCAGCCTGCTGAAATAAAAGACGAATTCGAATTTCTAAAAATATTTTGAGGTCCTACCGATTTTCTGGCTTGCGCTGAACAATTATCGACTTGAGATTTGAACAAAGAGAATCTGAAAAATAAATTGAGTTGAATTTGTAAAAAAAAATTCTTTGGGGTCCTCACGGATTCCGGAAAATTCCCGCCTCATTTTTCTTGAGATTCGCTTTCAATTCCTCACAATTATGATCCTTTTCGTGACGATGACGTAGGCAATAGTTGAGTTTACAATCCGGACAGACGACGGGAATGAGCTGAAAACAAAAATTTGAGTTTGATGGGTCTTCAAGCGAATTTGAATTTAGTTCTGTTAGTTGTAGAGCGACTTGTTTTGAGTGCATCGTGTGGATTATTGTTAGGTAGAAGAGATCTTCTTGATAGGACCCTTTTTAATTTTTGAGTCTTGCACAAAATTTTATTGTTTTTATCCGACGTTTCGATCTTTAGATCATCCTCAGGGAAGGTCAATTTACCTCAAGCTTGGGTGAAAAAAGTTTAATTACCCAAGTTTGAGGTAAATTGACCTTCCCTGATGATGATAAAGATCGAAAAGTCGGATAAAAACATTAAAATAGTGTGCAAGACTCAAAAATTAAATAGGGTCCTATCAAGAAGATGTCTTCTACCTAACAAAAAATTTGAATTGCAAGATTTTCGAACAATTGAGAAATAAAAGAGGGAACGTGTTTAAAAATTGATTTTTTTGCGGGAAAAGCAAAAAACTAGTAGATTTCTGGAAAAATTATTCGAATTTACCCAATTTTCTAATATTTTGTTTCTCCACGAAAAAAAATAACCTCTTTCTTTTTGCACCCCTTCACCGAGCATCGATTTGTGTAAATTTTCGCCTCTTTCACAATATCGCAATTATTCTCTATGTGAGTATTTATCTGAAAAAAAAGAGATGAGAAAAAATAGCATTTGGGTGCTGAAAATCGAATACCTGAAAATCGGCGTTGACGTTTTTCGGTGTCGGTACCGGCTGATTGCAAAGTGGGCACACAGGAACTTGTACATTCTGAAAATGTTGGGTAACATTGAAAATTTCTCGTCGGAATTTCGAATTTCTGGCGAAAACGTGAACAATTTTCCGAGCGAACAACCATTTCATACCCTTTTATAGGCGTGTGCGCAGTTGTGAGCTTCATAGACATAGTGGGTAAGGCAGAAAAATCCGGAGCACATGTCGCATTTGATTGGAAGAAAATCTGAAGCGCGAAAAATTGTTGAAAAACTCAGGTAAATGAAAATCAATCGGAAAATAATTTTTTCAATCGAAATTGATAATAGATGAATTTGTTTCGAATAATTCCAAAATTTCAAAATAGAAAATTCGAAATAAATCGATTTCGAATGATTTTTGAATCGAAACCAAGTTTTCAAATCAATATTGAACACTTTCTTAATCGAATTTCAATTATTTTTTAGTCGAATCAGGTTAATTTCTATTTAATTTTTCTTCAATTGATTTTCATTTGCCTGAGAGAAACAAATCTACTGAAATTACCTAATTGATTGCATATTTCGACGCCGCAGTGCTCGCCAAAATGCGGAAATTCGGCCATTGTGCGCTGAAAACGCGAAAAATATTGAGGGTTTTATATATTGAATGTGTCATGTGATGACGATGACAAAGACTATCGAGAACAATCCGCGTTACGAAATGCTTTTGCGTATTGCGAAATATAATTATTAATAATTTTCAATTTTAAAATTCATTATTTATGCAACAATTAAATATTTGCTTCAGTGTTTGGTAAAAATAGAGGAAAAATGTGCAAGAAATCCGAAAAAAAAAGAGAAACAACAGTAATAATGTTGTCGATTTAGTAGTGGGAAGGCGCATGCGGGTCGACAAGTGCGAGGCTCTCGCAGCGAAAACGCGTATCGCATTCAATATTTTTTTTTCGAGTCGTTTGCGTCGCGTCCTAAAAAGAGCTGCTCGTTTTCTTTGAGGTTTTCGTAATTTTTCGATTTTCCCCTAAATTCCACTAATTTATTTCAAAACATTCAATGAAAAACAGTTTGGAGTACTAATTTCGCTACTCGTAACGTAAAACGTTCGCGTTTTATTCAGTTTTGCGCAGATTTTTCAAAAATCGATAAAATTGGCCATTGTTTTTTGCTTTTAATAACAAAAAAAGTTCTGGTTTTCTTCTAACATTTACCCTCATTCTTTCCTTGTCCTTGTTTCTGTGTGCTCAAAATCACTTTGGCACACTTTGTTTTATAGGTTTAAACCAGACCAGATTTAATGAATATATTGGCCTCCCTTCGTCGTTTAACGCTTGCAAGGAGTTTTCTTTGCAATCAAACTCAATCAAACAAATTCAAACAATTTTTGTCGTCAGTGAGTGCATCGGATCGCGACGAAAAGCCGGAACGATTCAATCAGCTCAACGCGAAACCATTGTTAGATCAGAAAATCGCATTTCAACAGCATATCAAGATGAGAGATAATTAGTAAGAATTGCGGTTTAAATTGATTTCAACTAATTTTCGATTTTAGTGGAAGCTCGCGCGGTGGATCCGACAGAGGATTCAGAAATGGAGGTGGCGGATATGGAGATCGCGGAGATCGTGGTTACGGAGGAGGCCGTGGTGGCGGTGGTGGAGGATACGGCGGTGGCCGCGGAGGTATAACTATAATTTACGAAGCGGATTAAAAAAAAATTTCAGGCGGATATGGTGGAGGCCGTGGAAGTTTTGGCGGTGGTCGTGGCGGAAGAGAAGGAGGTGCTGCTGGATCACGTATTCGCAACATCGATTGGTCTCGAGAGAACTTGCCTCCAATCGAGAAGAACTTTTATCACGAGCATGCTTCAGTAACTCGTCGTGACCAGTATGAAATCGATCAATGGATTTCTTCGCATCAAGTGACGCTCGAAGGACGCGGAATTCCCAGACCGATTTTTGAATTCAACGAGGCTCCACTCCCAGGAGAGCTCACTCAGCTTCTTTACGGAAAATTCCAAAAGCCCACAGTTATTCAGTCGATTTCATGGCCAATCGCGATGAGCGGCCGTGACATCATCTCTATTGCGAAGACTGGATCAGGAAAAACTTTGGCTTTCATGCTGCCAGCCATCATGCACATTACCAAGCAACCACCGCGCCAGAGAGGCGATGGTGCTTCAGTGCTAGTGCTTCTCCCAACGCGTGAGCTCGCCCAGCAGGTTCAGGAAGTCTCTGTTGACTTCTGCCACGCTCTTGGACTCAAAATGGTGTGCCTTTTTGGAGGTGCTGCAAGGGGCCCACAAGCTAGAGATCTCGATCGCGGAGTTGATATCATTGTCGCAACTCCAGGACGCCTTTTAGACTTCATTGAGGGCGGCGCAACTACAATGAAAAGATGCTCGTATTTGGTTCTCGATGAAGCCGATCGCATGCTCGACATGGGTTTTGAACCGCAAATCAAGAAGATTGTTGGACAGATTCGCGTAAGAATTGAATTGAGAATTTTGCGAGTTGCATATGATTTAATTTTCAGCCCGACAGACAAACATTGATGTTTTCTGCTACTTGGCCCAAGGAAGTTAGAAGTTTGGCTGCTGAATTCCAGAAGGACGCCGCTTTCCTTAACGTCGGTTCACTTGAATTGGCTGCCAACCACAACATCACCCAAGTGGTTGATGTTATCGAGGAGCACAACAAACAGCAGAGGATGATGGCACTTTTGAACGAAATCATGAATCAGGCTGAATGCAAGACGATTATCTTCGTGGAAACCAAAAGGAAAGCTGATGAGCTGACCAGATGGATGAGACGAGATGGGTGGCCAACATTGTGCATTCATGGTGATAAAAACCAATCAGAACGCGATTGGGTGATGAATGGTATATCGAGGAATAGTTTTTCGAAAAATGTTTGTTGTTTTTTCAGAGTTCAAGGGTGGAAAAACTCCAATTTTGCTCGCCACTGATGTTGCCGCTCGAGGAATAGGTAAGATAGTTTATCTAGAATAGTGCGCTCGAAAAGGGTCAAATGCTATTTCACATGTTTATCGTTGGCGAAATTCGATTTTCAGGCTGCAAGCTTTCGCTTTTATTATAACATTTTTTGCAAAAAGAACCACGTTTGCAGCAACGAGCAAATTGCTCGAATTTTTCTCGTTAACGTGTGGAAACTCATTAAATTTGACCCTTACAGTTGTGAAATGAACCATTGGCCGAGAGGACTTGGATGAATCAATTAACTGGTTTATCTGGTGTTTATTCCATGGCGAGCGGCCTGTGAGACACTTCCGTCTGTGGAAACCTTCGTTCCACAGTGGATGTGATGTTGTGCCGGAGAGCAAGCTTACATGATGATGAGTTGCTGGAACCGATGGCAAAGCACTGTTGCATTGCTTCATCTTCCACATATCGAATGTCATTGGGTTGGCTGCTTCTTCGGGAATTTAATATACAACTCATGGGTCGTTGTCGTCGTCGATACCTCTCTGTCCATGGATGGTTTTCCGGTACATTGGTACCGGTTTGCTGAACGCTATAGCCGCGATGTTTATTAAATAGCTGGGTCAGGTGCGTAAGTCTGAAGCGGAAGAAAGCGGAGAGTGATTTGCGCACTCTGTTGTCTTTTTTGGCTTACCTATAAGTGGATTTTGAAATTCGAAATTCGCACTACTGGCCTTGCAAAATTACCGTAGAGAATATAAATATATACATAAATATTTTTGAAAAATTCATTCAAGTGAACTTTCTTTCGATTTATATAATTTCAAAGTTCACTTATAGTAAGTAGTTGTAAAATGATTCGTCATTTTGCAACAAATTAAGGATAGCACATTTAAGTGATTTGCCTTTAGATGTCGACGATATTAAGTATGTCATTAATTATGACTACCCCAACAATTCGGAGGACTATGTTCACAGAATCGGACGTACTGGAAGGCGAGACAAGAAGGTAATTTCGATGATTGTTTGGGACTTAAGACTTAATTGGTTTTTTTTTCAGGGAACAGCTTACACATTCTTCACACCACAGAATGCTGCGAAAGCCAAAGATCTTTTGAAGGTTCTCGATGAGGCTAAACAGAATGTTCCCCAACAGTTGAGAGATATGGCAAATCGATCGTACGGAAACTCAAATAGTCGAGGAAGATGGGGTGGAAACTCTGGCGGAGGAAAACGCAGTTACGGTGGAAATGATAGCTATGGTGCAAAGCGCGGAAGGTAATTTCTGTTTTCCCGATATCAACATTATTAATCGCGAAATTTTAGATATGAAAATGGTGGCTCTCACTGGTGAATATGATGATCTCACACTCTTCTTCGTCTCTTTTCTTTTTCACTCAACTTTAACATTTTTATAAGAGCTTTTCATCTCTTATAATATCTCAATTTTCTTTTACATCTTGTTTTTTCTATTAGATTTTTGTATTTGGCAAGAGAATGTTTTCGTCCTCGTTGTTAGAATTACACCGAATCATAAATCATCCCATACATTTGTAATCTCTAATAATTATGTTTTATCACTTTGTTTTTGTGTTGTCGTTGTGAGATGTGTGCTTTCGGAGGGGCCGAATTTCAGAGAAATGAATGAATTGTGTTTTGTTGAATATTTTTTTAACCGAAATAAAAACTTGAATTTTGATTCGAATCGATTTATATGAAACGGTTGGTCCGGAGAAGTTAATGCGTTTTTTTTGGGTCATGATTGAATGGTTTCGTAGGAGAAGCAGAAGAGCAAAAAGAAGCTTTGGTGGTTTTTTTTGGTGAGTCCACCTGAACGAGGGGAAACCCTATTATTATTTTCCGTCGCCATTGTTGTCGACGAGCAGAATAATTTCTAGAAGACCCGTTTTTTGTTGCTTTTCCCGTATTGTGAGATTTTTGGGTTCATGCGCCTTTAAATTTTAGCGCTCCACAAATTGTACTACGGTGGTTGAACTACCGTAATAAGACCAATTTTATTTCGAGGATTTTTAAAATAGAAATTGGTCTTCACGCAAAAATCAATTACATATTTTTTGCCTATGCGCCTTTAAATTGATTAAATTTAAATATGAATCCTGACAATATTTTGGATTTTCCCACTATTTGGCGTATTCGTCGTTTTGAAACACATAATTTAATTTTATCTCATGCGCCTTTAAATGTGGTTTGAATTTTTTCTTCTAATATGCATGATGTAAAACAAGAAACGGAGGGTTGTTGAATGTTTCATGACCTCAAATGGAAGAGTCCGAAGGAGACGTTGGTTTTTTTTTTGAAATTTTGAAACTCACGTGAGAATTTTTTGGGAGACCGATTTTTTTCCTATGCGCCTTTAAATTAGCAAATTCGAGAAAGTGCAAAGCTCCCAAAAATAAACAGTGCCAACAATTTAATTGTGTTGCATGCGCCTTTGAATTGTCATTTTCGAAACGAATTTGAATTTTTTCAGGATTTAAGAAAATTTCGGGCAATTTTGAAGCGAATACGCAAATTTTGTTACGCCAATGCGCCTTTAAACTAATCAATAATTTTAAAGGCGCATTATCGCAGTGAAGCTTTTTTTGCGATTAAGTAAATTACGAACCGATCATGGAAATTTGAATTACCGCCCAAAAAAAAAGAAAAAGTTGCGATGGTCCGAGAAAAAGAAGCGACTTGGTTTATTACAAAAAAAATAATTGTAAAAAATTCGGAGATTCAAAAATCAATAGATTTGAACGAGAATTGAATGACAAAAATTTTTGAAAAAAAAATATTTGACAAACCAGACAATTGGGGTTAAATTTTAGGGAAAAAGCGGTCAGCAAATTTTTTTTTCGAAACTTGAAGGCTTAAATTCGCATTTTGAATTGTCAAGATTCAACTGGAAGAAAAAATATTTTGGGGTTTGGTGGGCCAGCTTTTTGTTTCTTCTTTATATTGCGCGCGGTGGGGCCGCGTCGGTTTTTTTTTCATTGCCGCCCCCCCCCCACTAGTAGTTGGCGTAGAGAAACTGGCGATGGCGGAGAATGAGGAAAAAAGAAAAACGGGGCCCGACGAGAATCAATAGGCGCTGGCCGGGCGTTTTGCGCGCGCGCGCGCGCTCGTTGTCTCCACGCTGCTAAATTTTTTTTTCGTCCTTCTCATCATGTACCGCGGTTTTTTTTTTCAGACTCCCCCCCCTTTCCCAACTCTTCTAAGCCCGTTTTTGGCTATGCTCTCTTCTTGCCGTTCTATTTTTAAATCAGCTTCCTTCGTTCTTGATTTTTTTTCCATTTGCGTAGAATTAATTGAATCGCTAATTTGCTTTAATTGGCCGGCTCGCTCAATTGATTTTTGCCTTTTTTGTCATTTTATGACTCGTTTGTTTTCCTGGAGAATCTTAATTGCCCGTAATTGGCCAGAAAATTGCCTTCGGTTTTTTTTTGCATTGATACACTTGAATTGTCTTTATTTTCTTCCCCATCCCACTCATATTTGAATTTGTTGCGTGTTCACATAGATTATTAACAATTTCGCATAGCTTACTACTTAATTAGCCTTAATTGGCCACATAAATGGTTTAATTTATTCATGGCTTCGTTTGGAGGAAATTTTCTTCAATTTTACTTTCTCTTTCTATGATTATTTCAATTTGCCTGAAAATTGTTATCATTTTCAGTTTTTTTGCAAAATTGCGTTGCAATTAAAATCGTCTTTACAACTTAATTAGTCCTAATTAGCTCTAGTTGCCTATTTCTTATTGGAATCGCCGGAAGTTCTCAGTTGCAACATCAAATTTTGTTAAAGATTTGTCTGACGCGATAATTAGGCTTAATTGGGCTAACTAAACTAGAAATGATACGCAGCATCTTATATCGTGTCCTATTTTGCAATTTTTATATCAATTATCGCTAATTACCTAATTAAACATTAATATAAAGTTAGGTATTGCCGCGAAAATAATTTTTTGCTGATTTACTTTTATGGGAACCCTGATTCGATTTGGATTTGTCCAATTCAGGTTATCAGCGAATTAGGCCGATTTTTTTGCATTTTGCACGTTTTCATGTCCATTTTTGGGATTAAGCTTCATCTTTCCTACTTCAGCGTTTTTTTTGTTGGCTGGAAAAAATTGACTTCCATCAGCTTCTTTCTTCTGCTCACAACAAAAAATTTATAATCCCCCCACCCCCCGTGGCTCGTCAATTTGGCGCCGGAAGCGACAACTCATTTCTGGTCTCACGTAGCCAAACCTCGTTCATTTTTGTTTTGTGTCGATTTTCGCGTCGAGACCATGTCGAAGGAGTTTTTCGATTTGTGTCGTCTCGAGACCGATTTAAAGGCGCCTATATGGTACCATGATGCACATAAGTGACGGCTGAATTCCCAAAAAAATATAAATATTGAAATTTTCGCTTCGAGACAACAATAGTTGTAGATTTACGCAGGATCAAAATTGGATCGAATTTTTGGTCACCTCAAGACCCGCTTAAAGGCGCATGACAAAAAAAATGTTACCCTTTCCATGAAAGTCTCTAGTAATCCCATGTTTTTGCGTTTCGTGTTCCGAATTCCTAAAGAAAAACGATTTTCGCTTCGAGACCATTTTGATTAGTTGTAGATTTACGCGGGATCTGAAATGAATCGATTTTTGATCGCCTCGAGACGCACTCAAAGTTGAGAGATGGTGGCAAAATGCGTCGAGACCACCTTGTTAAATCAATAAAGCGGCGAACGAGTATCCATTTCTGAAAAGCATTATCGGATTGCCGGCGAGACTGCCGCCGAAATGGTGGTCCCTTCACAGCCCTCCTCGTATTCTATCTCATCATGGAAACACTAGTAGTCGGTCTCGACTATTACGCAATGCATACACATACTCTCACACACAGAGAAGAATCGAATGAGAATTGTTTCTCTTCATCACGTTCCTATATTTTTTTTTGTTGGCTGCCTTCTCAATCGTCTCATTCGTCTTCTGCGATTAATTACCCGTACAAAACAACCGACGCCGCCCGATTTTATTACCATTTCTCGTATCGACGACGATTTTCGGTTTTGATCTTTTGTTTCTCTCGTTTTCGCTTTTTTTGGGACCTTCTTTTTCGTGCTGTTTGCGTCTAGGTAGATCACAAAATTTTGTTTTTGGTGTGCGATGGCGCGCGTTTGATTTTTTGCTGTCTGTGGTGAAGCGCGTTTGCGGTATAATCAAGTGTAGGTAGATCAAAATTGGAGCGTGTTTGAAGCGGAATAAAATGTGAATTGCTATTTTGAGCGCCTTTATTTCTGACCTGAAATTCGATTTTCTTTAGAGCGCGTTTGCTGCCCAAAGCGAGGTAGATCAAAAAACATGTTTTGCTAGCGAGAAAAATCGATTGCTGATTGTGTTCTAATGATGCACGGCTAGAATATTCTCGAAAATGCTCCTGGTTTTTTTTTCGCTCAACGCATTTTTCATCGTCTTCTTCTTTTTTTTTTTTTTTTGAGAGGCACCTCTTCGCCTTCTGATTCAACCTCGTTTTTCCCCACTCACACACATCACCGTTTTCTTTTTTGGGGCGCCGAAAAACGTCAATATTCCATTTTGTTGCATAATGCGAATTTTTTTTCCAGGCCGTCGATTATGAAAACGCGGAAAGCGGCCAAGAATACGAGCAGATAGGAACACGAACATCACGTGGGTTTTTTTTTGTTCGGTTCTTCAAATTGGCAAAATTTCGTTTAAAATTCCATTTTTTTTCCCAAAATTTCTTAAAATTCTGTTTTTTTTTTGGAAAATTTGCTCTTGAGAATGTCCGCAGATTGAAAATTTCATTATTTCAATCGATTTTTTTCTTCTTGATCGTTATCATTTGAATAAGTGCTAAAGAAGCTCAGCAAATCGCAAGTATAGTGGATGTTCGTCTCAAAAATTTTTTATCCTGCTAGTACGACACTCCAAATTCACATCGCCCTCAATTTAGTGTGTCGCGAATTGTTTCTGAATATTAAAAAAAAAACGTATCGAAAAATGTTTTTGAATATAAAATTTGCATGCTGCGGACAATTCTCGAGCCCAATTTGGTCATAAAAATAATAATTTTTACAAAATACCTTTTTTTCTTGACAAAATTTTCGAAATGCGCTTTTTATTTAAAAAAAAAAGAATTTTCGGTGTGAATGAAATTGTCCGCAAATGGAAATTTTTTTTAACATTTTGCGGTTGCATTCAAACAATTATTTTCTTTATCCTTCTGTTCTGCAATTTTTTGGAATTATTGTTGGAAAAATGATATTTGTTTGGAAAAAAACGCCAATTATCGCAATTTTGATAAGAAAATCCGGAAATTATAAATAGCTAAGGGAGAAAAAAAATACTCATTTTTTCTCAAAAAATTTTTGAAGGGAACATTTCATTTTGCAGATGTCGCTATTGCCGCTGAACACGTTCGCCGACGCCGGATGCATATTCGTCGAGGCGCGCCTTCTCGGCAATCCCGGCCAAATCGTCTCGCAAATCGGGCTCACCGTCGACGCGCCGAACACATCGATCGCCGTTTTCTGTGAGTCGTCATCCATTCCGCTCAACTGACTTGATTGTTGTAAGATGCGAATCGAATAGCCACTCGTTCCATTCGCTTTTGATATAGTTGACATGTCTTATGTGTGTGTGTCTTTTTCTGAGGTCTCGTTGTACACGCCAAAACTGGCATGAATAATAATCAGTTTGGTGGCGGGGACGTCGTCATTCGTTTTCGTTGAAAAAAATAATTTTCCGGGGGATTTGGGTCTGTAGATCAAAAATTGTTGCTATAGAGCGCACTTGCTCATAATACATGTATACGTTAAAATAATTAACTTAGTGGAACTATTGAACAGACGTTTGCCATGGAGCGAATTTGTATAACGAGTAGATCGAACAGTTTTGCGATGGAGCACATTTGCTGCATGGTATTGGTAATAATTTTGTATAATTTCTATCCTAAATGGTAGATTAGAAGACGATTATTTGGTGGAAAACTCGAAGAATGCAAAATCTGAAGCAATAAAAAACGGGTGTTTCAATGGAGCGCGCTTGCATCGGCGCGGTTTTGTTTTGGGGCAGACGACTTTTGAAAAAGAGAAAAGAGAATAAATAAAAACTCAAACCAATGCTATTTATTTTTGCATCCTTTTCTTTCTGTTCTTGTTTCGTACCGAAAAAAAACCACTTTCGAATTGTTGACTGATGGGATGTTCGTTGGTGATAATCAGAGAGAGAGGAGGAGAGAGTTAGAGAAAAATGAGGCTTTTTGAAGTCATTCGGTCGGGTTTTGCCGAGAAAATCTTGCAATTATTCAATATATTCCATGAATGGTGTCGTTGTTCTGGTTCGCCGTTTGATCTACTTGAGAAGTGGCTCGTCGAGGAGGTTTGAAGATGGCCAACAAGGTAGAAACGTTCCATATTTGGGGGTTTGTTTAACAACAGAATATATCGCTATATAATTCACCTCGAACTACTGATTTGTTAAATTTTAAAGGATACATTAATTTGTGCAATTTTGCGTAGGTGTGTAGGCACACATTAATGGACAGGAAGTGGGTGGCGCGTTAGCTATGAAAGTGCTTTAAAGGGTCAAAAAAGGAAAAATGAAAAAATTTCAGAGAAAGCGAAAAAATGAATTTTTCTTTTTTTTTTTGTTGATTTTTTGCGTATTTTCGCAAAATAATTGAAAATTGGTTAACTGCGGCCCAAATTTGGCGAAATGTGTGAAAAAAAAATTTGGGCCGGTGTTCCGATGATGAGAATTGTCGTCACTTGCAACAAAACCTGTCGACGATCACCCGCGTCGCCAAATGCAATCCGATAGCTCAACAATTCTCCAACGACAATTTTTTGTTTCGCCGGAAACGTCAACCGACAACTGATTGTTGCCGAGTAATTCGACACCCGCGTGGCCCACTCACTGGCCCAACCATCGGCACTACTAGTAGTCATTGTGGTCCGTGCCGAATGGCTCCCCGGAGACGTGCAATCCGTCGGTCGACATTCTTCATATTCGCCAGATGGCCAATGGGAGAATAGTTGAAGGCGCAATTTTTATGAATTTCGTTGTTGGCGTTTTTTTCTTCGGTTTCGTTCTCGTCAGTGTTTTGAAAGGGACCCCGATTTGTGGATTATTGGATTTTTATGATCACTCGCCGCCGATTTAATTGACTTTGGAGGATTTTATGATGGTCGCTGCTCGTTTGTTTGAGCACGAGCTCATTGGTTTTCTGTGATGATTGGGGATGGTAGATCAAAAGCGAATTGCGGTGTTCGATGGAGCGCACTTGAGTCGTTTTGTTTTTAAACCATTTTAGATTGAAGTGTGCAGATCAGATGTCTTGCGCATTGATGTTCATTGGAGCGCACTTGATCAGGGCATCTAGAAAATTCCATAAAAGTAGATCAAAAAGAATATTATCAGTAGAGTTTTTTTTTTTGAAAATTTAGCCAATTCAAATCACATTCGTTTTCGAAAATAAGTGAGTAAACGCGCGCCATCGAACTCGACTAGTCTATGCAAATGAAGATCGGAATATGATGATGATGAATCATGAAATCAAAAATGTGACATTCGCCGGGGCGGGAACATCTGGCGCACGCCAAACTTTAAACAAAACCCGAACAGCTGTCGGCAGATGAGACGAATGATTATTAGTAGTAGTATTAGGAGAGATATGAAGGTAGATAGTTGATGATGATGATATGCATAATAAGGGATGATACAAGGGGGGGGGTCTGATGGCTGCAGGGTGTTTATTTTCACGCCGCGCGCGTACCGCCTCAAGGTGCGTGCAGTCTGCGTCGTCGGCGTCGATCACACTCTCACTGCCTCTCGCGCTGATCGCTTTTTTGACGGTTGTTCACTCACACCGCTCGCACACACACACACACACGTACGGACGGACGGACGGCCTCTAATCGACAGCCTGTTGTGTGCTCTGGCATCGAAAGGGAGCTGGTGATTCGGTTCTTCTTTTTCCCTCTTCTTCTTCTTGTCTGTCCATGGATGCTGCCGAGATTGATGTAGCGTTCAACTCGAATTGCGATATTGTCTTGTCGTTGCTGTCGCCGTTCGCGCCGAACAAAGCAACCATAAAAGGTGAGAGGGGATTCGACTTGAAAAATTTTGTTTTGCAACTAGCCTATATGGGAGGCGATGTCTCGAAAAATTGGTATTTCTGAATTTGAGCGTCTTTAATTAACATTCTTTCATGATGGTTTTTTTTTTCTTCTGAAATTTCTAAATGGCTTGAATTCCCGATTTTTGCATCACGATAATTCAAGAGAGAGAACGATTCTTGATTGCTGGTTTTTTTTTTGCGAATCGCTTCCTTCTGCTCTCATCTAATTTCCATACACATGAATTTCGATTCCAATATATAATTATTACCAGTAATGCGACCCCCCCCCCCGCGTCTCTCACTTCTCTGTATACCATTTGTCGCGACGCCTCTTTTTTCTATTTGTGAATATACGCCGATACGTAATTATACACGATTCGAATCCGATTCATATGTATATGCATAGTTTGTATAAATAACCGTTCGTTTACACTTCGGAAGAACACCGGCATGCGCCTTTAAACTCTTCACACGCTGACCTCTGATTTTGCAGCGCCTCCTCCGAAATAGTTTTTATTGGAAATTTGTGCATTATCGAGTTTCATTATTTGATCTACCCGGTTCCCGCGCATTAAAGGTCCAGTCGCGTTGGACAAATTTTGAAATGTTCTCATTTTCCCACTCGAATGGTGCACTTTTGTTGACGAAATTTGGATTTTTTTTGCAAGCTTTTTCTTCTTCTTCTTCTTATTCTCGTGCTCGCTGTAGTATTATTGGTTGAAGTGTTTGCACAAAGTACGTACGAACTCGTTTGATGTAATTTTTTAATCACCCCCATTTTTTTGCTATTTGAAATCGAGCCTAGCTTGGCAAAAAAAATGAAAATTGTTGGTTGTCTTTATTTTTTGTGCAAACAGAATGCCTTATCGATGAGAAGCCCACAGTCGGCATTAAAATTTCGCACGTTTTTGTGCCAAATTGCCGATTGGTATCGATATTCACGTAAAATTGTGTGCTTTGCGTTGTGTTCCGATTTTTTATCAATCACGTAGAAGAATTATTTGCATTTCGACTGGATTGCTATTTTTTGAGGCGATGGGGGGGGGGGTTTAAAGGAGCATGATTTATGGGGTCTATGGGTTTTGGAAGTGTTTTAAAGGAGCATACGATTTACATTTGGGTATTGGTTCTCAATGACTTTTTGATTACTGTAGGTATTGGCTCGCAGCTGAGTTCAAACATTTTAAACGTGCAATTTGGGATACGGTAGAGGGTGTTGAAAAAATGAATATTTTGATCTCCTTGTATGCGGATTCGAACGAATGCTACAGTAATCCTATTGTTGATTTTGTTCGGCTCGGCCGCATTGTTTTAGCGTTATTCATATTGTTGTTGTTTTTTTGTTGCAGCTCGAACCAGCGGTGTTCTGCTCGTCGCCGGCGTCGGCTCGTTTTTCGCCTATCGCGTTGTCTCAAACTTGCTCGGCAATCGGTGAGTCTTGGCGGGAATTTGAAAAAAAATACTTGTTTTGTGATTTTTTTGATCAAATTTTTATCAAAAATTTTGGTGATTTTGGCGATTTTTACAAAATTCCGAAAAAAATTTTTGAATAAAAAAAATCGTCAATTAGTCGATTTTGCAGATTCGTTTGGGAGTGTCTCGAAGCGCGAAATCTTGATCAATTACCAACAGCCGATCGACGTCTTCTCTATTCATTTGTGAGTGGTTTGATAACGGCAATTAATTCGATTTGACAGCGTCGAATGATGATCGAATTGATTTGTTACACAGAATAGTTTGAGCTGTTTGCAGAACATTGATGAGGACGACGACGAGGAGGAGGTGGACGAGGAACGGCGCGAGGCGCGAGGGGAACGATTGAGGAATGATAGCGATGAGACGAGAAGCGTTCGATCGCTTGGACAGGTGAGAGGAATTTTGAGCTAAATCGTTTATTTTTTGAATTTCAGGTCTCATTATGCCGATTGAATCGCGCGCGACGCTCGATTCGACAATCGCGCGGTCTTCTCGGCTCGCTGAACCCGTCGGATCGTCATAAAGACGGCATCGTGAGTCGGCAATCGTCGCGTTCGGTGAAATCGGGCGTTCGCTCAACGTCGTCGTCGTTCGGCTCGATGAAATCGGCGTCGTTTCGCATCGTCTGGGAGGGCAGTCAGCCGTCGTGGGACGACTACGGTGTGCCGACGACGTCGGCCGAGGCGTTGCCGAAGGCGGCGTTGTCGCGAATCGCCGGCGGATGTGTGCCGTCGACGTCGGCCCGAGAGGATTTGGCGTCGGTTGGCGATCTTTGCAGCGTTTTCAACGATGTAAGTTGATGATCGCGTCGAGACAGACTTCGTGGCAGGACCCGATTCACTCGAAGCTCAGATTTCCGCAAATTTGAATTGCTTTTGAAATTCTCGTAAATCGACATTGCTAGAGTATCGCGGCAGGACCCGAGCTTCTAGGAGCTCAGATTTTGAATAGTTTTTGAAATTCTCGTAAATTGACACTAGTCAAGACCATTTCGCGTCGAGACCCAACTGTTTTTGATGGACAATTGTTTCCAAAAAGAAATACGAACTTTTTTTTGCAGGTGATGTCTGTGACGTCGGCCGTCGAGGGCAACGATGCGCTTCTTCTCGACGACGATGATTATCGCGAAGACGACGAAGGGAATGAGAGCATCTGGCAGAAGTGTATGGCCGAGAAGTACATGTACGAGAGTTTCGCGATTGAGCCGAGCGAATCCGGCTCGCATGGCGTTTATGATGACGAGGAGACGATGAGGTTGGCGATTATGACTTTTTTTTCGATGACGACCAGAAAAGAAGCGTATTTTCGTTGAGATTACTGTAGTAGATCAAAAAATGCTTTAAAACGATACTGTAGAAGAATTGGAAAATCGAATTTTGTCCACGATTTTTCCTTCAGCAAACCGACGGCGAATCCGTCGATGCTGTCGCCGATGGATTCCGATGAGCACGTGATGACGCGAAGCAGCAACTCGAAACGCAGTCGATCGATGTATGACTCGGCGATTGGCGGCGAATTGTCGAGCGATGATGGATCGAGCTATAATAATAATAATAAGAGGTGAGTTGATGGCAAGAGATTATTGGAACCCAAAACGAAAATGCTTGGCAATGATTTCATGTTCCATTCGAGACCCATGGCGCCAATTCAAACGCTGGAATATTATTGAGAAATTTCGAGGAGCTCATGATTTGGATTCATTTTCGATTTTGAAGCTACTACAGTATTCATTCATTAAAGGCGCATGCCAATTATTCAAATTTTCAAAAATCTTAGTGCATCCCCAGAATTTCCATTTTGTGATGAAAATTTTGAATTGGCTTTCAACCTAATTTTAATGGTCCAGTATTTTTGAGAAATTTGAGAATGAAATAAAGAAACCGTTTTTTGGGTCGTGCTCGTTTTTCTTTCTACGATTTCGAGCATCAGAAAATTGTTGGAATGGTCCCTCGGTTTTTCTATTTTTTTCGCCACTTGTTCTCAATCTATTTTTGTCGCCCGTAGGGGGACCATCGAGCCAAACTGCAACCCATTTTCAATTTTTGTTAATTAACACCCCTCTCGTCATTTACTTTTTTTTTTCGCCTCATCGCTTCTTCCAATCTAAACATAGAACGAAAAGCCGGAAATTAATTACGAGACGTTTGCCCCGACTTTATTTATGACGGGGGGGGGGATGGGGTGGATAAGATTTGATGCGATTTCGAAAGTTTAAAAATAGAAACGCATTACTTTTCTCCTTTCAGGCTCAATGTGCTCGAGGAGGCCGACAGCTCGTCGATAGTGGCGCCGTCGTGCGCCAGTCTCGAATGGTGCGATGATATTGCGAGGTAGCGACGACAACGTGCTTCGGAGCATGACGGCGGACGGGTGGATTGATTGAGATTTGCGTTTTCCAGAGTGATGCAGAGCGAGACGGGCGGCTCGCCGTTGCGACGCGCCAATTTGGATTGGGACATGGAGTCGGAGATGATGGACGCCGTGCCGTCGGTATCGTCGAGTTGTGTGAGTTGTGCGAGCTGTCGTTGTCGACACCGATCGTGGTGGTTTCATTTTTTTCGTGGAGAAACTGACAAGAATTGATTTTTCTCTCCGAACTCGGGATCTGCGGACAATCATCCGGGTTGACATTGAGATAAAAGATTTTTTGTCGCAAAAACTTCTTGAAGGATTTTTGAAATTTCAAATTTTTGCGGGTTTCGTTAAACAAAAATGTTGAAAATCGGAAAAAAAGGTGAAATTTTGAGTTTTCTTTTTGAAGAACTAAATAAAAACCAGCGTGCGCCTTTAATTACATTATTCCGATGACGAAGGATTTTCAAAAATTGATTCAATTTTCTTTATTAATCGCACAACGAAATAATTGATTAAAGGCGCATAGCGCGTAAATGGAGTTTGGTCTTGTGACGACGACAAAATATCTATTTATTGTTTTTTTTTTCTAGATTCGCGACGTCAACGCAACGTATGCGCCGAAATCGTCTCGAGACCTAATGGTGATGGCTTGCGAGATGTTTCCGCCGTACTCGCCGCCATTCAAGGTAGCGTTTTCAATTAAGCTAATTGAAAAACGCGCGAAGCGCACAAATTCGACATTGAGAAATCTCGAGACGCTCACGTACATGCGTCGAGATTAAATTTCGACGATCGCTTTCGGACCGAAAGAGAGCAAAGTGCACAATGCCGGCGATGGGTGTTAGATGACGATTGATTATTATTATTATTTATATTATTAATGTGTTCGCGGAACTCGTTGACACAAGACTTTGTGATATATGCGGATTAATTGTCTGAACTCTCGCCGAATTTTGAGATCAAACGCGTTCAATCGGTTATGTGGGCGTTTTAAAGGAGCATCGAATGGTTTTTTTTGTTGTTGAGAAGGTTACGGTAGCTTCCTGAATCGCTTCTAGAATTGATAGAGATCATGGGAAAATTTGTGACGAGTATACTTAAAGGAGCATCGTTGAATTTAAATTTAGAAAGGTGTTGTAGCTTTTAGGAGCGATTCTAGAATTGCTAAAGATCATTGAATCATTTTAAAGAGTATACTGTAGAATTTAAAGGAGCGTCGTTGAATTCAATTTTAGGGGATTACTGTAGGACGCTTCTAGAATTTCGAGAGAATATGGGGGGCGGTTTTGAAAATTTACTGGAGAACATTCAATTTTTTTTTAAGGCCGGGTGATTACTGTAGCTTTAGGCACTTTGTATATACGGTCAGAATTACGGTGTTTGAATTGCAGGCGATCAAGAACATCTACTATAAGCGGCGACTGAAGCGCGTCGGATTGTACTCGCCGACGGAGACGACGATGAGTTTGATGCTTCGATCGGCGCTCTACCATCGGGTGCCGATTCTTCGGAATCAGACGAGGAGCGCAATGGAAGCGGTTGGTTTTTTGCATTTCTTTTTTTCAATGGTGCTCAAAAACCCGCCGAGAGGATAGTAGTTCTAATCGAATGATTAGAAGGACACTTTTGAGAGGCGGGCATGACGTTTATTGTTAATGGTCCCTAGAAGAGGGAAAGTCTTTTTGAGTGGTTTGGAATGGTTCATAGAAGCTTTGGTGGCGTTCGATGATGATTTGAATGGTCCCTTTCATTATTTAAATCGAAATGCTCGATGCCGGATTATTTAGGAATTCCGCGAAGAGGTCGCTGAGAGTCGTATAGTAAACGATGTTGGTGGTCGCGTGCTCGCATTATAGTCGGAATTGTGACGCCAACGGGCGTTGCTTCTTTGGTTTCATTTTTTTTGGCTTTCGCCTACAAAAACTCGATGCTCTTTCGAGCTCGCGCACACGTGTTCGGAATCGCGCGCGCGCATTATTCATGACGTGTTGAGCGCGCGCGCGGGTGGGCCGCCGTCGTCGCCGTGCGAAGGTCACATGACTTCGGAATTGGCTATGAGGTTTTGCGCACCGGATTACGGTAGTTGTCGTCGTCGCGAGACCACCCGCATTGTGAGAATTGGATCGCGTTCAGATGTTTGAGGAAAATTTCCAAAAACCTTTAAAATCGGTTGTTGGCGTCAAACCACTGATCGAAATTAGAAAAAACTATATATATTGACTAAGTGTTTTGAGGTAGCGAGACTGCGTACATTGGCATTATAGTGTACGCGCATTTAATACTCAGTCAATGATGGATTTGAATCTACATTGATTTTGCGAATTTAAAGGAGCTCGCATCCCTTCAAACTCGAATTCGAACCTGAAAAATGGGGGAATTTTTTTTTCCAGCAGACACTCAAATCCTTGACGATTTTTCACTTTTTTTTCGGTGGCGGCCAAATCATTTTTTTTCTGATCTACCCTTTTGTTGTCTTCAACGCTATCACGTTTTTTGATCAGAAATGGGGGACCGCTCGACGTGTGGTGGATTAACTGCGCATTGCTTTTTTGTTCGACTCGTCCCCCCCCCGTTTTTCATTTTTTTTTGCTCGTTGCCCTGGCCGTCCGCCGACGTCATTATTATAGGAAATGAGTGCAAAATTTGAGCGGGGTGTCTTTTTTTTTTGGTTGCACAAAGGCGACTTTTTGTCCCACGAAAAAATTACGAATTTGGGAAAATCTTCCAAAAATGCCATATTTGGTATTTGGAAAAGAGAGAGGTGTCGAAAAAATGCGAGAAAGCCTTTTTTTGGGAGTCTTGAATTTTATTTGAAACAGAAAAGATTCGATTTGAAATTTTTTCGACGAAGCGAAGAAATTTTGAACATTGCGCGGAAATTTCGTGATTTTTCGCAATTTCTTTTTATTTCGAAAAATCCGTTTTGAATTCGTTTCGTTTTTTTTGGCAAATTACAAATTCTCAAATAAATTAAGCCGATTTTATGATTAAATTGGGAAAAAACATTACTTTTAGACTTTTTTTGTGGTCTTGATTGAACCGGAATTTTGCGATTTGAAACATCACGACCAGAAAATTTTTTTTGCAGAAAATATTTTGACAAAAAAAAATTGGGAGTTTTGGCGAAATATTAGCAAAAAATCCTTATTTTTTCGAAATTCCAATGAAAAAAAAATTTTTTTTCATATTTTTTTAATGATTTTTTGAAATTTTTGAGATCCTCTGAATCAGAATTTTACCAAAATCGGATTTTTTTTTTTCAATATTCGAAATATTCTGCAAATTTTCCATTTCGTCTTTGTCCTCATACCACTTTGATTGATTTTTTTTCTCCTCCCTTTTTAAAGGGGATAGGCGGGGGGTCCTGGGACCCCCCCCCCTTGAAAACGAACGAACAACTTGATTTTTTTTTTCAACAAATCTATGATTTATGCCGAATTCGGCCAACAGTTTGAATAATACAGCATCAAGTCAATGAAATCGAGAAGAAACAAATGGAAATAATATTGGGACCATTAAAAACGAATGCGAAATGAAGAACAATTGAAAAATGAAAAAATTGGGGATGGGGGGATGAAGAAAGTGTGCCAAATGTTGAACCGCTGAATCAAAAAAAATCGAAGAAATCGCATAATAAACCTATCATCATTATCATTGATATTACAAATATTAAATAAACATGGTTGAACAGGGGGGTTTTTTTATTTTTTATTTTAACAGGGGGTTGGGGGTTGGAAGGCCCCGTCGTCGTGTGTCGTCGACGATTAGAATTTCCTCAAAAATTGCGGGAAATTGGCCGGCGAATTGCACAAATCATAGTTGCACACGCAACGAAATAGGTATTCGGACGAGCGGAAGACCGGCGAGATGAGCGGCATGTCGTACTTCTGCAATCAAACATTTTTTTTTGATTTGACGAGACGATGATGATGAACCTCGTGGATGCACACGCTCAACACCTTGTAAGCTTCGTGGGTTTGACGGAACGAGGCGTCGTAGGTCAGCATTGAGTCCTCGCGTGGGCCTGCAAAAAAAAAGAAACAGCGATTGGGACCATGATTTGCCGCCGCCGCCGCCACCAACCCATTCCGAACACTCGAATGTCGTTGATGTGATCGGCGGGAATGAAGCCGCAATAGCTCCATTCGGGATTCGACTCCTCGGTGGGCACGAGCTTCTGCAAAATTGGCGATGTTGTTGTTGATTTTTTTAATTCAAAGGAATGATGTCGCTTACGTTGTTGTCGTTCTCGTAGCAGCGAAGCGCTGTCGACGGCGCGACAAACGCGGCGAGCGCGAGCAGCAGCGCGAGGCGACGGCGGCTCATTTGTCGAGGAGGTGATGAAGTGAAACGGCGAAACTCGCCGCGCCCGTTTTATGGCCACTTTTTTTTTGGTGGCACCACGCCCCGCCCACCTGTGGCGGCGGATGGGCGGGGCCCCGAGCATTCAATCCTCTCTCTCTCTCTCTCTCACCCCCTTCGGTTTGCGGAACGACGTCAGGATTGGATTACGGTAGTTGGGTCGAACAAAAGAAGATTGGATTTGATGGACGGAAATGAGATTCCAGCGATGTATATGCATTGGCTTAGTATCTTGCAAAAAAAAATAATGAGCAATTGCTTCGAACACCAAGCGGATATTGGAAATTTTGTTTATCCATTTTATGCTGCGGACATCCTTGCGGTTACGATCGAAAAGGAAATGTGGAAAAAATTTTTTGGGATTTGTGATTTTCGTGCTGCGGACACTTTGCAGGATGGTTCTTTTTCTCGTATTGTTTTATAAGGGTTCCTTGGTACGACCATCCGAAAAATGGAATAGGTAGTATTACTTTTGATTGTTATGCTGCCCGACACCTTTCCGGGTATTCGATTTGTGCGAGGGAAGCGAATTGATGGATTATGTGTTAAGCTGGCGATCCAGCTTTGCCATCAAGTTTCAGACAAATCCCGGTGTGGGCCGAGCGTTTTTCTGGGAATCGGACCGCAATTATTGAAATGAATGTTTGCTGCCGACATTTTTAGATTACGGTAGTCGCTCGTCGTTGATACATTTTCGAAATGCGTCCGGAAATGACAAATTGTGCATCCGGTGTGTCATCTCATCCGGTGTTCGGCAAATCGCTCCGATTCTCCATATATGTAGTTGCAATATTTTTGCGGTTCGCAAAGGCACACACAAATTACATGGGTCCCGTCTTTGTGATCTCATTTTTTTCCACCCAAATTCGGACAGGATTTTAAAGGCGCACGTAGCCTTGCTTTTGAATTGGGTCCCGTTTAAAGGCGCATGGCCAGCCAATTGTCGTCGTGTCAGAAATAATGCAGAATGCGAAAAATCGATTTGTGGGTTGCCTTAATCCTTTTGGACGAAACAATTTTTCTTTCGAGAAAAACGATTTTGGGGTTTTTTCTTTCGGGTGTCCCGCCTGGAAACTACAGTAGTCGCGATATTTTTGAGCATTGAGTTTTAGAGACTACCGTAATCTTGAATTATTGGGTCTCGCCTGGAAGCTGCACTAATCCCCCTCATATTTTTGTGGCGTTTCAAATTTTTATGTGTTGGATGATCTTCTAATTTTTTGGTCTCGGCTGGAAGCTACAGTGTGCATTGATTTTTGGATTTCGAGTTTCGACTGGAAAATTGTTTGGTCTCGAAGTGGTGTGTGAAGTACAGTAATCCATTGGTTCGAAATTCATTTGGGACCACTACAGTAATCTCGAGAAAGAGATGTTTCTCAATTTAAAAAAAAAAAAAGAAAAGAAGACGAATATCGCTCAAGGAAGCACAAATACCGTAATCCTCATTAGTGTTTTGCACGTTTTGCGACTACGAAAAATTTCCGAGAAATTCATTTTTTGTAGTGCGAAAATGAATGCGAAATTGTTGTTGTTGTTTGCGTGACAAACAATGCAAATTTTGGAGCCTTGGAAACTCGAAAATCGAGCGGGGGACCATTAAAATCGTGAATGTGAAATGTTGGGACCCCTCCGTGACTTATTACGGACCACATTGGAGATTTTCGGCGAAAAATCGGAATGTGATAAGAATTTGTCGAAAATTTGTGTGGCCCGCAAAATTGTCGGCAGATGGATTTCGATAAATGACGAAGCCTTCGAACAAATTAATTTTAAGGCATTTTGATTAGGTATATGAATTCAATGGATTTGCGGGGATCATTAATCCGAGAGATCAAAAAAAAAAAAATAATAATTTTTGCAATTTTTCATGTTTTCTTGCGGTTTGATCGTAATGATACAGTAATAATAATAATAATGGTAATTCATTGGACCTACAGTAACCGTTGAAGGCCGGCGAATTACGTAATTTTTGTTTTTTGAAAGACGCGATGACGCTGAGAAATGAACCGGAATGAGCCACACGAATTGCTCATTTATTTATATTTTTTATTTCTTCTTTCATGACCGCATCGAATCAGTCATTGTTCTGACGACGTCACGAAGCGAGCGAGCAGTTTGCACTATTGCGTTTTGGTATATCCGATTATGCCGCTTATATGCTCCCTTATTCTATATATGTATACATGTATATATATTTTTTTCTTTTTTTTTGTTTGCCTGATTTGATTTCGAACGCGTTTTTCGAAATTCGGAGCGATTTCGACCTAGTCGAAGCTACAATATTCCGGTTACGGTAGTACCGTCTATTGGGAGAATTTAGGGATTGATTGATATTGTTGGGGGAAGTTGAATGAATGGCTACAGTAATCCGGATACGGTAGAACTTCTTGTTGAGAGACATTTGAATGTTCCATCCTACAGTAATACCGCAAGATTGATTTGGTAGACTTGAAGGAAGCTACGATAATTCTAGAAATAATGAAGAGGTTGATATTTGACTGAAAATTGAAAACTACAGTAACCCGATGTTTGAGTAATTGCAAGAACTACAGTAACCCGATTTGTTAATTGGTTTTGTTTGCAGAGGCTCGAAACCGCGATAGCCGAATGCGATTTTATGCGAAAATGGCCGGGCTATTCGACGAAGGCGATGAGAAATGACATCGATGCGATTTTTGAGCTGGTATGATACGATTTTTGAATTTTTTTTTGCTGATGCCAAAAGCTGACAAAAAAGAAACGAATTCTCGAAGCTTCCACTGGTTTTTGAGGATTATCATTTAAGAATTCTGAAATTATTGGGTTTTTGTGGATTTGAAATTTTGAGATTAGCTCTCGAATGAGCTCTTCATTTTGGCTTGTGAAATTTTTTGAATTAAATGGGCAATGTTATACGGATTTTTAAATCTGCAAAAAGTTTTTTTTTTTTGGAAAAAAAATTGCAGAAAATGGCGATTTTTTGCCAAAAATTCTGAAGAATTGAAATAATTTTGAAATTAAAGAAAAATCGATAATTTTAAATTTTTTTTAATTCAAAGATTTCATAAAATGATATAATTTCCATTATTCTGCTTTTTTTTAATATTTTTAAAAAGTTTTAAAAAAGTTTTTCATTAAAAAATAAACAAGGTTTTGTAGAAAAAAATGGAAAAAAAATGCGAATTTTCGGTGATTTGTTGCCCGGACCTTTGAAATGTCGAATTAGGCAATCTCACCGATTTTTCTCAAATTTTCCACAAAAATTCTACACAATTTTCTAAGAATTTTGGTGTTTTCCAATTTTCGATTCGTCCATTTTTCATCGAGTTATTCCCATTTTCATGTGCATAAATTTTAGGCGTGAATTTGTCACACAATTTTACCTATGCACCTTTAAACGCGTTACTGTAACTCACTTATCCCACTTTCAAATTTCCATCAATTTTTCGATTTTTCTCTCGTTTTTCTGCGAACATTTTTTTCCACATTTTTCAGTTAAACTAATTAAAAAAAAAGAAAAAATTGAAAAACTTGAACACTAACACGAAATTTTAAACTTCTTCAATTTTAAAATGCAAAATTATCAATTTTTTTTCCTGAAACGTGAAGATTTCACCAATTTAGAAACATTTGAGTTTTTCTTTTTCATGATTCTGATAATTCATCAAGTCGATAGTTGTATTTGTAGGCGTCGAATCCGGACGCCATCGATTTTCGTGATGATCATCGTCGAGGCCTGGAGCTTCTGCTGGTTCTCGAAGCGAAACGAGCCTACGACGAACGCCTCGCCGGCTTATTCTGCGACGATTGGTTCGATTTGGACAGTCCGGCGGATCTCGTCAAAATGCTGACGGCGCCGAATCAGCCGATTCCGCAAACGGTAGGGACCCTCTCAATTTTTGAAGCAATTTGGTTTTTTTTTTCAAGTTGAGCCGAAAAAAAACGGTGAAATTTGGCTGAACAATGCGAATAATTCAATTTTGAGCGGGAAAAAAATAAATGCAAAAATAATGGGTTTCCAAGAGAAAAAAAAGCGCAAACTAATTGACCTTTTGGTGCGTCCTGCAGCGAACAGAAAAAAAAACGAATTTCGTTCGATTTTTGGACTAAATTGAATCGGTTTTTGCAGCTTCTCTGGAATCTGATGAGTCGAGTTTGCGGCAACGAAATCGAGCTGATCGACGCGCGTCAAATGTCGGAGGAGATTGCGATTCGGCGATTCGCGACGTGCTCGCCGAGCTCATCACCGTCGGCGGGTCTCGTGTGGATCCTTCTTGGACGACAGCCAACCCCGTTGTTTTATATTCCTGACGATGACTAATATATTGGAAAAGAAATTTTTGAAAAAAACAAAATCAACTCCCCGTCACACCGGGTACACGTCAGGGCTGTGCGCCAATGGAATTGTCGATTTGCCGAAATTTAAAAAAATCGGCGAAACAAAACAGAAAATAATTTGGGATACCGTGAAAATTCGGTATTTATATTTCGAATTATCGTTGAAAAAATTTAATAGCCGAAATTTTGATTTTCGGCAACTTGCCGATTGCCACACATCCCTGGTAGACGTCTATTTTTTTTGACCCCCCACTTGATTCACCACTATTGTATTCATGTGCCGTTTTTTCTCCTCCGCCTGATCCACACTTTTTTTTGGTATTTTTTACTTGTAGTATTTTTTTCTGAATATCCTGCGAGAATGTAGGAGGTGCTTTTGACGGTTTGAAGTGAATTGGGGAATTTTTCGCTTTTTTTCAGGCGCGGTTTTAAAAATCATTCAAATTGTTGGTTCTACATTTTTTGGGTTGGAAAAAAACCCAAAAATTTCCGTTTTTGGGTCGAATTTTTTTTTGGAAATTTATGGAAAAAATTTTAATTTTGGAAGAATGCCAAAATAGAACCGTTCTGGAAAAAAGGTTGGTCTGAAAATTGAGAATTTTTGAGATTTTTGGTTGAATTCAAAAAATGGCTGAAATCTAGCGTTTTTGCTGGGAAAAAATTCATGTTTTTTTCTGGAAAATTCCCCGCCCACTTCAAGCGCACCATATTTGGTATATCATGTGTTTGTGTCCCACCCCCATCTCACCCGGTTAACAATTTTCTTTCTCATTTTCATTTTTTTTTGTTTCTTTAGACCTAGGCTGGTACATCTTTTCTTGTTTTAGGACGTTTTTTTTTCACATGTTGTTCGCGGAAAAAAAATGAAACAATTCCATGCATTTTCGAGCGAGGGACCACTCAAACATTTTGCCAAAATATTCGCCGAGCCGTCTCGATGGTCCCCCTCTCAAAAAAAAGGGGAAGAAAAGAAGAAGTTGTGCGATTTTAATTAGAGTATCGCTGCTTCCTTCCGTTTCCTTGTTTTTTTTATGGTCCGCGGACCACACGAAAACAGGTTTATGGGCTTCGATGCGGGTTGTGTGCGTCGCGAGATTAAAATTAATCCGAATTTGGCATTTTTGATTTCCAGAGTTTCAGATTAAGAATAAAAATGGCAGTTGAATTGATTTTCATTATTCATCGCGACTCAGATTTTTAAGAAGATTTTCTTTTTTTTTTTCATAATCGAATAGGGTTCATAGATTTAGCTTTAAATGGTCCCATTTAGCGTGATTTTGGGTCGAAAATCAATATTGACAATGATTCCGAGAACGGACCATTTAAATCATTTATCAAGAACTCAAATTGTACGTTGAAATAGGATTTTTTTTGCAAATGAGGATGCGGGACTCGATCCCGCGATGTTTCGCGCATTAAAATTTCCAATTTTTTGAGAGCGGAAAGAGAAAAAAAAACTTCCAGAATCACAATTTTCTTAATATTTTCACAAATCAGGTGATGGGAATCGATCCCGCGACCTCTCGCGCTTGAAAAATCACATTTTTCCCTCTTTCTAATGACTCAGATTTTTGTAAAAAAAAATGGAAAAATTTTTATTGTTTGTTTTTTTTTTTGCAAATCTGGCTATGAGGCTCGATTCCGTGACCTCTCGCGCTTGAAAAATCCCATTTTTCCCTTTCTCTAATGCTTCAAATTTTTGTGAAAAAAAATGGAAAAATTTTTATCGTTTGTTTTTTTTTGCAAATCTGGCTATGAGGGTCGATCCCGCGACCTTTTGCACCTGAAAAAATTGGCATTCATTTTTGTACTGGAAAATCGCTCTTCGTCGAAAACAATTCATTCCAACATTCGAGGAGGGGGGGGGGTCTTCTCATCTTAGGCTCCGCCCACTTTTTCACTTTTCGAGACTGCAGCGACCCTCTCAAAACCGCTCAATTTTCCTCAAGCACTTTCGCCAAATTTTTTTTCTTGTTCTTGCGAGGGACCACAAAAAATTGCCGACGACGCGATTCCCATGATGCGGCGGCGGGGAGGGGGGGACCATCGAAAACCCGAAAACCCTTCCCATCTGCGGACATTTTTCGGGCCCCCGCGTGGCGGCAATTCAAACACAATTTCGATGGGGGGGGGGTCGAAATCAAAAAGCCCCCACGCACAATAGATGGCAATCTGCTTCGTTTAAATTTCCAGTCGCCGACGCCGACGAGGAGGAGGAGGAGGAGGTTCAATTTGCTCCGGCTCATTGTTCTCATTGTTCTCGTCGGCGCATTTTTTTCTTTTTTTTTCGCTTCAAATTTTTCACACCGCCTATAAAAGCGCATTCGTGTTCAGATCGTCGTCTCAATTATGCTGTTTCGCGCTTTGCTCGTCCTTCTGATGTTGTCGTGCGTCGCGGTCGGCGTCGCGTACGCCACTGTCGTTGAGAAACGCGGTACGTTGAAGTGAAGACCCGACGAATTGATTAATCCAATTTGGATTACGGTAGCACTAGTTCACCTTTTGGGTTTACACTCTGCTTTTTGCCATTTATGAGAATAACTAGAGCTACCGTACCCCTTGGGTTACTGTACCAATAGTAAGTGATAGCGCACCCTGATTATAAAAAATAACTCTACAGTAATCAGGGTTTACGGTAGCACCAGTTTCAAATCAATTCATGACAATTGTTTCCTGAAGCTAAGATTACTGTAGCACTAGTTGAAGGGTTGCCTGAAACTACCGTAACCATCCGAATACTGTAATCCGACAATTTTCAGGCGGCGCCGCGTGGTTTCTGCGCCCCAACTGGCGTCCACCATCGAAGCGTTTCCTCTACGACGTCGTCGACTACGACTCGCCGATTCTGATAAATTGACGTCGCCAATTCTCGTTGCTTCTTTTGGTTTTTTCCCCTCGCCGGTTGTGCGCAATACACATTCATTCAGTTAATCAGACAAATCCAAAAGAAAAAAAAAAACAAAAATCGTTGGCGATCAAATTTTCGAATTGGCGCCATTTGGCGGCGCGATGAGCGTCGCCAAACGCGTCAGCGAATCGTCGACGTTGGCGCAAAACGCGTCGATGTTGCTTCGTGTGCCGATCCAATCCGACACCGCCACCGAAATTCTGAAACTCATTGAGGTCAGTGCGATGATGACGTCACCCACCGATTCTTGCCGATGCGATAGAAGCATCCGTAGCCGTCGGGTCGCATCGCCGTCACGTAGCCCAATGTGCCAACGCTGCCCGGCGGCATGTAGCCGATGAAGCTGAAAAGCGAGAAAAAAATTGTGCGCGTGGCAACTACAGTAATCCAGGACCTCATTACCGTATCCTAAGATCTCGAGGCGCGCAAAAAAAATAGAAAAATGTTTTTTTTTGTAAAGATAAATCGCTTCAAATTCGTTTTTTGCGTATGCGCCTTTAAACACAATGGAAATTGAATGGAGTGAAGGGCCCAACCTTGTCGATAGCAAAAAATTGCCGTCGCCACCGGCGCGTCGCCACGTCTCGTCGCACATGAACGCCGGCAACGCTCGCGACGGTCCGCATCCTTTGTTCATCGACTCGAGCGTCTTCTTGAGGCCGAACAGATGGCGATCGAAACCGCGTCCGTCCATACAATCGGCCATGAGACGATTGTGCGCGTCGACGGCGTCGACGAATCGCCGACGAAGCGCGGCGACGTCACCGCCGGCGAAAAACGCGTCGGCGAATTTGACGAATTCGGGCGTCAGACCGCGAAGCGTCTCGGTGCGACCGTGATAGAATTTGCGCGTCGACGCCGTCTCGTAAATCGGCGCCAATCTGCAAAACCACAAAAAAAAACGTATTGGTGACAAAAATGCAGCTTACGAGCCGTGCGTTTTGGCGAACGCCAACTGCAACGCGATCTGCACCACCGTGTCCGCGTAGATTTTCGCCTCGCGACACAAATCGTTGCCGAAGCCGTGGAAGTGGACGGCGCGCGCGCGGTACTTCGCCTTCTGAATCGAATCGTGATTATCAGGGACGCGGCGGCGGCCTTCTAATTACCGTCTTGAAAAACTCGACGTCGGCGTGCGCGATGGCGACTCGCACCGGCTCGCTCAACTCGAAATCGAGACGCGTCGGCGTCGTCGTCGCGTCGACGTCGTCGAGTCGCGCCGGATGCCACAACGCTTGACGCACTTTCGCGGCGACGTACTCGTTGACTTGAAGCAGCACGATGCCGTCGAGATTCGAATGATCGCCCGTCATCACGCAATGCCCGTTCTCATAGACGGTCAACGAGATCGATTTGTCCTGCCATGTGAACCAGCTCTCATCGACGAGACATTTTTTCATTAGCTGAAAATTGACATCGAGTTCATTTTTTTTATTCAATGTCGTCAGACGCGTTGCGGTTTTTGAAGGTCTTGCACCGAAAAAGTCTATCTGTGCAATGTGTCGTGAGATGTTGCGTTTCGGTACGCAATGATCTACCGTAATCCGCATTTGTCATTTTTTTAAAATTCGATTTCAAAAAAAAATATGTGTTCGCTTACATCGTTGAGCGGATCCTCGCGGCTCGTCGCCAACGTCAAAAACAGAATCGACGTCTCGATGTCGTGAAGGTGCTCGAGATTCTTGTTGCTCACACGAAGAAGATCGTCGCGATTCTGAAAATCGAACACTAAAGGCGCACGCGCGAAAAAAAAATGGTAGCGATTTTCCGTTGAAAAAAAGTGCATCAACCCATTTTTGGTCGTTTTGGGGATCCCCAAAAAATTACCTTGGCCCACGTGTCGCGATCAGTTGTCGTCAGCTTCACCACACAATTGGCGATGTTGTCTGTCGAATTGACCTCGATGAAATTGAGAATCTTAAAAGAACAAAAAGAGCGAGTTGCGAACTCACTGAAGTCACCTCACCGAATATAGTTGATCCGCCGATTTGACGCTGCCATCGCGATTCAGAACGTCGAGCTTCCACAACGTGCCGCGGCAGCACACGATGACGTGCGACGGGCAATCGCCTTCGCTCTCTGAACCCAACCCAAATTGATCGCAATTCGTTGCTGACGACACACTCACTGGTTCGAAAGAATCGCTCAAGCACATCGCTCGGCGTTTTCGGCGTCCGATTACTATTGAACATGTGATGGAATTGCGCCATGTCCCACGTGACGCCACGCGAGACCGTAATTGGCCATTGTTCGCTGCAAAGGAATCATATCGGCGGGTGAGGGTTTGGCGGAATTGATCTACTTGCGCAATTTGTCCCAAACGCCGACCCAATGATGAAGGATGTCGGCGGCGCGGCAAATTTGGCCGCCCTCGATCGGCATCAGCACGTCGTTGATGGCGCCGAGGCTCAGATAGGGCAGAAGCGGTTGGCGCACTTCGACGTACGCGTCGTACCACCAATTGTCGAGCTGGAAAAAAAAAACCAATTGGCGCTTTTTTGGGGAGGTTTTTGCAAAACGCACCCAATTTTTGTACAATTTCGCTCGTGACTCCAGCGCGGTTTGAAGTTGAGCGGCGAGGTCCGAGTTTTCGAATTGCTCAATGTCGCGTTCGAGTTTGGCGAGCTCCGAATCGCTGAGAATCGCGCTGGCTTCAAACACATTCGAGGTGAATTTTTAAGAAAAAACATTTTTTTTTTTTCGACAAAATTGGGTCCGATTTTTTTGATTTTATGAAATAATACGTTTTTTTGCTGAAATTTTTGGATTTTTTCGACCAAATTCGATTCTTTTTTTTGGAAATTATGAGCCACATTTTCAGCCAAATTTGGGAGTTTTTCTCATTGAGACGAATTTTGGAATTTTTTTTTTGACTAATTAGGGATAATAATATCACAGAAATTTTGAGCATTGGCATTTTTTCTCGAAATTCTGATTTTAAAAAAATGAGAAAATTGGGATTTTTTGACCAAAATTTCGGATTTTTTCAAATTAAAGTGCATCTTGAAAAAATATGCAAAAAATTGGGGTTTTTTCCCGGAATTGTGAGCCAAAATTGCGAATTGTCGGCTAAATCAGGGGTTTTTTGAAAAAATGTGAACATTTTTGAAGAAAAAATCGAAAAACTAGGTATTTTTGGACTGAATTTGGGGGTTTTTTCTCGAAATTTTTTGGCAGAATTCGAAGACAAATGGGTTTTTAGGACATTTTTTGAGCAATTTCTCGGATTTTCCACAAACATTTATCATATTTTTCGTGAAAATCCAATTAGCTGAAACAAATCGGCAATTTTGACAAATTTTGAGGCAAAACATTGCAAAAAAAAAAGATTTCTAGTCCTAATTTCGTCAAAAAATCACACATTTTTTCGATTTTTTTTTTCAAAAATTTTCACATAATTTTACAAAAAATGTCCCAATTTAGCCAAAAATTCGCAATTTTGGTTCAAAAATCTCGCAAAAACTCGACATTTTTTGATGACGACTCACCGGATTTCAAATATTTTTGGAGTGTTTCGTGAAGCGGCGGCACCGGAAGGCTCGGAAGTTGGTCCTGTCGCGAAAACGTCGACATTTCTACAAAAATTTGGGACGTCAAAAACGATTTGCGCGAGAATTGGCAACAATTGGGAAAAAAAAGCGCCAAGTCGAAAACAAACGAATCGCCGTGGAAAATAACATCATGCGCCTTTAATTACGGTAATTAGATTTATAAAAAAAAGAGAGATGAGAAATATATATACATTTTTTTTTGAAAAATCGAAACTTTGGGTGAAATTTTGAAGAAATTGCGAATTTTTGAACCAAATTAGGGCATGATTTTCGAGAAAATCATGGCCGATATGAAGGGATGAGTAAAAACGTGTTCGTTATTGATAAGAATGAATGGGTACGACGTAGTCGAACTGATAACGTCAGGTGGATGGTGTTGATCACATTTGGCGTGTGTTTATGATGAGCCCTGGGAGGTAGAACGTACAAAGTTCAGTTAAGACGAGTGAAAAAATAGAGAAAAATTGAAAAAATATGTTTTTTTTTTGAAAAAAATGGCTCAATTTTGACAGATGACTCAAAAAAAATAATTTTACACAAATCCTTTGTAGTTTTCTAGTCGACTACATTTTTTCGAATCTCAAAAGTGAAATTGGTTGGAGTGTTTCGAAAATGAATGCAGACTCTTTTTGGAATACTATTATTTCTTCAAAATTCTTCAAAAAATGAAGACGATGTCTAGAAATTCATAATTTTTCAAATAAATATTTTAAAAAATTCTAAAATTGAACTGATTTTGGGAGGGAATTGGAAAAATCCGTTTTTTTTTTCCAAGATCAATCGATATTATTTTTGAATTTTACTAGCGTTTTGATTTTTCTCTTTGAAGAAATTTTTTCATTCAAAAATTCCGCAAATTCGATTTTCTTTCAAAAACTACATAGAAAATTTCAAATTAAAAAAAATAGTGATGTTTTTCCAGCGAATTTGTTGACACAATGACTTAGAAAAAAAATGCGAGTTGTTTGAGCAAAATTTGAGAGCAATTTTTTTGTTGAAGACATTTTGTTGAAAATTTGATCATGACAATCTTTTTTTTTCTAAAATTTCGAGTCAATTTTGATTTTGTGATTTAAAAATCATTAAAAAATGCAATTTAATCGTTAGAAATTGAATAAAATTCCAAAAATTGCCTGATTTTGCCGTTGACGATTTTTTTTTCAGCGATTTGAAGAAAATTAAATCGAGGTGCTGAAATTCGAGCTTCCTTCCAACATTCGGCAGTCTGGAAACGATTTCCCAAAAAATTACCTGCGATTTTCAATTTTCCATGATATTCAAGAGACCACAAAAATAAATCATAAGGGCATCCATTGATAATTTGACAATTTATTGAATATGCCTGAAAAAAATTTTTTTTAGTAGTCTTAATGAATTTAAAGCTGTAACAAACATTTAAAAATTTAAATTTCAAAAAAATGAGAAATTTTTTTGAAAATTCAAAAAGAAAGTAGCGAAGTCCGCAAGCACCACACAACAAAATGCATACTACCGTAATCCCAATTTTTATTTCTTCGTTTTTTTTTCTAAAATTCGCGCATTTTAAATAGCATAATATATAAAACCTAATGATTTATTTTTGTTTAAACAATCAAAATTTAAATGAGTATGCAATCCCAGAATCGTCGCGTCGCTGCCACCGTCGCATAGCCCTTGTGGATTTCGATCGGCTCGTCCAATCGTCTCAAACTCAAATGCATTGTGTATTTCGGCAGATAGCCTTGATTCTGGAACGCTTTCGGAATGTCCATGGTCTCAGAAGTCGTGCAAATTTTGCCTTCGGTTCTTCTCTGAAAAAAAGCCAAAAAAAAATTTTGGTTTCAAACGAAAAAAAATTTGTACCGGCTCATCGGCGCATCGATGCTCAATATAGACGGCTGGCCTCGGATCGCCCCACTTCAAACAAAAAGAGATAATAATATAATATTTAATTAGCGATAATTACCCATTCTACAGCGTTTCCGGAAATGTCGAATTGTCCCTTACGATCGGTTTGAACACTGGTGATTTTGGTATGCCCAACTGCAATAGGAAACCAAAAAATCAATACTCAATAATGTTTTTGGGAGCTCACAAATATTATTTCGCTCGATGAGCCACACGGTATGATTGACGAGCGGCTCGCCGCGACAATAATATTGGCCGACGGCGCGAACGGCGACGCGTTTCGCCGAAATTGCGCCAATTGAGGCGGCGGCAAAAATTAGCTGAAATTTTTCAATGTTTCCTTCTTGTTGAATGAAATTACCGCAAATTTGAGCACGATTCCCATTTGTTTGAGCTTGTTGCGTCAAGAAATGAAGCGATGTTTCTTTTTTGAGAGGGATTTGACGTGAAAAATGATTTAATTGAAAAATGACAATAAATTAAATGGGTACTGTAGTGTGTGTCTGTAGCGCGTCGTGCGGTGTTTGCGGACCGTCGAATTTTCGAATTTCAAATGTCGATATTTTTTTTTGCAATTTTTCTATTTAAACCGCGTTTTCACTTTATTTTTCAAATATTTTTGTAGAAATTGCTTTTTCTAGATCGTTTCCATGAAAATATTTGCATTATTGCCGATTTTTGCAATTGAAAAGTTGAAAAATTAAATCAAATCATGATTTTTAGAAAAAATGAATATCTTCGAATTTTCAAGAATGTTTAGCGATTTTTTTAAATTCATCCCTAAAAAATGAAACAATTCGATGAAAAATTTATTGAATCGCGAATTTTTTTTCGTTATCGAGAATTCGTGCATTTTCGAGCACATTTGTGACGTGATTCGACTTTTCGAGGCTTATCTGAAATTGTTCGCATCAGAATCGTCCTTTTTTTTTGCTTGTTACCGATTTGACGAGATTGTCGAGCTCATTTTTCAGTTGCTCGAAGGGTTTCTTCGAAAATTTGCCGTCAGCCTTCAAAAAATTCAGGTATTTGTAATTTAATTTTTTTTTCAAATATTACCATTTTAACGGCCACATTATTCACAACCTCGATAAAATTATCGATGTTGCTCTCAATTTTGCTCAAATCGTTCGAAGTTCCGACTTGTTCATCAATTTTCGAGCAAATGTTTCGCATGGCCAATAGATTTTCGATTAGATCGTCGTGGTCCGCTTGTTTTTGTAGATCGTACCTTTTCTGAATCGTCAAATTGCAATTTTTTAGAAGAAAAAAAAAATAAGGAATTTGGTAGAACCTCGAATTGTTCGAGCGAAATTTGAAAATTTTTGTAATGATGTCGAAAGTCTTCCAAGTGATAATGAACATCTCGTTCAGCGTCATCTTGATTCGTCGCATCGATTAGTTCCATTTTTAGAATTCCTGCAAAACTGTCCGCAGCATAAAAATTTGAAGACGACCCCGCGCGCTTTTATTAGCCATTCCTCATCGCGCCGTTGAGATTCGAGTGGTGTAGTGCCTAAGTGCTCCGATTTCTCTATTTTGTCCCTATCGGGATCGATCCGCCTTCTCCTCGAATGTCCGCAGTGCGTTATTTTAAAGATGCGGCACCTTCTCTGCCAGAATATTTTTTTTCTATTTTCACACAAACAAGCTTTTCATTTGATTAATAAAATTTTTCTAGCATTTTCTCATATAAACCTCATTTTTCCCCACAGAAGTCGTTGTTATTCCAACGGCACTTCAAAGGTTTGAATCCGAAAAATTTGAAATTGCAAATTTTTTCAAAATTTTATCACTTTTTTCAATGGACATTGAAATTATTGTGTGACCGCACGCGAGCCGCGACGCGCCTGGCGACATAGGACTTGATTTCGAAAAAAAAACTTGAAATTAGCCAACATTTTTTTTTGAAATTTCATTACCGTACAATTTTGATTTTTTTTTTCAATTTTTGAGGTCAAAACATTTCTTACCCATGTTCGTTTTCAAATTCATTTTCGCTTTCTCGATTTCCAACAATTTCTCAAACGTTTCATCGGCTTTTTCCATTTCATATCTGAAATTTGGTGTTTTTCTGATGAAAATTGAAATCAATTGGCCTACTCGCGGACTTTTTGCTGCTCAATTCGTTCGATGTCCATTGCGAGAATTTTAATTGATTGTTTAAACGCGGAAATCTTTTTCTCCTTCAACCAAAAAAAAAGAACATACATAGAAAGAAATGTCGAATTTTACCGTTTCGCTGTCAGCGCCTTGCGAAATTTGCGCGGTTGATTTCCAATTGGCGATTTGCGAAATCGCCTTGAAACTATTTGTGACGCAATTTTCCGGCAAGCATTTATTCTAAAAAAAAATTCGCGAAAATTTTTTAAAAATTTTTGTCCTACCAAATATTTCGTTTTTGAAACTTGCAACATGAATTAATGCAAAGGGTTTATTGGAAATCAAAACAATTGAGAGACTGAAATGACTGATAACGTGGGGCAAAATCGACGAATTTCTATTAGCAATGTTCAGCTGCGGACAATTCACGTGATGGGTGACAATCTCGTCTGATATAATTTTTTGGCAAAATTTTTTGTTTGAAAAATTTTGAAAAGAAACGAAATGAGACGCGAATCTTCAGTGAGTCTTCGAATTTCGGCATATTTTTGGGACGATTTTGAGGCTCTCGATGAGAATGATCAAAAATCGGTAATTTTGAGACGAAAATCGTGATTTTTAGGCAAAAATTGCCCTTGGCGGATTTTTGCGAAAAAAAATCATTTTGAGATATTTTTGATGAAAAAATGATAAGGAATCACCACATTTTTGAAAATTGCCAGATTTTTGAGGCAGACATTTTTTTGCGAAATTTTCCATCGAAAAAATTTTTCATGCAAAAAAATGAGCAGAAATCACTAAAATTTTTTAAATCATTCAAAATCGGCATTTTTTGAGGCGAAAATTGTGATTTTCAGCTCAAAATTGGCCTGAATTATGACGAAAAACGAGAATTGCGCCAAAATTGACGGATTTTTTGCCAAAAAAAATTCTTTTTCAAAAATTTTCGATGAAAAAATGATAAGGAAACACCAAATTTTTGAAAATTGCCAGATTTTTGCGGCAGAATTTTTCATGCAAAAATTGCAATTTTCTCGAAAATCGGCAAACCCTCTCCAAATTTTCGGCGATTTTGATGGAAAAAAATCATTTTTCAATTAAAATGGTGGAAAATTTGACAATTTTTCGAGTAATTTGGACCCTCACAACGACACTCCGCGCGTTTTGCGTCTCGCCCGCGATTTATCGTAAATCAATTTCAATTCGTTTTTTTTTCTCGTTTTCCAAATTGCACAAAATTGCGCAAAAATCTTCTCGAGAATCGGGCCGCCCAAAAAAAAACCGCGGAAAATTTTGGCAAAAAAGAAATTTTCAACCAAAATTCGTTTTCTGTTTCCAAAAAATCGCTGGAATTTATTATTTCGTCCAAAAAACACACACAATTTTCAACCGGCCAATTTAAGCAATGCTGAAAATCCGTAGGGAACGCATCGGCAGTCGTGAATGATGGCGTTGAGGCTCATCGAGAAGTCGCGGCAGCCGCCTTTGCACAATCCGAGAGCATCCGAGCATTTCGCAATGAACACATTCCAATTACAGCCGGCGATCTGCGCGTTTCTCTAATCGACCGCTAATTGGCCGCACTTAATTACCTGGAAATTGTCCTTGTCGTTGATTAGGCTTAGATAGCCGGCGTGTTGGAGAATTTTTCGATTCGCCATCGTGTTGCGGCCATAATTTTCTGAAATTTTTCGAGGAATTGCAAATTAATTGCTTAATTGCGTGTCGTAATTAGTTAGACGAAAACTTTAATATTTAATTTAAAAATTTTGAGGAACAAAATTGAGGGTAATTAAGCAATTAAATAAAAAATTGGTGGGTGATTAGTGCGGAAATTAAACCGAAAATTATGCCATTTTTGGGAATGTTTGACTTCTTTTTTAAAGTTTTTGGAATTTTGCGATTATTCGCCAAAATCATGCCACTAATTGAGGGGGTAATTAAGTAATTATGCAAACAAAAATTGAGGAGATTAATTAAGAGGGCAATTATGCCAGTTTAGAAAAAAAATGGATTTTTGATAACTTTTGGAATATTCGTTAAAATCGTAATACCAATTACGAGGGTAATTAAGCAATTTAGTCGAAAATGGAAATATAAGGGCAAAAAAGATGGATCTTAAATTTTTTTTTGGAATTTCTCAAATAATCACCAAAATCATAATAACAATTATAAGGGTAATTAAGTAGCACTAATTGTGAGTGCAATAATCAAATAATCTTTTCGAATACAATTTTCGCATAATAAATGAGACTTTTGACACTAATTAAGAGGGTAATTATGGTAAAATTAGGTGATTTAACCTTGATTCCCAAAGTGTGTCGGGCCATCGTCGTCGCCATCGCCAAATTGGCGTGTGGCGCCAAATTGCGGCCACACTCGCGGCAGCGCGTCGAACTTCTCGTCGCTGTCGTCGTCGGCCGGCAGCTGAATGGCAGCGAATCCTGAAGGCGTTGATGAGATGAGAGAGAGAGAGAGAAGAGTATTGATATACCGATGAAATCGAGATTTGGCGAAAATTGGGCGACGGCGAGACCGGCGAGAACGACGAAAAGCTTCGTCGACATCATTTTTGGTTTTTGTTGTCGATGGATTTTTGGGAGCGATGAATATTGCGACAAATTGACGTTTTTCTCGATGATGTGCGCGATTTTCAAGTAGTTTGACCGAGATTTATCGAGAGAGAGAGAGAGAGAATGACACTGAATTGGCGTAATTGGGTTTTTTTTTGGTCGACTCAGCGCCAGCGAATCGAGATCTCTGAAATTGGTGGAAAATTGTGATTTTTTGGCATTTTTGACACACAAAATGCTTGAAAATCAGCAAAATTGCGAGATTTTTGCGAATAATTTTCATTTTGAGATATTTTTGACGAAAGAAAAGTTATTTAAAAAATTAAAAATTGTCGATTTTATGAAAAAATCTTATAAAAAATTGTCGAGGGCGCCTCTCCAAGGAAATACGGAAAACTGACTTTGAATTGTGGTAAAAAAAAACGAGAATTACACCCCATAATTGACAATTTTTGCGCATTATTTTCATTTTGAGATATTTTCGAAGAGAAAAAATTGATTAGAGCGATTTTCCATCAAAAATTGGCGATTTTTTGGCATTGTTTGACCGAAATTTGCAATTTTTTGACGATTTTTTTCTAAATGAGAATCGAGAGGTGAAAAAAGTGCCAAAATTGCACCAAAAATGGACAATTTTGGCGAATTTTTTTTGGATCAATTTTCCATCAAAAAATTGCCGATTTTTTGGCATTGATCGACAAAAAATGCATAAAAAATCATTTAAAAAAAATTTTCCGCAAAAAATTTCGCAAAAAATCGCCAATTTCTAGTTCATTGTCGGAATTTACCCAAATTCGCGGCGTCGAGCAGCATTTTCGTGGTGAGACCCAACGAGAAGATGAAGAAGCACGCGTCGACGAACGAGCACGACGGCATCCATTCGGAAGCGAGAATCAGAGCGAGTTGAACGACGACGGCAAGAATTTGCGAGAAGCACTCAAGAATGACGAGGAAGTGCTGAAAATTTTCAACAATTCGGTGAGTGTCTTTCAATTTTTCGATTTTTTTCGCTGAAATTCGTTGTTGATTGGATTCTCTCACCTGAAAAATGAGAAAAATTGGAGCAATTTGCACGCCGAGCAATGCGATTATTATCATCATCATATTGGAGGCGTCTGAAATTATTATCGCCGCGGTTTTCTTTTTTTTTTTGAGTTTGTTTGTCGAACAACAATTTTTGAGGAGGCCATTCTTATCAGCAAAAATGTTGCAAAATTGTCGAATTTTGCGCGATTTGAAAACGACAAAAAATTTATTTTTGGTGAATTTTGAGCAAAAATTGCATTTTTTGATGGTTTTGTTCAACAACGGAATGCAAAAATTTGGAAAAATTGAAATTGCGAGTTTTCAGCGAATTTCAAATTGATTTTTGAAAGAATAATTGAAAAAATTGACGTTTTTGCGAAATTGCTTGTTGAAACATTTTAAATTTGCAATTTTTTTTGCAAAATAATAAAATTTTAGCCTTCAAATCTCAAAAATCGAGATTTTGGGACCAATTTTGTGCAAAAATGGGATAAATTGCAATTTTTAGCAAATTTTGGTCTTCAAATCTCAAAATTCAACTTTTTTCTATAAAAATTGCCCGTGCAAAAAAAAACGGAAAAATAATTTTTCCGGAAAAAAAATTGACAATTTATTCAAAACCTGGTAGTTTTCTTAAAATTTTGTCGAAATTTGCAATTTTTCATCGAATTTCAGCCTTTTTCATTGAATTTCAGTTTTTTTATCAGCGATTAGCATTTATCGCTAGTCAAAAATTGGGCGCGGTTGGTCAAAATTGTTGATTTTTGAGAATTTGGGGTGGGAGTTTTAAATTATGCCCGAATTAGTGCAAAATTCACTATAAAAATACCTGCAATTTGTCGACTAATTAACCAATTAAATAGATTAATTCGAATTAATTTAGAGATTCGAAGATTTCGCCGCAATTCGATCACTTCTTCTTCTTCTTCTTTTATAGGGAAAAGTGGGCGGAGCCTAGTGGAGACGACCCAAAATGAGACCCTAATTGGATTGAGAAATTTCGAAATTTGTGGGTTTTTCAAAAAATTGGAAATTTTCAATAAAAAAATGTTGTAATTTTGGGAAATGTGTGTAAAAATTAATAAAATCCAACAAAAATTGAAATTTTTTGAGCGAAAAATTGGAATTTTTCGACCAAATTTGAAACGAAAATTGCATTAAAATTTAACAAATCCATAAAAAATTGTAGTTTTTTAGGCCCAAAATCGAAGTTCTTAAGAAAATCGGAATTTTTTGACGAAATTTGGCACAAAAATTATTAAAATTGCGTGAAATTTAATAAAATCCATCAAAAATTCAAATTTTTTGGGCGAAAAATTGAAATTTTTCGAGAAAATTTGAAACGAAAATTATTAAAATTTTAAAAATTATGTAAAAAAAATATTTTGGAAATAAAAATTGGCAAAATTTTTCAGAAAAGCTCTCTCTCTCTCACTCTCTCTCTCTCTCTCTCTCTCTCTCTCTCTCTCTCTCTCTCTCTCTCGCTCTCTCTCTCTCTCCTCTCTCTCTCCTCTCTCTCTCCTCTCTCTCTCCTCTCTCTCCTCTCTTTTTTCCAAAAAAATTTGAATACATCGGCGTTTCTTTTTCGAGTTTTTCCGACCACGTGACAATTGAATTGTTCCCGCATTATCGGAAATAGCCCAAGGACACGAATTGTGTACCCGATGGGTTGAGGTGGGGAAAACAGAGAAAAAACGTGATTGACTAATTCGATCGACCGAATTCGGGGAGGGTCGTGATGAAAAATTGTTGGTGATTCGAATGATCTTTGCGAAAATTCACGAAATTTCGAAAATTTCAAGAAATTTTTTAAAAGCAGTTTTGAAAATTTCTGAAAATTTTGAAAACGAAAATGACGGAGATTGAATGTTACGAAAAAATGTGCAAAATTTCTGGAAATTGGCCGAATTTTAAAAAATATTTCTCGAAAAAATTGAGTTTTTTTTTGTCATATTTTTCTAATCTTCAAAAAACGGACGCAAGTTTTCGTCAAATTGTGCGCAATAAAAAAAATGCGAAATTGGTTTTTTTTGAAGAAGGCAAATTTGGGGAAGAAAATTCGAAGAAATCTCAAAGATTTATCGAAAAATTGTTTAATTTTGGTAATTTTTTGAGAGAAATCGATATTTTTCCTTTTTTGCGTCAAAATGAATAAAAATTCATTAAAAACCGAAAATATGGGGCGAAAAATTGCAATTTTCGAGAAAATCGGAATTTTTCGACGAAATTTGGCACAAAAATCATAAAAATTGCAAAAATTGCGTTTAAATGAATAAAATCCAAAAAAAATTGAATTATTTTGGCGAAAATTGCAATTTTTAAGATAATCGCATTTTTCGACCAAATTTGGCACAGAAATATTTGAAGAAAAGCAAATTTTTTGAATTATTTATTATTATTATTATCATTACATATAATACAAATCATCAAATGATAATGGTCCCAACAAATTGTGGCGAATCATCGCCGACGTCTCCTGCGAGCTCGACTGGACGTCGATGCGCGAATTGCGACGCGAGCATTCCGTCGAGTTTTTGCGCGATTTCGGCATCGATGAAACGCTCATTTTGCGATCGGGCGATCGCCGAAATTGGTGGACGTTCACCTTAATTATCGCGCTAATTAGGGTGTCAATTGCGAAATTTTTTTTTGTGTTTTGCGTTTCTCGCAAATTTCACGCGCGATTTGGCATGGATGGCATCACGAGAGTTTCGTGTTTTCGGTCGTTGCACTGAAAGGGCGACAATTGTCGTTAATTGGCCCTAATTAGGCGTGCCGATGAGAGAAGAAGATGAAAACAATTACGCTTCGGTTTACCTGATGCGAATTCTCGTTCTCCGACGCCACCGACGTTTGAACTTTGTTCGTTTTGATCACCTGGCTCACGATTGCTGAAAGCACCATTTCTTTTTTCTTGTAGGACGTTCGAATTGCGCAATTCACATACACTTGAATTTCGGCTTCAACGCTGTCGACTCGCCGCCGTCGTCGTTGTCGACGTGAAGCGGCGTGCGTTCGATCTGAAAATTGTTTTTGAGGGCGAGCAGCCTCGAGGGGGGTGGGCGACTCACGTCCAACGACGGCTTTCGTCGACACCACGTCGGACATTGGCGAAGGCACGAGAAGATGACGCACAAGCCGAAAAGCAGAAAGAAAACTGAAGAACAATTTTTTTTGCGCGGTGATTTTTGTTGCAGAAACCAGTGTGTCTACCCAGGAGCAGAGCTACACGGAAATCCGTCATCCGTGACATTTTCCGTGTTCGGTTAAAAGAAATTTGTTTCGACATCCGTATTCTTGAGATATCTCTCAACACCTAGCACGTCTAGCGAATCAACGAGGGTTCCTCTAGCACAGCCGATGAAATTGGTTCGACAATAAAGAAGGTCCCTGTCGAATGAGCACTTGGAAACTCTCACATTCCGCGCTGTTAATGTTAATTAAAGTATTCGAGTTAGATTAGGTCCGTATTCGGTCAAACATTTTTCGTTCCGCCTTCCGTCTTCGGTTTTTAGAAAATTAAAGTTCCGTGCAGCTCTGCCCGGTGACACCCGGGACGCTTTGAAATTTAATTTCCCGAGATGAGCGCGTTCCCGGGATCCCGAAAAAAACGTCGAATATTGCGTATTCTAGTGGTTTTTTGGAAATTTAATACATTTTCTTATTTCCCTTTTCATACCGATTCGAGACATATTCAAATCTAACATTTAAAATGAATTATTTAATTGTTTGGATGTTTATTTCAAGGGGGCCCTGATGAGAAAACCGACTCATCAGCTTCAATGGAGGATCGACTAGCGGAATAAAGCGGAATTTGGAAAAACTGAACATGAAAAAGAAAACCTCGATGGAAGAGTTTTTTTCATTAAGTTTCGAAAAAAAGCTAGAATACGCAATATTTGAAAAGTGTGAATTTGCGCGCGCGCGATGTTTGCGGACTTTTCCGGGAATTTCCCGAATTTCAAAATTGCGGTATCCCGGGTAGATACACTGGCAGAAACTCACATATGCAAAAGCCGTTCATTAGGAAAAAGCCGATCATCATGTCCATTTCGCCTTCGGGCTTGTTCACGTATCGATGCATGCTCGGATCGCTGCGGGCACTGCAAAAAATTGGAAATTTTTTTTGATGCTGAAAAAAAATAATGAGGCGTTCGTGTAAGAGCACTTTCTCGGACCCCCCCCCCTTTTTTTTTTTTAATTTGCACAATTTATTTTTGTAGTTGGGTCGGAAATTTCCAAAAAAGATGAGAGTTTGATGTCAAGTTGTGAAAAATTTGAGAATTTTAAGCAATTTTTTAATTTCAATCTTTTTTTCTTGCAAAAATGAAAAAAAAAAGTGATTCAAAAAATGTTCACCATCAGAAGTCCGCCAATTTTGGTGTAATTTTTTTATTTTGGAGCGAAAATGCGCAATTTTTTGATGAAAAAAAAAAGTCCGCCAATTTCAATCATTTTTTTAATCGAAAATATCTCAAAGTGAAATTTTTTTCAAAAAATTACAAATTTGTGACGCCAAAAATCCACCAATTTTTGGTGAAATTCTACAAGGCGTCAAATTCTCAAAATCTTATTTTTATTTAAAAAAAAACACAAAAATAAATTGTGCAAATTAAAAAAAAAAAGGGGGTCCGAGAAAGTGCTCTTACATGAACGCCTCATTATTTTTGGCGAAATGGGCGGCGGCGACGATTGGCGACGATGTTGGCGAGTTTCTCGCCACCGAATATATCATTTCGTTTCGAGACCCGACAAGCAAAAAAGACACAAATCGGCGATCGGAGCGACGAGACCAGTGGCCGTCGAATTTAATACTACTAACATTTTCACATGCAAAATGCGTCTTTGTGGGGGTCTCTTTTGTTATCCTTCTTGTCGTTCTCGGTTTGCTCGCTTGCTGAGAAGACCAAATGGATTACATTTTTTCTGGTCGTCGTTTTTCGACGAAATTGGAAATGTAATGGGAAAAATGGCACCTTTTTTTGAAACATTTGCATAGTGTTTAAAGGCGCATTGGCCTCTCAAAATTGATGAAGAGATTTGAATTTTAAAAAGATGCACAGTTGCCTTGATTTGAGACAATTTTTGAAAAGAAAAATGGGCTTTTCTTTTTTTTTTCAAAAAATTGGATTTTTGATATTACGGTAGCGTGCGAAAATGTGTGCGAATACCGCGACGCAAAATTACGTATTTAAAAAAGGCAAAAATTTGATTTTTCGGAAATGATTTTAGACCATTTTTGAGAAAAAACAAAGATGATTTTCTTTTTTTCATTTGTTTTTTGTTATTACGGTAGCGTACGAAAATGTGTGCAAACACCGCGACGCGAAATCACGTATTTAAAAAAGGCAAAAAAAATGAATTGCGTTTTTAATTTTTCGAGAATTATTGCGATGTTTTTATTGGCTATACGCCTTTTTTAAAAATGTGCCAAATAATTTTTCAAAAAAAATTTTTTTCAAATTTTATCGTTCTTTTCTGACCCTTTTTTTTTTAGAATTTCAAGCTTTTTTGTTCAAGATGAAGCCTAAATGATTTTAATTTTTAGATTGATCCAATAATGAGAAAATTGGGTATTTTTGAGGCAAAAAATTGTGGCATATTTGAGAATTTTCGAGAAAAAGCGTTTTTTTTTTCTTCAAAAAATTTCAAATTTGCATTTTTTGCGAAAAAAGTTGGTAGATTGTTGAAAATTGGTTAGCTCCTTCATTTTTTTCTCAAGGATTTTAAGTGTATTGCCAAATTTGGTCGAAAATGAGAAAACCGCTCACCTTGCCGCCTTCTCGAACACATCGTCGGCTGTCGGCATCTCTTGATCGGCGTTTCCAGGCATTTTTGGCTGAAAATTGCCAAAAAAATTGAAAATGTTTTGTGCATACGATTTGACGACAATTTGCGGACTTTACTGAAACTCACGGCTTCGTCGAAATTCGTCGTCGTCGTCGCCAACGGATGCCTCCAGAAGACGGGCGAGCTGTCAGAAATTGAGAGATTCATTCAGATCGCGATTTCGACGATAGAAAAAAAAAGTCGATGCGACTCAAATGCACTTTTTTTTGTTTTTGTGTGTAAAACCGAAATTTGAGCATTTTTCGACAGTTGCTCGATAGCGTTTGATTAATGAACATCCTCGATCGATGAGCACAAAACATTCAGAAAACTCTGATTTTTTCCGGGTCCCCCAAAAATAATTGCGATTTATTAGCGAAATGGTGGCCAGACAAAAATTTTTTCGTCGAATTTTTTTGCGGGAAAAAAATTTTTTTGGTCTGAAAATTTCTGAATTTTTTTCGAAAATTTTTTTTCAAAAAATTTTTCCAATTTTTGACGGCATTTTTTCCCCCAATTTGATGCGAATCTAATTCTCAAATTTTCGATTTTTGGACAAAAGAATCGATTTTCTCGAAATTCGACGAGTTTTCAGATATTTTCGCCTGAAAATTTTCGATTTTTTTGTTTTTTCAATGTATTGTATGCGCCTTTAAATGGTTTTTTTGTTGGAATTGTCTTTTTTAATTCCATGTTTCTCGATGATGGTCGCAAATTTGCTATTGTGATTAAAGGCGCATATAGAAATTGGTTTCTATGTCTCTTGAAGCGATTTAATTGAAAACTGGGGTTCTATAGGGCCGAGGTTTTTGTGAGTTTTTTTAAAAGTCATCAAATCATGATTAAATAACGTTTCACAGCGGATTATTCCAAAAAAATTACAATTCTAGGCGAGTTTCTTCGTGGACGTGTTTTGCTGGCCTAATTTTTTTTTCGCGGCCGCCAAAAAACGGGCGACCCGAACCCTTTGTGAACCATAGTTTTGACCTCAAAATGGAGCTCAAAAAAAAACTAAAATTTAGGTAGAGTCTGTTTGTGAAATCGATCGCTTCGAGACCCGACTTCAAAAGCTTCCCGCGCGCCTTTAATTACCGTACCCCAAAAATCGATATGTTATGAGATTTGAAACGGCGCCACGCGAGCCTAAATTGCATTTCAAACCACTGATATCGGTCCACAATGTTGAATTGATTAAAGGCGCATAGGAGAGATGAGTTGGGTCTCGCAGCGAACGCGAGTTTTTAGGAAAATTTTGCGGAAAAATCGAGAAGTTTTGAAAAAAAGAAAAGTGTAAAATTAGTGTGTTTTGGACGTCGTCGTCGTCGTCTCAATTTTCGCCGCGCTCTTCTCATTAGGACGCATATTTATATATAAATTGCAGAGGGTAAATATTGTGAAGAAGAAAAAAATGAAACGAGAAAAAAAAAACTCAAATCGCGTGTTTCCGGTGGAAAAATCGCGTGTATTTCCAAGAAAATGACAAATTTGAGCGAAAAATTCGCGTTTTTCGACATTTAATTGATCGGAAATTTGGTTTTGAACGGTGTTTGCACACAATGCGCACAATTTGACGACAATTTGCGGACTTGCGCGATTTTTCGGGAAAATTTTAATTTTTTGCCGTTTTTTCGACGAATTTGAGAAAAAATGCATTGAGAGTCTCTTGAATTCGGGATTGCACACAATGCGCACTATTTGACGACAATTTGCGGACTTGTATAATTTTTTGGAAAAATTTCAGTTTTTTGCTATTTTTCATTGAATGTCAATTAAAAGTCATTGAGAGTCTCTTGAATTTGGGATTGCACACAATGCACACTATTTGACGACAATTTGCGGACTTGTGCGATTTTTTGGAAAAATTTCAATTTTTTTGCTATTTTTTCATTGAATGTCAATTAAAAGTCATTGAGAGTCTCTTGAATTTGGGATTGCACACATTGCGCCCAATTTGACGACAATTTGCGGACTTGTGCCATATTTTCATTTTTTTTGCGGGAGAATTCAAATTTAGCCACCAACATTTTCGAATCGTTTTCAAGCAAAAACTGATTTTTTAGGCGAAAAAAAAATTCAAGAAAAGAAACGAATTTTCAGCACGTGCTAACAAGAGATAGCGATAAAAAACGGCGATGAAGAGGATGAAATAAATCCAATAAAAATGGACGAAATTCGATGAAATTCAATACACAACAATAGAATGCCGCGGGAGGGCAGAAGGCAGAGCAAAAAAAAAACTGGCGTCGGAACCGATTGAAAAAGGTGATCAATCATCAAAAATAATGGCTCATTCGAGCTCACGATGAGCCGCTCAAAATCTCGGTTTTGTGTGTGTGTGTGTGTGTGATTTTTTCTCGACATTTGTCACCCCACGAAAATGTGCAAAAAATTGCGTGCTTACGACGAACCTTCCGGGTTTCATTTGCTCATTCCATTCGGGCATTGTACGTACGCACTGCATTGATTTGAAGGCCCGCGATTTCTTATACGCACTTCCCACGTATCGACGCAAGTTCACTGATTAAGCGCGACGCAAGCATAATGGAAGCATTGTGGGAAATCTGTGGAACGGAAGCATAATGCTTCCATATAGGAAGCATAATGTAATTCTTAGTGGCTGTGGAAGAAATATGGGACGAATATGGATGGAATGAAAACGGGATGAATATGCTTCCGGTGTTTGCGAGCCGTGGAACGAATATGGATGAAATATGGATAAAATAATCATATGTCAATAAACATTATACAATTGGCGTCTGGACGGCAGACCAAGACAATTTCTAGAAAAATCAATACAAAAAACTTATGCTATCATATAAACAATGAAAATTTGAAAATTACATGATACACAACATACGAAATTTAGCTTCTACCATTTAATGACTTATGCTACTCAGATTTATGTTAATTCAGTCAACTGTTCCTTACTTTGTTTAAAGATTGCCAACTACAATTTAGTCGTATTAATATATTTTTGCCGGTTTGTTCGATATTGGCATTACAAACTACTCACAATTTGCTCCAAACTGGTAGCAGACGCGCGTAGAAGAGGCGTGCCGCAGCATTGCAAAACCGTGCGCCGCTTTGCACAATGCGGCCACGCCTCACATTTTCGAAATTCGTTTTCAAAATTTTTGTCCTTTTGCTTTTTCTCAATGAATTTTCAAGATTTTTTTGTGTTTTTTTTTTGTCAAAAATTAAAGAATTTTTTTCAAAATTAAAGGAAAAATGTTTTTAAAAAATAAAGGAAAAATTTTCATGTTTATCATTTTCATGTTTATCATCATTCGATAATTTTAAAATCGATACGATGTTTTCAAATCGTTTCCGACACTTTTAAAATCGAATTTAAATATTTTCTCAATCGAATTGTGTTTAATTTCTCATCGAATCCGTTTTATTTTTATTTACTTTAACATATTTTTTATTATCGCTCGCTTTTTTCTTTTAATAAAACATAATGTTTTGAAATTTTTTACAGATGAAGACAAGATCGAGAGTGTTGTCAGATATAACTGAAACTGCTCTAGAAGTCAATAACAAAGAACCAGAAGTCCCTAACATGGAACCAAATTCGCTCGACACTTCAGATCCAGATAGTCCAATTTACTCGCCAACTCAGCAAAAAAATTTTTCTCCACAGTCCTCACAAACAACAAAATCAACGCCAATTCCTAAACCTTCGTACGCGCAATTTGTAAGTTGTTATCATCAAAAATTGGCCTGTTCGACTCCAGAAATGGTTTCAATTAGAAAAATATGCGCAATGAAGTCTTTATAAAGTACTTCCTAAGTTTAAAGCTTGTTGATTATTTGGTTCCAATCAGGGCTGTGCGGCAATGGAATTGCCGATTGCCGAAATTGCCGGTTTTTCAAATTGCCGAAGAAAATTTCGATCGGTAATTTGCCATTAGCCGAATCGCCGAAATTTCCGATTGCCGTACAGCCTTCGTACCAATATCATTCAGTGGCATTTATCTTTTTAAGTGGGGCTCTAGTACAGAAGTCGCCAGACGCCGACTATATAAAGATCCTATACTTTATTGCAAATATCTATATTACAGATGTTCTTATCCATGGCTTTGGGCAACAACCGACAAATGACTTCAAAGCGAAAGCATTACGCATGGTTCGAGAAGTCATGGATAATCTTCTGTAAGATTTTGAGCTATGACTATTAATTTATTTATTTGATTAAGCGATAGAATGCACCAACGACTTCAAAGGAAATTTGGTGTAGCGCCGGAAGCGCTCGCGGCGCAATTAAGGAAGCTGCTTGATTCTACCAGCAACCCTCAGATGTGAGTATTCATATGTCTTTGAAATTTTAACCAAAATGCCTTTTTGCTTCAAATTTTGGAGTTGTTCTTTCTTCCGCCAATTCACTTTTTATTTTGTGCACTAAAGGGTTTCCAAAAATGCAATAAAAATAAATTATTTTTATTTTTAAGAAAATTATTGATGTAAAAAAACTGATTGTATTTTCTCGAAAAATTTAGTTTACGTAACAATGGTTTACAAGTTTTTCAAATTAATAGGCCCATTATAATCGAAGTGTAGCGACTAGGAAAAGTGGAGAAAAGGTAAAAATTCGATAACGGTTTCTTTCTACAAGCGTATATTTGCGAAAAAAGGATAGGTTAAATGTGCATTAGGACTTTTGCCTAATTTCTTAGCAATAGTTGTTGTTTTTAAAAATATCATAACACGGCTTTTTAACCAAGTGTGAACGATATGAATTCTACTTATTACAGCGTCCCGCTCGATGTCAGTACTGACAATGATTCGAATAGTTCGGCAGTTGCCAGTAACTAATGGTTTGATTATATCTTAATTGAAATTCATTTCATTGTTGTTTTTTTTTATTTTAAATTAAATAAATGTGTTAATATGAAATAAATTTTGAATACAGCAATCAAATTGTTTTCTTATTTTCCCATATGGAAGGCATACGGCTCATTCCATATACGAAACACGCGGTTCCGCAAAAAAATGCTTCCATTATGCTTCCATATAACTTGCATATAAGATTCCTATGATATCCACAGCCGTTCCATTATGCTTCCATTGTGCCTATGCCGCCGTTTATCTGTGTTGTCGGTGTGGCGAAGTGGCATGTCTCTAGGATTTGCGTGCGTTTTGGACTGACGGACTCGAGTCCCCGCCGCGGGAAATTTTGTTTTGCCACAAATTTAAGCAAGAAAATTGATAGTATCGCGTTCATCGAAAGCTGAATATTTGATTAGGTATGTTTTTGGCAAGGTGTTTGGCGGCACGCAAATTTTGAAACGTCTCGTCATTGTGGAATATTTCAAAAAAAAAAAAAAGAAACACGAGAAATTATGGCGCCCCGGGGAGAAGCAAAAAGGTGAAATCCAAAGGGAACTGAAAATACAAGCCAAAATGGTAAAAGTGCGCTTATTTGAATGAAAAACTCAAATTTAGAATAAGAAAATTCGTATTTTTCATTGTTTTTTTTGGAATTTGCATTTTTTCAATGAAAGAAAATGAAAAAGCTCACCTCGTCGTCGTCGTTTCTCCCAATTTGGTGGCGCATTTTCGACTAATTGACATTCGTTTCCAATTTTGGCCATCAGAAATAGCAAAAAAAAAGGACTTTTTTCTTGCTTCTTCAGCTCTTTTTTCGAAATTTGAGAAGTTTCGTCGTGGCGTCAAAAAAAAAACCCCACAAAATTCGGCGTTTTTGGCATTAAATTCGAGATTTTCCAAGTTTTTTGATGCTGAACAAAAATTGCGCAAAAAAATGGCAATTTTAAAAATTTCATGGAAAAAAAAATGGTTTTATAATCCACAAAAAAAAACCAATTTCAAAATTCAGTTTTTACGATAATAAAAAAGAAAAAAAAACAATTGGAAACAAAACAAAACGAAAAGTGCAAAAAAAAAAAAGAAACAACCATCTGAAAATAATTACAGCGTTATGAATTGGGCGCTTCCTTTCGAATAATGATGATGGCAGTGGTCGCGATAGACGAATCTCGAGTTGATTTGGTGTGATTGGTGGTGTTGGTGGCGGGTGTAGGGCGTCAATTCGCGACATTTCAAATTTTGGCGCGATTCCGACAAACTGGAATTTCGGAAATTTTCAATACCAACCAAAGAAAAATGTGTTTTCAAGTAAAATTTTCTTAAAAATCAATTTTTTTCGAAAATTTTTGCCAAATTTGGCTAATAAAATACCAAAATTCAACGAAAAAAATTCAATTTTCAGCCAAATTTTAAAGATTTCTCAACAAAAATCCAATTTCTTCTTCAAAAATGTACCTCAAAGGGTTCTTTAAAAAATGAAAACAAATTTCTTCGGCAAAATTCGTACTTTGTCTGTTTTTTGGCCAAATTCGTAAATTTCTCGTGCATTTTTTTTCTAAAAATCAAAATTTTCAAATTTTGAGGCCAAAAAATTGGTGATTCACACTGATGTCAATTTTTTTTCTTTAAAAAACGCGAAAAAAAACTTCAACGAATATTTTTTTTTCGAAAAAATTTCCTTAAAAATTAGGCATTTTTGAAAGTTTGACCTTCTTTTTCAAAAAAAAAGTATTTTCAGCAAATTTTTGCCAAAAAAAATCTCACCGCTTCGTCAACATCGCTCGAATATTCTTGGCGGATGGCGTCGAAAAAATGAGGCCGCGCATTGGCGTCTGAAATTTGGTGGCGATTTTTTTCGGTTTTTTTTTGCTCGCCGCCAAAACCGCACCATTTTCGATTTTTTGTCCCAATGGAAATTGACGCGCGCGCCAATTTTGAGCAATTGGCGAAGAGCCAACGTCTCCGAGTGATGCGGCAGAATTGAGAGATGAGCGCCGGCGAGCGAAACGATCGTCACCTGAAAACATTTGCTGCTATTATTCGCATTGTAAAGAAATTTGGAAAAAAATGAAAAAAAAGGCGCGTTTTGAATAATTGTGGACCATCGCCACGAGGCGGCAATTCAAATTCCAATTTTTTGGCGAGGCGGCAATTCAAATTCGAAATTTTGGCGTGGGGGCAATTCAAATTCGAATTTTCCACAGTGAAAATTGAAAAAAAAACTGCACGGAACTTGAATTTTCGGAAAATGCAAGGCGGAAGATGGAACAGTGAAATGCAAATTCCGTGCAACTTTGCTCATCACCATCTAGAATTGAAAATTGAAAAATATGTTTAAAAAATCAATTACGAAATTTTTTTTCGAATACTCGAAAATTCGTTTTGTTTTTTTCGCCAAACACAGAATTCCGTGAAAAATACTCAAAAAGCGATGGTCCACAATTAATCAGCTCATCTTTTTTTGTGGTGGCTGATCGTATTGTGAGAGAGAGATTGCTGAAAATTGGCTATGAGCTAAAAAAAAAAGACACAATAACTTCAAGTGTAGATTTACAGGCCTTAAAGGCGCATGTTGTCGGCGGGTAGATTTACGAGAATGCGTCTTTCTCTTGGTCTCGCACGGACTAACAGATCACTTCAAATTTCTAAGGACAGGTTCGATTATTTTTTTCAATCGAATGTCGTCGGAAATGCAAGAATATGCGAAAATGATCAAGAAAAAAATTTAAAAAAAAATCGTGGCGAGACCTTTTCAAGGCGCATGCGCGTAAATCTACAGCCGGACGCCGACTATACTTCTCCTTAAACCTTTTTTCGAATTTCTTTTTTTTCTATTTGAAGAGAGCTCAACATTTGATGGGTTTCGTTTTCCACTATTTCAAAAAAAAAAAGAAAAAAAAAATTCCTGTCTCACCATTGGCTCCTCATTGAGCAGCGTCTCGTTGGGCAACAACCGCAAATCGCGTTTGCGGGCAATGTCGAGCTCGACGTGCACACCGAAATCGATCAATAGGCATTCGAACGCGCGTTCGCCGACGTCGGTGATGACGCATCGTCGAAATTGGCCCGAGTGCAGCCGAATCGCGCAGCACTGGTCGATCGCGAACAGCGCGTCGGGCAGCCGATGCAATTGTTTCCACTGAAAATCGCAATTCTCGCGTCTCAGCGTTTTTTTTTGTTGGGCTGAAATCTCAAATTTCAGCAAATTTCTCGAATAAAAATGGAAATCGCAAAACAAAAAAAAACGCATTTTTTTTTTGGTTTTTTTTACGACCAACCCGCTCTTTCAGCAAATTCACAATTCTCTTTCGCTTCTCGACTTGCCACGTGTACTGTAGGTAGATCAATTGGGCGTTCTCGATGTGGGCAACGACGAGCTCGTCGGTCTCGTAGCGCGGCGCTCGTTGGCATTTGTCCAATCGTTGAATATACTCAATTTTTGTCAAAATTCTGCAACAAAATTGGCATTTTGGCAAAAAAAAAAACACAAAAAAACCCAACTCATTATCGCCAGATTCGTTCGATTTCGCCCATTTATGATTCCAATAGTCATCCTCGTCGTCTTCCACATAATTTTCCTGTCAAGAAAAAAAAATTGGCTTCGATTTTTTCAGCCATCGAAATTGTTCAATTTTGAGCCGAAAAATTTTTGATGCGACACTTGAAATCCGAAAAAATTGATATTCGCCCATTTTTTTCTCGTATAAAATTTCAAAACGTCCGCCAATTGGGCGACACTTTTTCGAGAATCGAACCCAAATTATTAATTGGCCAAAAAAAAAATGGAAAAAAGTGCCGCGGCCGAGAAAAAATCTAGTCCGCGGCCATTAAATTGCAAAGCAAATGTGTGAAAATACTGTGAGAAAATGAAATTTCGGCAATTTTGATGCAATTTGCTTGGACCCTCACAGTGTTCGAGTCGAAAAATCGAAAAAAAATGCTACTCGCGCTTTTCCGATGGGCTTTTTATCGACAAAACCGACCAAAAAGTGTCAAATTTTTGCCAATTTTCTTTTTTTTTTTGAAAGCCAATATTGTCGGGTTAAATGCCAAGAAAAAAGGCGCAATTGGAGATTTACGGGCCAACGGGTACTTTAAAGGCGCACACGGCGCGCCAAGACCCTTGAGCGACAACTCAAAAATGCTCACCATTTTATTGATATGCGCTATCCAGCTTCTCTGCAATCGTTCAAGTTTTCCCAAATCCTCAGGCGGCGCCAAAAATCGTTGGCAAACGTTCAAGTGCGAAATTGTCGGATGGAAAATGTCAATCTGAAAGAGAAGCCGATTTGTGGGACTCGGCCTACCAACAATTTAATGGTCCCTAACTACCCCCAAGCAATTATTTTTTTCAAAATCTCAATCCAGTGCTCACCAAAAATGGCTCGTCGACGGATTTGAGTTGGACGCGAAACAACGCGTTGCACGATTCGACGATATTCTTGAATTCGATCAAATCTTTCGTCTCGAGATCATTTATTGTGATTCCTGCGACGCGAAAAAAATCGATTTTTTTGTTGGTTTCATTATTTTCAAATCAATTTGATAGTTACCGTCGACTCGACATTTCAGGCATAGCGGCGGCGCGCGGCCAAACTCGCGACGAAGCGGTTTGAGTCGATCGCGACTCACGAGTATCTCGGTGCCGATGTCGATCAATTCAACGACGATGCTGCAAAAAATCGGGTGATTTTCAGTTCTTTTGGGGGGTTTCTTGAAGAAAAAGTTGAAAAAAAAAAAAGAATCGAACTGTGACGAGCCGGAGACTTGCACAATGAGGCCGCGATGCCAAACGCCGCGCTCCTCGACGGCGCACGCCGCTTGCGGGAACACCTGAATAAATCGATTTGAAATCAATTTTTAAATTCAAATGTCTAAGACAAATTTTGAGAAAAAAAAATGAAAATTTGGAAAAAAGTCACTCAGATTTGTCGATTTTTGCGCCAAATTTGATATTAGAAAATTTTTAAAGATTTTAAAGAGAAATTTGAGAAAACAAAATGCACAATTGTCGCTTTTCCACAAAAAATTGAAATAAAAATTTTAAAAATTCGATTTTTTTATGACAAATTTGAGGAAAACAAAGGTATTTGTCGATTTTGCGAAATAATTGAAATAAAAATTGAATTTTTTGATTTTTCAGCAAAATTTTGACCAAAATTATGTGTTTGGCTAGCCTAAAATGAAAAGGTTTGCTAAAAAAAGCGTTTCACAAAAATTATTTTTCGTAAAAAAATTAATTTTTTCAATTTTTTTTTCAAAAAAATTGTAAAATTTTAATTTTTTTCTGTGATTCCAAAATTCCGATGAGAATACCTGATCTTTGCTCATCGTCTCGTCCGGATTCCTTCTGTAGTACTCATTCATCAGAAGCATTATTCGTTTTCGAGCCGAACTCAAGTATTTTGGCTGAAAATTTTCAAGGCTAATTATCATAATTGGGTGGCGGGTGATTAGGAATCATTTTCTGGCCAACACCAAAAAAAAACCAACTTGTAGCGAAATTTCGACGGGCGACATAAAATGCGAAACTTTGGCGTAGAATAATTTTCGATGGAAATCCACGTCATCGTCGCGTTGGTTCTGAAAATCAAACTTTTTTCCAAAATTCGTAAATTTTTTCCAAAAAAAAATACACACAATTGCAGGTTTTTAGACAAAAATTTTTGAAATTCGAATAGTTTTCAAATTATTTATTCATAATTCGAGTGTTTCTTTGAAAATTTGAAATTGAAAATGCAAGAAATTCAAAAAAAAATTGCGTCTGCAATCATCGCGACGCCCATTTGCACTATTACAGTAATCGCTAAAATGCATTCTTTTTTTTTCAAAATTTCTGCAGAAAATGAAAATTTCGCGATTTAATTTTAATTATGGGCCAATTAGGCTTTAAAATTCGAAAAATGTTAGTTAACAATTCGTTTATTGCTGAAAATTTCGTGATTTCCAACCAAAAAATGAATTTTCAGTGTCCGAAATTTTCTTTAAAACATTTTCCCTAGCAAATTACCTTCAATCGATTAAATTGATAATTTGCGATGACGCTACACCCGGCGTATTTCCAGCAATACTCAGAATAGAACTCTTGAAGGCGCCGAATACGCCATTCGGGTCCGCCGGGCACCTCGACGATCTCGCGACAATTATTGATGGTCCGTTGGTGTTCGGCGTCGCGGAAACGCGCCAAACCGCCGCCAAACTCGTTCATTTTGAATAATGCCATTAAAAATTGCTTTAAATTGGCTCACGTCTTATCAAAATTAAATTTAACTTTAATTTTGGAAATTATTTATTCTGAAATTTTCTCAAAATTACTGTAGTTCGCAAATTGTCGTCAAAAAAAAACAAAAAAAAATCCCTAAAAATGCTTTATTCACTTGCGAATTCAAAAAAAAAGGTAATAAATTTCTGTTTTACACGTTTTGCTTCTTGAGGAATTGATAAACGACACCAAAATCTTTCGCTTGATAATGCGGATCTCTGGCGAGAATTCGATAGATTTGATGAGCCAGCGAGCCGAGAGGGGTGGGCGCTTGCGTGTTGGTTGAAGCGTTCTGCGCCAACGAGAGATCCTTGGCCATCAGTGTGGTGCCGAAGCCGCCGGCGTAGCCCTTGCCCGACGGGATGCCCTCGATGACGCCGGGCACCGGATTGTAGGTGTCCGACGACCAGCATCGTCCCGACGAGGTGTTGATGATGCCGGCGAGTTGTTTCGCGTCGAGACCCATGCTGCAAAATCAATTTCGTCGAAACTTGCTTTTGATTTAAAGGGATTTAGAGCTACCTGATTCCCAAGTTCATCGTCTCGGCGACAGCAATCATCTGAATGCCGAGGAGCATGTTGTTGCAAATTTTGGCCGCTTGTCCGTTGCCAACCGCGCCCAAATTCACTATATTTTTGCCCATGAGCCTCAAAATCTGGTCGGCGCGCTCGAACGTTCGATCGTTGCCGGCGCCCACCATGAATGTGAGCGTGGCGTTTTGGGCGCCCGTCACACCACCCGAAATTGGCGCATCGATGTATTGCGCCTTCTTCTTCGCCGCTTCTTTTGACACCTCGATGGAGACGATTTGATCGATCGTTGATGAATCCATGCACAATGTGCCGGGTTGAATGGTCCTGAAATTCGCAGCATTTTGTTTTTTGGCACATATTGAAAATTGCCAAATCAGGCGCAAAATGGTGGTTTTGTTTTAAATAAAAAATTGATTTTTGAAATGTATTTTTGGCAAAAATTCCAAAATGCTCAACAATTTGAACATCTTAGATTTTCCTTATTGAAATTTCGCCAATTTTCGCTCAAAAAATAAATTACTTGAGAATTCCGTTGTCGCCAAGGTAGACGCTTTTCACGTGTGGCGAGCTTGGCAGCACTGTCACGATTTCTTTGGCGGCGGCCGCCACGTCGGCCGGATGGCTTGCCACGTCACATCCATCGGCCTGAAAAATTGTTAAAATTCGTTTTTTATTTGTTTTTTTTTTCGCCAAACCTTGAATTGGTCGACGACCTGTTTGTTCAAGTCGAACACCACCAATTTTTTGCCGTTTTTCAGCAAATTGCGAGCCATATGGCCGCCCATGTTGCCGAGACCAATGAATCCAATCGCCGACATTATTACCTGAAACTTCTGCTACAGAAAATGGTGGAAAATTGAGCAAAATAGGTGGAAACAAATTTCGTTTTAATTAAAATCAATGTGGGGGGTACTGTAATTTGGAATGTGCGCAATATGTTTGCGGACATTTACCTGCATACCGTACCACTTATAGAAATTTTTATTTTTTTTTCGTTAAAAAATTGAATTTTTAGAGCGTTTTTTGCAGTTTAAACAAGACGATGAGCAATGTCAAGTATGCAATGTTATGGGGAAAAGTCTAAAAACCTTCAACGATCGGCGGCACGTGCGTTTCGAGAACTGCAAACCCCGAGGAGCGTATGTGTGTGTGTGTGAGATAGTAGGCGATTTGTGGAGAGCCACAGGTAAGCAGAGAATCAAGAAGGAACAAAAATATATTATTTGACAAGGAAAAAAATGATGAAAAATTTGATTAATATTGAAATTTGAGCATTTCGATCAGAATCGGCTCATCGACAAGATTTAAAAATGTCATTTGGATATATGAGGTGACCATTTCATGAATTTCAATCTGAAAAAAATGGAATCGGTCAAAAGAAAGGGAATATTGGATAGAAAATACCATAATAAATGAGATTGTTAGAATAATCTGCCCAATTCGCTCATGTGGCGCTTCATGACCTTCATCGCGACAAATGATCATCAAACTTCGGATAATCGCTTCTCGTTGTTTCTCGCAAATCGTTTTTCCATTTTCCTGCATTTTGTAATAATCTGAAAATGGATGGATTTGGATGAAAATTGGTGAAATCGATGAAAAAAAAAGAATTACTGTGGTGCCATATAACTAGCGCTTTGAACAGGCAGAATTCGCTGAAAGTGAGCTTCAGCTGATTGATCGGCTTGAGCACGTTGAGCCATTGGCGGCGCTTCATTGTGACGAGGAATCTGACAAAATCAATTTTTCGAGGGAAACAATCCCAAAAAAATCTCACTTATACTTCAAATAATCCTCTTTTGACGTGAATTTCTCATCGTTTTCCTCATTTTCAGGCATCGGTAGCGGATTCATCGGAATGTATTCGCCGTTGGGCGTCACCATCGCCTCATCGGAATCGCCAAAAATGCTGAATCAACACACCATTAAAAAAAAAGAAAACAATTTTTTTCACACAAACTTTGCTGTATAGAATGCGGGATCGACGAGGAAATCGACGGCGCACGCCGTCCGAAACAGCACCGTTTTTTCGGAATCCGTCAGCTTGCGAAAATCGGGAAACGCTCGAATATATTCCAATATCATTATGTAATCGGCTTTGCATTTTTGGCGATAGTCGCGATGACTGAATTGAACGAGATCGTCTCGATCATAAGGCTGAAGGCAAAAAAAATAATTATTGGCAAATTTGGGTTCGCGACGGGACTCCTGACGCCAATGGCATGCGCCTTTAAATCGCCTAGATTTGCTTTTTTTGAAGATTTTGAGGAAAAACTCAGGTAAATGCAAATCAATCGAATTAAAAGAAAAATTAAATATAAATTAATTCAAGAATCTTCAAAATCGATTGATTTATTTCTAATTCTCAATTTTAAAATCGTATTCGATTGAAATTTTGGGATAATTCGAAACAGATTAATTTATATTCGATTTAGACTGAAAAAATTATTTTTGAATCCGATTGATTTTCATTTACCTGAAAATTGGCTAACAAAACTATTGTCGACCTTGGAAAATGCTCAAAACCAATGATTTGGGGCTCGAAAATCCAATTTGAAAAACAAATTTATTAGAAATCACATTTTTCAGCTGTTGCGGAAAAAATCATTTTTTTTTTCTTCGCAGAAAACTCACACAATGGCACGTTTCATTGAATATCGATGTGAAGAATTTGCTCGTATAAGCGAGACGTCGTCGCAAATTCAAAGAACATGTCTGCTGAATGTAGAACTCGGCGAGATTATAAGCCGATTCCTCATCATCGATGCTGAATTGGTAGCCTAATTAGGGATGAGATTAATTCAAGAAAATTTGAAAAAAAAAACCTGAAGTTGACGGCGAGTCGGCTCGAAATTGATTCGTCGCCTCAGGCTTTTCTAATTTCACCTAAAAATTATGAAAATTGAAAATAAAATCAATTATTTTTACACTTGCCAAATTATCAAGGCTTATGAGCTTTTTGAGCTCATTTATGGTCATTATTCCATTCGCAATTTTTGGCTCTTTACGATCTTTTGAATATGGCGAGTTGCGGACATCCCGTTTTCCTTGAACCACTGCAAAAATGTGATTTTAGGAAACCAAAAATTATTTAATAAGAAAATATGGGGTACGGTAGGCGATGTGTGCAAACACCCAGACGATAATTCGCAGAGAAACGCGTCATTTTTGTAATTTTCTGCTTTACGCCATTTTTTTAAATTTTATATAGTATTTATGGAAATTAGGTTCTTGAATTTACGGCTTTCAGAAAAAATTTGTGGAATTTGATTGTCCCCCGTTTTTTTTAAATGAATTCTCGTAACTTACATTGCTCGATCATGCCGAATAAATAGCATTTTTTCAGGCGACAAAATCGGCAATTAAAACGTAACGCTGAAATGAAAATAATTGGCGATAATTAGCGCAGACCAATTGTGTCGTACAATGATGAATAACGCAAGGATTGCGCCCATCGCCAATGCAATCATAGGTTTGGCGCATGGTGACGCTGCGGCGAAAAAATGCGGCGCACGCCTGGAACAAAAAAAAATTGGGTAACAATTTTAAGATAAAACATATGATTTCAAAATTTCACCTAAGAAAATCGAAATTTGCACTTTTATTTTCAAATTTTCCTTTTTTTTTGGTAAAAATTGACTTTAGAAATCAATTCAGTTTTTTAGTTTTAAATTTGAGGAAGCTTTATTTTTTTAGACTATGTTAATCTCAAAAAAACATCATTTGAGTGACAATTTTGACAAATTGCTCATTTTCAGCAAAAAAGGCTCACCTTGCATGAACGCGCGCCGAAATGATAATTGGCGGCGTTCGGCGAGCCGCAAATCGTGCACAACATGATAATCTGAAACAAAATGCGCCGTATTTGGTGGCTGATTGAGGGCGCCGTCAAGCGGCGAGACATCACGCTGAATCGAGAGGGCGCCGACATCGCCTCCGAAAGGTGTTTTCACCTGCGTCGGTGGAAAAAATAATAAAACGCTTAATTGGCTAATCAATAAAAAATTGAAGTTTGAGTTCTCGAAGGAAAACTGCATGCGCCCTTAATAAGCGTAACGAAAAGAAAAAAAAGCGTAACGAAAAGGAAAAAAAAAAAAGTAAATTTTTTTCGAAATTTGAAAATTCCTCAATTAATAAAAGGCGCACGAGTTTGGGCCTCATTTTTCAGAAGTCTACTAAAAAATGACTATTGCCTACAGTAATCTGAACCAACCTCGTATTGAGTTGAATACAACATTTTTGGCGGAATGGCGATAAACTGATGAGAATGTGCACTTTTGAAACGCGACACAAATAATAAAAACAGTAATAACAAGAAGGAAATGAATGAAGAAGTGATAAGAAAAAAGAAAAGGTCCCGCGACGAAAATCTATTCATTATTATAATTATACTAACTAGTCGATGACAATATATTGTACACACCATACATAGAACAATTTTTGACTCGTATTCGAAGAAATTTCTGAGGCGTTTTTGATGGCTTCGATTAGATGCTGAACGATTCGCCGCAACCGCATGTGCCTTTAATGTTGGGATTGCGGAAGACGAACTCGGAGGTGAGCTTATTCGAGATGTAGTCCATTTCGGAGCCGAGAAGGCTGAGTTGAGCTTTTGGCTCGATCCAAACGCGCACGCCGTCCTGCAAGAGATTTGTTCATGTATAATTTTAAAGTCGATTTTTGAATGCGCCTTTAAAGAATTTTTCTATTGCGGTCTTGAAGCGAAAAATTCATTTTTGTGAGAAAATCTACCTAGTTGCCTAAAATTAGCTGGAAACTCAAAATTGTTCGGCATTTTTTGGCCTATAAATGGCAAAATTTGAAAAATGCATCATTTCCAAAAAAATTCGAACCTGTTCGACTTCTTCATCGAATTTCTCCTTTTTATTCGCGTATTCAAGTGTGTACGTGAGCCCGTTGCAGCCCTTCTGTCGAACTCCAATCTGAAAATTGCAATTTTCTCGAAACACTAAAACTATAATTAAAGACAACTGGCAATTAAATGAAAATATGAGAAGAAAACACAAATTTTTTGATAGGGATATTCAAAATTTCCCAAAACTTTTTCAATAATTCGCCAGAATTGCCATGGCGAAAAAAACTCACTCGAAGCGCTTTTGCATCATCCTTTTGTTTTAATAGAACCTGTATCCTTTTCACCGCCTCATTTGTTAATGTAAGAGCAGCTCTGGAAAAATGTATTGAAACAAAAAATAATAGCAAAAAAATTAAAAATTTTTGGAAATTTTTTATTTCACAAAAAATGAAATTTTTTTCCTACCTGGTTGGTTTTGTGCGCATTACGCCTTTGACAACCCGTGCGGTAGCACCTCCGATCACCGACATTTTTGAAATTTGACCGGAAATACGGGGACAAATGAAAGAAAAAATGGACGTCTGACTCGGTTGCCCGCGATTTAGCGTAATGCGAGGCAACGAGGCTCCGCAATTGACGCGAAGCGCCCGTTGTTTACCGTAAATGCGGGACGCCGAAACGCTTTTTGTTGGTGTGGTGGATGCTCGGCGTCGACAGGAAATTGCGTCGTTATTGATTGTTTTCGAGCGTTTGATTGATTTTCGGCTCGATGACGGCTTCATATCGTCCATGTTTCGCCATCGTTTTCATTCATTTTCGTGTCGCTTCACGCCAAAATCGCGCGTTTTAGGAGAGAATCCCATTAATCATTTTTTTTCTCTTCAGATGGCGTCTTCGCATACCGAAGATGTTGTCGCGACGGTTCTCGAGACGATCGAGGAGCGCGGCTATGACGATGCGGTGCACAAGGCGAATTTAATCAAAAATGAGGCGAATCAGTTCTTCAAAGGTGGTTTTTTTTTTTCAGAAAAGAAATATTAATTATTATTTTCGTCAATTTTAGATCAAGCTTATGATGTGGCTATTGAGTTGTATACCATGGCTATTGAATACAATCCAACGGCGATGTTGTACGGCAATCGGTAGGCAATTCAATCATCTCGCACCTTTCTCGTTTTTTTTAAATTAAAAATTGATATTGTAGAAGCATGGCTTATTTGAAAAAAGAGCTTTATGGAATCGCTTTGGAGGATGCCGATCAGGCGATCGCTCTCGACCCGTCATACGTTAAAGTGATCGCAAATTTCAATTTCGCAATTTTTGCAACTGTTCCAATTTTAGGGATTTTATCGACGAGCGACGGCGAATATGGCGTTGGCGAGATTCAAGAAGGCTCTTGCCGATTATCAGGCGGTGGTGAAGGCTCGTCCGAATGATCCTGACGCGAAGCGCAAGTTTGAGGAGTGCCAAAAGATAGTGAGAAGGATGGCGTTTGAGAAGGCCATTTCGACGGACCATGATAAAAAGAGCATCTCGGAGACGATTGATATCAACGCGATGGGTGAGTTTGAATGGTGATTAGAGGGATAATCAAGCGCTGAATTACAGCAATTGAGGATAATTATGATGGTCCGCATTTGGAGGGTTGCGTCACCGAAGAATTCATGAGCTCGTTGATCGCGCACTTCAAATCGCAGAAGAAGCTTCACCGAAAATACGCGTTCAAGGTTGGCGAGACGCAAAATAATCATCGTCGAAATTCAATAATTCAGATGTTGTTGGACTTTTTCAATTATATGAAAGAGCAGCCGACGATGGTGGAGATCACGGTGCCCGATAATCAGAAGTTCACGATTTGCGGTGACGTTCACGGCCAATTCTATGATTTGTGCAATATTTTCGATATCAATGGAATGCCGAGCGAAAAGAATCCATACGTACGGCAATAATCTCAAAGATTGATCACCGTTTTTTTCATTTTGCAGCTTTTCAACGGCGATTTCGTTGATCGCGGATCGTTCTCGGTGGAGACGATCTTCACGATGATCGGATTCAAGCTTCTCTATCCGCAACATTTCTACATGTCACGTGGTAATCATGAATCCGATGTTATGAATAAGGTATGCGCATTGAAATTCCGCGGCTTTCAACCGATTCTGAATGCTCTAGATGTACGGGTTCGAAGGCGAGGTTCGTAGCAAGTATAGCCAACAGATGAGCGACTTCTTCACGGAGATCTTCTGCCATTTGCCGTTGTGCCATCTCATCAATCACAAGATTTTCGTGTGTCACGGCGGACTGTTCAAGGAGGACGGTGTGACGCTCGACGACATTCGCAAGACGCGACGAGTTCGTCAGCCGCCAGACGAGGGCATCATGTGCGATCTGCTCTGGTCGGATCCGCAGCCGATCAATGGCCGATGCCCGTCGAAGCGCGGCGTCGGCTGCCAGTTCGGTCCCGACGTCACCGCGCGATGGTGCAAAGAGAACGACATTGAGTATGTCGTTAGGTAAGCGTCTCGAAATCGGCGAGAATGAAGTTTGGATTCAAAATTTTTGTTCAATGTAGAAGTCACGAGGTGAAGCCGGAAGGCTATGAGGAGCACCACAACGGCCAGTGCTATACGGTATTCTCGGCGCCAAATTATTGCGATCAAATGGGAAACAAGGGGGCTTTCATCACGATCACTGGTAACAATTTGAAGGTTGGTGTTCTTGCTTTTTTCTTGTTGCTGCTTAAAACGAATTCATCATTTTTCAGCCGAGATTCACGAGCTTTGAGAGCGTTCCGCACCCTGAACTGCCACCAATGGTGTACGCCAACGCGCTATTTGGATTCAATTAAATGCAGCAACCTAATATATATATTATTTTTTCCCCTCCATTGCATGATTACTGTTGATTTTTCAAATAATTCCTTGAGTTTTGCCTTCCTCCATCCCCTATTCTTCTTCATTTTCATTTGTTGTTGAGTTTTGTTTTGTTTTGCTCTATTTCCTCTCTCCAGTGATATTTATATGCACGAAATGCAATTCAATTCAAATGAATTATTGATTTATTGCGAAAACATACATCATCTAGAATGGTGAAATATACATAATAGGGGAAAAGTTGAAGCGATTCTTGAACGAGACTTGAACTACGTGAAATTGCGGAATCGAGAAGACTAATAATGGTGGCCGAAGTGGTGGTGAGCCGATGAGCCGTGGCTGTGGTGAAAGCCGTGGTGTCCATGGTGCGGCTCATGGTGTCCGTAATGGTGTCCGTGGTGGGATTCGTTGTGTCCATGGTGTGGTTCATGATGTCCGTGGTGGGATTCGTGGTGTCCATGGTGTGGTTCATGATGTCCGTGGTGGGATTCGTGGTGTCCATGGTGTGTTTCATGATGTCCATGGTGCGATTCGTGGTGTCCATGGTGCGGCTCATGGTGTCCGTAATGGTGTCCATGGTGGGATTCGTGGTGTCTATGGTGTGGCTCATGGTGTCCATAATGGTGTCCATGGTGCGGCTCATGGTGCCCATAATGGTGTCCGTGGTGAGGTTCATGATGTCCGTGGTGGGATTCGTGGTGTCCGTGGTGCGGCTCATGGTGTCCGTGGTGAGGTTCATGATGTCCGTGGTGGGATTCGTGGTGTCCATGGTGCGGCTCATGGTGTCCATAATGGTGTCCATGGTGCGGCTCATGGTGTCCATAATGGTGTCCATGGTGTGGTTCATGATGTCCGTGGTGGGATTCGTGGTGTCCATGGTGTGGTTCATGATGTCCATGGTGGGATTCGTGGTGTCCATGGTGCGGCTCATGGTGTCCGTAATAGTGTCCGTGGTGGGATTCGTGGTGTCCATGGTGTGGTTCATAATGTCCATGGTGCGGCTCATGGTGTCCGTAATGGTGTCCATGGTGCGGCTCATGGTGTCCGTAATGGTGTCCATGGTGTGGTTCATGATGTCCGCGGTGGGATTCGTGGTGTCCATGGTGTGGTTCATAATGTCCATGGTGGGATTCGTGGTGTCCATGGTGTGGTTCATGATGTCCGTGGTGGGATTCGTGGTGTCCATGGTGTGGTTCATGATGTCCATGGTGGGATTCGTGGTGTCCATGGTGCGGCTCATGGTGTCCGTAATGGTGTCCATGGTGCGGCTCATGGTGTCCGTAATGGTGTCCATGGTGTGGTTCATGATGTCCGCGGTGGGATTCGTGGTGTCCATGGTGTGGTTCATAATGTCCATGGTGGGATTCGTGGTGTCCATGGTGTGGTTCATGATGTCCGTGGTGGGATTCGTGGTGTCCATGGTGTGGTTCATGATGTCCATGGTGGGATTCGTGGTGTCCATGGTGCGGCTCATGGTGTCCGTAATGGTGTCCATGGTGCGGCTCATGGTGTCCGTAATGGTGTCCATGGTGTGGTTCATGATGTCCATGGTGGGATTCGTGGTGTCCATGGTGTGGTTCATGATGTCCGTAATGGTGTCCGTGGTGCGGCTCATGGTGTCCGTAATGGTGTCCGTGGTGGGATTCGTGGTGTCCATGGTGTGGTTCATGATGTCCATTGTGGGATTCGTGGTGTCCATGGTGTGGTTCATGATGTCCGTAATGGTGTCCGTGGTGCGGCTCATGGTGTCCGTAATGGTGTCCGTGGTGGGATTCGTGGTGTCCATGGTGTGGTTCATGATGTCCATGGTGGGATTCGTGGTGTCCATGGTGCGGCTCATGGTGTCCGTAATGGTGTCCATGGTGCGGCTCATGGTGTCCGTAATGGTGTCCATGGTGTGGTTCATGATGTCCATTGTGGGATTCGTGGTGTCCATGGTGTGGTTCATGATGTCCGTAATGGTGTCCGTGGTGCGGCTCATGGTGTCCGTAATGGTGTCCGTGGTGGGATTCGTGGTGTCCATGGTGTGGTTCATGATGTCCATGGTGGGATTCGTGGTGTCCATGGTGCGGCTCATGGTGTCCGTAATGGTGTCCATGGTGCGGCTCATGGTGTCCGTAATGGTGTCCATGGTGTGGTTCATGATGTCCATGGTGGGATTCGTGGTGTCCATGGTGTGGTTCATGATGTCCGTAATGGTGTCCGTGGTGCGGCTCATGGTGTCCGTAATGGTGTCCGTGGTGGGATTCGTGGTGTCCGTTGTGATGCTTCACATGCTTCTTGTGATGCTTCTTGGCGTGCTTCTCATCTTCAGATTCTGAGGAAGAGCTGGACGAGCTGCTGGAGCTCGAGCTGGAGCTTGATGAGCTCGAAGAGTCGTCCTTTTTGTGGTGATGCTTCACATGCTTCTTGTGATGCTTCTTGGCGTGCTTCTCATCTTCAGATTCTGAGGAGGAGCTGGACGAGCTACTGGAACTCGAGCTGGAGCTGGATGAGCTCGAAGAGTCAGCTTTCTTGTGGTGATGCTTCACATGCTTCTTGTGATGCTTCTTGGCGTGCTTCTCATCTTCAGATTCTGAGGAGGAGCTGGACGAGCTACTGGAACTCGAGCTGGAGCTGGATGAGCTCGAAGAGTCAGCTTTCTTGTGGTGATGCTTCACATGTTTCTTGTGATGCTTCTTGGCGTGCTTCTCATCTTCAGATTCTGAGGAGGAGCTGGACGAGCTACTGGAACTCGAGCTGGAGCTGGATGAGCTCGAAGAGTCAGCTTTCTTGTGGTGATGCTTCACAAGCTTCTTGTGATGCTTCTTGGCGTGCTTCTCATCTTCAGATTCCGAGGAGGAGCTGGACGAGCTGCTGGAGCTCGAGCTGGAGCTTGATGAGCTCGAAGAGTCGTCCTTTTTGTGGTGATGCTTCACATGCTTCTTGTGATGCTTCTTGGCGTGCTTCTCATCTTCAGATTCTGAGGAGGAGCTGGACGAGCTACTGGAACTCGAGCTGGAGCTGGATGAGCTCGAAGAGTCAGCTTTCTTGTAGTGATGCTTCACATGCTTCTTGTGATGCTTCTTGGCGTGCTTCTCATCTTCAGATTCTGAGGAGGAGCTGGACGAGCTGCTGGAGCTCGAGCTGGAGCTGGATGAGCTCGATGAGTTGTCCTTTTTGTGGTGATGCTTCACATGCTTCTTGTGGTGCTTCTTGGCGTGCTTCTCATCTTCAGATTCTGAGGAGGAGCTGGACGAGCTTGAGCTAGAAGAGCTAGAGCTCGATGATTCAGCCTTCTTGTGGTGATGCTTCACATGCTTCTTGTGATGCTTCTTGCGGTCATCCTCATCTTCCGATTCCGACGAGGAGGAGCTCGAGCTGGAGCTTGAACTCGAGGCCCTCTTCTTGACAATCTTCTTCTTGTGCTTCACAATCTTCTCGTCGTCCGATTCCGACGAGGAGCTCGACGATCTATCCTTGATATGACGATGTTGACGATGATGATGGTGGCCGTCATCTTTCGATGCCGAATGCGGATCGACGAATTTCAAGAATCCTGCAATCAACGCTGTCTGAGCTTGACGACACCTTCAAACTAACCGGCAAAATCTAGAAGGCCATCTTTGGAATTCTGTTCGAACGTCTCCTTGAAGTTGAGATCCCTGAGTTGATGGTCGATCTCCTGAAGGGCGGCCTTCGTCGCCGAATCGTTGAGCTTGTGCTCATCGGTCGAGTGCTTCTCGAAGATCTTCTCTGAAACAACACGCTTATGGATAGTGGGTCGTCGTCGTCGGGACTCACTGATCGTTTTGACGTCGACGTTGCGATGACGATGGCGGCGATGGCGTACGGTCATTGTTGATTAGTGAAGAAGCGCGGACGCCTATTTATGGTCGCCGATTTTTACGACACCTCTGCCACGTTTCACAAGACTCCGCCCCTTTTTTTTGAGGCATCGCGTCCGATTGGCACGGATCACGCGGCGAAACCAACCGATCGAAAACAGAAGTTGCATCGCCGATAAGGAGTTTGTGTGTGTGTGTATGTATGTACACAAGAACACAGGAATCAAATGTTCCCCTTGATTGATGGCTCGCGAATCCATTGAATCGCATCGGATCAGGATCGGATCGAGATTCCCATTTGAGCAAATTATTGACGCCATATAAGACCTTAGAAGGGTTATCAGTTTCTCTATCTCTAGTTACCGCATAGTACTGTAGCGAGACTAGACGGTCCGCCGCTTACTACAGTAATCTAGAGAGCCACCCTAATCGTTTCGGGACCGCTCGCTGAAACGAAGCGCGCGCCTTTAAAATTTGAAACACCAGAATTTTTTTAAAGACGCATACCGAACAGCTCCTTTTGGAAAAAAATCATGACTCACTAAATTTCTCTATATGCTCCTTTAAGGTCCCTTAAAATGTGCGATTTAAAGTTCTCAAAGGTTTTCGCTATGGGACCACAAAACGGAACATTTCATTTCGCGCCTTTAAATCTCCAATATCTTTAATATTTATTATTCCAAAGGTCTCACTATGTTGAGGGTTTTTGTCGCATAGAAGACTGCCTTGTTCTATGCGCCTTTAAGATTTTTTTCGCCTCGAGACTCGAAGAACAATTCGTCATTGTGCCTCCGCTAGAAATCGGCGTTTTTCAGGATTCACAAGCACGTGGTGATTTTCGCGTCGACACCCACCAATCGTTTCCACACGATTCGCGTCGAGACCCCCAACCCATCAAAATTCAACAACGCTGCAAATTTTGGCACACTCATCGAATGGCAAAGATCACAGTTCCGGGCAGGGCCACGTGTGCGACGATCGCGAAACGCGAGCCTCCGGGCGCATCGTAAAAATTGGCGTGCGGCGCTCGCAATCACGTTGAGAAACGATAAAAATGATGGAATGTGCTGGCAAAATTCGCCTCTGTCGATGTTTTGAACGATAACGAAATTTTTAATTGATCTTTGGCATAATCAACACCTTGTGCAATTGGTCACAAAATTTGCGTAAGAAAATTTGATTTTTGAAGCTGTGCCGGACCTCATTTTCTGTTATGCAGAGAGAAAATGAATTTAAAAAAATAATTGTCCATAAAAATTTTCTTGCAAATTTATTTCAATTTTTTTTTGGACTTTGATCTCCATACTGAAAATCGAAAATTTGAATTAAATGAGAAGCGCGCCGTCACAGAAAAAATCGAAAAAAAAAAGCCAACCATTCCATTTCTATTTTTTTTTTGCTTTTTTTCACTTCAAAATTGAATCTCATACTTCTGAGAGCTCGAATTTCCGAATTCTAACAATTCTTTTTTAGAAGCTCGATGCCATATCTTCATTTTTTTAAGGACATCCGAGATGGGCTTCTCCTCAGAAGGAGATCACCATAAGAAGAACCGTAACCGTGGTCCCCTCAAGCCAAGGACCGAAAAGCTTGGAAAGATGTGGTCCTTTACAAGCTAAGGACGAATTGACTGAACAAGTGAAATTCTGAATGTTGGGTGTAGATTTACGAGCGCGCCAATTCGTCGTGGTCTCACCACGCGCTGTTCTTTTCACGTAAACTGTTCATTTTTTCTAAATAAGGCCATCTTGTCAATTCTTCGCATTTCGAAGGTTCGAAAAATTTAAAGTTATCGAAAATATAACCAGATAGTCATCAGGAGACCACAGCGCCCGTAAATCTACCCCACCATTCATCAATCGCCAGACGACCGACTAAAACACCTAAAGATAATAATGTATCTGTCAAAAAGAAAAAATATACAATCAAAACTGCCAGCTTAAAACCCCGAGCCGGGCCGGAAAAGCTCAACAATTCAAATTTATTAAAAAATTACTTTTTGAATTGCCCTCGTAAATCTACAACAATCAAAATAAATAAAAATTTATTCATAAATTTCCCGTATAATCAAAATTCCAAAGATTTGAGGTAGATTTGAAAAACGATTTTTTGTTGGTTGAGCAAACAAAAAAAAAAGAATTGAAAATCGCAATTTTCGTGTCGAATTCGAGTTTCGGCAGTTGAAGCTTGAAATCGGTTCCTATAATTCCAAATCTGGCAATTTTTCATCAGCAAAAATAATGCGATTATTTCAAAATTTCGGTCAACTTCTAGCCGCCAAAAAAATGCGATTTTCAGCGAGAAGAAAAATCAACGGACCATAAAAATCAATTCGAACACCTATCGAAGAGCGCTGAGCGTACTGATCGCCGACGCGATCGACAATCGATGACTCGTGCCCGGTATCCTCAAATACGTGCTGTCGTCGTCGCCCCACCATTGTTTCGTGCGGAATCGCATCGATTTCGACATCGCCGCGAGACCATAATTGTGTTCGGCCGTCACACACATTATATAGCGCGTGTCGGGCTGCAGGTTCGTCAGCGTGAAGCGCGTCGAATTGCCGACTTTGTAGCGATTCCAGTAGACGAATTGCGGCGCCGGCTCTTGCGCGTATTGAATCACATAGCTCTGAAATTGTCGAATTGAAAATGGATTTAAAAGCGCATTTCGACAAGGATGATCTTGGCACGAAAATTGGAAGCGCACTTATATGGATGATTTTGGGGCAGAATTTAAAGGCGCATTTCGACAAGGATGGTCTTGGCACGAAAATTGGAAGCGCGCTTATATGGATGGTCTTGGCGCGAAAATTGGAAGCGCACTTATATGGATGATTTTGGGGCAGAATTTAAAGGCGCATTTCGACAAGGATGGTCATGGCACGAAAATTGGAAGCGCGCTTATATGGATGATTTTGGGGCAGAATTTAAAGGCGCATTTTGATATACAAAATGGTCTTGGCGCGAAAATTAAAAGGATTCTTATATCCTTATAAAAGATCAGGACGCGAAATTTAAAGGCGCGTTGATGTGAAAGGGGCTTGACACGAAACTTTAAGGCATTGATGACTTTCTTAAAACGATTTAAAGGCGCATGGAATGATTTGCGGAAGTTTTTGAAAGATTTCGTTGAAAAAAAATGAATCAAAATCGATTTTTTTTTGAAACTTGGTAGTTTCAAGACGAAAAACGACATATTGTGATTGAAATTGCAATTTTAAAAAAATGAAGAAAATTAAAGTATTTTCGCTCAAAATTCTAGAGAGACCAATGAAAAATGCCGAAATTTGCTCGCAATGCTCAAAAATTGCGCGCATGTAATTTTTTTTCGCCAAAAACTAATACATAAAAATAAATTCACCTCAGCTCCATTGTTGACTTTCGGTGCTCGCCACGAGACCGTCGCCGTTTCGTCGCTGATCGCATCGATTCGCACCGATTGCGGTACCGTGCATGGCTCTGAAATTCGCAACACAAAAAAATTGTCCAAATTTGGTAGTCGGCAATTCTCGCCGGCGAATATCGTTACCCGTATATTCTTGCACTCGAATCGGCACACTCTGTCCGTAGCGCGTCGTCGTGAACACACTGAATTCGTATAGCGTGAACGATTTCAGACCGGTGACGAGATAGCGGTCTTTGTTCACAAAATCCACAACAACCACATTGTTTCGACGTTGCGGTGTGCTGAAAATCGACTATTCAAACTTTGTCGCTGACCATCTTCATCGGGACACCAGGACATGAATTCAAATTTGAATTGCCGCCTCGCGAAAATTTAAAAAAAAAATAGCGATGGTCCACAATTACTCAATGACGTTCGATGCCTTATTTTGTTAGCGATTTGACTTTCAATGGTCCGTAAGTTAGCTACAAGCTCAACAGCGAAAATGACTATTCCGTTTTTTTTCGCGTTTAAAATAGATATATCGAGTTTGAGCGCATTTGCCTAGATTTGAAAATGGCGCCAATAAATGATTCGCACGAAATCAAAAAAAAAAATGATGCGCCACTCACCGCGGTTTGTACTGAATCGTGTACCAATATCGTTTGCCCTCATCGACGTAGATCGGCGCACTCCAACGAAGCATCACCGAGTCGGCGGTGGCGTGCGAGGCGACAAGATGACGTGGCGAATTCGGCGCTACAAACCCTCCATTCATACAGTAGATCGAAAAAAATGGATTTATAATAGAGCGCGTTTGCTGATATTGGAATTTCAAAAAAAAGTGATTTACTGAATTGAATGAAGGTAAAAAAGACTACAGTATCTAGTATACTGTAAGCCTCCAATGAAATCACTCACGCTTTCTCAAATGATCGTCATAGTTTTGGGTGAGCTGTTTGAACGCTGTCAATCGAATATGATGAAGTGCGGTGACGGTCTCGAAGAGTTTCCGCATCGCCTCCTTCTTCATCGCCTCGGTTCGCCGCTGTTGCACCTCTTTCAGCCACGACAACGGGTCCTGAAACGAGAGAGAGAGAGAAAAATCTGAGAGTAACCGTCGTCGATACATCGTCAAGGCGTCGGCCGAAGAAATGAAGGCGATCGATGTAATAGGCGCCGACGACGTCGACGCACGTCGTCGTCAGCACCAATCCGGCCAAAATGATGAATAGAATCGGGACGGCGAAAATTTCGTTGCGCGGCACCATGTCTAGAATTTCGATCAATTTTTTCTATGTTGGTCTCGTAGACCCAATTCTAGGCATCAGATGGGCCATTATTTGATCCACCCTAAGCTTCTTCGATACCATTGCCAGATTGGGCACTTTTTGAAAAATGAAATATTTTTTTTCAAAATTTGAAAACTTCAAATTGTGCTCCATTTTTTCAATTTTTTGAAATTCGAAATTTCACCGAAAATAGTGATGAAATACTTAATTAAAGGCGCATAATGATTCTGGTAGATCAAGAAACAAAACGAACGCACTAAACATTTCAATTTACGCACAATGGATATTTCTCAAGAAATTTGATGCCTCGGCGTCGCAAAATTGACAAGCTCGGTTTCGATTATTAAAAATTCTGCTTCAAAAAGGTCTCGAGGCAAGACATGCTACAATCTGGTTACATTTTTGACTAGTTCGAAAGATAGGAATTCTGCGGAGGCTGCGGTCGAACCTCATTTCACTTCAGGCTTGAAAAATCCGAAAAAAAAATTTCTACCTTTCAACCTACTTCTAGAAATGGCAAATCATTTTTTTAAGAAGCCGGCGAAATCAAAGATTACCACCAAATCCGATCGTGAGCACGCTCATCATCACAAAATAGAAGCCGTCGGTGAGATTCCAGTTTTCAACCCACGATATCAGCCACGAGCTGAGACCAATGTATAGAAGAAGCACACCTGGAAAGGAAGTGTTGACGAGGCGAAACAAGAATGCCTTTCGACGCGTACCAATAACTAGTAGGAATGGGACCTCGACGAATTGCGCGTGCTCCAAATGCGTCCACAGGAATTCGGCGACCTCGTCCTCGCCGCCGGCGATTATCACTTGGCCGACTTTCATCGAATCTCTGCAGCAAATATGTATTTTTGTGCAAAAAATTTGCAATTTTCCCCCCAAAACCTTCGAATTCGGCCCGATTTCCATCGTTTATACTTCCTCTTCACACGATATTTGTGCTTGATGATCTCCGTATAAACGCGATTCATGAGTTCCGTGCAGAATTTCGCCTAGAAAAATAATGAATGAATCATTTTTCATTTCGAATTTCTAGCCTACCAAATCGGCAATTGTTATCAGATAAAGCGGAATTCCGAAAAATAAATAAATTAGGCAAAATATGCGGCCTAGAAGCGATTCGGGTGCATCAATTCCATATCCTAAATTTTCAAAATTCACAAAAAATGGCGAGATTGGTGGAAACCTATTGAGGTGAGGGTTGTGGCGGCAAAAAACAAGTTCGACGTGAAGTTTGACAACGGATTTGATTGAATCTAAAAGGAAACATATCAAATTTATATTAAAAAAAAATTGCAAACCTTCTCATTCCACCTGAATCCATCCTCAAGGTTGTAATATTCATAAGCTTTTTCAATATAATCAAAAACCGCCTTCTCGTAATCCTCTCGTGGAATTTGGCAAAGTTTTCTGGCAAAATTTTGTCGGGTCCTTCAAAAAAAAGGGAGTGAAATGAAAATTTCATCATTTAATACACTTACTGATCGAATAGAATCGATTGATGTGTCGTTTGCTGACTGTATTTGATAAGCGTCAGCATCCAGCCGCCAAATGCTGCATATAATATGGAAACGAGAAGAAGTGTGACATGAGGAAGAGCCAAACGGAGCACCTGGAAGAAAATAAATTTAAAATATTTAAAAAAAAACAATTTTTTTGAATTTAGTCTGCAATATTGTGAGCCGGTGAACGCACACCATTCGTCTACCGTACCCACCAATCAATAATTTATTTTTTTTTGCTAAAAAATACCAATTGTTTCGTCAATCCGAATTGTCCCGGCGTCAGCTCCGAGAACCGGCATAATCCGGAGCTGAGAAGCGCGCCACCGCACATTGGCGCAACCGGTTGGCGCAACGACGGTGTCACAGGTCGCGACGACGACGAATTGTTCAAAAGCAGCTTGCAACTAGGCAGTTGTGCACCCGTTTGGCGGCGGATTGGCGCAGAGTCCAATTCATGTGAAGGGGAGGGGAGGGGGCCGACCAACTACCTTTTCCCTCCTCCTCCTTCTTCGTCTTCTTTTTTTTTGAGCCATCCACATATACACGAATATACTCCACCGGCTCGACTCCCCTTGGGACCATCCAACTCATTAGGTGCTCATTTCCCGAACAACAAGGATGAAGCCGCTCAAGAAGACAAGCCAACGAAAAAAAAAAGATGACGATGGGATGGAATCCGATTTGGCGGGACCATTGCACAAAGAAGACGTGCGATGGCGAGTGAGACCACAGCCATATCGAAATTTTTATTGTAAATTTTCAGAAAAAAATTGAAAAAATTCGAGTTTTCCCTGATTTTTTGCCTCAATTAAAACGTATAATTTAAGAAATTTTGCGAATTTGAATATCAAGCCAAATTTTTGAATATTAAAAAAAGCTGGATTTCATCGAACCCCAATAAATCGCGAGTGACTTCACATTGAGCAAAAACCAAATTTTTTTGAATTTTAAATTTCTTCACTCTCTTTTTAATGACAATCTCAAATTTAGTATTTTTTCTGGAAAACTAAGCGTTTATTTTTTTCGCAACATCTCCACAATACTATGAAAACCATTTTCAGGTTCGAATTGGCTTAAAATTCTGTTCCAGATCAATCAAATCTTGGGCTTCATGTCGAATTAACCATTTTTCTCGGTTCCCGTCGTCCTCCGGTATCCCATATTCAAAATTCTAGAAATCAAATTTGGAGATCTTGAATCAATATTGAAGCAAGTTATAGTTTTGTTGTACACGGGGGTCGATTTACGTGGATGCGTCTTTCTCTTGGTCTCGCACGGACTAACAGGTTATCTCAATTTTTATGGGTCAGTTCGATAATTTTGCAATAAAATGACGTTAAACTCATCAAGAAAAAATAAATCGTGGCGTGACATTTTCAAAGCGCATGCGCCCCGCGCCGACTTTTTTTTGAATTGCAAAATATCGCGAAAAAATCCATGAAAAGCAAATTTGGCATAGCGCCAAAAATGGTCTCACCACGCGCGTCGTGTACTCCACACGGACATTTGCATTATGGGAACTTGGCGTAAATATCTGCGCCCCGTAAATCGACACTCACGTTGGTCTACGTTGGTCACGTCGCCAGTGAATTCAAAAATTGTACAATGGAGCGCACATGCTCGTGACAGACAAATTCGAATTCATCAAATCTCGCAGCTAAATTTTTTTCCAGTTTCGCATGCTATCTAGAGTACCCAAATTCCCATTGATTAAATTCAATTTTGAATTCCCGCCACGAAAAAGTGCGATGGTCCACAATTATTCAAAGCGCTCGTTTTTTTTCCTTTTGAACGATAAATTCCATTTTAAATGAATTAAATTAAGAAAAATAATATTTAAAACAAAAAAAAAAGGCATTTTAGATGTTATTTTCTCAAAACCATATCAATTCTCGAAACACATTTTTTAAACTGTCGATTTTTGAAGAAAATTTCAAATGAATGAGACCGGTTTGAGGAACCTTGAAAACATTTTGCAAAACAATATTGAAAAATCGATCGATTAGCAATGAAAAACGCAATCGTGGCCCTCCTTTTTTTGTTAAAGAAATATAAATAATGGAAAATCATCGTTAGATTTAACCATTAGCAATTTTCAATTGATGATAACAACTGGCTCTCGCATTATTTTCCATATTGATTTCCATTATCAGCGCGTTGCTTTTCTTTCTCGCCATTTTTTGTTCAACATTCATTTTCAGACTTCCATTTTTTTTCAGAGAATACCCAACTATGGACACTGGTTCAGCAGAGGAATTAACAACGAACAAAATCGTCCAAAGTACACGAAATGGTGCTCAACTTTTTATGAAAAACGAATATGCTATCGCTGCAGTGATTGTGGGAACTGCAATAATCATTTTTTTCGCTACTCGAAAAAAATGTCTAAAGCCATCCAAAAATAATCAGGTAAATCGTCATTTCAGTATCTTTGAGGCAAAAATTGAAAAAAATGGCATCTTTTGAAAATTTTAGTGGCAATTAGTATTGAATCAAAAAAGGAAAATTTCAAAATCACAACCAAATTTGCTTTTCATTCTTTTTTTTTGTCAATTTGACCATCGAATGTCGTATCATCAACAATCATTAGCAATGGGGGCCTGATAACAATTTTGCAATTCTCTCAGTTCCCCGTTTGATTTTTTTCTAATGGCTGAGTTTGAACGATCCGACCAGCAAATTACAATTTTCGGACAGATTCTTAATTTTTTAATTATACCAATATATATCGTCAAATATTTTGGTAAAAAAACAATTCGCATCGGGATTTTCTTTCTATTAATTCCTTATAATCTTTTGGCTCAAATAGTCAATTTTATACTTTTCAATCCGGTGGGTAATATTGAAATGATCATTTAAAGAATTTCATAATTTTCAGGCGGATCATGCTATAGTTATTTATATAAATGAATGGATTGAAAGAGAACAAAACGAGAATATGTCGAATGATGATCTGATTCGAATTCTGAAGAATCTTTCAATCGAATTTAATTCCAAATTGAATTTGTCGTATTCTTCAAAGCGAATTTCTCCGCAGGTTGGAATTTTCCGAAATTTGAATCAAATCAACGCAATTTTCAGATGAAACATGATCTGAAAATAAAAATATTTGAAATAAAATCAAATGTGGAAGGAAAGAACGAGGAATTGGAGACATTTTTGAAGAATGTCGAATTTCGATTCTTAAATCGAGATTTACACGAGGAAGAAGGTCGATTATGGGTAAGATGCTTAATTATGCTTAATTAGATCGATTAATTGCGGTTCAGAAATTGTTATTTGAAATGTTTCCGAATGAATGGAGAATTCCCGCGGAAAATAATACAAACCAATTTTTGTGGGTTTCTTTTTTGGCAAACTTCCAAAATTCGCGCGATTTTAGGGAGAATCAGAAAAAAATCGAAGAAATGGAACAACAGAATAGAGAATTCGTCGAAAGACTTAGAGAACAGGCCGCTTTGAACGACTATGAGCCACCATTGATTAATTTTGGTAATTGACTTAATTGGTTGTTGAAAAACTAATTACCAATGAATTTTATAGAAATTGAGGAAGATCCGAGAATTGCGGAATTTGAGAAGAAATTGAAAGAAGATCAAATTGTGAGAATTTGAGAGATTTCAATGAAAAATGCTTAGTGATTTCAGAGATCTGCTGGAATTTTTGACGAAGCGAAAAGACACAAGGAAGAAATGGATAAAGAAATTGAAAAAACCCAAAGAGAGTTGGTTTTTATCTTTGAAATTCTTTTGTTAAATTTTTCTGGAATTTTTAGAGGTCAGGAGAAAAGAAAAGCACAAGATGAGGCGAGTCGAAGAAGACAGGAAGAAATTGAAGCAAAAGCGGAGGAAATGAAACGACAATTCGAAAGGTTCTCTTTTTTTTCAATATTTTTCTAGAATTTTAAATGTTTTTTTTTTCTAGACAAAATCGAGAAGCTGAAGAAGCTCATCGAGAAAAAATGGAACAAATTGAAAATGAGCGACGAGAAAATCGGGTATTTGCTTATTTCAAATATTTCAAATCAATTCATTCGAGTTTAGGAGAAATTTGAAAGGAATCTCGAAGAAAATGCGAGAAGAATGAAAGAATTAATGGAGGAAGTTAATCGAGCAGTTAATGCGCGGATAATGACAGAAAACCAAATAAGGATGTGGAAGGAACATCTGGATTCGCTTAGGTTTGATTCAATTCAAGTATTCTTAATTCAAAAATTTTAGAAGGCAAATTGAGAATGTCAGTAAGCAGAATTTGGATCGATACGTTGAGGAACTCAAAAATCGATACAGTGATTTCGGATTGAAGTTAGTCAAGTCTCAAACAGACCAATTAATGGAAGCCGTCGAATATCTTCATCTCGAAATGTGTGATGAATACGAAAAGCTGGAAATTCTTCAGAGCCAGAATCCGGAGAATCCAATGTTGGCCATTCTAATGGTTGGTATCATTTTATACTAACAATATCCTATTTTGCCAGGATTCGATTCATCAAATTGCTTCCAAATGCTACCAAGTCGAAGAGGAGATCGAAAAATTCAAGGTATTCAATCATTTGTAATTTTTGCTTCATCGAATTTTCAGACATCTGACAACTTGGAATACAATCAATTGCGTTCAACCCTCACCCAGATCACACCATCCCTTATTCCATCAATTAACCAATTAAAGGAAATGAGTGCGAGACAGCCAAACTTCCAAAAACCCACGACACCAATCAAGAGGCCAATAAACGGACAATAAATATCACATTATCATGACCAAAATATCGAAATACTTAATTGGGAATCTAATTGCTCTATTATTTGGTTAAACTTCTTATATGGAATTAATTATACGTCCAATATTAGTTTGAAACGAAATTTTTTTTAAGCGTAAAAAATTTGACATGGCTGCGATGAAAAATAAATCGATTCAAATGAGACGAAGTGTTTTTTGTGGACTTGTTTTCTGCGATATTTGCGTCGCAGTGTTTGCACACATTCTCGAAAGGGGGGGGGAAGGGTTCAAATTCGCGAAAATAGCGTAGATTGAAATCTATCTTTGACTGAATATTAAATGCGCGTACACTATAATGCAATGTACGCAGTTGGCCCATAGTCAATAATTTTTTTAATTTTCGTTCACTCTTTTTTTCTGGTCAAAAAATCCACAAATCGTATCAAGTCGGCAAATACCGCTGGGTTTTTTTTTGGTGGCAATTCAAACGCCTTTCTCATTTCAATTCGAGTTTGGCTGGCATCTTTAATTCATTCGATTAATTTCCTTGGCGAAAATGAGGGGCGCTAATTAAAGCCCCCCCCCCCGCCCCTTCTGTTGGGCGTTTAATCCAAAGTTGATTGAAATTGGTTCGGGGCCATCGGAAAAAAAAAACATGTTTGTTTGTTTGCCGCATTTCTTTTCTCTGCGATGAGGACATCACACGTACCAACACGAATCTTTGATCACGTCGAGGCCGTCCTTCAGCGCGGCGGCGGCGAGTACAAAAGATCGTGACGTTTGATAATGCACTCCAATTCTGACTATAAAAGTCACATTCTGATTTCTATTCAAATCTTGTTTGGGGATTTTTTTGTGTTCACCCCAAGCAACCATAGGACCTGGTAAAGGGTCGTCTTTAAAAATTTTTTTTATTTTTCGCTTACAGATTCTTTCAAAAATTTCCGATCGATCCATGTCTCGATTGAAAATTTCCTAAAGAATCTCTATGCCAAAAATGGAAAAATTTTCAGACATACTGCAAAAAATGAGCCGAATCTACTTAGAAATCAAAGAAAAAAATTTCCCGATTTTTTTGGAGAGGGAAAAAATTGCAGCCCCCCCCCCAAAAAAAAAATTCATCAACATGTCCAACCACCTCATCTCCACAAACTTTTTGATCTTCTGATCTCTTGGCATTCGTGCGAACACGCTGCTCTCATTTCTCTGGTCACCTCTTTCCTCTTGGGCGTCGAAATTGCCCACGTGCGCTCGCACACATTTTAATCTTCGAGTTGTCATGTCCGCAGCAATTTGACTCCAATTGATCTTCGAATTGTGGCAAAAAAAATGATGACAATTCAATTTTGTTTTGCTCATCTCGTTCTCATTCAAAAAACAATTGTCGATTCTCAATTGCAGCTATGGATCGTAAGCGCGCTCGTGATCTTTGCGTTGAATCGCTCAAGGACCTCATGGTGGGAACATCGCCAAAGCATATTGCCAATGGAAACGGATTCTATCAATAGTAAGAACGCGCCATTTTGCGAATCAAATATGATACATTTTGCCAGGTTCTTCACCAACTTTCCCGATCTTCGCGTATACTTCAAAGGCGCCGAAAAGTTTACCGCTGAGGATGTGAAGAAAAGCGAGAGGTAATCCATTTGATCTCCATTTTCGGATATAATCAAAATTTTGCAGATTTGAGAAGCAAGGCCAACGCATCCTTCTCGCGTGCCATTTGTGCGCCAACGTCTACGACAACGACGACGTCATCCGCGGATACATCCGCGAGACCGTCAACCGTCATCGCCAATACAAAATGGACCCGGCACTCTGGGAGGTACCAATAATAATAAGAAAGCATTTACAAAAAAACAAATTGCCCTCACCACAGGCCTTCTGGACTGTATGGACCGGATATTTGGAGTCGGCTGGCTGCTTGAACGACGAGCAACGCGCCGCGTGGATGCAGCTCGGCAAAGACTTCAACACTGAATGCCAAGTGCATTTGAAGAATCTCAACCTTCCATTCGTTCAATAATTCGAATTGTGAATCTCAATATGACCATTTTGGTGTACCCTCTAATTTGATGATGAATAAATGTATAGGAAACGAGATTTTGTTAAAAAATCAAAAAAGTCAGCCAAAGAAAAAAATTTGAATGTGCGCCTTTAATGTATGATACCCGGCCAATAAAGAGCAACCCCCCTTGCTTTCCAGAAGCCTGAAGTCGACTTAAAAATAATTTGCGTTCTAATTTCTCATTTATCAAATTGCGGCGATTATTTAAAAACAAAATTCGAACGACGTGACACGGACGACATCGAATAAGCCAGTAGTCATTCGAAAATGCCACACAAGTCGCCGTATCCGAACGTGCCGATTCCCGAGAGGACCGTGCACGATTTTGTGCTCGAAGCGCTCGAGAAGAACATTCGCGAGAAGAAGAACGAGATCGCGTTCGTGAGTGAAACGATCGGCGAGACGACATCGCACACTGATTGCAGATCGACTCATCCAACAACTACGCGCCATACACCAATGAGACGCTCAAGAGCGAGGCGTACACAGTGGGCTCCTACCTGTACTCGATTGGATTCAAGGTAGTTCGCTGATGTTTGACGACTCATCGAATCCGTTTAATCAGAAAGACGTCGCCGCCACCTATCTGCCGAACACCGTCCACTACGCCGCGTTTTTTCTCGGCGTCGCAATGAACGGCGGTGCGATTTCCGGCGCCAGCGCGCTGTTCACCGATTGTACGCCGCCTCCGATCGCCACTCAGAATTCTTTGATCATATTGTTCGTGATTTCAGTTGAACTCCACAAACAGCTCGTCGATAGCAATGCGAAAGTGGTGCTCACCAATCATGTCTCGCTTCCTCGACTTTTGCTCGCCATCAAGGACACAAAGGTTGCGGTGGGTGACGAGTGAATCGACAATTCCCCCCTCACCCGGAATTCAACACTTTCAGAAAATTATAGTGGTTGGGCAGAATCGCGAGAATGCGCTTCCCGAGATTGCCGTCTCTTGGGACCAAGTCATGCAGACGCCGATTGTCGACATCCCAAAGCCGAAGATTGATGTTCGGAGGGATGTGATCTTCTTGCCGTTCTCAAGGTATCCTCCACCTCTTGTTTGACATCCAGTCCTGACGTTGGGTTCAGTGGAACCACCGGCTCGCCGAAGGGTGTCATGCAGACGCACTACAACTTCATGGCGATGATCGCCAGCTACTACACTTTGGAAGAAGCCAGCTTCAAAGGCGGCTTTGATGGATGGGATTGGACGAAGGAGAACGCGTGCCTCTACTTGCCAATCTATCACAACTACGGATTCAATATGATGTTGCGATGCGTCATTCGCAACATGACCGGCGTGCTCATCCATCAGTTCGATCTCAAGCTCTTCCTCAAAGTGCTTCAGGATTACAAGGTTCGAGTGTTGCCGATGGCGCCGCCGATTGTTGTGATGTTGTCGAAGAGTCCGCTGTGCGACGAGTTCAACATCACATCGCTTCACGCGGTGTTCGTCGCCGCCGCGCCCATCGGAAAGGATCTCATCGAGAAGCTCATGAAGCGTCATCCCAACATCAAGTACGTTCAGCAAGGCTATGGGATGACCGAGTGCACGTTGGCGAGCCATTTGCCGGACTTGCGTGTGAAGGTGCCGATTGGAAGTGTCGGAAGGCTGGCCCCAAATTACTCGATGATGGTATGACGCAGAGCAAGGTGAAAAGAAAAAGAATAAATTGCGAACCATTCAGATTGTGAATCCCGATACTTGGATCGAGCTGCCCGACGGGCAACAAGGCGAGATTTGCCTAGGCGGTCCGACAGTCATGCTAGGCTACCTGAGCAAACCGAAAGAGACGGCGGCGATCGTTCGCAACGGTTGGCTTCACACCGGCGACATTGGCTATGTCGACGCGGACGGCTTCCTCTACATCGTCGATCGTATGAAGGAGCTGATCAAAGTGCGAGGCCTTCAAGTGGCACCATCGGAGCTCGAGGATGTGCTCCTCTCGAATCCGAGAATCCGAGATTGCGCGGTCGTCGGCGTGCCGCACGAGCTTCTCGGCGAAGTGCCGAAAGCCTATGTGGTGAAAGCCGATCGAATGCTGACAGAGAACGAGGTCAAAGAGTTTGTCAAAGGTAGTAATCGTTAAAAATGTTGATGCCGATAACAAGATTTGCGCGAATTCAGTGAAAGTCGCCGAGTTCAAATACCTCGAAGGTGGCGTCGAGTTCATCGATCAGATTCCGAAGTCGGCAGCCGGCAAAATTTTGCGTCGAGTCCTTCGTGATCGCAACAACAACAAATGACGGGATTCTGAATCTATTCAATTAGTTTCTTTCATTCATATTTTTTGAACGTTTCAAAAACGAAGACAACTTGTGTTAACTATTTAGTATAAAATAAGATTCAACATTGTTTTTGTTGGTTTTATGCGAGAATTCAACGAAAAAAAGGGTTTCTTATCGTTATTATCCGCTTTTTTTTTTTTAGAAATTTCCTCACCGATTTAGGAATCTGCATGACAAATTCGACGCTGCTCTCGAGGTTCTTGAAGCTCGCCATTGTTGCTTTAATCAAAATCCAATCAATAATGTTATCGAATCGTGTTTTCACGTACCTGTTTGTGCTAGTTGAAGGCCAAACATTGATCAGCTCCTTCAAACGATCGACAACAAATTGGAAGCTGTTAGAATCAATGTAGGCCGATGGGATTTGAAGGCGCGCCTCGCCGGTTTTATCGTCGGTGACTTCTGAGCCAGGGTCAATTATCTGCAATTAAAAAATTTGATTTTAAGGCAATTAGGAATGCGCTTTACTTTCATCGTATAGTTTGATAGCAACTTTCTCTAAGATCACATCGTTGGCTTCAACCTACAAGCCGGCAAATAGCTGACAAGCGCGCTTTCGATTGTCTCATAGCCATTGAAATAATGGATAAATTGTCCGGTGAGAAAAAATCAGCAAAGATGTTCTTTTTATTAAATTCCGAAATCCTTAGGTCGATTCTTGAATAAAAACGCATTTCTGTAAAAATAATGCACTTTAAAACAACTATTTTCAGTTTTAAATATTGAAAAACTACTTTTAAAAGTTTATATAATCGTAATATTAAACTTACCTGCTAAAAAAGACGACAAATTTCAAGAAAAACATTTTTAAAAAATGTGAAATTAAAAAAAAATTTCGAAGTATGACGCACATTCCGCAAACACCGAGGCCGCATGTTGCGGACTTGAATTTCTTTCACTTTTTTGAAAAATTTTCCCCAATTTTTGCGCATCCCTACTATTTGTTGGTTAAAATTTAACGAAAATTAGTCATCTATATTGCACACAGCAATGGATCCGCCTTCTTCGTTCATTGTATCGAATATTTTTTTGTATTGCCAATTGTATGTATGAAAAATGACTCACAACTTCTCCCCCTATATAAGTCGATTTTTTCACATGCATTTTTGTTACGCAATGAATTCAACTATTCTCATTTTATTAGTATTCCTGGTCTCGTTAGTGATGTCGCAGGTGTGCCAGAATTTCTTTTTATTTTTAAAATATTTTATTTCAGCATATTTTCGTGGAAGACAATGAGTACTCGATAGGCATTCTGAACGTTTTAAAAAGTACATTGTTGCTTAATATACATGAATTTAATTGGACAATTTTCAGGAATTCTTGATGATGCTGACGATGGTAGCCACGAGTCTTCAGGCGACTTCGACCCATTCAAATATCAAGAAGAGCAAGAGCAACTAGAGTATCTCAATTATAAGTAATTCTTTTTTTTTTTTCAATAAAAAGAAATCTAAAATTTATTGTACAAATTTCGGGTTTAAAGTTTCGATGTCGATTTATCTCTCAAGAATCGACGCAAAATTTTTCCCGCTGCCGATTTCGGAATCTCTTCGATGAATTCGACACCGCCGGCGAGCTGCTTATAAGCCGAAACTTTGTCTAAAACACCGATTGCAATTATTCAAGCGTTTTAAGACGAGAAGCCGAACCTTTGACAAAGTCTTTGACCTCCTGCTCGCTCAGCGACTCGTCCGCTCGCACCACAAACGCTTTCGGAAGCTCGCCGGCCTTCGCGTCGGGAATTCCGATGACCGCACAATCTCTGACCTTCGGATGCGAGAGGAGAAGGTCCTCCAACTCGGCCGGCGGCACTTGAAGGCCCTTCACTTTGATCAACTCCTTCAAACGATCGACGATGAACAGCTGACCCTCGTCGTCAAGATATCCAATGTCACCGGTGTGAAGCCAGCCGTCGACAATCGTGCTGGCGGTGGCTTCCGGTCGTCCCAGATAGCCCAGCATGACGGTCGGACCTTGTACGCAAATCTCGCCGCGCTTTCCCGCCGGGACCTCGTGGCCCGTAGTGAGATCGACGATCTGAAACAAGATGATTCGCAAGACGAAATCGCGCGCGCGCGCCTCTACCTTCATGACCAAATTTGGCGCCAACTTTCCCACCGATCCATACGGCTGATTGTTGCGAAGATCGGGAAGATGGCTGGCCATCGTCAACTCGGTCATACCATATCCCTGCTGAATGTGCTTGATGTTCGGATACTTCCGCTTCAGCTCCTCGATCAAATCTTTTCCCGCCGGCGCCGCGCCGGCCATTATCAACTGCACCGACGAGATGTCGAATTTGGCGCATATCGGGTGTTTGGCGAGAAACACCATAATTGGCGGCACGAGCGCCAACATTCGAATTCGGTACTTTTGAATTGCGCCGAGGAAGTTGGTCGGCTCGAAATGGCTCATCACGACGCCGGTCATACCCTTGAGAAGGCAATGGTTGAGCAATCCGAAGCCGTAGCAATGGTAGAATGGCAGGAATAGAAGGGCCTTCTCGCGATAGCTATCCCAATTCGGATCGAGAACACTCAGAATGTGCTTCTCATCGATGCTGAGATACATCGAGATCATCGCCGTCATATTGTAGTGCGAGATCATGACGCCTTTCGGCGATCCGGTCGTTCCGCTCGAATACGGAAGCATGATCATGTCCTTGTGGACGTCGATGCTCGCGTGCGGAACGACGGTGATCTTCGTCGACACCACGTCGTTCCAATTGACGACGCCCGACGGCAGCGACGAGCCGGCCGCTCGCGGTATCACAATGATCTTCTCGATCAGCGGACACTGTTTGACGGCGAGCAGCACCTTCGGCAGAAAGTCCTCATAGGTGAGCACGACTTTCGAGCGCGAGTCGACGAATTGGCGTTGAAGCTCGACTGAAATCATCAATGGAATGGGGAAGAAAAACGAATTTCGATGGCTTACAATCGGTGAATAGAGCGCTGGCGCCCGAAATCGAGCCGCCGTTGAGCGCGCACGCCAAAAAGAACGAGGCGTAGTGGAAGACGTTGGGCAGAACGATGGCGGCGACGTCGCGTTTGAATCCAATCGAGTGCAGGTAGGTGGCGATCGCGTAGACGTCATGACGGAGTTGCTCATACGTCAATGTCGCGTTCGGATTGTCGCCGCTGATCTGAAGGAGCATGACATTGCGCAAATTGAGGTGGGGGACTGTTATTGTGAAATTAAAGGCGCACGCAGGCGAAAACCCTGCGGACAATGCGCCATAATTGACGACAAAACCAAAAAATGGGGCTTCGACTTACAAATGCGATTTTGTTTTTGCCGCTGGCGATGGTTTGATCGATGGAATTCAGAATGAGCTCATGATAAGGCTTCTCGGCGATTCTCACCGGCGGATACGTCGAACGATGCGGCATTTCTGAATAGCGGCAAAATTTGAGTGCAGATTTGAATTGTCGGGTCTCGAACGGAAGCGAATTCTGATTGATTCAATCGTCAAACGAGTAGAGATTTTGTGAATTTTAGGCAATTGATGAGCGCGCGAAATTCAAAAAAATTGGAAATTGTGCGTCGACGACGCAAAATTGGCCAACAATGGGAGGAAGACAAAGGTCGATCGGCACCAAACACGCATTGATAAGAACGAGACTACAGTGTGGCATTGATCATCTCAAAATTGGGCCCCATTGCTAAATGACTAGATTTTAGCCTTAATTCGGGTTCACCCAAATGGCGAATAGAATTTTTTTTTTCACTGCCTAAAAACCAAAAAGTCATGGCTTCAAATATTTTTATTATCAATTCACGCGAATTGCTGATAACGTAGATTATTGTGAATGACACGCACATGATTTTGAAGGCGGACCATTGAAAATTTTCATGGGTCCGCTTTTTGTGGACCATCGCAGTTTTTTTTTTTACAAGAGATTGTCAAAATCATTTGGGAAAATCGAAAAATTTGCAACGGACCATTATTTTTAGAATTTCAATTTTTTTTTCTCTTGCCATTATTTTAAGAAGTCTATTTTTTTGCCAATATTGAACAATTTTTTAGAAATTGAATTTTTCTGAAATTTCTTCATTTTTTATTTTCCTTCCAATGATCCTTTAAAGAAATTTCATGAAGAATAGTGAATTGCGTAAAAAGCAACATTTTTTCGAGATTTGCAATTATGGAAATTTGGAAAAAAAAATTAGCCCACTTTTTCGAATGAAGTGGCCCGGAATGGTGTCCGCAGCACGTTGTAATCATAGCCAAAAAAAAAAACGTAGAGCGAAGTGAAGGAATCAAAAAACCGGAATCGTGCCCAATTCCGTTCATTTATCAAAAAAAAAATGTGAGGGAAATGAGAAGGGATTAAAATTCTTATCAGAAATTTTCGAAAAAACGGAATTCCATTTATAGAGTGGGGCACGTGTGTGTGTGAGTGTCCGGTTGCCTAGCTCGTCATTCGAATGGTTATCACGAATCCGCCTTTGACGTTGAGCAGGCATCTGAAAAAATTGGTTTCGGTTTGCCGCCCGGCGAAATAGTGTGGAGACGCGAGGAGACGCAGAGCGATATTGATCTGCGGACAACTCGCAGCTCCCGCCTCCCCCCCTACTTGGTGTGCTCTCGAAGGCGGACCATCGTCTCCGATTTGAGCGCGTACGTGAATCCGCTCTCTTCGATGACGGCAAATGTGTTCTCCTGAAGCCAGATGAGCAACTCAACCGAGCCGCTCTCGAGATCATACGAGCCCTCGCCGAGAAGCATCACCTCCGTTTTGTACTCGGGTGGTCCGTAGATTTTCACCGGACCATTTCTACAAAACGAAATCGTTTCGCCACGCGACGAATCGCTCACTTCAAATCGCTTATATGATCATAGATGAACTCTTTCCGATTGACCGGAGCTGGTAGATCAATCCATTTCGCCTCATATGGAGCGTTCACGGCGAACGTCCCTTTGCCGGGCTTCCCTGAAAATGGGTCGACGCTGAAACTCTCGATGAGGCCGCTATATATTACCGGTTTTGAATTCGGCGGAATTGTAGAACTCTTTGATGAGCGGCGGCAGATCTTTGACGACATCGTTCAAATGAAACCAGCGTTCGAATAATGTGACGTTTGAGGAACCCACGACGAACCTTCAAAGGCGCATGATGGTATCCGGTTTTGGTGCGGCGCCTGCTTACCGTACACAATCGAACTCGGTGTTTTTGCGCTCTCGCTCCACGACGAGACCCATCGTGTTGGCGAAACGCTGCGGTGAGTGCTCAACACGTGCCGGCAGCATGAACATCTCGCCTGCAACGCACTTATACGCCGCGTGCCTCGCCTCCAACACCTGATCTCGTGGTGTAGCACTGATTAAGCGCGACGCAAGCATAATGGAAGCATTGTGGGAAATCTGTGGAACGGAAGCATAATGCTTCCATATAGGAAGCATAATGTAATTCTTAGTGGCTGTGGAAGAAATATGGGACGAATATGGATGGAATGAAAACGGGATGAATATGCTTCCGGTGTTTGCGAGCCGTGGAACAAATATGGATGGAATATGGATAAAATAATCATATGTCAATAAACATTATACAATTGGCGTCTGGACGGCAGACCAAGACAATTTCTAGAAAAATCAATACAAAAAACTTATGCTATCATATAAACAATGAAAATTTGAAAATTACATGATACACAACGGACGAAATTTAGCTTCTACCATTTAATGACTTATGTTACTCAGATTTATGTTAATTCAGTCAACTGTTCCTCACTTTGTTTAAAGATTGCCAACTACAATTTAGTCGTATTAATATATTTTTGCCGGTTTTTCCGAAATTGGCATCGCAAACTACTCACAATTTGCTCCAAACTGGTAGCAGACGCGCGTAGAAGAGGCGTGCCGCAGCATTGCAAAACCGTGCGCCGCTTTGCACAATGCGGCCACGCCTCACATTTTCGAAATTCGTTTTCAAAATTTTTGTCCTTTTGCTTTTTCTCAATGAATTTTCAAGATTTTTTGTGTTTTTTTTTTGTCAAAAATTAAAGAATTTTTTTCAAAATTAAAGGAAAAATGTTTTTAAAAAAATAAAGGAAAAATTTTCATATTTATCATCAAAATCGAAACCAAAAATAAATTGATAGCATTCGAAAATTTTAAAATCGATACGATGTTTTCAAATCGTTTCCGACACTTTTAAAATCGAATTTAAATATTTTCTCAATCGAATTGTGTTTAATTTCTCATCGAATCCGTTTTATTTTTATTTACTTTAACATATTTTTTATTATCGCTCGCTTTTTTCTTTTAATAAAACATAATGTTTTGAAATTTTTTACAGATGAAGACAAGATCGAGAGTGTTGTCAGATATAACTGAAACTGCTCTAGAAGTCAATAACAAAGAACCAGAAGTCCCTAACATGGAACCAAATTCGCTCGACACTTCAGATCCAGATAGTCCAATTTACTCGCCAACTCAGCAAAAAAATTTTTCTCCACAGTCCTCACAAACAACAAAATCAACGCCAATTCCTAAACCTTCGTACGCCCAATTTGTAAGTTGTTATCATCAAAAATTGGCCTGTTCGACTCCAGAAATGGTTTCAATTAGAAAAATATGCGCAATGAAGTCTTTATAAAGTACTTCCTAAGTTTAAAGCTTGTTGATTATTTGGTTCCAATCAGGGCTGTGCGGCAATGGAATTGCCGATTGCCGAAATTGCCGGTTTTTCAAATTGCCGAAGAAAATTTCGATCGGTAATTTGCCATTAGCCGAATCGCCGAAATTTCCGATTGCCGTACAGCCTTCGTACCAATATCATTCAGTGGCATTTATCTTTTTAAGTGGGGCTCTAGTACAGAAGTCGCCAGACGCCGACTATATAAAGATCCTATACTTTATTGCAAATATCTATATTACAGATGCTCTTATCCATGGCTTTGGGCAACAACCGACAAATGACTTCAAAGCGAAAGCATTACGCATGGTTCGAGAAGTCATGGATAATCTTCTGTAAGATTTTGAACTATGACTATTAATTTATTTATTTGATTAAGCGATAGAATGCGTCAACGACTTCAAAGGAAATTTGGTGTAGCGCCGGAAGCGCTCGCGGCGCAATTAAGGAAGCTGCTTGATTCTACCAGCAACCCTCAGATGTGAGTATTCATATGTCTTTGAAATTTTAACAAAAATGCCTTTTTGCTTCAAATTTTGGAGTTGTTCTTTCTTCCGCCAATTCACTTTTTATTTTGTGCACTAAAGGGTTTCCAAAAATGCAATAAAAATAAATTATTTTTATTTTTAAGAAAATTATTGATGTAAAAAAACTGATTGTATTTTCTCGAAAAATTTAGTTTACGTAACAATGGTTTACAAGTTTTTCAAATTAATAGGCCCATTATAATCTACTTATTACAGCGTCCCGCTCGATGTCAGTACTGACAATGATTCGAATAGTTCGGCAGTTGCCAGTAACTAATGGTTTGATTATATCTTAATTGAAATTCATTTCATTGCTGTTTTTTTTATTTTAAATTAAATAAATGTGTTAATATGAAATAAATTTTGAATACAGCAATCAAATTGTTTTCTTATTTTCCCATATGGAAGGCATACGGCTCATTCCATATACGAAACACGCGGTTCCGCAAAAAAATGCTTCCATTATGCTTCCATATAACTTGCATATAAGATTCCTATGATATCCACAGCCGTTCCATTATGCTTCCATTGTGCCTATGCCGCCGTTTATCTGTGTGATCTCGTGGTGTAGTGGTTATCACATCTGTCTAACACACAGAAGGCCGGCGGTTCGAGCCCGCCCGAGATCAAACCAATTTTTTTTCGGCTCGTTTACCTTGCTTGATAACCAAATCTCGAATTGTGCCCTTCTCGATAACCTTCAGCACCATGTCGCCCTTGCGCTGAAAAAAGAACTCCTCGCCCTCTTCGAGATGGAAATCGAGGCGCTGATTCGGACCGCCGACATAGAACACCTTCAGCTGATCGGAGAACCTGAAAATCGTTTCGGGGGCGATGCGTGGATTATGTTTTTTTTTGGCGTCAATGCCAATCAACTGACATGCATTTGTTGCAAACCGGCGGATGGAATTGATCGTGATTGTCGTGAATCCATTGCGGAATCTCGACGGCGGTGACGTTCGCCATTTCGCCGAATCGTCGCCTCTCTTCAACAATAACAATTTGCTCGGACCAATAATCCATATATAAGGGGGTTAGGTGGGTGGAAGTTGAATGATGGTCGAAAAATGAGAAATATGGTCGGTTTTGAAATTATAGGGTGTCGGCCAGCCAGTTTTTGTTTCGGACAAAAATGGTGGGGGGTTGGATGACGTCTTCTAATCGAGTTGAAACCCGCGAAACGTCGGCTGATGTGAGAAATGAAAAGGGCAATAGGGGTTTTTGACCGAAAATTGTCGAAAGAATGTGTAATCGAGACGGATGGCGACTAATTCGGCGTTCTATCTCTTCTCTCGATCCTCTTCAGACGACTAACAAGCGTATCAGAATGATACGAGGCGAATTCGTCACATTGGAAGTTTCGAGACCCGACCAAAAAAGGTGAAAGACGAAAAGAGCGCGACCCGTTTTATATTAGCCAACAAAATTGAAACCTGACGAATAAAAATTGAAAAAAAAATTTTAAAGACGAGTTTTGATCACATCACTGTTGGAATTGGCGACGTCTTCTGATATTTCTCCGTCGGGTAGATGAAAAACATCGAGAGCAGTGAGCCGTCCATACAGAAGAATATTGTATTGGCTAGCTGGCAAGACGTTTTTTTTTTCACCCTTCAACCTTTGAATAAACCAAACCAGCATGTAAAAATCGTCGATTCCAATACTATAAATGATCGCGTGCATTTCCATCACCCAGGTGAAGACCACTGGCGCCAATGGCACAAAATCAATGCATTTTGATGTTACTGCTTTATACTGAAACGAAAAGGTTGGTTGGCAAAAGGGATTTGGAGGTATGGGGAATTGAACCCCAGACTTCTCGCATGCGAAGCGAGCGCTCTACCCCTGAGCTATACCCCCGCACGTTCTCAGCGGTGTGAACGCCGTTGATACTTACGATGAGGTACGGGCAGACGAGAGAGCCAGCGATTTGAGCAGACGACGCGATGCGGCCGGTGAACTGAAGAAAAAAAAATAGTGTGCGAGAGGGTGGAGGGTGCGGCAGACGACGAGAGTAAAATTTTGCGCGCTTTATTTTTGAAAGAAAATGGAATTTTCAGTTCTGGAAAATGCTTTAGAATCCCATAAAATTGAAAAATGGTCAATTATAATTAATAGAAGAAAAAAAAATAATTAGAATACTGTAGCTAAAGGCGCATATCCCGAATTAGCGTCGAGTCTCGGCGCGAATAATTAAAATTTTTTTTCAACAAATTTTGAGGAAATAAAATTTTTTTGACAAAATAGAATCATTGCGAATTGGATCTTTGACCGTTACCTCCTTTCCATCCTCATCATTCAAATTGTTAATATAGTAGAACAGCAAGAACATAACGGCGGCAATAATGGCAAGTAGTCGAATCAACTTTCTCTGAAATTTCGAAATTGCCGCCAATTCGTGCAATTTCGACGAACCCGCTTCGAGCGATAGAAGAGCAAGGCGAACACGAAGAATGATTGCATTGAGACGGCGTAGGATTGCAATAGGACGAGCTTGGTCTCGCGCAGAAATATCGCGTAGCGAAGCCAAAGCGATGAGCTAAAAAAATGTGGAAAGGAAAAAAAAAGAAACAACGACGACGAAGCGAATTCGACGACGTACCCGACGACAGCGCAAATGTAGGGAATCGGCGTGTCGCTGTCGCTGCTCTGCCGCCGCACCCATTTGTAGACGGCTTGCCTGTGAAATTTTGTTTTTGACAAAACCCATCTGCGGACATCTGAACTCACATCGGACTAGTGATGAGAGCGATGGCGTGAAGTGCCGTCGACGTCAAAAATAGGGACCATGCCAAATTCGAGGTGTACATGGCGAACAAACGCGCCGGACTCATTGTGCTCAGATCGACGTCGAGCATTGTTTGAAGCTGTAGGGATGATGCCCAAATTTGATTGTGTGGGTATGGGGGGTCGGAAATCGATCTACATAGACACTAGAGACGCACTATTTCGCACGATCGCCCCCGAATCGATTTATCTCGCATTTTGATCTACATTTTATATTGACATGCTTCTTCTTTTTCGTCTCTCCTCTCTCTCTCTCGTTCGACGAAGCGATTCGAAAGTTGTCGTCATCACATTCGATTGTTGTAATTTTTTTAACGAGATACTCATCGAAGCTTCTCCCACCCCCCCCCTCTACTTTCGCCTTCAAATTTCAAATTCTTTTTTTTTTGGCTGTTGCAATTTTGCAGCATTTTCTGGAAATTTGAGAATTTGAAACAAAAGTTGAAATCGGCTCTAGTTCAGATCGTCGAAGAGATACTCATCGAACTCTAGTTCAGATCGTCGAAGAGATACTCATCGAACTCTAGTTCAGATCGTCGAAGAGAGATACTCATCGAACTTCCCTGATCGGCGATGCTACAAAAATTTTGAAGCAAAACGGAAACTGGAATTTTTGAAATGGTTCTGAAATTGCTAGGCTTCTTTCGAAAAATCACCCATGAAAAGCGAGATTTTTTCGGCTGAGCGCAATTTTTGGAAAAAAATTCTGAAGATCTTTTTCAGATTCTGGAAAATGGTGTATTCCACTAAGAATATTCAAATTAGTTTGGACCCCCCCCCCATTTCCGGTCCAAACAATTTTTGATGATGCTGTTAAAATGTTTTCAATGGTCCCTAACAAAAAGAAATATCACGTTGAAATATTGTCAATTTGTCGCTGAAAATTCTGAAATCTCGATTTTTCAGCGAAACCATCCCGCAACTTGTCCGCAGATGATAATGGCAAAGATCTGAAGATCAGATAGTCGATATCGGCGTTGCCGATCGATGGGCGTCGACCGATGCGATCAGATTTATTCGAAAAAAAAATTTTTTTTTGATACGACGCAAAAAATTGTGTTTTGAGTTTTAGTTCCTTCGTGTTAATCGGACCGGAATGCCGTCGGACGGTTTCGTGACGACCTGCAAAAATGGGCGCCTCAAACCGGAAGGATGTCGGCCGACGAGTCTCACCTCAACGCACGGCTTGGTTGCGTCGAACTCGGCGGCGGGCTCGAGTTTGAAATGGCGCACGATGTAGGTGAGCATCACCTTCTCATTGAGCTGCGCGAACTTTTGACCTACAACACCGATTCTTCAAATTCAAATTGGGCGCCAAATCGATTTACCGATGCAATTCCGTGGGCCCGCCGAGAACGGTATGAAATCGTATGGATGGCGTTGGGCGATGGCGTCGGGCCGAAAACGATCGGGATCGAAGCGCGTCGGATTCGGATAGACGAGATGATTGTCGTGGATGACGAGCGGCGCGATGGTGATGTTGGCGCCCGCCGGTATCTCATAGCCGTCTGCAAAAAAAAAAACAGGACATGGCGCGTGTCGCCAAAATTGCACCCAAAACCCATCACGATCGAGTCGACGAGCTTCCGCTGGATCGCCGGCACCGGCGGTATCATTCGCTTCGATTCCTTCAGCACCCGATCGGTGTACTGTAGCCGATTGACGCCTTCAAGTGTCACCGGCTCGTTGAGATCGTCGCCTTCAAAATTTGGGGTTGAATGAAAGGGCGATTTTTGATCTACCGAAAACGTCGAGCAGCTCCTCATAGACCTTCTGCTGGATCGTCTGATGATGGGCGAGTTGCCAGCAAGCCCATGAAAGGGATGATGTGGTTGTGTCATGGCCTGTGGCAAAGTAATGCTATTTTCCGCACAAAAATTGCACCAAAAATGCGTCAGCGAGGTGTACGCTGGCGTCAATTTCGTGCACACATAATTTTGCCGCATTCTATATATCATTCGAAAGCTTAGAAAATGCCCATTCCGATCAGTCATTGAAAAACCCGAAAAAAAAAACGAACCGGCGAACATGAAAGTGTCGACTTCTTGGCGAATATCCTCGTCGGTGAGCACATTGGCCTCTAAAATTATTAAAAATTTTTTTTTCTGGCTCCAATCAATTTCGAAACCTTTCATTGACAAGAGTAGATCGAGAAAATTCATTTTGCGTTTCGTCGTCTTGATGTCGACGTCGCCGGCGTCGAACGCCGCTTTTCGCTTTTTGATCACCTGCAATTTTTGCTATGCGCCTTTAAAATTCGCCCTCTCGCGCGGATTACGGTATTCGTGAAGTTTTTCAACTCATTGAGGCTCTCGTTGGTCTGCTTTCGGTAGCCGAGAGCCCAAAAGATGGGCTCGAGTTGAAGGAACGGGTTGAAGCTGCGAACGACCTGAAAAGACTGACACATTTCAGGCGCCTGGCTCGTTTCTCGTGCTCGGCGCATTTATAGTGCACGACTCATCATTTAGGATTAGCGCCTTTCAGATGGCTGGTTCGTTTCTAGTGCTTCAAAATTCGAGACTGACACGTTTTAGGTGCTGGCATGTTTCTCGTGCTTGGCGCATTTCTCGTCTTAGACTCATTTCATATTGTTGGCGCATTTCATGCATTTCTGGTGCTTGACAAAATTTTTTAAGCTTGGCACATTTCCTTCATTTCTTAGGCTTGGCCTATTTCTAGTGCTTGACGCATTTCTAGTGCTTGACATATTTCTAGCGCTTGGCGCATTTCTACTGATTAACACACTTCTATCGATTGGCGCATTTCTATTGATTAACACACTTCTCGTGATTGGCGCATTTCTAGTGCTTGGCGCATTTCTAGTGCTTGACATATTTCTAGCGCTTGGCGCATTTCTATTGATTAACACACTTCTCGTGATTGGCGCATTTCTAGTGCTTGACATATTTCTAGCGCTTGGCGCATTTCTATTGATTAACACACTTCTCGTGATTGGCGCATTTCTAGTGCTTGACGCATTTCTAGTGTTTTACATATTTCTAGCGCTTGGCGCATTTCTACTGATTAACACACTTCTAGTGGTTGGCGCATTTCAAGTGCTTGGCGCATATCTAGTGCTTGACGCATCTCGCGTTGTCGCCAATCAAACCAAACTCACCGCAATTCGATTGAACGTCTCAACGGCTCGCACATACTTGTGCTCATGCTCAATCTGCGCATCAACTTTGGTGCCCATCGCGGTGCCGCAAATCACGTCGAGCGCGCAACGCTTAATAAAAGCGAACACGTCGACGGGCTCATCGTCGTCGGCGTGTCGATCGAGACACTCGACGAGAACCCGCGATTCGGCGTTGAACACCTCGAAGTAGGCGGCGAGTTTCGCGAAATGGAACGCCGGCGTCAGCATTTTTCGATGCGATCGCCATCGTTCGCCGGCGCCCCTTCAAAATGTAAAATGAAATCAAATGAATGATTCGAAGGTGGTCGTCATACTCAAGAAGAAGGCCACCGCCAAGCCATGGCTTGAAGAAATCATAATCCTTGCCTTTGTTGATCTCAGTGGTTGAATCAATGATAGCCTGAAGGAAGCAATTTTAGAATTGGCGCAAGTTTGGTGAAATTCCAAAAAAATCTGCATTTTCGCCCCCACCGCCACAGCTTTTCCATTCAACGGCCATACGAATAGGCTGCCTTTGATGACGAATCGCATGATGGAATCGCCGCGATCACGATGACGTTTGGCGAGTTCGCGCATCACGACGAACAGCTCTCAAAAAAAAAATTTGGCGATCATTTTTTCGCGCGACTCACCGGCTGTCGATTTGCCGGCGAATGTGGCGAGATTGTCGAACACCGGATGAAGGTCGGGTCCCGGCAGGCCGTGCGCCGCGCGCTTCAATCGCCAATAATTTCGGAGCCATGGCACCAATGAGAGGAGGTAGGCGAGAACGACGGCGATGAGAATCGCAACGACCATCGACATTGTCGTTTGTTGTGTTTGTGAGGGTTGCGAATGTTTGGGGGAGGTTGGCGAAGTATGCAAACACCGACAGAGAACAAGTTGGGTAGAGTCGAGGCGGTGGGGAGGGGGTCAGAGATAACCACCACCCATCACTAATTAGTTGATCGACATCAATTTGGCTAGAGTTTTCCCGCCCGGCGTTCAAAGGGCACGTTTTGTGGTTTGTGCCCACCCAAAAATTGTTGGCGCATTTCTCGCGCATTTTTTTTCCAGAAGCGAAATCGTGAACCCGATTCGAGCGCATAAAATTGTTGGCGCGTTTCTCGTGCGCATTTATTTTCAAAATGTGCGACTTTTTTTTTTTAAAACGACGAACAAAAATTGCTGGCGCATTTTTCGTGCTGAATGCCAACGGTTGGCGTATTTTTTGTATTTTTGAATTTCAGCATTCCTCACAACGTGTTTGGGTGTCGGTTTTTTGAAATTATGAACCTGATAAAACGACAAAAAATTGCTGGCGCATTTCTCGTGCAATTTTGCATGTTGCCGATTTTTTTTTGTAATTGATTTTCACCTTTTTTTTCACTAGTGTGACTTTATGAAATTATGAACTCGCATAAATAAATAAATAACAAAAAAATTGTTGGCGCTTTTCTCGTGCAAGTGTGTACGTTGACGTATTTTTTTGGGCCATTGAATTTCAGCATTTCTCAAAATAATTTGGTGGGTGATTTTTTTTACATAATTATGAACCTGATAAATTGACAAAAAAAATGCTGGCGCATTTATCGTGCAATTCACGACATTGAAATATTAAAAAAAAAATGAAATCTTGAACCCGATTGATGTAAAAAAAAATAGCAAAAAATATTCCTAAAAAATCAAATATTTTCCAAATCCAAAATGTTCGCTATTCTCGCCGCACAAATCTGACGGGTATTCCGTTCGACGGTTTCGCGACAATCTGCAAAAATCGATCCGGAATTGCCGGGCAACCATCACGAACCTCGAAACCGGGTTTCGTCGCCTCGAATCCGAGCATCGGCACAATTTCGAAATTGCGCACAATGTGAGCGATGAGCACCTTCTCCTCGATTTGCGCAAATTTTTGACCTAAAATGGATGATTGCATTTTTTTTTTGAGGCGCGAAATTCAAATCGCCAACCGATACAATTGCGGAGACCCGCCGAGAACGGAATGTAGTCGTATGGATGGCGTCGGGCGATGGCGTCGGGCAGAAAACGATCGGGATCGAATTTGTCGGGATTACTGTAGATGGACGGGTTACGGTGCACTGCCATTGGCGATATATTGACGCTGGCTTCCGCCGGAATCACATAGCCGTCTGGAATTTTGAGATTGTCGTGGCGGGACCGCAATGGGAAAATCGTGAAAATTGTCCGCAGCAAGAATTCTATACATTGGCCTAGCAATTCGGTAATCTCGATATCCAGAAGAACGACAAAAATGGCCCACATACCAATAATCAGATTCGAGCGAAGCTTGCGCTGAACCGACGGCACTGGCGGAAACATTCGCTTCGACTCTTTGAGGACGCGATCGAGATAGGCGAGTCTGGCGATCGTCTCGCTTCGCAAGCATCCATCGCGACATACACGCTCGAGCTCCTCATAGACGCGCTGCTGAACGTCGCGATGGTGGGCGAGAAGCCAGCACGACCACGAGAGGCTGATCGACGTGGTGTCGTGGCCGGCGAAAAAGAAGACGTCGACCTCGACGGCCATCTCGCGTGGCGTCAATGCGTTGGATTCTGAAAATGTTTGACGATTCATTGATGTGGATGGTTCTCGGCACCTCGCATGCGAAGAAGCATGTCGAGAAAATTGGTGGGACACTCGTCGAGGCCGCCGATCGCGTCGAGTTCGCGCATCCGCTCGGCGATCACGCGCTCGGTGAACGTCTGCATCGTCGTCAGAAGCGCGTCGCGCTTCTTCTTGTAGCCGAGAAGCCAGAAGAGAATCGGACTCCACATGTGCGGCGTGTGCATGTACTCCATCTGGAATCGAGTTCAATGAGAAGCCCAATCGGAATCATCGAACACCGTCATCTTGAGATAGCCGTCGATGGCGTTCGCGTATTCGTGATTCGCCTCCATCCGAATTCCCATCACCGCCTCGCCGATGATGTTCAGCGTCGTCTGCTGGAACACCGGAAACATGTCGACGGTGGCGTCGGCGTCGGCGGCTTTCTCGAGCTTCCGAACGAGACGCTGAAATCGCACGATGGCTCTCATCGAGTCACTCAATATCCTACTTCCGCTTCATCGTTGAACACGTTGAGGAACTCGTGAAGTTTTGAGAAGTGGAAGCTCGGATTGAGCAACTTCCGACGAGCTTTCAGCTTCTCCCCATAACCCCTGAAACTCGCCAATTAGTGCTTCAATTTTTAGACGGTAAATTACAATAGAATGACGCCTTCGCCTAGCCATGGCTTCAAAAATCCGTACTCTTCACCTTTGTCCAATTCCGTGGTCGAGTCCAAAATCGGTGCCAAACATTTTCCATTGAGAGGCCAGACGCTAAGTTTGCCGCAAATTTGAAACCTTATCAAATTGTCACCTCTCGCCATCGCTTCTTGGCAAAGATTGAGGAATGTGTCGTAAAGCTCTGAACACAATGCGATGATTTGGCAAAAAGCGATTCCGTCGAGCCGGATTCGAACCAGCGACCTAAGTATGCCCACACTTCACTACAGTCCTCCGCTCTACCAACTGAGCTATCGACGGCACGCTGGCGGCGAGTGACATCGGCGTATATAAAAGTGCTACTCACCAGCCGGCGATTTGCCTTGAAATAGTCGAACATTGCCGAGAATTGGATGCGCTTTCGGACCGGGAATCTACAATTTCAATTGGCGGGTTTCGTCTTGCTCGATAATCAATGATTGCCAAATCAAACCCGTTCGCCATATTTGTAGAATACCGCCAATTTTCGCAAAAAATCGAAATAGGACGCGAAAAAAATGGCGAAACCGGTGAGAATGAGCCAAAACGCGATCATTTTGTTTGGGGAGGCGAGAAGCGAAATTCTGATACGTCTTCTGAAAATGCAATTCACGTGAATGATGCGCGGCTGTAGAACATCATCGAAACAACGAATAATAGGATAAGAAGTGGGCGGAGTCACGACGACCCCCCCCCCCTCTCTATAATCGATTAATCAAACGGGAATGACGAGAGGGTCCGCAAATTTGCGTGGGCGACTATTTACAGAAATTGTCGCGGCAAACAAAACCGGCGGCAACATTGGAAATGTCACGTGCAAATTCTATTTTTGGACCATTCATGTTTTCCCTCTCTCTCTCTCTCTCTCTCTCTCTTTCGATGGTCCGTTACACTTTATGAGAAACACTGATTGATATAGATAATTGATATGAGACATTTATCGATCGATGGCGATGGTCAGCCTCTGCGCGGAATGAGTCGCACGCGAATGCCGTTCGATGGTTTCGCGATCACCTGAAATGAATGATAGCATTTTTATTGCACACCGTACTCTCTCGCGTTGCGGGAGACACACTCGTTTAGTGCGCTGCGCCTTTAAACCGCGCTACTGTAATTCATTTTTTTTGCCCTTTGCGCAAAAACTTTCAAAATTTTTTTTTTGCGTTGTTCGTCTACCTCAAAACACGGCCTCGTTTCGCGATAGCCGCACGCCGGCACAATCTCGAAATTGAGCAGCAAATTCGCGAGCATCACCTTCTCATTGAGCTGCGCGAATTTTTGACCTACAATTGGATTGGCATAGTGATCGATTCGAGTCGATTTCATTGTACCGATACAATTGCGGAGACCCGCCGAGAACGGAATGTAGTCGTAGGGATGGCGACGGGCGATCGCGTCGGGCAGAAAACGATCGGGATCGAATTGGTCGGCGTTGGCGAAAACCTGCAATCAACCATCTGATAATTGGGAAATCGAGTGGCTACAAGGTTGAACGAAGTTTGAATGATAATAGATCTAGAAGAATTGCTAGCCTAACCTACAATTAAATAGTACAGAAACTAGTGCTACCGTAGTCCGGCAACACATAAGTCAATGTTGCTGTAGGGGAAACAATTTAAAACTAGTGCTTCTCAAATTCGACACATCTGAAACTAGTGCTACCGTAATCTGAATAGTATGATTTTCTCAATTTCAATACATCTGAAACTAGTGCTACCGTAATCTTAATAGTATAATTTTCTCAAATTCGACACATCTGAAACTAGTGGTACAGTAGTCCTGCAAGACATAAGCCAATGTTGCTTTAGGGGAAACACTTTAAAACTAGTGTTTCTCAAATTCGACACATCTGAAACTGGTGCTACAGTATGCTGAATACTATGATTTTCTGAAATTCGACACATCTAAAACTAGTGCTACCGTAATCTAAACGCTATGATTTTCTGAAAATTAACACATCTCAAACTAGCCAGACATCAAATACTTGCGGTACTGTAATCCGAACACTTGAACACATTTAAACCAAATGTCACCGTAACCCGAACACCACGACATTTTCATACTCGACACGTCAAAATCAGGTGCTACCGTAAGACGCGCAATCGCCTACATTCGGATTCTTGTTCAGCATCATCGGCGCGATGTTGATCGACGCGCCCGCCGGTATCCGATAGCCATCGATGGTGATCGCGTTGCGAAGTGTTCGCTGAACCGACGGCACCGGCGCCACCATTCGCTTCGACTCCTTCAACACACGATCGATGAAGTGAAGTCGGGCGAGACGCTCGGACGTGGCGTCGACGTCGCCAGTGTCGCCTGCAACGATGCGTCGAATCGGGGGGTTCGTCGGCGAACGAAAACCAGCGTACCGAAAACGTCGACGAGCTCCTCATAGACGCCTCGCTGAATTTCGGGATGATGGCCGAGATGCCAGCACGCCCACGCCACCCATGACGACGTTGTGTCATGGCCTACAATTTCCGGTTTCAATTGGGCGAGCGACACGCGGATGAACCTGCGAACATGAACGTGTCGACCTCCTCGCGAATCTCCTCGGGTTTCAGCGTGTTCGATTCTGTAGAAGACAACCATTAAGACGAGGTCTCGCCGCGCGATTCTACCTTCCATACTTAGAAGAATGTCGAGGAAATTCATTTTGCGCACGTTTTTTGTCGACAACTCGACGTCGCCGCTCGCCAACGCTTCTCGTCGCTCTCGAATCACCTGAAGCTCAACCGAATGCCAAAAACCGAGACGAATGGAAATAATAAACGGTTTACATTCTCGGTGAACGTTTTGAGCACCTTCAAATGCTCATCGTACTCTTTTTTATAGCCGCTCATCCAGAAAATGAGCGGGATTTGGAGGAACGGGTTCATTGTGTAGATGATCTGATGATGATCTGATGATGATGAATGAGGTTCGACGTCGAGACACCCACCGAAATCTTGTTGAATCCTTCAACAGCTTGAACGTAGCTGTGATCGTGATTGAGTTGAGCGCTGATGTGAGTTCCCATCGCGGTTGCTGTCAAAAAAAAATTTTCCGGAATTCCAATCTTTTTCCGATTCTCCAACGAGTGAGCTTCTCGTTCAACATTCTTCACTATGGATAAAAAAAATCCATCTGCGGACATTTTGGAGTTTTGAAAATGTGGGCTCAAGAAAACAAATTTTGTTGTTATTATGAGATAGGGACCATTGGAAGCAAATTTTCAAAATTTTTTTGGGCGGACCATTTTTGGCCTGATGGAAAATTTCTAGTTTTAATGCACCATTTACTGTTCTCAATATTTTTGCCGAAACAAAATTGTCCGCAGATGAAATGCGATTTCTCTCTCTCTCTCTCTCTCTCTCTCTTGCTAATACATGTTTCTATTCAATTTCATATGTGTGATTCTAGTTTTAAAAATTCTCTCTCTCTCTCTCTCTCTCTCTCTCTCTCTCTCTCTCTCTCTCTCTCTCTCTCTCTCTCTCTCTCTCTCTCTCTCTCTCTCTCTCTCTCTCTCTCTCTTTTGCTAATACATGTTTCTATTCAATTTCATATGTGTGATTCTAGTTTTAAAAATTCTCTCTCTCTCTCTCTCTCTCTCTCTCTCTCTCTCTCTCTCTCTCTCTCTCTCTCTCTCTCTCTCTCTCTCTCTCTCTCTCTCTCTCTCTCTCTCTCTCTCTCTCTCTCTCTCTCTCTCTCTCTCTCTCTTTGATACCACATATAATATCCAAAGCGCATCGTTTGATGTATGGGAACAAATCGACGACCTCCTCATTTTCAGCAAATTTTGACAAACACTCGGTGAGAATCTAAAAAAGCGACGACACGCTGAGAATTTCACAAACCGTCGAGAAACCTTGGCTTCGGCGTTGAACACCTCCAGATAGCCGGCGAGTTTGGAGAAATGGAATGTCGGCGTCAGCATTTTTCGATGCGATCGCCATTTCTCGCCGTGACCCCTTGAGATTGTGAAATCGGGATATGTGTGATTCTAGTTTTAAAAATTCTCTCTCTCTCAGTAAAATGAGACCACCGTCGAGCCATGGCTTGAGAATATGATAGTCGCTTCCCTTATCAATCTCCTCGGTGGATTCCAGAATTGTCTGAAAAGCTCAATGAAAATGATGGTCCCCCAATCCCCGCCCCTACCGCTGCCGATTTTCCGCTCAACGGAAACACGTAGAGTTTGCCGAGCATTAGCATTCGGATCAGCGAGTGTCCGGCGAGTTGCGCGCTCCGCGCGAGTCCTGTGAATATCTCATAGAGCTCTAGAAATGAGCACGATTGATCGCGGAACACTGACGCGACACACCTTCGGAGGTTTTGCCGATGAGCATTGGCACGTTGCCGATGATCGGCATTGCCGGCGGACCCGGAATCTTCTCGCCGTACACCCAGAACACGCGCATTCGACGCACCAACGCCAATAGCGGAAGTCCATAGATGGCGATGATCAACGCGACGACGATCAATGCCAACGCCATCCAACCTTCAAAAAATGATATAATACAATACCTAAGAATGGTTGCGAGGTTTTTGTGTAATGAATGCAGTAATACGGAACTTGGGAACACCTATATAAGACATCTGAATGGATCACTAATCATTGCGGAATGAGTTCGGCAAAGACGCTCGTGAGCATCGCCAGCATTGGCAGCGGCATCGCTGTCGTCGCTTGCGTGTTGACCGTTGGATACATCTTCAACGACATCAACTCGTTCTATGATGACGTCATCGATACGATGGCTGAGTTCAAGGTAATCATCATGGTCCCTTCTTCACCCCCTTAATTCTAATAATCATTGTTCAGCACAATGAGCAGGGAGCGTGGAACTCGATGGTCAAGTCGAACGACATCTTCGGAAGAATCAAGCGCGGAATCAACAAGCGTCAGGCGCAATGCAACTGCGGAGCGCAGGCGAACGGATGCCCACCGGGACCACCGGGACCACCAGGACAGCCGGGACATCAAGGAGAGCCGGGACATCCGGGAGAGCCAGGAAAGCCGGGAGCCAATGGAGTGACGATCGGACTCACCGGCGGCAACGGACCGTGCATCACGTGCCCAGCCGGAGCGCCAGGACCACAGGGACCAGCTGGACCAGCCGGACCAAAGGGACCCGACGGACAGCCGGGAGCGCCAGCCATCGGCGGAGGACAAGGACCACCAGGACCACCAGGACCAGCTGGAGACGCCGGAGCGCCGGGAGCGCCAGGAAACCCGGGAGCGCCAGGAAACCCAGGAGCGCCAGGACAACGCAGCCGCGGACTCCCGGGACCAGCCGGAGCCCCAGGACCACAAGGAGCCCCAGGACAGCCGGGAGCGCCAGGAAACGGCGGAGGGTAGGGACCAGCTGGACCGGCCGGACCACCAGGACCACCAGGACAACCAGGACAGCCGGGACAGGACGGAACTCCAGGAGCGCCAGGAAACCCGGGAGCGCCGGGAGGCGACGCCGCCTACTGCCCGTGCCCGGCCAGATCGGTGGCTGTCCGCAGACACCGCAAGGTCGTCCGCAGACACCGCAAGGTCGTCAAGGCCTAATTTTTTATTGTTAAACTTTTCAATAAAAAAGTGTAGTCTTCTATTTCTTCGATTAAAGTGAAAATAGAAAGAAAGGCAACACTGAGGAAATTGAAATTGTTTAATTCGATCATCGAGAACAGTTCGAAAAACACCCTAAATGCAATGTGGCAGGACTAAACCGCCTTTTATGGAAATTGACTATTTCTAATCATTGACCTTTCGTGTTCTTATCAGTGAAATGAGACTCGATAACGATGGTGATCAATTTGGCTACAATTGGCTCGAGTTTTCCGATCAAAATTGAGAATAGACAGACCCAACAATTCTCGAATGTTAAAAATTCATTTATCTTCTCGTTGCCACAACATGATTCAATTATTTTGAACGAATGGAAGGTTGAGATTCTTCAAATGCACTTGACATTCAGCGTTGAAGTCTTTGCCGAGCTGCATCCACGCGGCGCGTTGCTCATCCGTCAGGCAGCCAGCGGACGCCATATATCCGGTCCACACCGTCCAGAAGCCCTGCAAATGTTGGAAAATCCCGAATTATGTATTATTATTATTGATACCTCCCAGAGCGCCGGATCCATTTTGTATTGGCGATGACGATTGATCGTCTCGCGAATGTATCCGCGGAAGACGTCGTCGTTGTCGTAGATGTTGGCGACCAAGTGGCACGCGAGAAGCGCTCTTTGTCCTTTGTCCTCAAATCTGTGCGAATTTTTGTCGATGAAAAAAAAACAACCAAAATCTCGACGATTACCTCTGACTTTTCTTCACATCCTCAACGGTGTAATGTTCGGCGCCTTTGAAATAAACTCGAAGTTCTGGGAAGTTTCCGAACGAGCTGGAATAATTGAAAAAATGGCGATTCAAACAACCATCTCCTACTATTCATAGAAGCCCTTTCCATTGGCAATATGCTTCGGCGATGTTCCGACCATAAGGTCCTGAAGCGATTCAACGCAAAGATCGCGAATGCGCTTACGATCCATAGCTGCAAATCAATTGTTTTAGCGAAATGAGTATGTCAAATAACAATTTCGGATGACGACGATCATATTAGAAATTGGAAAATGAAATGTACTTTGGGGTCTAACTAGACCGCCTTTTATGGAAATTGTCAATTTCTAATCATTCAACTGCAATGGGATTCGATGATGGGGCGTGACCAGTGGACGATGAAAAAAAAAAGAAGTCGGAAGATCAAAAGCTCAAACAATCCGACAATGATATTTATATGAAAAATGTGAAATTTTGGTTTCAAAAAAAAAAGCGAAAAAATCATTGAAATATCAAAAACTAGATTTTTCGATGATTTTCGTGGAAACTATTGCTATAAAAAAATTATTTGGAAAACGGAAGCCAAAATTTGATGAGAGCTGAAATAGTCTAGAAATGCGCCGAAATTTCACAAAACAAAAAAAAAACAAGAAAAAATTGAGTTTAATAACAGGTTTTTTTTGGGAAATTTTCGCGCAATTCAAAATTTTCATTCTGTAAGTCCAATCCAAATAAATTATTGGCCAATGGCGCATTCTATGGGGAAATGGAAATCATGAGAATCTTATATCTAAATTATATGGATGCATTTTTGCGGCTAATACTGAATGGGAGGGGGAATGGGGGGGGAAATCGATTTTGGCTAACAAGTAATATGTTTAGTCTCATTTTCCGTTCGAGACAACTTTTCATTTCGCAAAATTAAACGAACCAACATACCACTTCTTGATAATCCTCGGTGCAAACGATTTGCTCCAGTGGGACTGCTCCCGTTCGACGTCGGAGGGTTTGGATGGCCGCAGTTCGGAAGTGCGCCTGCCACCGATTGAACCACGCTGAACTGAACCAGTGGGAATCTATTGGGCCCAGTTCGGGAGTGCGTCGGTGACAAATCGAGCGCTATCCGATCTGGAGCAAATCGTTTGCACCGAGATCCGCACCGCACACTTAACCACTGAACCACCACTGCTTGGGTATTTGTGCGTGGTGTTGAAGTATGGCAAAAATCATGAAACCAGTAAAAAAGAAGCGCAATGGTTCAAAATTTCAAACTTCGGACCCAAAGTTTTGGAACTTTTGCAGAGAGCACACTCGATATTGAATTTCGCGATCAGTTTGTGTGCAAAATTAGAAAAAATTAAAAAAGTAAAAACCAGTGTTTGAAAAACGAAACCAATCAAATTTTTCACCTTTTATTTGAAGAACACATCAAGAAAATAATTATAATTGTTTCTACTTCATCTTGGATGGGTCCTACGCCTAAAATTCTGAACTTATAAGCGCACTCGAAATATGTTTTTATAATTCAACGATTAAATTTCTCACATTTTTCAAATATTCATCACGATATAGCCCTTCCACCCAAATTAATATTAAAAATAGACGTTTCCCCATTCAGTATATACCCATTTTTGTTTCATCGTCGAACCGCTTTATTCTCATACTTTTGCCCTTCCACGGCTCGCAGCACGATATGCATTTTCGTCGGATATTCCATCCAAAGCCGGCGAGAGTCTCGATATGCTCCCACATTTGATCTTTGAAAAGCGACACACACACACAAATCTGGAGTCGATTCGACGACGATGACAATAATCGACTTTTTGTTTTTTTGATCCGATGAAACGAATTAGCACGATTTCAATTATTATTACACAACATTTGATCTTCGAATTGCGAAAATGATGACAATTCGGCTAGGCCGCGTCATTCCTATTTTAAATATTTCATTTGTACTGTCTGTATTCCAAAGATCCGAAAATAAAACCGGCTATCGTAATAAGTCAATGTCGCCGGACGCGTTGCGGTTCGCGTCTGCTTATTTTTTTTCCATATTGAGCGTTTAGAATAAATTGTTGAGGAACCTCGATAAAAGCGAAGCATAGGGATTGGATTCATTAAAGGCGCATAAGAATCCCCCACACGAAATGTTTGAATTGCGGTTAATTGGCCTGTACTCCACACGGAGAGTAAGCCAATCGAAGAACGTGGCGTAAATCGACACTCTCGTTGCGAGACCCAACTCGACAATAGACCGCGCCATACGCAATATTGAACAATCGTAGCAATAAATTTGAAAATTGAGTATTTTGACCAATTGAAAAAAGAAAGTGCGTTTCCGAAAAAAACGGGCTACCGGAATCCAGTCGCCACAAGACCCTTTTCATTTTTGCGCTATTATGCGCCTTTTATCAATCAATCCATTTTTTTCTTCTCAAAAACTGACTAGTCTCACTAATCAAAATGTTTTTTTTAGTAATCCAATATAAATCTCACTTAATGCCACTTACTTTAAAATTTTTCGATTTCTTCTATGCGCCTTTAAAATGCTTTGTCTCTTTAAATACAAAGTTGCGCATTCGACCTTCAGGTAGTGAAATACAATGGTTATTCGAGAGACGATATAGATATGATAAGTTAATGATATCTCAAAACTTTGGAAGTTGGAGGTCTTCTCAATTCCTGTTCTCTTTTCATTTCCAACCAAAAAGCAATCAAGACGACGATAAAAGTGTTTATTGAAAAATGGAATTTCCACGCATTTAGGCCTTGGCGACCTTGACGACCTTGCGGTGTCTGCGGACAACCTTGCGGTGTCTGCGGACAGCCACCGATCTGGCCGGGCACGGGCAGTAGGCGGCGTCGCCTCCCGGCGCTCCCGGGTTTCCTGGCGCTCCTGGAGTTCCGTCTTGTCCCGGCTGTCCTGGTTGTCCTGGTGGTCCTGGTGGTCCGGCCGGTCCAGCTGGTCCCTGACCTCCGCCGTTTCCTGGCGCTCCCGGCTGTCCTGGGGCTCCCTGTGGTCCTGGGGCTCCGGCTGGTCCCGGGAGTCCGCGGCTGCGTTGTCCTGGCGCTCCTGGGTTTCCTGGCGCTCCCGGGTTTCCTGGCGCTCCCGGCGCTCCGGCGTCTCCAGCTGGTCCTGGTGGTCCTGGTGGTCCTTGTCCTCCGCCGATGGCTGGCGCTCCCGGCTGTCCGTCGGGTCCCTTTGGTCCGGCTGGTCCAGCTGGTCCCTGTGGTCCTGGCGCTCCGGCTGGGCACGTGATGCACGGTCCGTTGCCGCCGGTGAGTCCGATCGTCACTCCATTGGCTCCCGGCTTTCCTGGCTCTCCCGGATGTCCCGGCTCTCCTTGATGTCCCGGCTGTCCTGGTGGTCCCGGTGGTCCCGGTGGGCATCCGTTCGCCTGCGCTCCGCAGTTGCATTGCGCCTGACGCTTGTTGATTCCGCGCTTGATTCTTCCGAAGATGTCGTTCGACTTGACCATCGAGTTCCACGCGCCCTGCTCATTGTGCTGAACAATGATTATTAGAAGGAGAAGATGAACAAGGGACCATGATGATTACCTTGAACTCAGCCATCGTATCGATGACGTCATCATAGAACGAGTTGATGTCGTTGAAGATGTATCCAACGGTCAACACGCAAGCGACGACAGCGATGCCGCTGCCAATGCTGGCGATGCTCACGAGCGTCTTTGCCGAACTCATTCTACAATGAGAGGATGCCTTCAACGCCGCTCACCGACCCTTTTATACCAAACCGGTTATCAATAGAACGCTTTTTTTCTTCCGCTTTACTACGAAAGAATAGAGTGGGGGTGGTCATTTACTATTGACCTTGGACGTGAGAAAAGTATCAAAGAATTTGGCATTGAGAGGAATTTTCATTGAAAAACGAAAACAAGAAGAATAGAGTCAAATAAAAAAAAATACACACACATACAGACATAACACAATGGAATCGAAAAATCACACAAACGGCATCCAGCCATGAAACATCTCGGCGAGCTTCTCATCGCTCGTCGCCAATTCGATTAACGACGCCGCGAGTTGGACGTTCTTCATCGGATGCGAAATCGAGTTGCCTTTGTAGATTTTCGCGGTGATGATGTTGCCGCGCAGTCGCGCCGACACCATCCGCTTCGCCTCCTTCATATCATACGTGAAGCTTCGAGACCCGCTTTGCTGAAAATCAGACAATTTGGAAGACCGCCACCCCATCATTGCCCAACCTGGATTCTCTGAATCGCCGATGTCAATCGATCACCTCCAACAAGATCCGGCAAATCAGCAATATACTTCTCAATCTCATAGGTGTTCGCCATGAAGACGCGAAGCGTCTGCTCGCACGTGTACCGAAACTCTCCATCCAGCGCGACTTCGCCCATCCCGTTGATCATGTTCCTTGTGAGGCGAAACGGGACCACCTCAAATCACCAACGCTCTTTTTCCGCTACAACTTTGCGACGCACCTCGGGAACTTCGAGAAAATCGCCCATATTGAAGATCATGTCGAAATCGACGTGAACACATTTGCCAGTCGGCACGTGAATGAGCAAATTGCGAATGTGGCGATCGCCCAACCCGAAAATGAATCCGATGATCGACATGACCGCCGCCGATTTCGCGAACAATTTTCGGCTCACAAACCATTTGCCAGCTTCCGGGTATTGTTTTCTGTCAAATGCCGTCGTTATTCACACGCTCGCTTCCTTCTTATCTCTCTCAGAAAAAAAAAAAAACAGTTACCTAAACCATTTCGCCATCACCAACGGTGTCTCTTTACAGCAAACATCGCGGAAATACTCGACCTTCTTCTCGCGCGTCATCGACGCCATCGAGTTTTTCCATTTCAACTTCTTCTCGATTCCCAACCCGAGGAGCGGCTCAAGCGCTTCATAATACGGCGTGACGCCTTCCATAAACTCAATAATTCCTCCAGTTTTCTGCAAACAAAAAATCGGATAGGATCGGATCGGATCGGATTCATTTACCGCCAACGGGATGACCGAATATGTCGTCGCATTGAGTCCTCGAATTCTCGTCTTCTCATCTTTGGTGAGTAAATCATTACACATCTAAATTTTCAGAATCCATGCCTATTTCAAGCGCATCGATACCTCCACAATTTTCGCAAAATGATAATCCTTTGTTAAATCATCCTCTTTTTTACAAATAAGTCGAATTTTTCTACCAGATTGGGTAGTTAGTTCAATAAGTATCGGATTCGTGTTAGATGCCAAAATCTGAAGAAACAAAAATCATTTCGCTTTCTGAATAATCGCTACAAGACCCAGCCAACTTATGTTTGATGCTCATTCAATCAAATTGCATTTTTGGACAACTTCAATTAAAGAAAAAAAAATAGAAAATATCAAACATTTTACAACAAAAACTAATTGATGTGGGGAGACCCTTCTATTCCTTCAGGGGCGGCAATTCAAATTTTATTTTTTAAATATCATTTCTTCGAGTCTCGCATCTGGCTACCTCGTGGAACATGCCCAAGAACGCGCTCACACAACGTGAGAACGGATCGACAAAGTAAAACAATTAAAGGCGCATGCAGGTTTCGCCTCGCAGCTCTTTTGGCGTAAACCAACCTTCACACTATCCTTATAATCATGAATCATGAATCGCTCGGCAATTTCACAACATTTAGTATAATCGTTATCCATCAGATCCTCGCCGGCAATCTGAACCGACGCATCAATATCGGCTCGAATCGGCACCATTATTCCGCACATCAGCTCCTTCTCCGCCTCGTTTCGCCGCTCAAATTCTATAATAATTATTTAAAAAAAAAATAATAGGCTTTTTTTTCAAATTCGACGCCCACCCAAATTTCTTGGATCATATTTTCGATCTCGAATCAATTTCTTCAAATACGGCACCGCCTCCGACAGAATCGCCGATTTGTTTCGCACCTTGTCGGCTACACTGAAACATTTCCAACAACGTCTCGCGAATCCGGTTGTCATTCTAGTGCTTACGCTTTAAAAGCCGCCGACGCATAATCATATTGATCAATCAATGTGGAATAGCACGCATGTTTTCGTCTCAAATGGCTCAAAACCTCCTTATATCTACAAAAAAAAAGAAACAATATCACACCCGCCAATAATTTTCGGCAAAATTTTTGGGGCACCTTTCAATTTTTTTGCTATCCTGAGACCTTAAAATATACACCGATTGCCACATACACTGATGGGGTAGTCGAATAATCAATTGGATCATGAGCCTCTGGAAAAATAAATGGATGATCCCCCCTCCAACATCAGTGGGACCCGTCAACCTTGATCGTTGAGAACACTTCCATGTCGGGATGATCAATTTGCCTTGCTAGAATCGCGTAGGCCGGATAGAATCCCTTGAGGCCAATGTCTTTAAGACTCTGCTCCATTTCGGTGTTCATCTGAAGTCCAATTTTGGGCAACAAAAAAAATTATTGATGGTACCAATTTCATTTTCGATATCGTTTCCGACGCCGTCGCACGACCAGCATCCACAATTTGCTCCTTCTGAAAAGAAAACAAAACAATTTTGACTAGAAAAAAAGGTTTTGGGCTGGAAAATCGCAAATTCGACACCAAAATGTGCAAATCTCACCAATTTTCGCGTATTCGTCAACCACAACGACACCATTCTTTCAATCGCGCGCGCCTGAAGCACCGGATTCCTCTCATATTTCGCGACTTCGCGATAATGCTTCAAAATTTTCAGCACCGGAATATTCTGAAATTGAAATTTTTCGATAAAACAAACAAAAAAAAAAGAAAGAAACCTTCTCGTGATAATGAAATAGATAATCCAGAAGCCACGCGGCGTCGTACATCACACCCGACGAGACGAACGAGTTGAGCAGATTCGTCGTCTCCTCGTAGATCTTCTCGAACACAATCGTGTTGCCCGATTTGATCGTCTGCGCGATTCGCAACACTTGAACCTCGGAATAGAGATTCTTCTCCTCTCGCGGAAAATTCTCGATTTGCGTCAACGCCGTCGATTTCAGATCGAGATTCGCTGATTGTTGGGTGTCGCTGAAGTGTTTCGATAGCTCGCCGAACGTGGTGGCGAGAAGGCTATCAAGCAGCTGCATTCCAGTCTCCTCATCGGCCTGAAATCGCAATCAAATTCGAATTGCCACCATAATTGCGGGGCTTAAAAACTCGAGGTATTACTGTAGGTCGGGTGAAATGTGTGCAAACACCGAGACAAAAAAAACGAACCGTCTGCAATCGCAATTTCGCCAATTCCAGCACAATCCTCTTGTCAAACGGATCAATCTTTTTCGCGTTGAGAATCGAAATCATCGCGCGCTCGCCGCAATCATGAAGTCTAGCAACACGGGCGGTCTGGAAGAAAAAAAATTAAAAAAAAAGAACTACTCTTATGAGAATCCTCAAAATCAAATTATTTCTCTAAAATCATAAAAAAAATTCAAATATATAAAAAATTTGAATTTCGCGGGCTGCTTAATGAATTGGTCCTGTAAAATTAAATTGGATCAAGAAAACGCAAAACTCGCTTCTTAGAATTTTCCATTCAAGACCCCGTAGGAGAGATCTTCTCAAACTTGCCGAAATATTCCAGCGCATGTGCGCCTTTAAAGCAATCTACCGTAATCCATTTAAGGGTTAAAAAAAACTGTGTTTTTCATTTTCACATACATGAAGGTACGTCTCGACAATGCGCGACTTGATTTTGTCGCGGTCCCTCTCGGGAATCGTTCGCAGCCGGGCGTTCAACACGGCTCGTCGCGCTCTCAACACCGGCTCGAGCACATCCAAACGCTGCTCGCTCTCATTCATCCGTCGGCGGAGTGTCGTCCACAATTCCGAATCGACATTGAGCAGCTCGTCGTTGGTGGCGCTATTCAAACGCGTAATCTCATCGAGCATTCGTAATCTGCAAAAAAAAGGCCAATGAGAATCGAGATAGACATCTGATTGGGAATCCTTACTGGACAATATGCGGAATTGCCGAGTCATACGAGCAATTGCCGCCGAACGACGCCTCCTCGATTCGCTCGATCGCTTTTGAGCCAATCTCCTGAATTATCGGCTCCAGCGGCTCATCGCCGCCGGCGGTGAGCATTCGCAAAACCTTCGCTTCCCATGAGCGCTGCTCAATGTTGCGTTCAAACGTCTGCGGCGATTCGCCACACTGAAAATGCCCAAATTATGACAATATGTAATCGAAATTCTCATACATCAGTCTCCTCGTGAAGCCAAAGCTTCAAATGATTCAGACACTTCTCATATTCCTCGTATTGCTCTTTTTCGTAGCTCGACACCACCGAGAAGAAGAACAAATCGATGTGCTTCGCCCATCGTATTGCATTGGATTCCGGTTGAACCGGCTTGTTGATCTCTTCAAGAACCGAATTCACTATGTCGGTAGGCTATAATAAAAACAAAATTGTTTAAAAAAATGTAAAAGGGTGAGATTAAGTATCGTGGTTGGACGAATTTTTGAAAAAAAAACCAAAGCTAAGAGATTTTCCATACAAGACCCAAGACATCAATTAAAATAATAATCGCATTCCCAAATTGGATAACACCAAAAAAGCAACATCGGAAAGTAAAAATCAATGAAAAAAAAAACCTCAAAATGCTTCAATCCGTCAGCCATCGTGTAAAACGCCGACGCCTCATTAACATTGCCAAACGCCTCTTTAATGAGAATTTTCGCATAGAGGTGATCGACTTGAATTCGCGATAGTCTCGAGTAGGCGCCTCGGACACCCGTGAGCTCATGAGCACGAGCATAGAGTTTCTAGAAGTCGCTGTATACATAATCCAAAGAAGCCATCATCGACATACCATCAATGTGAAATAGTAAGAGAGCTCTGAGCTCTTGTCGATCGCGCCTTGCGCCATATTCGCCTTCAACTCCATCCAAGTCTCCATCCTGCAAAAAAATTTCGGATCGGATCACACACAAGGATTGGCTGTTACCAAAGAATGCCCCTCTTCTCCATTCCAAACCTCTCAGCGACCCTCACAATCAACGGCGCATCATGTCCAAGCTCATCCTTCATCGTCGTCTCAATCATATGCTTCCAGAACATCTGAAGGCTCCGCCTCGTATTATTATCGCGCCCGCTTCGCAGCCAATCGAGATTCATGTAAAAATAGACAAAATCGAAGATGTAGAAGACAAACGCGGCCGGCGCGCGCTCAAATCTCGTGACTCGTCGACGAAGAGCGGCATGAAGAACCGATTCAAATTCGCCAAGAATCTTGAATTCAAAAAAAAAACCAAATTAGACATAATATAGGAGACTCGTGCTACTTTGGTGACAATCGTTTCGCGGCCCTCAATTATATTGAACAACATCAATTTTGTGACGATTTTGGTGAGAATCGAGGTGTCGCGCACGTGAGCAATGTATTTCAATGGCAAAAATTGCGAATCGCTCTGAGGATTCAAATCAATTAACAAAATTTCAAAAAAAAAAAAAAAAAGAATACCGGTGAAATGCACATGAAAATCAATGAAGTGAGCCATGCGTGAAACGAATTCGGGCGATTCTCGCCACAAATCAATTTCGGCTCCGGTTTGTTGTGGCAGTTCATTCGAGCAAACGCCGCCTTCGCGCCATCGATCATACAGAATCGCGTTTGGCTGAAATGCGCCTTTAATGTCTCGTTATCGCTATTGGGTCGAAAATTTGCAAACAATCAGATTTCACGAGTCTTAATTGTTTTTCCAGAAATCCAGAAAACATCTCTACAGTAACCAAAATTTTTCGTTTTTGAATTCAATTTCGCGAGAAAAAAAAACTGATTTAAGACTTAAAATAAGAAACATTCAATTTTTTGGCTATGCGCCTTTAAGCTAAAAAAAAAGGGAGCGAGAAAACCAACTTCTTGCAATCCTTATTGTCCAAATACTTATGCACTTCGCACATCGTTCGATCCGCATAATCCAAATCGACGCCACCTCGCGCCAACGTGGCGAGCATCTCAATCTCCAGAACGCATTCGTCAAGCAATTCCTGGGTCCTCTACAAACACCAAATCGTCACACAATCGCAATAATCAAAATGACCAAGAACCAAGAAAAACAAATCTGGCCGACCTGTTTCGGCGTTTGATAGAATCGCGCGCTCATATCCCAACGAACAAATCCAACGTCGACGAGTTCGGCGTTGAAAATCGGCACTTGTTCGAGAATCCGGCAAATTTCCGCGTTTTCGCGTCGACCGCCCACCTTGCCAATGTTGGCCACAAGGCCGGCAATCTGCAAAAAGAAACGAATAGCTCGCGGTGTTCCGCTCGAGACCAATGCCAAACAATTCTCGTCAAATCCTCTTTCCATATCGTCTTCTGCTCAATCATTAGCCGCAAGTGCTCGCCGAACAGCGTCAGCGGGAATCGCTCGAAATTTGCGACAATTTCAACGAGATCGTCGATACGCCGATACTTGGCCACATTCGTGCCGTCATTGCGAAGCTCGACTTCCATTGAATGCGGAATGATCCAGAGGAGCTTCTGGATCGTCGGATCACTGAAACAACAACAAAAAACGATGTGCTCCAAAAAAAAGAAATGAAAAAACGCATCCCACCTTAAAAGAACGTCAAGCTTATTGGTGAACGTCAATCGTTTCCACACCATTCGCACCAATTGCTCATTCTCATCAATTTTGGCGATCATTGAGATGATGCGCCATAAGTAGTTGCGAAGAATCTCATAATCGACGCGTTCGATGAAAATCTTCCATGTTTGGATGTTCGCCGGCGATTCCTTCGGACAATAGCCCAAACAAATGAGAATCGACCACCAATTCTACAAAAAAATCCAATTTTTTAAAAATTTCGCCAAAATTTCGATGACTTCTTCGAAGAATTGCTTCGAAATGTGCTGAATGACAACCAGAAAACTGTCCGCTGCACGATGTCGATAAAGGAAGTGCTCGTTTTTCGCGAACACCTGCCGAAACTCCAGAATCACATCGATGCCTTCGCTTCTGCGAACATGATCGTTGGTGGAATGCGCCTTTGAAACTCAAAACGAATACCTGTACTCCATTGCCGACGTTATCGAAAATTTGCGACCGCGATGAAGCGATTCGTACGTTTTGCGGATAGTTTCGTAAAATGCGTGATTTTTCTGGAAACAATTTCAGATTTCAGGTTGTCGGATGATTGAGAAGATCAAAATTTTCAAAAAAAAAACCCCATTCAAGTTTTCAGCAAAACCTTTCAATTTCGGGATCATCGTCGACAGAAATTTGGATTTTTTTTTGATTATTCACTACTATACCGGCGGATCCAGAAAATCTTGAGCCGCCACAATAAGAAGCTTCTGCGTCACGTCTTTTCGATACACAATCGTTGACTGGGCAATCTCCTCGGCGTCGAAATCGCAAAATTCGTGGCAAAACCTCCAAAACTCCAAATTCTCGCCGCATTGCAATCGCCACAATTGGATGATTCCAGAGAGATTCTGTTCAAAGAAAAGAACCATCGGATGGCAAGAAGAATTCCGCCAAACCTCCGAGATGATTTTTTTCCTTTCCGCTTTGATGGCTGCCAATTCGATTGGTATCCATTTCGGCTTCATGCTTTCCGCTTTCGTGATGAGCTCCTGACACAAAAAATCCAAAACGACGCAACAATGCTTTGGTTTCGTCGCGCCGTAGAACATCGCCCAAAAAATGATGTTTCGATGCGCATATTTCAAAAAGCTTAAAATTCACAAATTTCTTATAATTTTTTTTGTTGGGAGGAATTACTTGGAAATGCACTCAAATTGAAACAACAGCGACGAGCACGTGAGAAAATTGCGAAGAATCTCGCGCATTTTCGCCTCGTCCACTTCGGAGTTCTCAAAGAGTCGCGCGATGAAGCTTCTCGCGATGATCTGAGCTCGTTTGGTTTTTTTTCGCCAATTTTTTTTGCATACCGCGCCGAAACGCTGCGTGAAGATCTCGCGAAGCGTTTTATCATCTTCCACGTCGTCTTCCGCGAGTCTCACCGATCGTCGACAACTCCGAATCGTCTGATTCTGCAAAAAAGCCCAAGCCTCCTGAAATCATCGATTAGTTGACAATCCGTTCAATAATCGCAAATTCACCTTTTTATTGATGACAGCGGCATTGGCGAGCAGCGCTGAATACATGGCGACGTGCACATTCTCCGGGCTGAAAATCGTTCTGGAATTTTTCACAAAAAGAAGCGAATCCTACAGTTTCGAGTTCGATATCTTATTGATAAGCGTCACCGCTTCCGGATCATTCTGAAAATGTTTAGAATCGGCGGATGGAAAAAAAGAAAAGAAAACCTACCATTAAATTGGCGAAAATTGGATTGAAAATCGCAACGTAAAACGAAATTCGCTCTCGTTTCCCCGTCGTTTGCTCATAAATCTCCCAAAATCGTCTGCAGGATGATCAACACAAGAAAATAGTTGTGACAGAACGAGAAGACTCACAAGAACTCGTCGAAATTGTCCATGAATCGAATCGCGTTCAAACATTTCAAAATCGGCGAAAACAGTTGAGCGCAATTCGACAGTTCGCAATGCAATAACACACTTTTACAGAATTTGATGAATTCTAAAATAATTCTGCAATTCGCTGAAAATCGCCTATTCGGCTTGTCACCTGTTAGTGCGCTTGTGCGAATGTTCGCCGAGAATTTCTTGACAAGACCCTTCAACGCCGTCTCGTCCAATTTCGCGCGACGCGGTCGATCGGAAAAGTCCGACGACTCGAGCTCAGTGCCGAGGCTTATTGAGCAATCGCCGCGATTCACATAGTTGGAAATGCACACGGCAGCGGTGTCGCACATTTCAGCGATTGTCGCGTCCTTGAAATCGCTGAAATTCGATAAATTCTCACGAAAACGGGCAAAAACAAAAATTCAACTTTCTCGCCAAATTCCTTATAAGCGCGTTGGCGATATCCGATCCATGCGAGCGATTATCCATGACGAATTGGCGAATCGTCGCAAAAACACTCTAAAATTTCCGAGTTGGATTTCAGTGAAACTGAAAATTTCGATCACTTCAATATTCTTGCTTTTCGACGTCTCCATGACCGCAACAACCATGTCGGCGACGAGCTGCACGAGCTGATTCGGCTTCTTCTGAACCTGCATCGCGGCGATGATGGCAACAATCTTAATTCGTTCAATCTCCTCAATGACTGGCTCGAATTTCTCGAGCTCGAGCAGCGGTCTTGTGGAGCCGTGCGACGATCCACGCGCCGAACCATAGCAATGAATTCGGAAATTGTCCCATTTGGCACCAAATTTTGATTGCAAATCCTTGACAACAACAAAAAGAAATGAAAAACTTTGGCAAAAATGAATACCTTCAAGCAAGGGATGACAAGAATCGGAATCAGATATTTTCCGCCTTCGTCGACATTGGCGAACGGGCAAGTCGCCACCAAAACAGTCAACTCGATCACATTCGCAAAAGAATTGCCATTTTGAAGATTCTGAAATCGTGAACGATAAAAAACAAATAAAATAATTTCGAATGAACTCCAATCGCTCACATTCCACAAAATTTCGGGTGTTGGCGCAAATTTGGCGAAAAATTGGCGACACGTTTGGTGCTGAACCGTGAGGAATTGGCCGACAATTATCGGCCATTTCGGATTCTCCCATGAATTGATGACGTTCACCTCAGCTTCAATCCAATAGAAGAAATCAAGCTTGAAGAGGCTGGAAAATGGGCGCAGCGTCTCATTTAAAGGCGCATTCTAATTGTTTTGATACAAACCGATTCAATTGCATCATAGTGGCAAAGATGTCCAAATAAAATCGCAAAATGTCGACTCGTTCGTCACATTTGATGAAATTTTCCAGGATTTTTTTGATTCTCGCCTACAAAAATTCGGAAAAAAATGGATATATTGAAAAATGCGGCGACGAGAAATTTGCCTACCATCGAGATCATCATAATCGTCATCGTGTAGCGCTTCTCGACGTCATGCCAATTGTCGAACGCCTCGGCGACGATGACGCAATAATCGGTGAAGCATTTGAGCAGTTTCGTCGGCAGCTCGTCGTTGCCGTACGATTCCATGATGCGCGAGATCCATTTCAGAAAATTGGCGCGATACTCTTTGGTGTGAGTGAGCATTTGTGAGTACTGCTCAAAAAAATCGTGGAATATCCCATAAATCGCGTGGGTCTCCTCAATCGATTCGTGCGATCTGACGATGCTCTCGGTGAGCTCCGCGAAAAAATCAACGGCTCGCGTCAGCGGATAGATTCGCAATTTGATTTGCGCAATTCTCACAGCAATCTCAAACAGCTCCTGACCAGAGACAATTAATAATTGGGCAATTTAGCGACGCGGTTAATTACATTGCAATTTTCGTGTTCATCGATGAGCAGCACGCAGACAATCTTCCAGAAGCCGTGCACCTCGTCCGGTTGAAGCTCGGGAATTTCGCATTCGCCAAAAATTGCAAGTCTGGAAAAATTGGAAATAAAAAAGCATACCTCAAATTTCAAATTTTCGCTCTTACAGAATATTGTAGGCGATAGATTTGGTGAAGAACAAATCGTGATCGTTGCTAACGGCTTCTCGAGTCTTGTCGCTGATAATAGGCGAAATGTCAAGCTCATATGAGCAGCTGGGGATGCCGGCGTGCGGGAAAAGCACTGGAAATTGGAATGATCGCATCAAAATGCCCCCCAATAAAAATCGCTTACATTTACAGAAGCTATGAATCAATTTGATTGTGCCATCATATTTCTGTTTTCCATGCTTTTTGAGCACATGAAGAATGATGTTGAGCGTGGTTCCGAGGAATTGATTCATTTCAAAGTCTTTATATTCGCACATCGCATCAAAAATCGTTTTGATCATTAGTTGCAATTCGGAAACCTTCAGCATTTTATGCTTGTCCAGATACAATATCGATGCGTTGACTTTTCCAAGAGTTTCCCTACAATTATATATTTATTTCTACTGTTTTTTTTTTTTATTAATTCGCCATTCTTACAACGCCTTTTCGGCTTCATCGTCGGTCATTAGGCCACCGCCAACTCTTCCCGGATTCGAGTACGTTTTTTGCAAAATCCTGAATATCTCATCGACGGTTCTGAAATTTGGCAAAGAATATTCAATTTTTTATTTTTTGAACTTACAAATGCGATTCCATGATTTCGAGTTGCTGAGACGAATGAGGAGAACTGAAAAATAATCGAAAAAATGAGGCAAAAATTTAAATTTTAAATTTTTAAATTTGTTGGCCGCGGGAAATTTCGCGGCCGCGGCCAAATTTCGAAAATTTGAAAAAAAAAACACGATTTGAAAATGTCGGGACGATTTCCTTGTGATTATTCGATGAAAATCGTTTCAAATATATAAAAATGATCAAAACCGATTTAAACTGCGAGAATTAAAATTTTTGAAACAACGCAAACATGTTTTATAAAGCGAAACGCTCGAATCTCAATTTACGCGGGTTTCTCATCATGTCAATTTTTGAGTTTTGTCATCTTCCATCATTTTAGCAATTAAAGCCTGAAATTTTTAAAATAAATATTTAAAAGAACTAATGAAATTTTTGAAAGAGCCTGATTTTGAACTCGGTTTCACCAACAAATTTGTTAGAAAAAATTATTGCATTTTTATTTTTAAAGATTAATTTCTAGAAGCCTTATAATTTAATTTATTGATAAATTGATTTCTGCTAATATAAAAACCATTACAATTGAAATTTTTAACGTTTAAAAATATTTTTTTTTTAAACACGTCCATCTATAAGTTTCCCACAGCTTTAAAAACTGGAAGATCATGCTTTGATTTTTTAAATATCATTTGGACCATCTGGCATTTTAAGGTTCAAAAATAACGGTGCAAGAGCGCTCCATTGATAACCAACGAAATCTACAATTTTTCCTTTTTTCCCAATTTTCAACTAATTTTTCATCTAATTGTTAAGGAAATCAGTTTTTCATTTTTTCTTCAGTATTTTAAACTTCCAGCTTCTTCCAGAACTGTTAAGGATGGCGCATTTATCAAGGACGATCGACATATTCGCGTTTATCGAAACTCCATGACGCAAGTTTCTCGAATATTCAAGTCAAAAACACATCTTATGTCGTCAATCGTCTTATCCGAGGTATTATAAAAGAAGATTGCCGATGTCTCAAATTCCTTATATCAAATGCCATCGATTTTCAGCGTCTATTGCTATACAATCAACGGGCTCGCTGTGTTCTTCAACATTTTTCTGCTTCTCATTTCGACACGAAAGAGTGTTGAAGCGATTCGGGTAGGAAGAGAAGAAAACAAAACGAGAAATTTAAATCGCCATCATTTCTAGGAGCTTCGCTATTTCCTATCAAACGTTGCCGTGTGCCTTGTCGTCTTTGCCGCATGCGTCGGTTCACTTCAACCGCAAATGGCCACGAGAGGCTCGATGAACATCAGAATCATTCATGGACCGGCGAGATATCTCGCAGAATCGTCGATCAAGTTTCTAGCGTCCATCGCCGTCGTCGCCTATCTCTACAGTTCCCTCTCGTTCGCCTTGTTCTTCGTCTACCGCCTAATGATTCTCTCAAATAGGTATCATTTTGCTAATTCAATTTTTTCTGAAGAAAATTCCTATTTTTAGCTCGTTATTCGGCCAATACTTCAATCGTCGAACCCTTCTAATCGCCTTCATCGTTCTTTTTATAATCTGCTGCTTCGAGGGAATTATCCTTTACTTTGCCGCCGTCCCCTATAACGTAAACATAATTATTTTAAACGTATCATCAAATGTGACGTATTCAGGACCTCTATGAGCGTCTGAATCGGTCCAACACGATTCTGGAGAGCTCGCAGAATGACACCAAACCGCCACTCGCGATTCAGTCCAGCTTAATCTCTAATCACACCATTATTGAGCCAGAGGTAGGCAGAAATGCTCAATAAAGATTTTTACAATTCCCATTTTAGATACGACCTTCCTTATTTGGCGACGATTTCAACAAGAACCCATTGATTCTAATATTTCATGGAAGTGTGACTTTCGTCGAAATGCTCTCGTTCGTGATCACCCTGGTCTGCGCCCATTTCATGCTTAAAATTCTTAAAAGGAAGCAGGTGACTAAACTGACGCCCGACTTTGAATTATTATACCTTTTAAGGGCGTCATGTCTCAAGACATGTACCTTGAAAATGAAGCGATCGTGCACACGGTGTTCGCGCAAGCATTTGTGCCATTCTTCCTCTCAACACCCATCGCCGTCTCCACCCTATTGGCGTATATCTATGGCAACAGTTTGGTGTGGCAAGAGTACATCCCAACGTATCTCATCTCGCTCGTCCCGCTCATCACTCCGATTCTGTCGCTCGTCTTCATAACGCCCTACTGGAACACAATACTTCATTGGATATCCTTCGAGAAGTTCCGAAGTCATCAAGAGGAAGCTGTTAAGAAGGCCGCCACAGCGGATACTTGATATTGTGCGGTGAAAGCAAAATAATAATAAAATTTGTAAGAAAATATTTCATTTCTTCAAGCGAGAGTCCCCCCTAGAACATTTCGACTGAAAATCAATCTCGAAATTTCTATTTTTGGATGAGCGCTTGCTTTTTTTTTCTGTCGTTGCAACAATTGTCGCAAGTTGATTCGCTAAAAGCATCCTCATCCGTTGTCCTTTTCTCAATTTTTTTTCCTCTCTCCCTCCCGTTTTGCCGTCGGCATTGTTTGAAGTGTTCGCGTTTGTGCGTTGTGCTCACGCGATTGTCGCGCATGCGGCGCGCACAGTTAAGCATACGAGTGGAAGAAGAGATTATGTGTCAAAAAAAAAAACCGGAATACCGGGCAGGTTTCGCACGTATTTAAGAACAATGCCGACCGCCTTCTCGCCGCAGATCATCTCTTCTATCATCTTCGTCTTCAGCATGTCGTCCAGCTCTTTCGTCGCCACGTGAGTGTGTCATTCTAATCGACCGACTTATCATCCATTTGCAGGCTTCTCGTCGCCGGATTGGCTCTCTCGTCGGCTCAGATCGCCGTCAACGGACCATTCTTGGGTAGATACTATGTGGCCGCGAAGCCGGTGCTCGCGCCAGGTGTCGCTCCACTAGCCGCTCCAGTTCTCGCTGCTGCGCCAGCTCTTGCTCCGGCTCCAGTCGTCGCTGCTGCGCCAGCTCTTGCTCCGGCTCCAGTCGTCGCTGCCGCGCCAGCTCTTGCTCCGGCTCCAGTGCCAGTTGCTGCCGCGCCGCCAGCTCCACTTTTGGCGCCACCAGTCCCACCAGTCGCCCCAATTGTGCCAGCGTTTGCTCCACGACCAGTCCTCGCCGCTCCAGCGTTCGCCCCGGCTCCAGTGCCAGCTTTCGCTCCAGCTCCAGTCCCGGTCGCCGCTGCTCCAGCTCCAGTCCCGGTCGCCGCTGCTCCAGCTCCAGTCCCGGTCGCCGCTGCTCCAGCTTTCGCTCCAGCTCCACTCCCGGTCGCCGCTGCTCCAGCCATCGCTCCAGCTCCACTCCCGGTCGCCGCTGCTCCAGCCTTCGCTCCAGCTCCACTCCCGGTCGCCGCTGCTCCAGCCTTCGCTCCGGCTCCAGTCGTGCCAGCCTACGCGCCATTCGCTCGCACCGCTTTCCTCATCGGGGGAAACAAGGCGAAGAAGGTCGACGTCTAAAGAAGCACGAGGATGATAGTTCAATGTTTCTTGTCTGTACATAACGAATGATTCCGATCGTTTTTTTATTGTCAAGTTTGTAACCAATAAACTATTTTATTAAAATTCTTGATTGAGTTGAAGAAGCTTCTCGACGAGTTTAATTGATTCATTAGATTCAAGATTCTGATATCTATAATCCGGAATTCACTATTTTTTAAAAGCAATTTTAGCTTTGGCAAAAAATTGGGGAAAACCTACCCCAAAGCGCTTTTTTTAAACAAAAGTGCCCCTTTCTTAAATTTTCTGTATCCTACATAATCTTTTTGGGAAAAACTTAATTTTGAATATATTTAAGAAGCTGCGGACAATTTTAAATCATATGATTGGACCATCTTATTATTCCAACAAATATTTTCCGTAAAATTATACAATATGTAGATTTACGGTGAGTTTTACCCACACTTCCACTGTTTAAATTGAAATTTGAATTACCGCCCAAAAAATATACGATGGTCCACAATTGATTGTTTTTTGTTTTTTTTTTTTCAATTTCAAGTCAGAGTATATCTGTCATCTGCGGCAAAAATTCTCCTTCCTCGATTTTTGATAACCTTCCTCAGACGCTTCGTATCGATGGTGGCCAGAAAGTTGTCCCACTCGAAGGGTCGCTTTAAACGAGTTCAAGAAAAGACATTTTTAAACAGAAATATTTATTATTTAAAAAAAAATTGGTTCGGTATATACAGATAATGTTCGTTGGCCATCATCTTCTCATCATTCTTATGCGTTGACCTTCTTGGATTTGTTTCCTCCGATGAGGAAAGCGGTGCGAGCGAATGGCGCGTAGGCGGGCACGGCGACTGGAGCTGGCGCGTAGGCTGGCACTGGAGCGGCGAGAACTGGAGCTGGAGCAACAGCTGGAGCAGCGAGAACTGGAGCTGGAGCAACAGCTGGAGCAGCGAGAACTGGAGCTGGAGCGAATGCTGGGGCAGCAGCAACTGGTAGTGGAGCTGGAGCGGCGAGAAGTGGGCGTGGCGCGAACGCGACTGGCGCTGGAGCGAAGGCTGGAGCGGCGGCGACGACAGGCGCTGGAGCGAATGCCGGAGCAGCAGCAACTGGGACTGGAGCTGGAGCAGCGAGAAGCGGGCGTGGCGCTAAGGCGACGGGCGCTGGAGCGAAGGCTGGAGCAGCGGCGACGACTGGTCGTGGAGCAGCGAGCACTGGAGCTGGAGCAAGAGCTGGCGCAGCAGCGACGACAGGAGCTGGAGCAAGAGCTGGAGCAGCGAGAACTGGAGCGGCTACTGGAGCGACACCTGGCGCGAGCACCGGCTTCGCCGCCACATAGTATCTGCCTAAGAATGGTCCGTTGACGGCGACCTGCGCCGATGCGACAGCGAATCCTGCGATGAGGAGACTATAAAAAAAAATGGAGATTATAAAATTGTGAATATTGAAACGTACGCGATGACGGTGTTCATTGTGTTCGTCTTCGTCGTTTTTTCTTTCCGCTTACGCGCTGTGAATACTTGGTGGCAATTGCTCATCAACGCGATGCTTTTATAAGCCGCCGCCAACCGGTTAGGTGCTCTCAGGTTTTTGTCTGTGTGTGTGTGTGTGCAGGCATGGAGACGAAAAAAAAAACTGTGAGGGATTTCGCGCGAGCAACCGCGCGGCAAAAAAGTTTGAGTAATGCAAATAAGCGCGCTGAGCACGGAAACTTTGGTTCCGGAGGTCATGCCGCGTGTGACTCACACGATTTCAACAGTTCACCAAATTTCAGCTGAGGACGATTTTTGTTGAAAGTGAAGACCGTCTTGAGTCATTGCCAACTCGCTATCTCAAATTTCAGCTGCGGACAATTTGAAGGCTACCATGAAAGATTGAAAGCAACAATTCTATATCGCAAATTTCAGCTGCGGACAATTTTTGTTGAAAGTGAAGTCCGTCTTGAGTCATTGTCAATTGGATATCTCAAATTTCAGCTGCGGACAATTTGAAGGCTACCGTGAAAGATTGAAAGCAACAATTCTATATCACAAATTTCAGCTGCGGACAATTTTTATCAAAAGTGAAGTCCGTCTTGAGTCATTGCCAACCCGATATCTCAAATTTCAGCTGCCGACACATTTCAAGGCTACCATGAAAGATTGACAGCAACAATTTTATATCTCAATTCCATGCTGCGGACAAATTTTCATTTTTTTAAGAATTTATTGAAGACAGAATATCGAAATTCTTAAAATAGTGATATTCGGGGGTGGTTGATATCACATAAACCCATATATTAAAATTTATAGCATGTGTATTTCGATATTTGCCTGAAAGCAAACAACTCGTATATCTCTATTTCGAGTTTTTTTTGGAATCTCTCTTGAAGACAGTTGCCCAGATTCTTGAAATCGTGAAAATCTTTTATTTTACAAGCAACGCTATATCCCGAATTTGTGTTGTCGCTGATAATGTCCGCAGCAGACTTGTTTGATAATCGTCGCCACAAATCACAAAAGTCGTTCTCAACAACCATGCCAATCCACTTGGGCTCCGACGACCATAATTGGGCCCGGCTCCGCCCAACCCCTTCTATGAAACTTGTCACAATGAATGGTGGGAGGCGAAATAAAAATGTGTTTGCCAAGAATTGTTTGAATTACGCAATCGATGGGCCGATTGTGCCGCCGCCGTGTTTGATCTATGAACACACTGCCGTTGGTGGGGGCGGAGCCGCCATGCTTCTCAATTAATGAATAAGAAGTTTTGGTGGGAGGGTTCGGTATAAAAGCGCCAAACGGTGGTGCAAGCAATTAAGTCATCACTCGGCCGAATCATGCAATCCGTCTCGTAAGTTTCCGACGAAATGAAATTCGATGTGAACACTTCTTAGGACCTTCTTGGTTGTCATTGGGCTCATCGCCGCCGGAGCTTCGGCTCAACTCGCCGCGTGGCCAGCGCAAAGCTACTCGCCGTTCTACCAATCCCTATTCGGCGCCGCTTCGACACCGGTGCTCTCGGCGCCGGTGGCTCGTACCGCTCCGTCAGCTGTGCCGTTGGCCGCGCCGGCGGTTCTTGCTGCTCCAGCTCCAGTTCCGGTCGCCGCTGCTCCAGCTCTTGTAGCTCCAGCTCCAGTCCCGGTCGCCGCCGCTCCAGCTTTTGTAGCTCCAGCTCCAGTCCCGGTCGCCGCTGCTCCAGCTCTTGTCGCTCCACGTCCGCTCCTCGCTGCTCCAGCTCTTGCTCCAGCTCCAGTGGTCGCCGCCGCGCCAGCTTTGGTGCCAGCTTACGCGCCATTCGCCAGAGCCGCCATGTTCATCGGATCCAACAAGGCCAAAACGTAAGACATTCTGATCCGATCCGATCCGATCCTCAATCCCGAATTTTCAGCGCCTAAATCGAAACGATCGATCATCGATATCCGCCACCCAAAGGAGTATTTGTAAATAAGCGCCTTTTTATTAATGTCCCAATTAATAAATTATGATAATTGCAATTATTTGTTATATAAGAAAAGAGAGAAGCTTGATCTACTGGGATTGCATCTGTCTAGTCTATTTCACTCCGACTCTCCATTCCGACGAGCTGGAGGAGCCGCAGTAGACGAGGAAACTCTGTAATCGGTTAAGATTATGGGCGCAATGGTCCTAGCACGATGGTGCGCCTTTAAACTCATTTGGATTTTTGCGGCAAGACATCACAATTAGCCAATTTCTAAAAAAAAAAGAATGGAATGCTAGGATTCCTATTCTAAATCATTTGCGGACGATTTTCCGGGCCCGACGATTGAAATTTACTGTCATTTTCTCAAATTTCCGAACCACATTCGCTGACGAGACGATCGCCGATTCCGGTGAGATTCGACGAAATGCCACGGAAGAACAATGAGGTGCCTGTTAGAAGCCGACCAACTCGGGCATACCGTTCGGAATAGTACAAACACAAACATATGTACATCCCATCGTGTGTGCGCGTATTTATTTTTTTTTTTTGCAACCTCCGTCGTTCTTTTTGAGCTCTCTCATTACATCTAGTTCGCTCGTCGGTGTTCAGCAATGGGCAAAAACTGTAAATGATGTGCCAAGGGGGTTCTTTCCACTCAGAATGTGTCAAGTATGATATATTTTAATTTTTTGATCTTCACGTGGATCACATTTCTTCATTTTTGTATTTGGTGTTGACGAAAATCCACTGTTTGGAATCCCGTAAAATGTCCGCAGATCAAATTGATGTTAAGGAATACAAGTCCAAATAAAAGTGCATATAATTTATTAGATACACTTAATACCAATTATGTCAATAATTAGACGATGGCAAGTTTATACAGATATTTGTCGTTCGATCGTTCGATTTAGGCGCTGAAAATTCGGAATTGAGGATTGGATCGGATCGGATAAGAATGACTCACGTTTTGGCCTTGTTGGATCCGATGAACATGGCGGCTCTGGCGAATGGCGCGTAAGCTGGCACGAGGGCTGGCGCGGCGGCGGCGACCACTGGAGCTGGAGCAAGAGCTGGAGCAAGAACTGGAGCCGCGAGGAGCGGGCGTGGGGTCGCCAACACTGGACGCATTGGAGCGAGTACTGGCGATGGCGCGTACGCGTACGCTGGACCGCGAAGGACTGGAGCAGCTGGCACAGCGAGTGGAGCCGCAGCGAAAGCGGGAGCAGCCAGGACTGGAGCTGGAGCAGCGAGAACAGCCGGCGCGGCCAGCGGCACAGCTGACGGAGCGGTACGAGCCACCGGCGCCGAGAGCACCGGTGTCGAAGCGGCGCCGAATAGGGATTGGTAGAACGGCGAGTAGCTTTGCGCTGGCCACGCGGCGAGTTGCGCCGAAGCTCCGGCGGCGATGAGCCCAATGACAACCAAGAAGGTCCTGAAGCGGTGAGGATTGAGAATGCCGATAGGCAATTGAGGGGCGAGCCGACTTACGAAAATGACTGCATGACGAAGAAGAAGAATTGGATGATTCAAATGTGCCAAATTTTGGCACTTTTATACATTATCAAATTTTTTGAGGGCGGCCGCGGCGGCGGCGGCGGCGGCGGCGCGTCTCCGCGCGAGCCTCCCACTTTTTTTGTGCCTTCCAAATTATTTCCGTTCATCAATACTAGAACGAGTTTTTTTTCTTCATGGCAAATACACACAGAAAGAGAGACACCACGTACGTGAAAACGACATTTGATACTATTGTATTGATGAATTGAAGAATGTTGCCGACGGTTGTTCCGGATATGTGCATTCATAGATGTACATATGCATACGTGTTGGTGGCGCGCATTCAATTCGGCGCCACCCGTTCAAATAATAACAATAGAGGCGCCGCGAGGAGTTTACCGAGAATTGCGAAATGATACTTTAATTTGTAAGCCTTGGTAGGGGTTTGTTGGGACACGCTGACGAGAAATTGCGGACCATCTTCTGGTCTTTAAATTTCTTCTCCGCAATCACCATTACGACATATTGCGGACTTGAGATAATCGAAATGTTTTGAGGGCTTCTGGTCTTTAAATTATTTCTCCGCAATCACCCTTACGACATATTGCGGACTTGAGATATCCGACATGCTTTGATGGCTTATAGTCTTTAAATTTCTTCTCTGCAATCACTCTCACGACATATTGCGGACCTAAGATATTTGATCTGAGGGCTTCCAGTAAGATATGTGAAATTTTGAGCTCACTTTGCACCAAAATTGCACCCAAATCCGACGATGGGGGCGGTTCGGCGCGTTTTTTCTGCCCGCTCGCTTCATTTTTGTGTATTTGTGCACGACTATTTGACACTCGCCAATATATAATCCAGTCTAATCAAATTGAAATTAAGTGTGAACACACACACACACACACAAACTTGATATGATATTAAATCATGTGATAGTAAAAGTTCTGTCGAGACTCCAGTTTCATTTTTTTTTCCCTCTTCATCCGGCACGCTGTTGACCGTCGGGATTACATCAATTATCGAGATTGTCCGCAGCTGCCTCATTCCAAATGGCATGGAAGCCCGAAATTGTCAGCAGATGATTTAGATGGCACGAGACCTCGAGTTATTGGGAAACTTGATTGAAGTGCGCTCTTGTGTCCGGCAGGACCTAACCTTGCACTGATCGCTTGTTCAAGTGTTGCTGTGTGTTGTCTGGCCTGCTCCCCGTTGCGCATAATTCCGCATAACCAAAGCGTGTTCTGTTCGACGGCACGCGGGGAGGCGGCGGCGGCGGCGGCGGCGGCGCGGGGTGTTCGTATAAAAGCGGCGCGCCGGGTGTTCACCGACAACACCTCGATTATCATGCGGACATTCTCGTGAGTTGCATTCATTAATACCACCCCATCCATTCTAATTTCTTAGGACCTTGGTTGTCATTGGGCTCATCGCCGCCGGAGCTTCGGCGCAACTCGCCGCGTGGCCAGCGCAAAGCTACTCGCCGTTCTACCAATCCCTATTTGGCGCCGCTTCGACACCGGTGCTCTCGGCGCCGGTGGCTCGTACCGCTCCGTCAGCTGTGCCGTTGGCCGCGCCGGCGGTTCTTGCTGCTCCAGCTCCAGTCCTGGCTGCTCCAGCTTTCGCTCCAGCTCCAATCCCGGTAGCCGCTGCTCCAGCTTTCGCTCCGGCTCCACTCGCTGTGCCAGCTGCTCCAGTCCTTCGCGGTCCAGCGTACGCGTACGCGCCATCGCCAGTACTCGCTCCAGTGCGTCCAGTGTTTGCGGCCCCACGCCCGCTCCTCGCTGCTCCAGCTCTTGCTCCAGCTCCAGTGGTCGCCGCCGCGCCAGCTTTGGTGCCAGCTTACGCGCCATTCGCCAGAGCCGCCATGTTCATCGGATCCAACAAGGCCAAAACGTGAGTCATTCTGATCCGATCCGATCCAATCCTCAATTCCGAATTTTCAGCGCCTAAATCGAACGATCGAACGACAAATATCTGTATAAACTTGCCATCGTCTAATTATTGACATAATTGGTATCAAGTGTATCTAATAAATTATATGCACTTTTATTTGGACTTGTATTCCTTAACATCAATTTGATCTGCGGACATTTTACGGGATTCCAAACAGTGGATTTTCGTCAACTCCAAATACAAAAATGAAAATATATGATCCATGTGAAGATTAAAAAAAATTGCAGAGACCAAAAAATTAGGCTAGATTTCAGAAATCTTGCAATTGACACTCCCATGAGCCAAAAAAATTGTCGGCAGCTTGGAAACCTCACATTAAAAAAAGATTGAATCAAAATTAATGTGGCGAAACCCGCAAACTTGTCGGCAGCTATAGTTGAACATGGAAAAATTTTGACCGTCGGGAGTACACACACGCGGATTCTGAAGCTTCGGGGCAAGCGAAAAAAAAAACCACAAAAAAATGCAGAAAACCCGGAAGACCGTCAGCAGAAACAAGCCGATTAGGCGTGTTTCAATAGTTCAAATGAATTGCGCAATTCGGGCAAACAAATAAATAAATAAACAAACAAACAAACAAAAAAAAGATGGCGCGAGGTCGCCAAAGCGAAACCGGTCGCACCCCCCCCCCCTCGAAATCGACACCAAATATTGAATGAGAGAGAAGAAGATGGATTGAGCTGGAGGAGTATGGTAGCGACAAAAAAAACCGCGTCAAGGGGGGGGGGCTGGAAAGAAAAACCAGGTTTTTTGTGTGCGTTTGAGCCTCGCCGGCTCCGCGCGCCCAGCATATAAAAGCCGATCGCGATGGTGTGTCGAGTTATTAGTGCTCGACACAATGATGAAGTGCGCCGCGTGAGTCTAATCACCCTCTTAATTGATCCTTAATTGGTTTCAGTGTTGTTTTCGCGTTGGTGGCTGTTGTTGGCGGACAGCTCGCCGCCTGGCCAGCAACTTCATACTCGCCATTCTATCAGTCGCTGTTCGCGCCAGCTGCTGCTCCGCTGGCTGCGGCTGCTGCTCCGGCATACGCTCCGGCTCCAGCTCTCGCGCCGGCCTACGCTCCAGCTCCAGCCTATGCTCCGGCTCCAGTCGCCGCTGCTCCAGCCTTCGCCCCAGCGGCTCCAGCCGTCGTGCCAGCCTATGCTCCATTCCAAACCGCCGCCTACTTCATCGGTTCCAACAAGGCCAAAAGCGTCAAGGCATAATAATTGTTAACTATTAGACCCCGCCCCCTCATTGCGATTATTTTTTGTATATTTTGAATCAAATGAATATTGTCATTGAAGTTTTGGATTCCACGTGGAGAATAGACGATGCCTGCGTCTCTGGCGATGTCGCACTATTTTCGCATTCATTCGCGCGTTGAAGTTTTGGATTCCACGTGGAGAATGAAGAAGGGAAAAAAGGGTTTTCAAATTTTCTATTCAAGTTTCTGAAAGCTTCTTAGAGGATGTTGACCTAGGCTGCGAATAAGAGGAAAGCCTCACACTGAGATGGTCGAACTCGCTTCGGAAGGTGATCATCGACAGCTGAGCTTATGACCTTTGGAACGAGCCAACTTGGAATCCTTGAATTGAGAGGAAAAGCTTAGGCTTAATTATTTATTTGGCAATAAATAGGCGATCAAACAATCATTATATACATAAATCTCGATTAATCTCTGATTCATCTCTCATTCGGACTTGTTACTTCCAATAAAGTAATTCGCATAGGTGAATGGATCGGTGTCGGATCGTGGTGGCGATTGACGGCCGGGCGTCAGGTATTCGCCGATGCGGCTCGCTCGCGAGACAGGCACACCGGCTGCCGAGTACACCGCCTTGCTGAACACCGCCATCGCCTCGTCGCCATAGTTGGGTGTGGGTGGGCGCGATTCGCTGATCAGATCGACCTCTTGACGAAGTGGCGCCGATCGACTCGTCTGCTGGTATTGCTCTTGCTGCTGGGGAGCTGGAGGACCTTGAGGTGGGTACTGAGCCTGAGGTGGAGCCTGCTGGTAAGATTGCTGGGGAGCTGGAGGACCTTGCTGCTGTGGGTACTGCGGTGGAGCTGGGGGACCCTGTTGGTACGATTGCTGTGGAGCTGGACCTTGTTGCAGAGGGTACTGTTGAGCAGCTGGAGGACCTTGAGGTTGGTACTGAGCCTGAGGTGGAACCTGCTGGTAGGATTGCTGGGGAGCTGGAGGACCTTGCTGCTGTGGGTACTGTTGTGGAGCTGGAGGACCTTGTTGGTAGGATTGCTGTAGAGCTAGGCCTTGTTGTTGTGGGTACTGTTGAACAGCTAGAGGACCCTGCTGGTAGGATTGCTGTGGAGCTGGAGCTTGTTGCTGTGGAGCTGGAGCTTGTTGCTGTGGATGCTGTTGTGGAGCTGGAGGACCCTGCTGGTAGGACTGCTGTGAAGCTGGAGGACCTTGAGGTTGATACTGAGCCAGAGGTGGAGCTGGCTGGTAGGATTGTTGTGGAGCTAGGCCTTGTTGCTGTGGGTACTGTTCTGGAGCTGGAGGACCCTGCTGGTAGGATTGCTGTGGGTACTGTTGGGGAGCTGGAGGACCATGTTGGTAGGATTGCTGTGGAGCCGGTCCTTGCTGCTCTGAATATTCCTGTGTAGCCGAAGGACCTTGCTGTGGGTAAGCTAGAGGGTCCTGTGGATAAGATTGCTGTTGGGTGTACTGCTGTGAAGATGGTGCTCCTTGTGATTGCTGTTGGACACCTCCCGCCAGCGGTGGCGGCGATCCCTGTGGAAGGTAAAGCTGCGATGTTGGAGTGGGATAGCGCGGCTGCTGCGGACCTTGTTGCGGTTCGTCCTGAAACTGTTGCCGCTGGTCCGCTTGAGTTTCCTGCTGTGACGGTCCTTGCTGGAATTGAGCGTCTTGCGGATATTGTGGTCCCTGCGCCGGCACCTCCTGCTCGACCTCGGGCGGCGGCGTCGGCATCTCGGTGCCGCACGGCGGCGTTCGACACGCCTGTATCAAATCCGGCGTCAGCATCGGCGCCGCTTTCGCATAATAGCGTCCCGGATTGAGTTGCTCGACAATCTGACCGTCAACGACAACCGGAAGCAAACTGAAAATCAAGTGAAAAACAGAAGAAGCGCAAACGACCCACCACACCAGCAACGCGACAATTCTCATTTGATCGGTAATTGGGGGGATGGCGATGAGCGCGGCGGCGCCGCCGACGCCGCCTCGACGCTTTTATACTCGCCGATGACCAAACATTTTTTTTTGCGATTCGCCGCGTCCTGTCAAAAAGCGGCCGGAATGGAAAACCAACGAGTAAAAAAGCCGGAAACATTGGCAAACATTTCACACGTATGTGTCAATAGGCGTTGACAAACAAATGTGTTGCGTAATCATTGGAACACTAATAATCTGCTGCCGCGAAAAATAATTAGTTGAACGACACACATTGCTTCTTCGCAAACTCGCAAAATAAATGGAATAACGTTTTTTATTCTGAAAATTATTCATCTGAAATTAATTTCGAAGCGATCAATTGTGCGCGGTGTTGTATATGGCGTTATCCTCAATTTCCAGCGTGCAGTGGTGGCGCAGTTGGTCAACGCGCCTACTAGTAACTCGGTGAAAATTAGCGGGCCCCGCGCGGGTGGAAACAACGATTTGCGGGTCCCGCGCGGGTGAAAATTGAGGGGCAAACACTTTCGTCGAGCGGGGCCCTCATATCACCGTCGCGGGGCCCTCATATCCCCGGTGCGGGGCCCTCATATCACCGTCGCGGGGCCCTCATATCCCCGGTGCGGGGCCCTCATATCACCGTTGCGGGGCCCTCATATCACCGTTGCGGGGCCCTCATATCCCCGGTGCGGGGCCCTCATATCACCATCGCGGGGCCCTTGTGTTTCACCCGCGCGGGGCCCTTATATCGCCTTTGCGTGGCCAAAAATTCTAGACGAGATTCATATTGCAATTAATTAACAATTATATACTTAATGAAACATTTATTAAACGAAAAAACAAATTACACTTAAACATTCCTATGCATCCACATGGCTCGAATTTCACTCTTTAATTGTGGAGAATAATGTTCCTGAAAAACCACAAATAGAATATTTAAATATAGGAATCATAATATGATATAGTCGGCGTCCGTCGACTGCTGAACGCGGGTAGATTTACGGCGATGCTCGTTTATCTTGGGGCAAGAAAATGCGAAACTCGTCAAGAAAAAATAAACCGTTCATGCGAAAACAGCGAAATAAGCATTCACACGTGGCGAGACTTTTTCAAGGCGCATGCGCGTAAATCTACCCGCGTGCAGCAGTCGACGGACGCCGACTATATAGACTTATCATATTATGACAATGAAAAGGAACTTACTCAATAGTACTTCTGAAGGTTTTTCAATAATTAATGAATCTTGTGCCATAAAGGACCCATTATTTTTCATGCTGATGTGAAATCCCTGAAATTTCGATATAAATATAACAATTTTTTATTAAAATAAACAAATATTTATATTTGATTGACATTTGGGCTTTATTTGAACCAATTCTCAATTATTTGACAAAATGTTTTCGTTTTATTAAACTAGGTACTCGAGAATTGCCCAAAGTTCGCTAACTTGTCAATTTTTTCTCAATGTTTCGCGGTATTCGCTCATTGAAAAAACGTGATTTGTAGAGAACACTCAAATACAACTTTAAAGTTTCGCATTTCAAAATATATTGTATAAATAATATTTTACCCAAATATAAATTTTCTCAATAAATCTTTGGCTGAGTACTATCTCGAAACCTTCGCTTAACCCCAGCGCGCCTCTGCACCGCACTTATCTTGAAATTATGAACCATCCCCAAATACGGAAATCACTAAAAGTTCCAACCCGCTGAAGTTAACATCTTAATAGGATAGGAAACCAATACCGTCTTCTCGAGCAACAGCTAGTCTGATTCTTCCTTTTTTTCTCTTGTAGTCTATATTCCATTTCCTTGCGAACTGTTGACACATTATCTAAACATAATATTGTATTTTATATATACAGTGAGTGCGTTGCAGAATTATAAAGCCTCCCCCGAATTAGAGCGCCGCGCAGGTTTCGATTTTTAGACCAAGCAGTGTTAAAATCGTTTTCAGCATGAAAAATTACCTATACGTACCAATTTTTATGTTAGTATCTTAAAAAGTAACCGTGTAGTGGTCATAATTCTGCAACGCACGGTATTTAGTTTTATTGGCTTTACTTACTAAATGTAAATATTCTTCTTCTTTTTTTACATTGCGCTTGGAACCCATTACCATATATATATGACTGAAATAATTAAATTTAAAAGTAAGAAAAAACTAATTTAAAAATTAGACACTCGCCAATTAATTGTACGAGTTAAATGTGATTGGAACGAACGATTCAAAACGGTTGAAACAAAATACGATAAACAGCGGGCACGTGTTAACGGCGGAGTGTCGTACACTCTGTTTCCACTAAAACTTTTTTCTGTGAACGAGATTAGTCCAGAAATTCTCAATAAGAAAAATGCGCCTATTATTCAAAAAAAATAATAAAAAAATAAATATATTAATAAAAAAAACTAAAATAAATAAAATATTCCGAACGCAAAATGTCTTGTTTCCCAATCGAATTCGACCACATCCGAAAAGAAAACGGCCGTTGTTCAAACCGTGATGGCCCCTTATAAGGTGTTTGCGAATGTTTAGAGTTTCAACTGATGCTTCAGATATTCCAGGCAAGCTTATTGGACTGAAAAGAGGGCCTTTCATTTGAAGAGGGCTCTCATTCCTATGCATGAAGTCAGACATTTAGATACTAAAGCAAGAAGAGTCGAAAATGTGCAAATTATTTTAATAACTTAAAAAGTCAACATTGTGTTTAACAATAGTACTCGAACAATTGAAAACAAGCCACAGAGATTCTGAAATATTGATCCTTCACCCCATTTCACAATTATTTTCAAGTTTCAAAAAATTCTATTAACGTTCTTGGCGTTGCTAGAATATATCGTGATGATTCAAACACTTTGAACAATGTTTTAATTGATACACAACATGTTTAATTCTTTTGCAAAATTGTTTTTGGAAAACTGTAATACGCTGATATATTGCGGTTGCCGCAAATGGCCCGCGCGGGCCCCTCAAATTTGATGGTCTAGCGAGAGTCCTTAGAGAGCCCCGCTTACGGCCCGCAGTTGCCCCTCAGAACCCCGCATTATTTTCACCCGCGCGGGCCCCTCCATTCCTATTAAACGCAAATCACCCGCGCGAGCCCTTCTGAGATATTCACCGGCGCGAGGCCCGCAGATATGACCCGCGCGGGCCCAAATAGCCGTTTGGGCCCGCGCTGGGCATAATTTGGACCCACGCTGGCCCCGCGCGGGTCCAACCACCCATTTCCACCCGCGCGGGGCCCGCTAATTTTCACCGAGAAGCTGAAGGTCACTATTTCGACATTTTTGACACATTTATAATTTTTGCCGTTTATTTTTCAAATAAAAAAAGTGTTTCCGGAAAATCAAACAAAAAGAAAATCATTTATTAGCCCCTAGAGATCAAAAATCACCCATTTTATACAGAAAAGGAGAACCCGAGAAATGACAATATTTAATATTTCGTTTCCAAATGTTTAAACATTCGCCTGCTTCTGATGGCTTCTCGTCGCGCTTCTTCCAAAAATGATCGATTTGAACGCGCGTCGGAATTCGGTGTTGAAAATCGTATAGATGATCGGATTCATGAACGAATTCATATAGCCGATCCAGGTACTGTAGAAGAATAGATCATAGCCGACCTGAACTCGGAAAACTGGAATGAGGGGGGCGAGGGGGTCAAGGCCGTACCTGACAGAACTCTTTGTTGAGCAGAATGCACACGGCATTCAGAATATTGATGGCGAAGAATGGCACCCAGCAGACGAGAAAGACGACAACGACGACGCCAAGCGTCTTCGTCGCGCGCTTCTCCTTCCTCTGCGCTTTCGACACCTTCCGCTTCAGACTGTGCTCGTGCTTGATCGCCTTCTTCACCAACTTCACCGCGATCCCGTTTCGGCTCTTCTTCGATCCGCGCGAGTCCATCGACTTGAGCGGATCGGCGCGCGTCTTACTCGACGACATCGTGCCATTCGATTCGGTGCGCGCGAGCTCCAACGCTGAAATTCAACTCAAAATCGGCTCGTTGTGTGAAGCGGCTCCCTACTCGGAAGGCTCGGTCGTGTGAGAATCTTGACGGCCAGCGGCGGATTGTCGGCGGCTGACTCCTTCCGACACGCCTTCACATTGTTCTGCCCGTCGCTGTTCATCTCGCGAACCGTCAACGCGAAGCTCACCGTCGGCTGGCCGTCTTTACGCGTCTCGTCGATCATCGGACCCTCCGGCGATCCTAGAAGTTCGGCGCCTGCAATCAAGATGATCGATTTGGTCGGAAGCGCGTCGCGGCCTCACTGTTCACCGTCGTGCTTCGACTCATATTATGAGGTTGGGCGTCGCGCGACGCCGATATCGTTTCGGTTTCGGTCTGCGAGCTCGTCGCCTTCAGCGGCTCGCGCGCGTTCGGATTCTCGAGAACCACCGGCGATTTGTCTTTGCGGAACAACTTGGGACTCTTGCGCGAGATCGATCGAATGATCGACGGAATCTGCGCCTCATCAGCGTGTGATGTCGAGCGGCGACGACGCGATTCGCGACGATGCATGGTGGAGTAGTTTCGCGAGAGATTCTGAAACATGCGCGAGTTTTTGACGACGTCGTTCGACGACGCCTGCGACGAGCTCGGCTGCGATTCGTCGGCATACGACGATCGTCTGGAATCGAGAAATCAGGGAAGGATGGGATTCGAGCGAATGTACCTCGACAATGTCGTGCAGTTCTCCGAGATGAAGTCGTTGGTGATGACGTGCACGTTCTCCGACAACGACTCAACACTCGAGCTATTCCCAAACTCATGCTCTTCTGAAATCGAAAAACATCGGACCATCATGATCAAGAAGGATCGGGATGCATTCAAGACACATGCAACCATTCCAGTATCATTCTATCATCCCTTCTAAGCGCGCAAAATTTGGGACCATGCTGACAAGTGATGGGAGGAGTATAAATTTCGATATCATTATTTTTTTTTTGAGACAGAGAGATCTGGGGGCAACTCGGTGGTGCTTATGAAAACGACGTGAATGACGAACCGAAAAAAAATGAACAAGAATATCTGAATGTATGAATTCACCAATATATGACATACTCAGGAGGCGAGCAGAAGAAGTGGAATGAGAAGGAGGAAGAGTAGTAGTAGTAGTAGGAGGAGGAGCTGTTGGGCGGCTGTCGCGACACGGAGCACGATGGCGATGATGCGTCGGCGTCGGCGTCGGCGACGTCGACACCGACGTCGCGCTGATGATGCGACGTATCATCGAGGTGGTTCGCGGTGCCGACGCGGCGACAGCGCTGCAACCCTCGTCGGCGTGATACTCGCGATTCGCGACGACGACGACGTCGTCGTCATCATCATCATCGTCATCGTACTCCTCCTCGTCCCATTCATCGTCACCTGCGAGCTCGATGGCGCGACGATGGCGCTCGAATTGGCGAATGCGGCGTGTCATCGATGGCAACGCCGCCATCATCACGTTCACCACTGGAATAGACCATTTTCGAGTGTCCCTATTATGGGCCGGGGAGGAAGCGTGGAGGAAGTGGATGGGGGAGGGTCTCTCGCGCGATCAATTCTTGAAATTCATTTTGTTTCGCGTACCTGGTCCGGCGACGATTCGGCCAGCGGCTTCCTCATCGACCACATCGGGATCGGCACCGGCGTTCGATCTGAAAGAATCGCGTCGGATCGGATCGGATCGTGATCGTGATCCTCATCCTACCCTAATCCTTGAGCGGCGGCGTTCTTCTCTCGTCGCAACTTCGCCGCCTTCTCGCGCTTCTTCAATGCAATTATGATGCGAATGTAAACGAACAACACTGGAAATCGAATGGATCAATCGGTTCGGATCATCAGGATCATCATACCTAGAACGCATGGGATGACGAACGAGATCATCGACGAGAGAATCGAGAACTCGGCGTTGTAGAATCGACACTCGTAGGGATTCGCGTCGGGCGGACGAACATTGACGCCTAAACGTGACATCAAAAATCGGCAAAGCAGCAATTTTCATTTCTAAGCGCCCACACTTTTGGGTTTTTCTTTGTTGGTAAAACAGGTTTGAAGGCGTCAAAACTTCAGAAGTCAAATTCCAGAAACAAGCGATGCTCAATGGCGCTGGCGAGGCTTATGAGGTTGTCGAGCGTCGACTCGACGCGACGCTCGCGCACGCTCGTCACACGCTAGCCGCCCTTCAGAATCGGGGTGCCGATGAGGCGACGTCGTCGAAGCGCCACGAGCCGCTGGATAGTCTCATCGGAATGTGAGTTTGGACGACGACGCGATTCGCGAATTGTAGATTTTCAGAAAATCGCGAAAAAAGTTGGCCGTCGAGCCGGATAGGTAGATCAAAAAAAAAACTGAAATCAGAAGAAAATTGTTGAAGGCATTTCCCGGCGGCTTCGTTCGTGCCGTCCGCCGACAATCCGATCATCGTGTCGTCGGCGACGTCGGACACGTCGACGTCATCGCTGAAGACGGCCTCGTCGCGATCGTCGCCGGCGACGACGGCGAAATCGTCGTCGAATTGCCGAGCGGCGTTCCGATTCCCCGGCGTTCTACCACGCGTGTTCCACTCGTCCGACGGTCGCATGACGATGATTCTCAATAAAACGGCGAGCGGCGAGAAGATCACCGCCTATGCGATCAAGGTAATCTCGGCGAGAGACTCGAACGATCGGCGATCTTCAGAACGACAACGACGCAACGCCGATTCCGTGCGACGACACCGTTTTTCCGGAGGTGCCGCAACAGTTGAACTCGAAGAACGGCAAGCGCTACGGCGAGCGCAACAAATTCACAACGTCGCTTCTCATCGGCACCCACAGTCTGACGATAACCGGCCGCTTCAAGAATCGCACGTTGACCGTCGACAATCTTCAGCGAATGTATATTAATGGTGAATGTGTGTGGGATTGAATAAAATGATGTTACGTTTCCTTTTTTGGCGCCACATACCAAACACCATCGGCGACGCCAACACCAACGAGATGAACCAGATGGCGGCGATCATGGCGAACACGCGTTTGATGTTTTGCGATTGGCGCGAGTATTGAATCGGCAGCGACACGGCGCGATACCTGCAAAAAGAAATAACTCGTCGGCTCGTCGAGCTCAACGCGGTTTTCGAGAAGCATCAGCTTCTCGCTCGACATGTCAAGCGGCAAAATTCAATTTGTTGGGGGGTCGCGAGTTGACACTCGAAAGTTCGCGCGAGGCACTTTTATGAAGGACCCTTCGCCCCCCTACCCTGGGCTCCGACGGGTGGTTTGGATTATGGTACCTGTCGAACGAGATGACGGCGAGCAATAGGATGGAAGCTGTCGAGCAGCCGACGTCGAGCGCCATGTAGACGTCGCACATGAGATTGCCCAAGTACCATTCGCCGTTGGTCACCTGCAAGATGTGAGGATGAAAAGGACCCCCCTTTGAAGGGACCCCCCAAATTGAATTTTTGGCAACGCGGAAATCTTTTTTGGCTTCATTCTTTGCTTCTTTGCACAACCGGCAATTCGTCATCTTAATGTGTTCGCCATAAATCGACGACGACGGAATTTAAGAAGCGCCTAGAGTAGTAGATGGTCCCGAAATCAATTTTGAACAATTTGGCAAATGTCACGAGAAAGAGAGAGCCGGGGTGGGGATTGAGCCAAAAAAAATAGAAAAAAAAATTAGTGCATCACAAAATTTTTTGTTTTTTTCTCGATGGTCCCTTGCCGGCAAACTACTTGAGATCACATTTGGGCCCTCAGGAATGGTCACTAGAATCGATTCGCACAAATTTTTTTTGAGAGGGGGGGGGTCCCACCGAGCACTCAGTGGTCCGACAATCGGACCCCCATTGACCTACATAGACATAGACGGCATATGGCATGACAGTGATGGCGACGAGGAGATCAGCCACCGCCAAGCCCAATATCAAAAAATTGATGGCGGATTGAAGGGCGCGGAATCGGAGCACCGAGATGATCACCTATAATTGCATAATTGGCTAATTAGGGAGGAGGGGGATGATGGACCAGCAAATTGCCGAGGAGTGTGATGAGCGGAATGATGATCATCAGAAGGCCGGCGTAATTCAAATCGGATGGCGGCGGCGGCCAGCCGGTCGAGTTCCACGTCTCATCGGCCGCCATTATTGTTTTTTGTTGTTGTTGTTGTTGTTTACCGATTTGTTTACTAGTTTCGAATAGAGGAACCCTGCAAATGATTCGATTATCAATTAAAAACAAGAAAAAAATTTTTTCTCTGAAATGCAATAAAACGCGAGAAGGCGGAAAAAATGGAAAATTTCGAAATTAAAAGTCAAAAGCTGACATCGAAGACTCGATGAAGAAGAAGAAGAAGCTTGAAGACGTCGTCAGAAGGGCGCCGCCCCATTTTTGGACATGTTTTCCCGTTTTCTCCTCGTCTGCCTATGCGTGTGTGTGTTTTTTTGCTTTTCAAAAGTTCCTTGACTTCAACTAGGTGACTACTACTATTATACTATACATTATTATAGGCAATTTTGCGATTCTTATGATATCACGCGAACGCCCCGCCCACTTTTTTTGTTTAAAGGAGGGTGGCGGGTGGATGTTGGAGGCCGCGCGAAACACCGGTTGATGAACTCTAATTGATTGACAATGACATTGCTAATCGAAATAGCGTTGAGAGACAGACAGACAGACAGAGAAAAACAACAAAAAAAATTCCAAGATATATAGAAGAAAAATGCGTATATATGATGGTTGGCAGCAATAGGAAGCCCATGGCTCAACGATAATTGCCCACACAAACGGTTGCAAATCCATCATTCAACGAGGTCGGCAAAAATGATTTGATGGTAGACGGAATTGAACCCGTCGTGTCACGCGTGCCAAACGAACACACGAGCCGCTGAGCTATAATTGCGCGCGGTGAGGATGCGTATTAGCGATGCGCGTCGCCATCCGTTACGTATACAAAGTTGGTGAGAAACGCGAATGTGGGGGTATAGCTCAGGGGTAGAGCGCTCGCTTCGCATGCGAGAAGTCTGGGGTTCAATTCCCCATACCTCCAAATCGCTTTTTGCCATAGTTTTTATGGACATTGGAAACCCTAAAAATAATAGGGAAACGAATTGGATAAAAGTATACCAATTTGTTCGAACGGGCTGACATGGGGGGTATAGCTCAGGGGTAGAGCGCTCGCTTCGCATGCGAGAAGTCTGGGGTTCAATTCCCCATACCTCCAAATCGATTTTTTCCATCGCTTTTTTTTAGACATTGGAAACCGCAAAAATAATAGGGAAACGAACTGAACAAAGAGCAGAAGAGAGCGAAATATATGTGGTATACGTATAAGAATCGGATACAAATTATCGCGCAAAAATCCAGGAAAACCGACGCATCGATGCGTGAGCGTTTTCCGCCTCAAGCACTTCTATTCACCGTGTGCTGCTGGTGGGGGGGGGGCTCACATTTATATATTATATAATATATAATATATATATATTCAACACGCGAATTGGTGAAGAATAAGAATAAGAATTTGATATCGCTCTTCTATATATATATGTATAATGTGTATTATAAATGGATAATAGAACCCCATGTGTTCGAATGGGGGGCATCCTCGTCTTTTATTTATTTGTTGATTTTTTTTGCTGCCGCGCGCTTGTCTAGCAGAAAAAATTATATTATTCAATTTTATGCGCTGTTGATATAATTAAGGCGGTTGGGGGGCCGACAGGAAATGATGATGAGCATTGTTGTTGTTTTGATTGTGCTGCGGACAATTCGAGGTCGCGCATTTGGTTATAATCGAGGCGCACAACTTTCAGCACATTCGTCTGCGGACAATTGGCGGGTTTGCAAAGCGACACCTCTCATCGGGCAATCAAGCTGCGGACAATTCCCGGGATTGCAAAGTGACACATCGCATCGGGCAATCAAGCTGCGGACAATTCCCGGGATTGCAAAGTGACACATCGCATCGGGCAATCAAGCTGCGGACAATTCCCGGGTTCGCAATGCGACACTTCTCATCAGGCAATCAAGCTGCGGACAATTGGCGGGATCCAGGACACCTCGCAACATCTCAAATCGAAGCTGCGGACAAGTCGCGGGTTTCAATAGAGCTGCGGACACCTCGCGGGCGATTTCAAAAAATTGGAATTTTTTGGAATTTCGAAAAAAAAAGAAGCGAAATGTAGTGTGTATATTTTTTGCATCGCGCCGCGCCAAACCAAGCCAAAAAAGGACATAAATTTTTCGATTAATGTGAATCTCCCAAGTAACTTCGAAAAAGACGATTCTCGTCGAACTACAATTTTTTTTTGCGTTGCGCAAAACCGACGGGAAAATGTCGTCGTGGCGAGACGCGACGAAAATTGTTGGGTTTGGCGTGGTGTGCGCCTTTAAAATGCGAATGACAACGCGACATTAGGCCGTCGTTCTAGCAAAGGTTTTTGGCGGCGTTTTTAACAAATTGTCGTGCGCCTTTAAATGGTGTCTAATGGCATTTAATAAATGAGAAAACTTGTCGGAAATTGAGTGTGCGCCTTTAAATCGAATTTTCCGGAAATGAAAAAAAGAAGGTCAATGAATCTTTAAAGTGAGATTTTTTTTTGGAAATTTGCTTTATAAGGTCGTGCGCCTTTAAACTGTTTTGATATTTGTTTCAATTGAAATTTTGGCAGATTTCGCCTATCAATTGTCAAATAAAGCCCATGCGCCTTTAAAATGACCTACGCGCCTTTAAACTGTTTTGATATTTGTTTCAATTGAAATTTTGGCAACTTTCGCTCATAAATCGTCAAAAATGGCCCGTGCGCCTTTAAAATGACCTATGCGCCTTTAAAATGACCTATGCGCCTTTAAACTGTTTGATATTTGTTGCAATTGAAATTTTGGCGAGATTTGCCCATAAATTGACAAATTAGTTAAAGAAAAGCCCGTGCGCCTTTAAAACGACCTATGCGCCTTTAAAACCAAACAAAACAATTTGCAAAAAAACGGCAATGAAACGAAATATTTGAAAGGAAGGTGTTGCGAGATTTTCGCATTTCGCTTCATTTTTTTTGCTTCCTCTTCGTGCTCCTGCTCACTTACGAAATGAGGCGTATTGTGTTCGAGCAAACGCGCGGCGCGTGAATTCGATTACCTTTGAGCATTCTCAGAACGCGTTTCGTTCGAAATTCAGAGATCAATTAGTCGTGATATCGGAGAGAGAGAGAAAAAAAAAGACAAAAGGGCGGCTGGGGGGGGGTCCGACCGAACAAATAAAAACACACACATACACACGGATAAACGGGGCCGGAAATTTGCGAAATTTGCATATATTGTCTACACCGACGTTCTTTTCTTTTTTTTTTGCTTCTTTTCGCCGCGCCAAAAGCCTTATGCTAATTTTGGGCTGGACGCCTCGCGCGCGCTTAATTGAATTATTATGCTATCGCACTTTTGATGACCTGTGAGGTGTCCGCAGCTCATTGCCGCCGAGCGCGCTTAACCCGTGAGATGTCCGCAGCTCTTTGGCGCCGAGCGCGCTTAACCCGTAAGATGTCCGCAGCTCTTTGGCGCCGAGCGCGCTTAACCTGTGAGATGTCCGCAGCTCATTGACGCCGAGCGCGCTTAACCTGTGAGATGTCCGCAGCTCATTGGCACTGAGCGCGGAGCGCAGCTACACGCCTTAACCCGTGAGATGTCCGCAGCATCATTGGCACTGAGACGCACATTGAACCAACGTGAGATGTCCACAGCATTGGCGCATAGCGCGCTGACCTGTGAGATGTCCGCAGCTCATTGACGCCGAGCGCGCTTAACCTGTGAGATGTCCGCAGCTCATTGGCACCGAGCGCACTTAACCTGTGAGATGTCCGCAGCTCATTGGCGCATAGCGCGCTTAACCTGTGAGATGTCCGCAGCTCATTGACGCCGAGCGCGCTTAACCTGTGAGATGTCCGCAGCTCATTGGCACCGAGCGCACTTAACCTGTGAGATGTCTGCAGCTCATTGGCACTGAGCGCACTTAACCAGTGAGATGTCCGCAGCATTGGCGCCTAGCGCGCTGACCTGTGCGAACATTTTTCCGGGATCGCGTCGGGGACCAAAAGCGGACATTTTTTGAATTCGAGAAAAAACCAAGTAAAATTTTCCAATATTGCCTACAGTAACCCGACAATTTCATAAAAAATTTTTGTTGTTGTTTCGAAATGTCAAGAATCTCGAATTTTCCGAAAACGGAATTACGTTTTCGGAAAGAAAAATAATTTTTTTGTGATTTTCGCAAAATTGGCAAAAAATGTCACGCAAAATTGCACACATTTGATTATTTCGAGCATTTTTTTGTGCAATTTTCAAGTTTTTGCAGAAACATTCAAAAATCGAATTTTGAATGATTAGATTATAGCGAGCAATTCAAAAAAATAAGCAAAGAAATTCCATATCTAAATTTCCAAATTTTTTTACTTGAAAAAAAATGAAAAAAAATTGGATTACTGTAGATGTTTAAAGGCGCATGGGACAATTTTTCATGGGAAAGCTTCAAGTTTGAAATCTGTCAAACATCGCATAATTAAAGTGAAAATTGCTCCATCAAAAGAAATATTTCGATGGTCCCTTAAAAGGGGTTCCAGACTTTAAGTATTTCAATTCTAAATTTTTGCAAAAAAAAATTGAAAATTCAATTTTTTTTTTGCAAAAAAATTCAATATTAATTTTTTTAGGTCGGTTTCTCTGAAAAAAATTCGAAAATTTTTGTGCCAAAAATCACACCCATCAAATTGGTGGGGGGGGACCAAAAAAAGGTCACATTGATGGGGGACCAAAAAAAATGGTCCAATAATTATAGGGGGTCCGGGGGGGGTCTTACTCAAGAGGAAGGCAAAAAGCCAAAAAAAAACAATTGTTGGCGTTCATACAGCAATAAACGGAGTGGCGAAAAAAGAGCATTGAAGGCATCAAATTATTATGTCATATATGTATACATATGGGGGTTGGGACCACACTTCTCAAAACTGGGCACCCGACAATTATAGGCTGCTTCTTGCAACCTTTTTTCTTCGTCTTTTTGTTCAACGGGGGCTCCGCTTTCTCAAACAACAACAACCACAACAACCAATTTCGTTTGGACCTTTTTTTTGCTGTTATATTTAGCCTTTTTTTGGGGGGGGTTACTGTAGCACTAGTTTTTTAAAGGCGCATCAAGAAAAAGGGGGGGGCACTTGAGAGCACACGAATCAAAATTGAGAGAAGCGGCAAACAACACTTGAATGTTGATTGTAAGGTGCGAAAGCACTTGTCGAAAAAATCGAGAAGTTCGTAGGGGACCATTATCGGATTATAGTGGTCCCCGCTTTCAACTAGTTGGGGAAGAACAACTAAAAAGGGGGGGGGGTTGAATGTTCAAAAATCCGGTGATATCACGATTTGAAATTGGCGCCAATTTCACCTGCTCGCCACAAAAAAAATTACTCAGAGAAAAAAATTTTTATTTTTATTTTTTGTTCGCCCCCACCCCCCAATTTTTGGCTGTGCACTTTTGATAATCGAATTTTTTGCGAGTTGAGAGACGCAGAGAAAAAGAGCGAAATTTCTATGTTTCTCTGCGTCTCTTGTGGTTAATGATGAGAGAGAACGATGGGAACGAGTAGAGATAGCTCATTTGAAAGAGACGCAGAGAAAAAAAGGAGCGAGAGAGAGAGAGGTGTTATAGAGAGATGCAGAGAAAAAAAGAAGAAGGGTGTCAAATCGCAATTTTATTGAGAGAGAGAGGTGCATGGAGGCGCAGAGAAAAAGAGGAGCGAGAGAGAGAGGGGTTATAGAGAGACGCAGAGAAAAAGAGGAAGTCGATTTTTTTTCTCTGCGTCTCTAAGAGAGAGAGAGAGAGAGAGAGAGAGAGAGAGAGAGAGAGAGAGAGTTGAGCAATTTGGGAAAAACAAAGTTGGAGCCCACACACACACACACACAAAAAAATAGAAAATGAAACCCATTGACGGGCGGCCGTCGCCGCCGCCGACAAAAGCGGGTGGTGGCGGCTGAGAAGAAAGAAATTGGACCACCACGCAACGAGAAAAACACTATTTATATATTTTGAAAACCAAAAAAAAATTATGAAAAATCTCTCGCTGGATGAAGCGCGTATCAAAAAAGCCCCGAAACCAATTTTTTTGTCATTGATCTACACGTGGCCTAGAAAAATTGGTCTTAGGTTCGGCCACGGCCACGGCCACACACTTCATTTATTTGAAACTGAATGAAACATTTTTCTTTTAGAAAACCAAAAAGTCACAAATTTGAGAAAAAAAATGATTTTATAGAGAAAATCGAAGGTAGCCAATTTCGTTCAGTGGAGCGCGTTTGCTACTTCTGTGAATACTGGCATTTAAAGGCGCACAACTACCGTAACCATCAATGTGACGAAAGAAGATACGATCTATTCAAATAAGAATGTTGCAAAAAAAAAGCGTGGAAGAGAAATGAGGCATGGCCGAGAAATTGGCGGCCACGGAGTGGTGTCGACGAGATCAAATTCAAAAAAAAAAAATAGAAAAGCTCAAATATTCGGCAGGTGGTGAATGAAAGCAAAAATCAGATTTGGGTGTCACAAAAAAAAAATAAAAATAATAAAAAAGAGAGCATTCGATTGGGACCCTCGATTCTCTGTTTGTGGTCCGCCACGAAAAGCGGCATTTTTGGAGTCGTCGGCTCAGAATTCCTCAAATTGTTGACACATCGAGCAGGTTTTGAAGATGTTGCTTGAAATTTCAGGGCGAATCACAGTCGGAAATAATTCTGCGAATTTTCCCAGAACGGGTAGATCAAATGGGTACCCAGAAGGAAAATTTCGAATCGATTGAAGTAGGTCCCAATTAGATCCTCTCCTCCCTTTAATTTCAACTTTACAAAATTGCGAAAATTTTTAAAAAAATCATTCCAAGGAGGGGGCGGAGCTTAAACGATTTGGCTGCGTATCAAACTACCGTATTTCGATGAAATCAATAAAAGGAAAATGAAATTTATCTGGATTCGGCAAGAAAAAAAAAATAGAAAATTCAAAGAAAATCTGAATTGTGATGAATTGTCGTCAAATAAAATGCACAAGTCCGCAATGATTTCAATTTTGTTTTTTTTTTGAAATTAATGGACATTAAAAAGTAAAGTCTAAAAATAGGCGTCAAGTAAAATGCATTGGGTGTAAACACCGTGACATACTTATTCATAAATTCAATTATTGATTTTTTGTCTCAAATACGAATTCAGGCATGTTAGTTGGGAAAAAGTGACATTGCGGACTTGTGCATTATATTTGACGACAATTCACACCGTCTAGGTGACGAATTGAAAAAAATTAATATTTTTCGACTTTTTACCAAAAAAATTTGTGAAAAAAATTATTTTTCGAATTTTTTTACCAAAAAATTTTGAAAAAAATTATTTTTCGATTTTTTATCCAAAAAAAATTGAGAAAATTTTTTTTTAGATTTTTATAAAAAAATTTGCGAAAAAAAAAATTATTTTTCGAATTTTTTTACCAAAAAAATTTGAAAAAATTATTTTTTGATTTTTTATTCAAAAAAAAATTGAGAAAAAAATTTTTTTAGATTTTTAATAAAAAAAAATTGCGAAAAAATATTTTTCGATTTTTTACCAAAAAATTTTGAAAAAATTATTTTTTGATTTTTTATTCAAAAAAAAAATTGAGAAAAAATTTTTCGATTTTTTATTCAAAAAAAGTTTGTGAAAAAAATTTTTCCGATTTTTACCAAAAAATTTTGTGCAAAAAAAATTGGCCAATATATTCACATTTTTGGAGGTGTGAAAACAATTGAAATCTTACAAACAAGACAAAAAAGTGGGGGAAAAAAATGGGTTCCAAGAAGGAATTTCCAAAAAAAAAACACAAAGAAGGTGTAATTAAACCGGCATTTCTTATTTTTTTTTTTTTTGAGGGGGCTTCAAAGATTTTTCCTCTCATTTTTCAGTTGAATAGAGCAAAAAAAAAGTGAAACTCCCAAAAAAAATGTTCCGATCCATCACTTGTGGGTTTTGAGTGACAGCGTTTTCAAAAAAAAAAAAAAAAACTCCATTCCAATTTTTTTTGATAAATTTTGTCTCGGACGAACCGAGACAAAAAAAAACTGACGCCGAAATTCTTCGACGAATTCAATTTCGCCTCTTCTCAATTTTTTTTTCCTATTGTTTTCGCCCCATCTCTTCTCATTTATGGTTTGTATACATACTCGACGGCGGCGCAAAAAAAAAAAAAAAAAATTCGTGTTGTGTGTTGCCTTCGGTTTTATGGGCCGTCGTTAATCGAGTTCGTCGCCAGATGAACACCAATCCGATTAACGTCGTTGTGCGCCTTTAAACTCGAAAGTTGCAAACGCGCTCCATCGCCAATGAGGCCTGTTCAACTGAGTGCGCTTGCCACCCTTATATGGATATATATATATATATATATATATATATATATATATGGATTAAATGGATCAGATATGGATCAAACGCTTTGCAAAAATTTGTGATTGATCTACATGTGGCCTAGAAAATTTGGCATTTGGTTCGGCCACGGCCACACTCTAGAACTAAATGAAACATTTTTTTCTTTCAGAAAACCAAAAAGTTGCAATTTTTGCAAACGCGCTCCACCGCAATGAAGGCTGTTCAATAGAGCGCGATTGCCACACTGATATGGATCAAACGCTTCGCAAAAACACAGTTTTTTTGTGATTGATTTACATATGGCCTAGAAAAATTGATATTTGGTTCGGCCACGGCCACACTCTAGAAAATAAAATAACAATTTTTTCTTTCAGAAAACCAAAAAGTTGCAATTTTTGCAAACGCGCTCCACCGCAATAAAGCCTGTTCAATAGAGCGCGATTGCCACACTGATATGGATCAAACGCTTCGCAAAAAAAATGATTTTTTCTGATTGATCTACATGTGGCCTAGAAAAATTGAACATAGGTTCGGCCACGGCCACACTTCATTTATTCAGAACTAAATGAAACATTTTTTCTTTCAGAAAACCAAAAAGTTGCAATTTTTGCAAACGCGCTCCACCGCAATGAAGTCTGTTCAATAGAGCGCGCTTGCCACACTGATATGGATCAAACGCTTCGCAAAAAAAGGATTTTTTGTGATTGATCTACATGTGGCCTAGAAAAATCGACCTTAGGTTCGGCCACGGCCACACTTCATTTATTCAGAACTAAATGAAACATTTTTTCGTTCTCACAATTTTTTGCAAACGCGCTCCACCGCCAATTAAGCCCGTTCAATGGAGCGTGGAGTTTAAAGGCGCACGACTACCGTAACCCGCCGCCCGATGTGACAAAAAGAGCTAGAAGATATTTATTACGAGCCAATAATTAAATGCGAAGCGATTTTTTTTGGAGCAACAAAAAAACGAAAGAAAAAAATGAAGTGAAAAATGCAGAAATTTTGGGGGAGGCCAACGACTAGCGAAAATAAATTGATCGATTCCGATTCCGATGGATTCGTTTTTTTTTAGGCTTGCGCGTTTCCGCTCGTGATGACGGTTTGCGGCTCGTTCTCGCCGCGCCACCCCCTCAATTTGACGAACGTCTCGATGGCGAACAAGGCGGTCAACGCGACGCAAATCACCTGAAAATGAGAAGCGATTTTCGAGTTCGTGATCGTCTAGAGGTGCTCCAGCTCGCTAGAGCAGCCCAGCAGGACCTTGGCAGAAGTTTTAAGTGCTTCGGATCTCAATCTTCTAGCGGAGATGCTCCAGTTCATTAGCCGAGCCTAGCAGGACCTTGGTACCATTTTTAAATTATTGAGATCTCAATCTTCTAGATTAGCTGCTCCAGCCCCCATAGCCTATCCTGTCAGCACCTGTGTACCATTTTTAAATTATTGGGATCTCAATCTTTTAGATTAGCTTCTCCAGCTCGCTAGAGTAGCCTAGCAGGACCATGGTACTATTTTCAAGTTCCTCGGATCTCAATCTTCTAGAGGAGCTGCTCCAGCCTCCGAGCCTTGCCCAGCAGGATCTTGAAACAATTTTTAAATTATTGGGATCTCGATCTTCTAGTGGAGCTGCTCCAGCTCCCTAGCCCGAGCTAATACAGGTTTTCTTGATCTAACAGAGACCGCCCTCCCTCATTCCTAGACATCTCAAACTTCTAGATGAGCTGCTCCAGCTCCTGGGTCCTGTCTAGTCTTTGGTAATCATCTAGAACAATTGAAGAATATCTGGTTTTCTTGATCTACTAGAATTCATAGTTGGTCCAGCTCCCTAGCCTAGCCTATCATGCTTAGACAGGTTCCAAGACAATTTCTTTTTTGTGCTAGACATCTCAAACTTCTAGATGAGCTGCTCCAGCTCCTGGGTCCTGTCTAGTCTTTGGTAATCATCTAGAACAATTGAAGAATATCTGGTTTTTTTGATCTACTAGAATTCATCTAGAATAGTTGGTCCAGCTCCCTAGCCTAGCCTATCATGCTTCGACAGGTTTCAAGACAATTTCTTTTTTGTGCTAGACATCTCAAACTTCGAAATAAGCTGCTCCAGCTCCCCCAATTCCGATGGGCTCTCTCAAACTCTCAAAACAAAAATGGCTCACCGCCGTCATGATGGCCGCACCGCGTCCATCGGTGCCCCAGCTCGCCGACAAATGCACCATCAGCCAAATCGAGATGAAATAGAGGAGCGTGTTGACGCCGTAGAACAGCAGCTCGACGACGATGAGTCCCTCGCGCGTCGCCTCGTCCTTGATGGTGAGATGCGGGAACACGACGTAGCCGATGAGAAGCGCGGTGACGACGAGCAGCGTCTCGAACGAGATGTGCTCGGTCCACGCGGCGGTCGTCGTTCGACGATCGGCGCATATCGCCAACACGAACGCGACGAACGAGAGAATCTGGAATCGGCGGGGAGGTGATGATTGAAGCTTGTTGAACATCGACGACTCACGATCTCAGCGATCTTCAGCACACCGCCAAGGGTGGCCAGGAAGCCGGTGTTGAGTTGGCCTTGACGATTCGTCGGAATGATCTGAACCCGATTGCCCATGTGGAATTGGAGCTTCTTCTTCTCCTGAAAATTGGGGACCATTAGAATTGTCGAGGCCTACTAATGAGAATGTCGCCGTCGCCACCTTCTTGACCGTCGGCGGAATCGGAATCTCATCCGAGTGCGGCAAATCTTTCGCCGGTCCCAAATCGACGGTGGCGCCTTCGTCGGTTCTCATCATCACTTCAAAAGCTGAGGAGTTTAAAGGCGCATACAAGTGGTACTATTAAAGGTGCACAGCTTAAATTGCTAGAAATGAAGAAAAAACGCCCCCCAAAAAAAGAATGTGTCATATTTGCCCAAAAATGGAAACCAAATGACTAATATGATTAGTTTTTTTCTTCTTTTTTTTGGGCGAAAAAGAAACCAATAATAACAGTAATAATAATAATAATACATATTTGGAAGGAATGCGAAGGAATTTGGAACGAACGCGAATCGATGCGCTTCGGAGATTATCGCATAACTAACTAGATAGATATTTATATGTGAATAAACATTGGAACAACGACGAAAAAAAAAAAGAATTGGCGAGAATGAGAGAGAATCTCGCGCGCGCAGAATATCTCTCGCTGGTTGCGATCGAAAATGAGATTGTGGTTTTCGGTTTGTTGCGCGTCAAAAATATGGTTGACTGGCAACAAATAGGAAGCTTGGAGAGAAGACACCCGGTGAATTGTCCGCAGCAATTATTCAATAAAACCCGGTTAGATGTTAGCAGCTATTTGGAGAGATGGACCAGCGAATTGGCGGCAGCAGATAGGTGAGAAAACCCGGTGAATTGTCGGCAGCTTTTTGGAGAGATGAACCAGTGAATTGTCCACAGCAATTGGGAGAGATGGTCCAGGGAGTTGTCAGCAGTTATTTGGAGAGATGGACCAGCGAATTGGCGGCAGCAAATAGGTGTGAAAACCCGGTGAATTGTCGGCAGCTTTTTGGAGAGATGAACCAGTGAATTGTCCGCAGCAATTGGGAGAGATGGTCCAGGGAGTTGTCCGCAGCAATTTTGAGATATCGACCAGCGAATTGTCGGCAGCAAATAGGCGAGAAAACCCGGTGAATTGTCGGCAGCTATTGGGAGAGATAGTCCAGAGAAGTGTCCGCAGATGTTAAGAGAGAAAATCGAGGAAATTTCGCGCGTTCCACTTTCTAGAAAACCTGGTGAGATGTCCGCAGCAATCGAGAGATATGGAGGACCAGTGAATTGTCCGCAACTACTTGGAGGGAAAACCCGGTGACCTATCGGCAGCAATTATTCACCAAAACCCGGCTAGATGTCCGCAGCTATTTGGAGAGACGGGCCAGAAAATTGTCCGCAGATGGTAGGTTGAAAATCGAGAAAATTTCGACAAGCTTAAAAATAGCTGCAACGCGAGTTGAGTCAGAAGATTTCCGAGAAAAAAACCTAGTGCCGATGTCTGTTTCAAAGTAGTGCGATGTCCGCAGCTCGTCTAGAAGACATCAATATAGTGAAAAGCGAATAGGTTGTCGGGGGGAATTGTCCGCAGATGGAAACAATTGGGGTGGGGGGGGGTTCGACCAATGATTCCGGTAGGAATTTTCGGGCGTTGGGTGTGACAATGAAGAAATGGACGCCAAAATAGTACAAATTGCTAAGAACCAAAGCCAAATTGATACCAACCCCCGCCGATAAATGATATCAACTGCGAGGGAGAGAGAGAGAGTGGGCGGAAGTGAGAGAGCGCAGAGAAGCGAGTAACCTTGATTTTGATTTTTCCCATTCGTAGCGCTGTGTTTTTTTTTTGGCGACGACGTCGTTTCGAAAAATTTTTGTTGAATCGACTAATATTGACAAAAAAGCTCATCAAATTTTTGATGTTTTTTGCGCCTTGAAAACACACACACAAAAAATACACATGATTTTTGAGGCATTGCGATTTTAGTTGTGGAATATTGGAGAATTTTGAAATTTTTTGGGCACAAATTGAAGAATTTTGAGGAAATTGGAGAATTTTGAAATTTTTTGGGCAAAAATTGAGGAATTTTGAGGAAATTGGGGAATTTTGAAATTTTTTGGGCAAAAATTGACGAATTTTGAGGAAATTGGTCAATTTTGAAATTTTTGGGCAAAAATTGACGAATTTTGAGGAAATTGGTCAATTTTGAAATTTTTTGGGCAAAAATTGAGGAATTTTGAGGAAATTGGGGAATTTTGAAATTTTTTGGGCAAAAATTGACGAATTTTGAGGAAATTGGGGAATTTTGAGACGTTTTGAGGAAAACTGGAAAATTTCGAAACTTTTTTCGAGAAAAATTGGAGAATTTTGCTATTTGTTGAGAAAAAATTGAGGAATTTTGAGGAAATTAAGTAATTTTGAGATTTTTTTGGGCAAAAATTGGAGAATTTCGAGAGTTTTTGAAGAAAACTGGAAATTTTTGAGAATTTTTGAAAAAAAATTGAAAATAATGACGATTTTCTCCAAAAAAAATCATTGAAACTTTTTTCCAAAAAAAAAAATCCAATTTTTTCGTGAAAAGTAACAAAAAAATTTAAAATGTGAAAGATTTTGAGAGTGTGTTGAAAATTTAACTAAAAAATAGCAATTTTTCACAAAAATCATTAAGAATTCAATTTTTTCATAGAAATTCAACTTTTTTTTTTCTAAAAAATCGTCAAAATTTGAAAGATTTTGAGATTTTTTGGAGATTCGACGAAAAAATGTCGATTTTTCACAAAATTCGTTAAGAATTCGATTTTTTCATAGAAATTCAACATTTTTTCATGGAAAATCGTCAAAATTTGAGTTATTTTGAGATTTTCTGGAAATTTGACGAAAAAATGACAATTTTCATCAAAGAAAAACGAATTTGCATGTTAAAAAATTATAAATTTCATTTTCGGGCATTTTTTGACAAGAAAAAAGCGCAAATTTCGATTTGAATCGCCCGAAAAAGGGAATCGCTTTGAGTGAATGGAAAATCGGCGGCGGGAAAAAACGGATGGATCGTCGATGGGGGAATAATTGTTGATTTTCTGGTATAACAGCGACTGGACGTGTTTGAGTTGACCGGTATTTTCAAAAGTGTTTTTCGATTCGATTCATTTGTGCAAATATGGCAAAAAATGACACGCGCGACCACTCGGTCGTGGCGAGACCCATTCGACAAAATTACTGCATGCGCCTTTAGGGCGTTTTTTTTTCGAAAATTTCCAGCCAAAAAATGTTTTTGCCAATGTTGTTAGACGCGTTGCGGCTCGCGGTGCGGTCATTCTCAAAAAAAATTGCGAAATTTCGACGCTGTGGTCTCACCACGAACTAGCTGCCGCGAGCGCTCGTAAATCGACAACAGTGAAAAATTATTTGAAATTAAAATGAGCCGAAAAAATTTCGATTTTCGCCTAAAACAAAATTGAAACAATAAATGAAGAAATTTGATTTTTTTTCTCTGAAAAAATCCAAAAAATTGCATTTTTTGGATGAAAAACGCCAATTTTTTCGTGTTTTTTAAGCAAAAATTGAGATTTTCAAAAAAATCCCATTTTTTTCCCGGTTAGAAATGCAAAAAAAGGTCAATTTTTGTATTTTTTGAAACGAAAATTTGAAAAATAAAATAAAATTTTTCGAAAAAACTGTGTATAAAAGCGCAATTTCATGTCGAATTTTGCAAAATGCCAAAATTCAGCCGAAAAATTCAATTGTTGAGCGTGGGAGAGTCTCGCGATGTTCAAACAAACCATTAAAGGCGCATATGAGGGCGGGGGGATTGATATGTCATTTTAAAGGCGCATAGAAGGTGGGATGTCCCTTCAAAGGCGCATAGAAGGGTCAAGAAGTTGGTATGTCCCTTTAAAGGCGCATAGAAGGGTCAAGAAGTAAGTATGTCCCTTTAAAGGCGCACGGAAGGGTCAAGAAGATGGTATGTCCCTTTAAAGGCGCATAGAAGGGTCAAGAAGGTGGGATGTCCTTTTAAAGGCGCATAGAAGGATAAAATTATTAAAGGCCAAGAAGGCAAGAAGTTGGTATGTCCCTTTAAAGGCGCATAGAAGGGTCAAGAAGTTGGTATGTCCCTTTAAAGGCGCATAGAAGGATCAAGAAGTTGGTATGTCCCTTTTAAATAAGGTCGGAGTGATGGTTATGTACCTTTAAAGGCGCATTGAGGGCTATGACCCTTTAAAGGCGCGTATGTGGAATGGTGATGTCCAGAAGAGGGATTTGCCCTTTTAAAAGCGCATATAAGGTGGAGTAGGGGTATGTCATTTTAAAGGCGCATAGAACGTGTGGAATGTCATTTTAAAGGCGCATAGAAGGGCCAAGAAGTTGGTATGTCCCTTTAAAGGCGCATTCCGCGCGACCAAATTAGAGGATCAAGTTTGATAAAAAAAAAACTGGATTTTTGAAACCGAGAAAAAATAATTGCCAAAATCGATTTTTTTGAATACGAAAACTTCGACGACCACACCCACAATCTCTCTCGCTCATGAAGAAAAAAACCAGAAAAAGAATAATTGAGAACCGGAAGACTCTCGACGAGTGATCGACGTTGGCGATTATCGATTGCGACGTCGAACAGATACGAGTTCTCATTTCTTATTTTCTTTTTTTTCGGTGTGCTACGACAGACGCTGAAAACAACAACGGGGCAGCAACTCACCAATGTTCGCGTTTCGGTGGTCCCATCCGACATGCGGACGGTGATGATCTCGGTCTCGTTGGCGGCGCTCATTTCGGATGGCGGCGGCGGCGGCGGCGGCGGATGGAATGTGGCGACGGCGCGACGAACTTCGCCTGCAATTTCGACAAATCTCAATTTTTTGTTCGAATTTGACATGAAAAATCAATAACAATCACAATTGTGTGCATTCAGACGCACGCAAAATTGCACACATTACACATTTTTGGCAAATTTCGGAGATGTTCGTGGCGAGAGACCTGTCCTCCGTGTGGAGTACACAATAGTAGTGCCATAAAATTCGTTCGATCAAGCGAATTTCAAATATAATTGTTTTTCCGAATTGGTGTAGATTTACGGGCGTGCGCCTTTAACAATGGTCTCGCAACAATCGAGAATAATGGCGAAATCAAAATAAGCGCGTGACGGGACCATTGCCCCGCCGTATATCGACATCAGTCCGTCTTCGGACCATTTTATTTTTGCTGCTGGGAAAAAAATGAGTCCTTTAGAAATTATTTCAAATATTTTTTTTTTCTCAAAAAACCAAAATTTTAAAAAAATTGGAAAATTTTCAAAATCTTTTCCTTTTATTTTAATTGATAATTATGAAGACATTGATTTCTTTTTTTTCTAATTTTGTATTTATTGATTGAAAATCACTTTTTGTTGTAAATTCTTCGATTTCATGCCGACAAAAAAGTTGGCAAAGCGAGGGGGGATCGAACCCGGGGCCTCAAAAGAGCGAGTGGAGTGCGTTACCACTCTACCATGACTACCACACAGCGAGTAGGGTGGGAATGGGTAGAAGTGCGAGGCGCAAAAAACTATGAGCATCCGTTTTGCTGAAAATTGTGGGACCTAAAATTTCGGGTGGAAATTTTCAAAATCTTAAATTTCTTACAATTTTTTTTGGTTCAGTGTATTTCGAGCTTCAAATTATGACCATATTGGGTGCTATCTATCTATATATACTATCCAATATATAGCATTCACTATATAGACGATGAACGGTGGGCCAAAAAAAAATTGGAGACCAGATCAAAAATGGACCATTTCTTCGAAGATTGCCAAATCGATGGGGTGGGGGTCCTAAAAGACGAGCAAGAAAAGAAAAACCGTTCATTTTGCCAGCGAAAATCTATTGACAATGCTTCTTCCCGCGCGGCGAACTCATTGGCAAACAATTTACTATCTTGTAACCAATAGTTGTCTGTTTGCCGGGTTTTCCTACTCGTGGTGAGACCCTTGGTTCGCATTCCTTTATTTAAAGGAGCATGCGACATTTCTGATTTTTTTCAAAACGTCTCTTCTTTTTTTTTTTAAAGACATTGGATGTCTAAAAAAAATGGCGCGTTTCAATTTTTTTTGATCTACCTTTTTTTTCAAAACATAATGGGGACATGATTTCGGTTGTTCAAATTTTTTTTGATCTACCGTTCTATTCACGACGTTTCTTATTTATTTTTTTGAAAACGTTGGATCTCGCGACGAAATATTAGGTTTCAATTTTTTTGATCTACCGTGTTTTTTAAAGGTACATCCCATTTTAAAAGCGCACAAAAAAGAGCCCCAAATTTCAAATATTTGATCTACCGTCATTTTTCGGGCGCTTCTCATATGAAATGCGCATTCGGGTCCCACAACGATTTAGCAAAAATGTTTTGACCTACCCTAAGAAGCATTGGGTGTTTGTTGACATTTCTCAGTTCACAATTTGATCTACCTATGGTCTCAAATGGAATTTCGAAAAAAATGAAAAAGGGGGAATCGGAAAAAAATTTTCAGGTGTGCCCTTCTATTTTTAGATGAATGTTGTATAAAAAATGAAGGGGAGGGGGAGGAAGGAACAACGAGGAAGGGAAGGAATGAAACAACACAAATTGGGGGGGGGGGGAAAGAGGAGGAGGGGAAGGGGGGAGGGGGGGGGGAAGGGGGGGGGTACTCGAGACCCCCCAAAAAAAAGTGGAAGAAACTACAAAAGAGCGAATGCTCGAAGAAATAATTGTTTGTCGAAAATCTCAGGGATCGATGGCTCGAATTGTTCAAGTGCTCGCTGATCTCTCTTTCTCTCTCTCTCTCTCTCTCTCGCTACCGTATGATTTAAAGGCGCAAAACGAAATGTTGGATGTACCGGTTACGGAGGTCGCGTAGAAAAGTTCCGAATCGTCGTTGAGATGCAACATGTCGATTTTGATGGGGGGGGGGAGGGGGGAGGGGGAGGAATAGATCGGGGGATGGGGTGGGGGTGGGGAGAGGTCGGCAACCACCCACTCTGCGTCTCTCAGCGATCTGGAAACCAACGACAACCCAATTTTTCATTTTTTTTTGATAATGATGATGAAGGCTTCAATTTGATCGTTTCTCTCTGTCGCACTATGTCCTCCGTGTGGAGTACACAGCACGCCGATTTTTAGAACTAAAAAAATCCGAAATGTATCGAAAATAATTCTGTTTCCTAGTCGGATCGAATTGGTATAGCATGCGCCTTTAAAAATGGTCTCGCGCCGAGTTTGGGACGGCCAAGAAAATTGGCGAAATCAAAATTGGCGCGTGACGGGACCATTGCCCTCCCGTAAATCGACATCAGTCCGTCTTCGGACCATTTTATTTTTGCTGCTGGTAAAAAAAAAATGAGTCCTTTAGAAATTATTTCAAAATTTTTTTTCTCAAAAAATCAAAATTTTTTGACTCTAAAAAAATTGGAAAATTTTCAAAATCTATTCGTTTTTTTTTTTGATAATTATAAAGACATTGATTTCTATAAATTTTGCATTTATTGATTGAAAATCACTTTTTGTTGTAAATCCTTTGATTTCATACCAACAAAAAAGTTGGCAAAGCGAAGGGGGATCGAACCCGGGGCCTCAAAAGAGCGAGTAGACAGTGTTACCACTCTACCATGACTACGACGAAGCGGGCAGGGTGGGAATGGGTAGAAGTGCGAGGGGCAAAAAAATTTGAGCGGTCGTTTTGGCGCCTCCCAATGACGGCTGAAAATTGTAGAATGAAAAAATGTTTTCTATGAAAAAATTTTAAAATACTCGCCCAAACGACTTGCCTTGTGAGACACAAAAAAAAATGTTGTGTTTATCATTTCTCTGCCGTCACACTATTTCGCGTTCGACGGTGTAAATTTACGAGGGCGAATCGAATGATTGATTATCGGAATGACTGAGAATGAATGACCAACATTCAACCACAAATGGAATCTCTACGATTGGCTGCCGACATTTTCTTTTTTTTTTGTTTTTTGAGTATCGCCCAGATGGTGTTGAAAACATGTGGTGTAAACGCGGAGTGTCGTAATAAAAATTGGTTGTTGGCATTTTTTTTTGGCTTGGTTTAAATTGATGAGATGATCGCATTGAATCCAATGGGAATTGATGAACACGAAAATTTTGAGGGGAAAAAATTTTGGTTTGTTGATCATTTTTTCACTTTTCGAAAATTCTGCACCAAAAAAAAAATAGAAAATCGGAAATTTTCGAAAAATTTTTGCTCAAAATTATGCGAAAATTGGAAAATTTCAAAAAGCTGCTGAGAAAATTCGAAAAAATTGAATTTTAAATTTAAAAAAAAGCAAAAAAATCTGAAATTTGCAAACCATTTTTGGGCAAAAAAGGTTGCAATTTTCAAAATTTCAAAACTCAATTGGGAAAATTCGAAATTAGTCGAATTTTCCAGAAAAAAAAACTGTAAATTTAAAATTTTCAAAAAATTTTGGCAAAATTCAAAAAGCAAACTCATAAAAGTTGAAAATCTCAAAATTAAAAAATTGTTTTCTTCAAAAATAGGTGAAATTTTCAAAAATTTCAAAAATAAATTGGGAAAATGCCAAAAAAATTGAATTTTTCAACAAAAAAAAGCAAAAAATCATAAATTTGAAGTGAAAATTTCAAAATTTTCAAAAATTCGAAAAAAGTCGAATTTTCCCCAAACTGAAAATCTGAAATTTTCAAAAATTTTTGTTCAAATTTTCAAAAAAGAAATTGAATTTTCTCAAAGAAATTAAAAAGAAAAATTTTTAAAAATCGAATTTTTCAACAAAAAAACAAAAAAATCACAAATTTTGAAGTGGAAATTTCAAAATTTCGAAAAAAAGTCGAATTTTCCTAAAAAAAACTGAAAATCTGAAATTTTCATATTTTTTGTGCAAATTTTCGAAAAAGAAATTAAAAAGAAAAAAAAATCGAATTTTTCAGCAAAAAAAAGCAAAAAATCACAAATTTGATGTGAAAATTTCGAAATTCGAAAAAAAGTCGAATTTTCCCCAAACTGAAAATCTGAAAAAAAAAGGGAAAAAAAATCCCCAAAATTGGCCGAAAAAAAAATCAAGAAATATTGAAAATGAGCCGAATTCGATGGGCTCGTCTCACCGAAATTGAACTCGGCCGCCGCTTTGCCGCCATTGACGCGATGCGTCTCGAATCGGATGTTCGACATTCGGCTGAAACGCAACAATTTGAACCAGAGAACAAAAAAAAATTGGGTATGTATAAATCGAAGTACGTAATTCGATGCGTCGGCTCAGAAAAAAAAAAAAAAGGAAACGCTCTGCGTCTCACATCCCACACACACTATTTCGCCGAATTGTCGAACACCTGTCGTCGGTAATTTCGAATGCCAAAGCTCAGCTAACACAAATTCAGCTCGATTCTTTTTTTTTTGGGCGGTGGGGGCCAAATGGTTCCAAAAAGCGCGTTTTCTTTTTTTTGGGGACCTTCAAAAATGCAAGTAGGCGGGGCTTTTATTTATTTTTTTTTTTTTTGAAATAAAATGATATCAATTTGGACGAAACATCTATGCGCCTTGAATTTTTGACCAAAAAAAAGCAGGTGGAAAAAATCATGGGCGGTTTCCGGAAGTTTCGAATTGAGTGTGCCAACACACGCACGCAAAATTGCACATAATTGAATTTTGACCAAAATTTGTGACGTACGACGTTTTTCGCTGAAAATCGACTAATTCGCCAAATCAAAACCAAAAAAAAATGGAATTCGTATGAAAACTTGAAAACGATTCTGAAATTCTTCAAGTTTTTTTTATTCCATATCTCACCTAACATGATGGTCCCTTTAGATCAAAAGGAAAAAAATTTGAAGGGACTGTAATTCTGAATTTCAGAATCGCTTTAAAGCTGTTATAAGAATTCTATTTTCATTTTTTTTAGATGATCCAATCATTTCGAGAAAATTGATGTTCGAAAAACCAAAATCGCATTTTCAGTTTTTGGATTAAAAATCTGAAATTTTTTTTTTGGAAATGCTTCTATCCAACTTATTCACCAATCCACTTTTCAAGCATAAAATAATAAAATTAAAAAAATATAAAAGCAGCGCTCAATTTAATTTGAAGCTGTAAAAATTTCAGTTGAAAAAAAAATGTATGGCTCAAAATGACGGACCATTTTTGGTCGCTCAAATTTCGGTCCGATTACTGCACATCATAATTGCTCAATTAATTATGATGTCATTTCCAGTTTTTTTTGGCACACCTCATTTCGCCGCACCCTGTAGGATTCGAATTTTGAATCTCCCAATTAATCTAGATTTGCTAGAACCTTCTAAAAAAATGCCCTCTAGACGACGTGTAGTCCACACGGACAATAATGCGCCACGGTATATTGGGACCATATTAATGAGGTTCTCAGCGAACCCAAAATTCAATTCGCCGCACTCAAATTATAATAAGCGAGTCGATTCTCAGAAATTTGCAATTTCGAAAATTGCCCGAACTTTTCGACTCCATCGCATAATTATAGCCCTTCGCGCCGCGCGCGCATTTTTTTTTTGATTATTTCATTTCATCGATTTTTTTCTTCTTCTCGGCTTCCGCCAAATATGGACGATGATGAGATGGCGTTGTGTACGGTGACGCCGTCGATTTTCGCCGAGTGCTTCAACGACACGATTTCGACGCCCGGCACGTGCTATGAGGATTCGTGTTGTATGTCGGTCGAGGTTGGTCGAGTTTCAAGGCGCGTCGACGTCTTTTTTTCTTTAATTTATGATCTACCAAATATTTTTTTGGCCCACATTTCACGAATTTTCAATTTTTGATCTACTCTAGCATTTTTTGAGAATTTAAAGGCGCATTCGACACATTTAAGCCAAAAATTTGATCTATCAATCATTATTTTTAATCACTGGCCCAGATTTCATTAATTTTCAATTTTCGATCTACTCTAGCATTTTTTGAGAATTTAAAGGCGCATTCGACAATTTTAAGCCAAACATGTAATAGAAATTTGATCTGTCAGTCTGTTTTAATCACTGGCCCAGATTTCACGAATTTTCAATTTTTGATCTACTCAAACGTTTTTTAAAGGCGCATTCGACATATTCAAGCGAAACGTTTGATCTAATAATTTCCCACCAGTCAATTTGGGACCAATTTCGTGAATTTTCAATTTTTTTGATCTACTCTAACAATTTTGGCAATTTAAAGGCGCATTCGACAAACTTTTAAATTGGGCCCAAAATATTAAAATTTGATCTACAGCCCGTTTCACGGAATTTTCAATTTTTTTGATCTACTCTAACAATTTTGGCAATTTAAAGGCGCATTCGACAAACTTATAAATTGGGCCCAAAATATTAAAATTTGATCTACAGCCCGTTTCACGGAATTTTCAATTTTGATCTACTCGGCCAGTTGTTGAAAATTGATAAATTTGATCAACCACTCGTTTTGGCTCAATTTTGATCTACTAAGCGAGTTTCGAGAAAATAATTTAAAGGCGCATACCCAAAAACCAGAGGCAAAAAAATTGAAAAATCCATTTTTGTTGGTTGCAGATGGCGACGTCGTGGCACTACCGCCTCTCGCAGTCGCTTCACATCGTCTTCAGCGTGGCCGGCATTCTGACAGCGATCGCCTATTTGACGAAGTACTCTCGCAAGCACATCCTTCCATTCAACATTCGAGTCCTCATCACAATCATTCTCATCCTCATCATCATACATTCATTCGACATGGCAATTTTGCATGTAAGCCGAAAAAACGAGAAATGAGAATGAATGGTGCGATTCGGATTGTTCAGATGCATCACATCCACAAGTCGTTCGACGCCGCCAACTTCCGATCGCCATGCTCGATTCGCAATCGCGTCGGCTTCTGCGCTCCATTCCGCTACACCTACTCGTTCTGCATTCTCACCCTGGCCATCTGCCAGTACACCATCTACGCCGAGCGCATCGTCTCGATCCTCTGGCGCCACTACCAACGCCACTATCGCCGTCTGCTCGTCGGCCTTCTCGTCCACATGTTCGCACTGTCGATCGGCTTGATCGTGTGGGTCTATCGCAACGAGAATTCCGACGCTTACCTTCTGTCGTGCCTCAACGTTCCGTTGGAGTCGATGATGGATTTGACACTCGTCACCGCCATCCTGTTTCCCATCAACGTCTTCTGCTTGCTCCTGTCGATTTTCTTGTTTCGGAGCTTCAGAAGCCAACAGAAATTGTAAGATTTTCGATTTTCAAATTTCAGAACTCAAAATTCGAGTTTAAAAATTTTTGGTTGGGTCATTTCGAAATTGTAGCAAAATTCACGAAAAAATGCACATTTTTTTTCATTTTTTGCAAAAAAAATTGAATTTTCTGCGAATTTTGAAACATTTTTGAACTTTTGATCTCAAAATTCGAGTTTTGAACATTTTTTGGTTGAGTCATTTCAAAAATGCAGCAAAATCCACGAAAAAATGCACAATTTTTTTATTTTTTGCAGAAAAATTGAATTTTCTGCGAATTTCCAATAATTCTCAAATTTTTGATCTCAAAATTCGAGTTAAAAAATTTTTTGTTCTGTCATTTCAATATTACAACAAAATCCACGAAAAAATGCACAAGTTTTTAATTTTTGCAAAAAAAAAAAGAATTTTCTGCGAATTTTGAAACATTTTTGAACTTTTGATCTCAAAATTCGAGTTTTGAACATTTTTTGGTTGAGTCATTTCAAAAATGCAGTAAAATTCACGAATAAATGCACAATTTTTTCATTTTTTTCAAAAGCATTGAATTTTCTGTGAATTTTAAACCATTTTCTAATTTCAGAACTCAAAATTCGAGTTTAAAAATTTTTTGTTGGGTCATTTCGAAATTGCATCAAAATCCACGAAAAAATGCACTATTTTTATTATAGATTTATATTTTTTTCAAAAAAATTGAATTTTCTGCGAATTTCCAACCATTTTCAAACTTTCAACCCAAAAAATTCGATCTTAAAAATCGATTTTCAGGCAAAATTTTCAAAATTCTCATTATTCTGCCGTTTCGGACCTTTTCGAAATTTTCGGTTTTAAAGCCAAAAAAAAAACAATTTCGCCATTTTTGACACCCAAAATCGCCAATTTTCTGACCGATTGGGGTCTCAAAAAATAATTTTCCAATTTTTGGACCAATTTTTTGAGCTCTCAAATTCCAAAACCAAAATCTCAAGATTTTGAGTTTTTAAGAAAATTGTTAAGCTTCGCCTGGCAAAAAAAAAAAAAAATTGTTAAGCTTCGCCTGGCCTTTTTTGACTGACCCCCCCCCCCAAAACGGGTTTCAATTGGTTTTTCAGAAGTCGGTTCGACGTCAAAAAACACTTCAAAGCGTCGGTCGACGTCGATTCGTGCGAATTCCTGTGGCGAACGACGGCGACGCAGGCGATCTTCATCATCGCCTATCCGATTCTCTCGATCACTATGCGCTATTTCTACGAGTACACGCCGAGACCGATTCACGTGACGTGGGCCACAAGTTCATATGTGAGATTTCAGCAGAAGACACCGACAACTCTAGATGGCATCGTCGAAAACCAAAAAAAAACTGTTTGAAAAAAAATCGCCGGCAAAAATTGACCAAAAAAAACGAGCAAATTCGAGAATTTTAATGAGCTTCTGACCCTCGTTTTTTTCAACTTGAAGCGCAAAAAATTTTTAAATTTGTCGTTAAAATAGAAAATCTTTGATAAAAAACTAATTTGGAAAAAAATTGAAAAAAATAATTTTTTCCAATGCCAAAATTTTTTACAATTTTTTCCCGTAGATTTTCGCGCTTGAAAAGGTCTCGCCACGATTTATTTTTTCTTGATGAGCCTCCAACGTCATTCGATCCAAAAATTATCGAACAGGTCCCATAAAGTTTGAAATGAGGTCCTGCTAGTCCGTGCGAGACCAAGAGAAAGACGCATCCCCGTAAATCTACAACAGTCGCCTGAAATTTTTGAAAATTAATTACTTATTTATTTTGATCGGTCATTCATATGGAAAAATCAGTATCGAAATGGGTATTTCGTTCAGTAAGAATCTTTCATCCCAATTCCCCCCCCCCTTGCAAAATTTTTTTGCGCAAAAAAAATTGAAAAAAATTGAAAGAAAAATTTGACAAAAAAATTTTGGGAAAAAATTTAAAAAAAAACTTTTTCTGAGGCAAAAATTTTTAGGGAAAACAATTTTTCGACCTTAAAAATTTGGGAAAAAATTTTTATAAAAACCAAATTTGAAAAAGGAAACTGTTTTTGATGGAAAAAATTGGGAAAAAAATGCAAAAAAAAAATTGAAAAAAAAAATTTGACAAAAAAATTTTGGGAAAAAAATTTAAAAAAAAAACGTTTTCTGAGGCAAAAATTTTTTGGGAAAACCAAATTTGAAAAAGGATATTTGATGGAAAAAATTGGGGAAAAAAAATTGAAAAAAAATTTTTTTTACAAAAATTTTCCGAGAAAAACCTCACCTTTAAAATCGACAATATTCTCATTGCATAATTTTTTTTCCTTTCTATTTCACTCCAATCGAATTGCAGGTGTTCAGCGTCTACAGTTTCGCGGTGCCGTCGGTGATGCTTCACTACGTGCGCAACTATCAGCTGAATCGTCGTGAGCGCATCTGGAATCACGTGAAGCTGAAATCCGTCGGCGTCGAGGGCGCCGACAATTACTTCAACAGTCTCAAAAATCAATGGGGCGGTTGAATGTGACTATTTTGTGATCTAAGCTCCGCCCACACTTATCACACAACATTGTTTTTTCTGACCGACCTATATATACTCTATATATAGAAGAAGGAGGATGTCTGTCTTGAATAGAAATCGATTTCGAAATGTTGATTCTCATCATTATCACTATTGTCATCGCGTGGCTTCTCGCGGACCATTATAAGCGGCGTCGTCGACTTCCGCCGGGTCCCATCTCGATTCCGCTTATCGGAAACCTACATCAGATCGCCTATTACACGTGGAAGACGGGCGGTGTTGTCGAAATGATGGACGCGTTTCGAAAGGTATCGATTTTTGACAAAATCCAAAAATGCACAGCAAATGCGCTCTATAGCGAATTTTTTGGAAACCAATTATTTTCGGTGAAAACGTTTAATTTTTTTTTTGAATTTTTTTTTTCGATTTTTCAAAAAGTTGGAGCAAACGCGCTCCATCGAACTTTTCTTTCAGATGAACACAAAAAAGCGAAATTTTTATGGAATAGAAAAAATCTGATTCTCATCAGAATTGTGACCAAAAAAATATTTTAAATTAGAATTTTCGCGTTTTATTTTCGTAGGTTGAGCAAACGCGCTCCATTGAACTTTTGTTCCAGATTCACTAAAAAAATTACAATTTTAATGGAAATTTTCTAAAAGTCGATTCTGATCAAAATTATGACATAAAAATATTAAAAATAGCATTTTCGCGATTTTTCAAAAAGTCGAAGCAAACGCGCTCCATCGAACTTTTTTAATGGAATTTTTTCGAAAATAGTTTTCTATGATAATGTGCAAAAAAAAGGTGGAAAATAATATTATGCAACTTAAAAAATTTTTCTCAAGCAATCAAGTCGAACTGTCGGAATGGGAGGGGAGGGGGGGGGGCTCAAATTTGAATGGTTCTCTCTATGGTTCGCTCTATAGCGAATTTTTTTGGAAACCAATTATTTTCGGTGAAAACGTGGAATTTTTTTTGAATTTTTGCGATTTTTTAAAAAGTTGGAGCAAATGCGCTCTATTGCGAATTTTCTTCTAGAATTACATGAAATTTTAAAGAAAATTTAAAAAAAATGATTCTAATCAGAATTGTGACAAAAAAAAAATACTTAAAAGTTAACATTTTTCGCGGTTTTTCAAAAAGTCGGTGCAAACGCGCTCCATTGAACTTTTATTCTAGATTTACACAAAAAGGGCAATTTTTAGGAAAATTGGTAAAAAAAACTTATTCTGACCAAAATTATGACAAAAAATATTTAAAAATTAGCATTTTCCGTTTTTTTCGAAATGTTGAGCAAACGCGCTCCATCGAACTTTTTTATGGAATTTTTTCGAAAATTGTTTTTCTACGAAAATTTGGAAAAAAAAGAGAAAAATATCATTATGCAACTTAGACAAAATTTTTTCTGAAGGAAACAAGGGGAGGGGGGGCTCAAATTTGAATGGTCCGAATCTGAAGCAAAAGACAACCAATACGTTGATCATATACAATTTCAATCAAGAGGTCTCGAAACGAAAAAAAAATCGTTGTGCAGAAGTACGGCAACGTGTTCACACTGTGGCTCGGGCCGGTGCCCGCAGTGAATCTCGCCGACTACGAATCGGCGCACGAGGCGATGGTGAAGCACGGCCACAAGTACGCCGACAAGTATCTATCGCCGTTGTTCGCCTACACGAGAAGTGAGCGATTCTCGCGACGTTCAAGACCCCCCCTAAAATCGTTTCAGACAATCGCGGTGTCCTAATGACGAACGGCGAGGCGTGGAGCGTTCAGCGGCGATTCGCCCTTCAGACGCTTCGAAGCATGGGAATGGGCAAGGATGTGATGGAGGCGAGGATCATCGACGAGCTTGACGATCGGTGAGCCACATTGCTCATTTCCAACGAGATCCAATTCTCTAGATTCGCCGATATCGATGAGATGGCTGTCGATGGGATCACGACGATCAAAGCGAACGAGCTGTTCGACGTCACCGTCGGCAGCATCATCAACGGCGTGCTGAGCGGCGAGCGATTCGGCAAGCGGCCCGAAGCGTTCTGGGAGCTGAAAGCGCACCTCGAGGCGAATCAGAAGCGACTCACACCGTTCCAGATGATGATGCCCCTCTGGGCCATGAAGCTCCTCTACAAAAATGAGTAGGCGTCTTGAAGCGATGCCTCTCATTTATCAATTCTCCAGAATCGACCTTCTTGCGAAAAATCGGCAGCGGGTGATCGACTACGTCGGACGTGATGCCGTCAAGCGAATCGAAGAGGTGCGCGCCGGACGGCGTGTCATCAACAAGGCCAACGCCGACGACTTCATCGACGCCTACATTCTGAGAATGTTGGAGGAGGAAGAAGAGGGCACGAGCAATCATTTCAAGTAGGCGTTGCTGAGCCTTGAAGCATCCCGATTTAACTTTTTTTTTGTTGAAGTGTCGATGAGCTCAAGGCGGTTCTGCTGGATTTATGGATTGCCGGTCAGGAGACGACGGCGACGACACTCTGCTCCGGCGTGCTTCACCTCTTACACCATCCCGAGGTTCGCTGGACGGAGCTCGATTCTAGAATTCCGAATTGTTCAGGAAATGCGCAAGATTCGCGACGAGCTTCACGTCGTCACCGACTCGTCGACGCGCCGTCTCTCGTTGAAGGATCGCGTGCGAACGCCGTATCTGAACGCGACGCTCGCCGAGATCCAACGGCACGCCTCGATATTGTCGGTGAACTTTTGGCGCGTCAACGATGAGCCGATCGTCATCGCCGGCCATCCGATCGACGCCGGCGCCATCGTCGCCGCCCAGTTGAGCGTTTTGCATCGCAATGAGACGGTGTTCGTCGGCGATTGCGACGCGTTTCGACCGTCGCGATTCGTCGATGATGAGCAATTGGCGAGCCGGGTTATACCGTTCGGCATTGGGAAACGCGCCTGTCTCGGCGAAGGCCTGGCGAGAGCCGAATTGTATTTGGTGAGTAGCCAGTTTGGCGCCACAAAAATTGAACTTTTGAATTTTTTTAATCAATTATTTTTCCCAAAAAAAATTTCAATTTTTCATAGTTTCAAAATTGCGCAGCAAACGCGCTCCATTGCACATTTTTTTGGGAAACCAATTTTTTTGAGAAAACAAACTTTTTTGCGAATGGATTTTTTTTTTACCAAAATGGGAAAAAATTTTTAAATTAGCATTTTTGAGATTTTTCCCGATTGAGCAAACGCGCTCCATCGAACTTTTTTTTTCCAGATTCACTCAAAAAAGTGAAATTTTTATGGAAATGTTTTGAAAATCGATTCTAGCCAAAAATAAGACAGAAAAAATTTTTTAAATTCGCATTTTCGCGGTTTTTCAAAAAGTCGGAGCAAACGCGCTCCATCGAACTTTTTTCCAGATTCACTCAAAAAAGTGCAATTTTTTATGGAATTTTTTTAAAAATCGATTCTAGCCAAAAATAGGACAGAAAAAAATTTTTTAATTAACAATGGGTTGAGCAAACGCGCTCCATCGAACTTTTTCAGAAAAAAAAATCGAACCAATTTATTTTTGCCAAAAACCGAATGGAAATTTTTTGAAAATTTCCAATTTTTCTGCGAAGCGAAGCAGCAAACGCGCTCCATTGCACTTTCTTTTGCGAAGCAGTAAACGCGCTCCATTGCACTTTCTTTTGCGAAGCCACAAACGCGCTCCATTGCACTTTCTTTTGCGAAGCAGCAAACGCGCTCCATTGCACTTTCTTTTGCGAAGCAGCAAACGCGCTCCACTTTCTCCTAATTTTCACGTAAAAACGTGAAACATCGACATAAATGGGTCGAGAAAAAAGCAATTTTTGCAGATTCTCGGCAATCTGCTTCTCCGCTACGAGTTGCGTCCGCACGGCGAGTTGCCGAAAATCGAAAATGTGATGAAGTTGAGCATCCTCAAAAAACCGCCGAAATATGATCTGGAATTTGTGAAATTGTGAATAAAATTTGCGTTTTTTGCATTTTTTTTTTTTGAAAATCGGAATTTTTGATTGTCCTAAACTCATTTCTGAGAGACTTGTTGTGAAATTTCTAGTACCAATCGAGCAGGGGTCTGAATTTGAATTGCCGCCATCAATTACCAAAAAAATGGCGCCGCGAAATGTCCGCAGATGCTTAAAATGAAAATATTTGATTGTTTTTTTGATGTGTAAACTTGAGGCACAAAAGTAAATGTCCGCAGAAGCGATTGCACAACGAGAAGTCGTTCATCTTGAATTTTCTGATGGCCATAACTCGTCTGAAATCCAACCAGTGTAGGCTGGAATTTTGTGAGCACACTCAGAAAGCCTTCAAGTTTAGTTGTGCAAAATTACTCAAAAAATTTTGAAATACGAAATGAGTTCCCTTGTTAGATTGTTTCTTAAAAACACTGATGATGAATGCCTAGCGTTTTTGAAATTTTTTGACCATATCTTTAAAACGCTTTTTTTGGTTTAAGGACCCTTTTGGATTACTGTAGGTTACTGTAATTCTATGAGATGTCGAATTGTCTTAATTTGATCTAGCTTATCATAGGGACCACTAGAATATCTCTGAAATTAATTTACAATAAATTTGAGTTATACCATGGGCTACGGTAGATCTCGGTGGTTTAAAGACCCTTTTGGGTTACTGTAGGTTACTGTAATTCTATGAGATGTCGAATTCCTTTAATTTGATTTAGCTTATCATAGGGACCACTAGAATATCTCTGAAATTGGGTTACAGTAATTTGGAGTTATACCATGGGCTACGGTAGATATCGGTGGTTTAAAGACCCTTTTGGGTTACAGTAGGTTACTGTAATTCTATGAGATGTCGAATTGTCTTAATTTGATCTAACTTATCATAGGGACCACTAGAATATCTCTGAAATTGGGTTACAGTAATTTGGAGTTATACCATGGGCTACGGTAAATCTCGGTGGTTTAATGACCCTTTTGGGTTACTGTAAAAATTTTTGTTTCCAAATAAAAAATGCCGAAAATGGAAAAAATGACACAAGGTGATGTCAAAAACCCGAAAACCATTTTCAATCAATCAATTTTTTTTTTTTTTTTTGGTTAGACGAAATTTTGAAAAAAAAAATTCTTCTTCTTCTTGGGGCCGATCGGCAGTCAAGCGAATCACCCAAAAAACGCCCGGCCAAATAAAAATTTACATTTTGACCCAATTTGGTAATTTTGACCGAAACTCGTCTCGCATTCAGTGTCAACAACAAATGAGGTCGACGTTTTTGCAAAATTTGCGAGCAATCTTTATTATTCAAGTGTTGCTGTTTCATTTGAAGCCGACGCTCTTCAAAAATGGATTCGTCGGCGTTGATATGTGAGTTTTGAAGTGTCGTGGCCACTTTCTGGCCACAAATGTGCATTTTTGCGAAATTTGAATTTGAATTTCTCAAAATTTTCGCAAAAAATTCGACCTATCCCCAAAAATGTTCAATTTTCTTTGTGAATTTGATTTTTTCTTCAATTTTTCTTCAAAAATTGAACATTTTCCTTCAAAAAATTTTATTTTTCAATTTTTCAGCAAATTTCAACGCAAAAATTCGATATTCTTTGCGAATTCGAATTTTTCTTGAATTTTTCTTCAAAAATTGAAAATTTTATTTCAAAAAATTGGATTTTTCAATTTTTGTGTCAACTTTAACGGAAAAGTTTGATTTTTCTTCAAAAATTGACAATTTTCAGTCAAAAAATCGAATTTTTCAATTTTTCAGCAAATTTCAACGCAAAAATTTGATTTTCTTTGCGAATTCGAATTTTTCTTCGATTTTTCTTCAAAAATTGACGATTTTCAGTCAAAAAATCGAATTTTTCAATTTCTCAGCAAATTTCAACGCAAAATATCGATTTTCTTTGCGAATTCGAATTTTTCTTCAATTTTGCCTTCAAAAACATCAAATTTGTCGAGAATAATCTCGAATTTTTCCAATTCTCTCCCATTTCATTCGCATCCGCCGCCAATTTCCAGGTTCTTCGTGCTCTCCGGCTACCTAATGTCGAAAATCCTCTCGAAATCGTTGACCTTCTCGACGGTGTCGATTTTCTATCAAAAACGCGTCGCTCGCGTGCTTCCCCTCTATTATCTCACGATTCTCGCCGTCGTCGTCGTCGGCCAGCTTCTCACAATTCGCACCGATCGTCACGATCTCATCGACGACCTTCGATGGTCCCTTGCATTGATCTACAACTACAAACCAATTTTCGAGCATCACAGCTATTGGGAAAACGTGAGACACCCGCCGCCGCTTCAAAATCGGACCTCTTAAAATGCGTTCTAGGTCTCTTCAATTCGCTTCTTCGTCCATTTATGGTCCCTATGCGTCGAGGTGCAATACTACCTTCTAGCGCCATTAGTGGTGTTCATCGCTCAAAAGCTGGGCGGTCTCAAGCTTTCGGGTTACTGTATCTTCATTATCGGCTCGATTATGTTCCAAATTTCGACGCCGTTCGAACTCTCCTACTCATTCATCGTCTCGCGATTATGGCAATTTCTGTTGGGAGCTATGGTGTTCGATTTTCGCGTCGAGATCCTCAACGCCACCAATCATCTCCTCCACCATCTACTCTATGTCTTCTCTGCGCTCTCCGTCCTCACCATGCTATTTCCCAACGAGTTCAGCGACGTTTTGACACGGTATGTCGTAAATCTATGAAAAAACAAATCGCGACGAGAAACAAATTTCGATTCTAGACTTCTGATGACGTTTTTGGCGGCTATTCTAATAGCCGGACACGAGCGTCTCGACAAATCGATTCTTTGGTGAGTCGATATATGGATTTTGTGCTGCCGACATTCTAGCGGGACTCAAAAATTCTAATAAGAAGGATCGATCTTGTCCGATTTTTTTTTTGAAAATGAAATTTTTAAGTGAAGGCTGTCTGAAATAGTAGGTTTGATATGATAGAATCCTGCTGCGGACATTCTAGCGGGCCGACTCATCGCTAAAAAAAATTGCATTTCAATTGAAAATCGCAGCAAAAGTGGTCGGCTCGGTATTATAAAATCATGCTGCGGACATTCTAGCAGGCCGACTCATCGTTTAAAAAAATTGCAATTCAATTGAAGATCGCAAAAAAAGTTCTATCCGATATTTTTCAAAAAATCTTGCTGCGGACATTCTAGCGGGCCGACTTATCTTAAAAAATTGCATTTCAAGTGAAAATCGCAAAAAAGGTCGGTTCGATATATTAAAAAATCATGCTGCGGACATTCTAGCAGGCCGACTCATCGTTTAAAAAAATTGCAATTCAATTGAAGATCGCAAAAAAAGTTCTATCCGATATTTTTCAAAAAATCTTGCTGCGGACATTCTAGCGGGCCGACTTATCTTAAAAAATTGCATTTCAAGTGAAAATCGCAAAAAGGTCGGTTCGATATATTAAAAAATCATGCTGCGGACATTCTAGCAGGCCGACTCATCGTTTAAAAAAATTGCATTTCAATTGATGATCGCAAAAAAAGTTCTATCCGATATTTTTTTTAAAAATCATGCTGCGGACATTCTAGCGGACCAACTTATCTTAAAAAATTGCATTTCAAGTGAAAATCGCAAAAAAGGTCGGTTCGATATTTTTTTAAAAATCATGCTGCGGACATTTAACCGGGCCCACCATATTCAAATATTTCGCAGTTGTCGACCGTTCGCCTTCATCGGCGACATCTCCTACGTGCTCTATTTGGTGCATTGGCCGGTGGTGTGTTTCGCCAAGTACATCCAAATAACGGACCAGCTCAACTTCTATGGTACGCTGAATTTTGATGTGTCGATATATCGAGAACAACGATTTTCAGAAATGCTTCCAGTGTTGGCGATAAGCTTCCTCATTTCGATTCTCGTGCATTTCAGTTTGGAGGTGAGAATTTCGATGGTCCCCGCAAAAAAACGAGTCAAACAGAAACTCTTCATCAACTCGAGTCTGACGATGTCGATCGGAGCGATTCTGCTGTCGGCGAGCGTCTCCTACTCGCTGATCTACTGCCTTCAAACCAATGAGTCGATTCTGGTCGCGACGCTTTCGGGTAGCCAACCATCGACGGCCGTCCGAACACCGATATTTCAGACGCCGATCGCGACGCGTTCGCCTACAATCAGAACGTCTCGAATCTCTACACCAACATCAGCGAGTTGGCGTGCGACACCGAGCGTTTCGACGACGACTCGCTCGTGCTTCATGAGTATCGCGCGTTGGAGTATTGCCGGCGTTTGGGCGGCGGCGGCGGTCGCGTCCTGGTCATCGGCAACTCGTTGGCGATTCGCGCGTTTCCCGGCATTCTGCGAACGTTCGACGGCCGCTATGACGAGATTGTGTTGCTCGCGCGGCACGGCACCGCGCCGCTTCTCAATGTGCTGCCCGAGTTCTCGGCGGCGTGTCGACGCCAAGCCGAACAAATGAAGCCCGACCTTTTGTGGATCATTCAGGGAATGAAGTAATCCATCGTAGATGTTCTAGACGCCCTCTCTATCAATTGTTAAACATAGAATTACAGTAACCCATAAGGGTCTTTAATTTAAACCACCGAGACCTACCGTAACCCATGGTATAACTCCAAATTACTGTATCCCAATTTCAGAGATATTCTAGTGGTCCCTATGATAAGTTAGATCAAATTAAGACAATTCGACATCTCATAGAATTACAGTAACCTACAGTAACCCAAAAGGGTCTTTAAACCACCGAGACCTACCGTAGCCCATGGTATAACTCCAAATTATTGTAACCCAATTTCAGAGATATTCTAGTGGTCCCTATGATAAGTTAGATCAAATTAAGACAAGTCGACATCTCATAGAATTACAGTAACCTACAGTAACCCAAAAGGGTGTTTAAACCACCGAGACCTACCGTAGCCCATGGTATAACTCAAAGCCACCGTAATCTACCGTATTCCGATATCATAGAAATTCCAGAGGTCTCCTAGGCCCTCTATTTTACACTAGACTGAATTTAGTCAGTTTGGAATTACAGTAATCTACCGTACTCCAATATTGTAGGTATTCAAGAGCCCATTCCCCTATTCTACGCCAACTAACCTTTTTGGAGACTTCTAGAAATTAGTGTAACCTACCGTAACCCAAGAGACCTACCGTAGTCACTACTGTAATCCGAATTTCAGAGATATTCTAAGGGACCCCTAAGGCAATTCAATACTTCATGCAATTACAGTAACCTACCGTAACCCACAATGACATTTTTAAATCTACCGTAGTCCATAGCTTAAAGTCACCGCGTTTCACATTATATCAACTAAACTAAGGCTCAGAGAACTACTGTAACCTACCGTAACCCAAACAAACGGTAACCGTCGGATTTATTTGTGTTCGTTCAGCGAACTCATCCGACCCTACATTCCGATTCCGCGCGACGACGCCACACTCCGACGCGTCCAACAGGACCAACTCGACGGTCTCAAGTTGGACCCCAACAGCTTCCAAGCCGCGTTTCAGCGAACCGATTTTCAGAATTCACGCCAAACGCGTCTTCATCGATTTGCCCTATTATGAGAAGTTTGTCGATCTTCACAACATTCTTCTACGCTGCCTGCTGTTCCGACAATCGCCGGCGGACCATTTGGTGTTCGATGAGAAGGTTGGGGGGGGGACCATCTCAAAATTGATTCCGACAATCCCAATTTGCAGACAGTTTATGATCTAATCGGACCACAAATCTCAAGATTATTGTCGCTGAAATGCGACAATTGCTTTTTCAACGATATTCAAAAGGTGCGTTTGAGATGATGGTTGGGACCATCCAATGAAAAATTGAAGGCCCTCTCGGACCCGACGACGAACGCGTTCTCCGCGTATGAATCATCAACGAACCGCATGATCCTCTACGACGGCTCGCATTTGTCGAAAACCGGACAGAAGCTCATCGTCGACGCCGTCTATAAGCCGCGCATTATGCAATTTATGCAATTTATGCGACCTTGACTATAACAGCCCAAATAAAAAAAAAAGAAGTTCAACACAAACACACACATAACCAATAAATAATCGGCTTGAATTTCACTTTTTTTTGCAACTTGTCAAAACTGGAATTTTTTGATGTTTGTCATGGCTTCCATAATTGGCTTGTTATGTGTAATTAGGCATACGACTGGATAGGACCCCCTTCCCCTTCGATAAAATGCTTTTGAAATTGGCTTTCGCGTTTTTCCCTTAAAATTTTCAAAAAATTGCCATTTTCCATTTTTTTTGGGCAATTTTTTGGCGAAATCTCAAATGTGTGCAATTTTGCGTGAGCGTGTATGCACCGACTTTGTTAATTTTGTTCAGAAACCCCGCTTGAATTTTTTCGATTTTTCAAAGAAATACACAGTTTTTCTGCTGCGGACATTCCCCTTTTTTCAATTCAACAATATTTCAATCAATTTTGGTTGAGACTTTTCACTCTAAAAATCGATTTTTTGATCTTCAATTTTTGCAATTTTTTGCTGCCGACATTTTGCGGGTCGGCAATTTTTTGAAGGAACAAAAAGAATTAATCAAACCTGAGAAATGTCCGCAGCATGGAAATGAGTTGAAGTTTTCGATTTCAGACGAATCGTCTTTGAAAATGTCCGCAGCACGAATCGATTTTTGAAATTTGCAAATTTTCGCTTAAATTTAATTTTCAGACATAAAAATTCTCTTTTTTGCTTTTTCCAATGAAAAAAATCGCGATTTTATGTGTAAATTCAATGTCAAATAGAAAACCTCAATAAATCATAAATCGAATTTCATCTGCGGACATTTTCCGATTGGCTGAATCGATTTTTTTTTCGCAAGTTTCCAAGAATTTCTCCATCAAAATTTTGATGGAAACTCGATTTTCAGGGCAATTATGATAGTAATAAGTTTCCTTCGAGTTGATTTCCAAAAAATTTCCAATTTTCTCGACCCATTTATGAGCAAAAGTTGATAATCCTTCGTCTTCCCCTCCCTCTCAAAAAAGAAACGTGTTCGACGAAAATCGCCTTAAAAAGCCAATGGCACCTAATGGGAACACAGAGGGGGGGGGGGTTCCGGTCGGATTACCCCGCCTCCAATATAAGCCGTCCCGTCCCATTGTCGTCTCCTATAAATATCCCAATTGTACTTTCCATTTTTGGGCGATTCACAAAAAAAATGCAAATCATCTACTCGATTGCCATCGGCGTTTCGCTAATATCGGCCACAATTTTGTAAGGTTTTCATTTTTTCGCTGTTTCGATTTTCAATGGTCCCTTGAAAATTGCAGCTCGCTTCCCGCTTCCTACTCGTCGTCTCTCAACGATCCATTGATGTCGAGCCTTGGCGGCGGTTACGGTAATCGCGGGGGGGGGTCCCGCCACGCCAAACGACACCCAACCATTTTCAGGCCAACTCGGCGGCATGTCGGCCGGCTCGGGAATGTTCGCCGGCGGAATTCCGCCGCCAATGATGCCACCGACATACGGAATGTGTGAGTAGTTCGGCGGACCATCTCCTTTTCATCAAATGTCTCGATCTTTCAGCTCCCTACGGAATGGGCGGTCTCGGCGGAATGATGGGACCATATGGAATGGGAGGCATCGGTGGTATGGGTGGCGGTATGTACGGTAGGACGCCATCATTGCACCATAGCTAGGGGACCATTGAAATTTTTTGCCTTGCAGGATCCCCGTATGGAATGTCGCCGGGACTCGGTGGTGGAATGTCGCCTTTTATGGGCAAAAAATAATTTTCACTCAAAAAAAAACCCACCGATTGAAATCTTCTTTTTTCTTTTCAAATTTCGTCTTTCAGCTCGTGTTTTGTACATATAATTAATTAATTGTGTAATAATAATAATAATTACTATTATTCTAATAAATTAATTATTGTTAATTGGTCTTGGAAAATTGATAAAGCTACTATTTGCGTTCGAATGGCGTTCGGAACAGCAGAATTTTGACATCGCCTGCAAAAATATTGCCAATTTTTCTCATATTCGTTTTTTTCTTTTAAAAAATTGCATTTTTCATTTGAAAAATACGAAAGAATAGTGGAAAATATAAAAAATGGAACGACACTCCGCGGTGAACGGTGCCCGCAGTTTAGCGTAAATCCAATTTCCTCATTTTTTTTAAATTTTTTTTCGCTTTTTTCGCTGTTTCTAACTAATTCGTCGAATTTTTTGATCAATTTAAGCAAAAGATAATAGATTTGAAGCAATTTTCTGAAAATTCGGTCAATTTCCCAGTGATTTTCACGAGTTTTTTTTTTGTTTGCAGAAAAAAACCAAACGCTCACCAATCGCGAGAAAAATGATCGAGTCGGCTTTCGCCTCGGTGCAAATGCTGAAATTGTTGCCGGCGACGCACGACCACGTGCTTATCACGTTTCTCACATACTTCCCAACTTCCAATTGGATTTCCGACGCCAAACGTTTGTAGAACTCTTCTTCCGACATGTAGCGCGTTTTCTTGAAATCGCAAATTTCAGATGAATCGAGAAACCAACGGCCAATCGCACCATCGCGTTCTCAATGATGTTTCTCGAAATTTTCGCGATATGCCTCGTTTCGTCCGGCCCGTAATCGGAATACTGGAACACAAAAATGAAATGATTGGTTTGAGATTTGAACGCGCTCACAAAAATGCGAGCGTCGAATAGACGCGATTTGCGTCTCGACACGATCTGCTCCTTTAAACTCAGCGTTTTCGACGAGTCCGACGTCGATTTCGCCTCGAGCTCACTCGTCGTCGATCGCCTCTTCCACGGCATCATGGTTAAAAGGTTCATTTTTGAAATGATTTTTGTTTTCTCATTTCATTTTTCTCGACGTCTAACAACATTAATACCATTTGCCATTAATTTTTTGCCTTTTTTTGACAAATTTTGGCAGTGGAGCGCACTTTCTCTAGTAATTACAACAAAAATTCTTTCAAGCTCTGTTATACGTCGAAATTGAAGACGATTCATTACAAAAACATTAAAAATATTATAAAATGAATTGGAGGGCAAGTGCGCTCCACTGCACTTTCTTGTTCAAAATTCCCTTCGAAATTTCATTGTTGTCTGGTCTCGAGACGATGCGATGCGCCGCTTCCATGTACTCCACAAGGAGTATAATAAATGCCATCAATTTTCCTCATTTTTTTTCAAATTCGCCATGGAGCGCACTTGCTCAAACTCCAAATTTCAGCCAAAATTCAAGCTTTTTTATTCAAATAAAGCGATTTGATTTGTTTTCGCGCTTTCTCGGCCGCCGCCCTCGGATATCGCTGACGCGTTTTCGGCAATTCGTCGCCATTTTTTTTCGGCGAGTTCTTCTCAGGAATCGACACAAGTCTTAATTTATTTTAATCTTTTTTTGAAATTCAGAACAGAAAAAACGAAATCCAACCTTACTAAGGGCTTCAAGCTTCTTCGAAAACTGCTTCGTTTTATCTTCTCCATTTTGTTAGTTGGTTTTCAAGTATCACTTTGTTATTTCAAAAATTCGAATACTGATTCCATTCAATCGAAAATCGTTCACGCAAGACTCAAAAAATTGAAAATTTTTATGATTTTAGACCAAAAAAATTGTTGAAAATCAAAGTTTCATTTCAAAAATTGCGGCAAAACCCATAAATTGGACAATTTTATAAATAAAAATCTTTAAAAAAAATAAGAATATTATAATAAAAATGCAACATCGAAAATCATCATAAAAAATCGAGTGCGGGGCCCCCAAAAAACAGCATCCAAAATGAAACATGATAAAAAAAAAAGAAACATGTGAGAATGTGGACAAAAAATGCAAAAAATATATATTGGATGCAAGGTTAGGCAACATATCAAAAAAATGGGATGGTCTCGGGGCGACCAGTGAGGCGTGTTCCTTTAAAAATGCCATCGTTTCAAAGGCGCAGACTAATTGGGTCCCGTCGCGAAATGACGAGGAGGCGATTGGAGTTCAGTGGAAAAAAAAGTGAACCACCAAATTTAAAGGCTCATAAAAAAAAGGAGTGCGATGTGAAAGAGTGGCGAGACCCAAAACCCGGCGTTTCGGAAATTCACTGCAAACTTCGGCGCTTTTCGGCAATCTCGTTGAATTGGCGATCTGTAATCGAATTTGACCTCGAAATTCAATTGTGTGCAATTTTGCGTGCGCGTGTTGGCACCAATTTTGTATTTTCAAAATTTTACCATTCGCACGCTTGCGCGTCGTTTCCGATTGTCCGCTCATCTTCGATTCGGAACGCGGCGGGCTTGGAAATTGGTCTGCAAAATTCATGATTGGCTTTTTTTTTAGCTGAAATTAAAAAAAAAATGTTTAAATTTTCGCCATTTTGTAGGGCAAATTCTAAAAAAAAAGCAATTCTTTGAGATTTTTTCGTTTCTTTTTGAGCAAAACCTAAAAACATAACATTTTGGAGCCCGAAATCATTTGAATTTCTTTCTTATTGATCAGAATCTTTTTCAAAGACGCGCGCTAAGAAATCGTGTAGGTCCTGGCGGGAAAAATTTTATTCCTTCACATTTTCTTTCAAAAATCGAAAAAGAAACATTTTAAAAATGAAAATCTGTAATGAAATTATTTTTTTTCTGAAAAAAAATGTAAAAATTACATTAACTGCTCAATTTTTCACATTTTTATCGCATGACAAAGTCCAGAAAGCGGCAGCCCAAAAATGGGCATTTCTAGTCGACAAATGCGCTATAAATTTTCATTTTTTATGGTAAAATTCAAGCCGCAGTAAAACAATGTAAAAAATTTCACATTTTTCGAATGCAGAGTTGCAAAAAAAGCCAATACAATGCAATATTTTACTTTTTTCTAATTTATATTTCAGGAATCCATTAAAAAATTTTTTTCAAAACACAAAAATAATTAAATTTATCAAATTTTTTCAAAAATTTCCGATGAAAAAACTCAAAATCTCACCGGTGGCTCGAATAATGCCCAACGGCGAATACGACGGATAGGCGGCGCGATATTGCGGCCAAATGCTCGCCAACATCTGCGATTGCGATAATTGCTGTTGCAGCGAAATGCCTAAAACTAATCAGTTTCAAAAAAAAAATCAATTTCTCGTCAAACCCGTTAGCGTCTCCTGGATTTTCAATCGTTTCGCTTCCTCGACAACCATTCGCATGTGCGTCTCAAATTTCGGCAGACGCAATATTTTCCAATCAAATTCGGCAATGTCGCTCTGGAAGCAAAAAAAAGACAAATCTATGCTCTATCTTTTCACAATTTCAAATTACCGCCATTATAAAATGCTGCTGAAGGCAATTGAAGAGCTCAACGTCGAGCGAGTACGTCGCTATCGTCGCCGGCTGAATCGGCTGCATCGGATTGTGGATTATCGCGTTCAGCATCGTGCTAATATCTCAAATTTGAATATTATTTCTACAAAAGAAAAAAATTGCAAATTTCCAAATTTTTTGAATAAAATTCGAAATTTCAGTATTTTTTTTCAGTTTTTCCCAAAAAATCTGCACAAGATATTCCATGCTCTTCACATACTTTGCATTTGGGCCAATTGTTGCGTCGAAATCGCCGACAAATTGTCGAATGTCGGCTGAGCGGCGAACGTCGGCAAATTCGGACCAACTAAATGCAATTCGAATCGGAAATCTCGAAAAACCGAAACCCACTGATCCCATTGTGAAGTAGAATCGAGTTCATCGCGAATCCGTCAGCCTTCGGAATCTGCGATGTGGGAGCTCGACTGAAAATAATAGTAATTTTTAGTCGAAAAAACTTTCAGATTCCAAAAAAAGACACCTAATTTGCAAATTTTCTCTCAAAAATCTTGCAAAATAAAAATAATTTCATCCAATAAATCAATATTTTTTGAAAAAAATGAATACATTTAAACCAATAATTTACAATTTTATATTTAAAACATATCCAAATTTTGAATAGGGTGATAAGGCAAATTTTTTGGATTTAAAGAATCCAAAAAAATGAAATTTTCTCCAAAATCTGCCAGAAACTTTGAACAATTTTGAGTCATTTTTCTACGGATTCAAAAAAAATCGCAATTCTTTTCAGAAAAAAATCTTCTTACCTCTCCGACGCCGAATGATTCTTATTGGTTGCCCATCGAACTTCAATTCGCCGCCCCTGCAAAACCGTTCCGTTCACTTCTTTTCTCGCTTTTTCAGCCATCTCGATTGTCGCGAATTGAACGAAGCCGAAACCGCGCGAGCCGCGATCATTGTAGCTGATCGCCGCCGATACCGCCTCGTATCTGAAAAAAAAGACAAACGCAATTTTCGCACTTTCTTTTTATTTCATCAATTCCGAATTACTTGACGAACAACGCTTGGAGTTCACCATCACGATAGCTGAACGGCAAATTGCACACGAATAGTCTGAAATTTCAGAAATAACGCTCATTTCAATAGTCAACACACGAAAATTCACGCAAATTCAAAAAAAAAATATTCATAAATAAAAATCTAGCACAATTCTAGAAAATTCGCTTTTCAATCTGGAAATTTGCCAGGAAATTTTTTTTTCGATCCGGAATTTTTCCAATCTGAAAATTCGCCAAAAATCAACAATTTTTTCGGCAAAAACAAAATTTTTAAAATGTTCGGAAAACAATTGAAATGGTCCCAAATCAAAAAAAAACCTCAACACATCGCGCCAAGACCTTTTTATCAAAATTTTTTTGGCTTATTTTCACCGGCAAATCAAAACCAATCGAATCCGACAAAAATCGGCGACAGGCATCAACCGAATTCGACTGGTCCCAAGTCTTCAGATGTGATCTAAACGTACCCGGTTGATTCCGGAGCCTAATTGTCCAGATTTAATATTTTTAATTCAATTTTTTTGAAAATTATTGCCAAAAATGAGAAAATTTGAAAAAACCAAATCGAAAATTGATATTGTCAGCGTGAAACGATTGAAGGGAAGGCGGGACGTTCAAATTCGCGAAATTAGTGATGGAATATTAAATGCGCGTACGCTATAATGTATTGTACGCAGTTTCGCGTACGCACACAGGGGTCTTCAAAAATTGCCTAACATTTTGAGGAGGTAGATCAAAAGAAATAAAGAATGAGGGGGGGTCTCAATGGAGCGCACTTGCAATCCTCACCTCATATTCGCCGACGTCTCCGGCTCGGCAGTGGCGACTTTAATCTCGCGTATCGTTTCGGCCTTCTCCTCGCTCATTTCTAAAATCGAAAAATAAATTATAATAATTAGGCAATCAAATTAATTAGCAAAACGCACGGTTAGTATATCATAAAGGAAGCAAACGAGCAACCATATATCAAACGAAACAACAAAAAAAAAACGTTGGTAGGGCCGAAAAAAATCGCGTTTTTATTAAAATTCGCATTAAATTAAAAGAAAAAATCGAGAAAATCGCATGCTCAAAGGCAATTAGGCACATTAATATGATAATTGTGAAATATCGAGCAAAAATTGAGATTTTTAGCCGGCTTTTTGGAGCCAATTTTTTTCAAATCGCAATTTTCCAACCAAAAATTGCAATTCCAAACACGCCAACTCGTTTAAAACTCATTAAAAATGCAATTTCTCAAATCATTGAAAAATCGCAATTTTATGGGGGGGGGGGAATCGCCACAAAAATTTTTTACAAAGTCCAATTTTCAAGCAAAAAAAATCTCCCTCATTTTTCATTGCGACTCATTTTTCACTCGACGAATTGAAAAAAAAAACAAACAGAAAAAAAAATAAATGCAGGACATCCAAATTTGGAATCATGCTCAGAATTGAGCGGAAATGAAAAATCGGATTTTCGGTTATTCGATGAGCACAAAAGAGAGAGAGCGAGAGGGGTGATGAGGTAGATCATCAAAATGTCGTGTGCCACCAGGAGTAAAAGCAAAACATGAATATCAGACATGCACCGCAACCAAAAACGAACAGTTTCCAGTCATCGCGCACGCGTTTCTCGATGAATTGAATCGTTGTCGACGACAATCCGAGCTGAAACTCGCGATTTTCAACATTTTTTCCAAAAAAAAAATATATTGTTTCTTTGATTTTTTTGACTCAAAATCACAGAAATTTGTGGGACCCTCAAAAATCCACAATCTCAGACATTTTCCAAATTTTAAGCAACCCCCCCCCCAAAAAAAAGAAGGTTCTACCGTTTTCGCCATCACGCCAAATCGATGACGAATTCCCAAAATGTCGTGCTTCTGTAGTCGGAGGCTCTCCAATATATTCGCACCCTGGACGAGCATCTCATCAATCTGAATTCGACCGAAAAGAAAAAAAAGAAACTCGTTAGATTTTCTCGGAACTCGTCAATTTGTTACACTTTTTCCCCCAATTTTGAGTCGCTCGTTCACGTCGAGCTCGTTGTCCAACGTCATGTCGACGCGCGTCTCGCGATTCGCCGCGAATCGTCGCGTCAGAAGCTCGTCGCGCTCCTTCTGCGCACGACATTGAGCCTCGAATCGATGACGAATTGTGCTCAGCGTGTACTTCAATAGGCCGATGTCGCTTTTCGCCTGGTCGGCTTTCACAAAAATCTGTAAATTTTTCGGCTTTCATTTTCTTGGATTATTTGTTTTTCTCAATCTCTAAGCAAAAAATCGACATTTTCGCAAAATCTCAACAAAATCGCGAAATTTTTTGAGACAAATTTTCAGTTTAATCCAACTTTTCTCAAAATTTTCTGGGTTTTTTTTTATTATTTAAAGATTTTGGCGTTCAAAAACCGAGGAAAAAACGGATTACCGTTTGCCTCGATGATGGCGGCTGGCGGGCAAGAAGCGAATCGAGGCGGCACACGTCAAAGTCCATTTTTCTGCAAAAAAAATTGTCAATAACAATTTTTTTTAAATATATTACTTTCAAAAATTTCATTTTCCGCACGTTTCTTTTTAAATATACAATTTTTCCAGTTTTTCCTTCGTTTTTATTGCCTTTTTTCTTTTCAACGAAAAAAAAAATGCCAATAATCCAATGCAGCTTCAAAAATTATGGTCATTTCACAAAAATACAAAACAATATTTAGAAATTATGAATTAAAACAGTTTTTTTACATGTCCATAAGATTTGCGATTCAAATTTTTAATTGAAATGCAAAAAAATGAAATCCAAGTCACAATTTTGGTAAAAACTTCAAAGATTTCTCAAATTTGAAGCATTATTTTCTTTTTAAATTTTAGATTTTCAAAAAAAAAGAAAAACAAACTCACATGATCAACTTGTCGACATCCTCAATCAATCGTCGCGTCTCATTTGGATTCGAGCTTCTCTCAATCGTCATTAGATGAAGCTGAACATCGGCAATGTCTTGTTCGACTTGTCGCAAGCAACTTTCCATCTACAATATGGCGAAATTTGTTGTGTCGAGCGCACGTGTGCGCCATATGTGCCAGTCGCAAGAACAATAACACACAATAAAAGAAAATATGAGGAAAAAATATATATGGAAACAACAAAACGGTCGGCGTCTCCATTAAAACACTTGATTTATTGATTTTTTTTCGATTTTTCATTTTTTTCGCCAAATATTGCAATTTTAATTTAGTTTTTCCATACAAAATTCATGAATTTTGAAGGAAAGCAAAATTTCGCCAAATTGGAAATATTTGTGGAGAAAATATTTGCAAAACCTCTTCAATTTCTTCAAAAATCCAATTTTTGCTGAAAAAAAATTTTTTTTCGAAAAAAAAGCAAAAAATCAAACCAATCTCTCCAAAAAACTACAATTTCAGATCAAAAAATTGCGATTTTTTGTCAATTTCGCGAAAAAATTTCAATTTTCCACAAAAAAAACCGGCGAGTTTCTCGCGTTTCCTTCAAATTTCAATCCAATTTCGGGAAATACTTTAAAAAAAATTTTTTTGGTAAAAAAATCTCAATTTTTTGCGGAAATTGCAAAAGCAAAAAAAAAATAATTGAAATTAAAATAGACATTTGCGTGGCTCGTGGGAATTCGAAAAAAACCACCCACTCACCAGCTTAATCCAAAAAAAAATTGAAAATATTTCGGTCAAATAACCATTTTCAGAAAATCTCCAAAAAATTCTCGCAAAAAAAAACGTGCAATTTATTCAAAAAAATTCCCAGCCAAAAATTTTTGCGCTGTTAATCGTCGTCTAAATCTGCATCTCCTTCTCAATCTTCTTCTTCGGCTCGCTCGTCGTCATGTCCACCGATATCTCTTTTCCGCCGATGATCACCTTTTTCGGCACCAAATCCACCGGCGCGTTCGATGGTCCCAACGCTTCGCCGCTCACAATTCGCATGAATATCGAAAACTCCACCTGATTCTTGCCGTCGGGCGTCGTGCCGTACAGCACAACCTTGTTGCCGCCAGACGACGCGTGTTGGCGCATCGAGACGTTGGACGCCGATGGCGGCGGAGCCGGACGAGCCTCAAAAAGGTTACAATCGGAATGCGCAAGTTTTTTCGACACAAAATTACCGCAATCGGTCTCGCGTTTCCGTTTCCAAACAACGATCGCGGTTTGTTCGACTGATTCGGCGCCGGAGTGAAACCGCGTTGGCTGTTGCTCAATTTTCTGAAAGAATGCCGACATTTTAGGCTATCGATTTCAATTTTGAATCATTTTCAGTCAATTTATAGCAATTTTCAGATAAAAATCAAAGTTTCTCAGGCAAAAATCCAAAATTGACCAAAAAAACCACAAATTTGAATATTCAGAGTGAGAAGCTCGCAATTTTCTCTTGGAAATTGTCAATCAAAAATCACAATTTCTCCAAAAAATTAATTTTTTGGAACCATTTTGGTAATTCAAAAGTGAATTTAAAAAAACATAAATTGTGTGAAAGAATATTAATTTCTAATTGAAAAAAATACTAGCAAATTCATAATAAACAAGGAGAATTTGAACAATCTGAAGGGCAAATTGTTTGGGCAAAAAAAAACACTCACGAGACATCATAGACTTGATGGGCGGGTGGTGGCGGTGGAGCTTTGAGTCCTCCAGATGCCTGAGCCGTCGTCACCATCGACATTGTCGTTCTGCCGGCTCCCGGGAACACATACGACGTCGGGCGCGACATCATCGGCTTCTTCGATTTGGCCGACTGTTCGACAGCGCGCTTCTGATCGTCGGCCAACTTCTTCATTTGGCCCTCGACGCTGAAATTCGACGAAATGTGCATCAAAAAAACAAAAAAAATTAAGGAAAAACTTTTGCTTGACGAGAGCATTCGGCGAATTTTTGCAGCTTCTCTCACTATTGTCCGACATTTTCGCGGTCTTCAACGATTTCGCCGAGCCTTCGGTGCTCTCGGTTCCCGATTCCGACGAGTCCGACTCTTTCGGCTTTCGGCGAGCGCTTCTCGCCGGCTTCTTCGTCGTTTTGCGGTGCGTCGTTTTTTGGCTCTTCTTCACACTTTTCGCACTGCTCGGCGATTCGGAGTTGTTGGACGACGTAAATTTCTGCGAAACAAATTCAACAATTTTATTTTTGGTGCGGGCAGCTTACACTTCTCGCAGTGCTCATCGAGCGTCCAGATCTCGCCGATTGGGCAACACTGTCGCGAAGACGCAATTTCGGCGGCGCTTTTGATTTTTGTGAGGCTGACGACATCTGAAAATTTTGAAATTTTGAGTTTCCCGCCTGCCCCCTTCACCTTGCTTTTTCCCGTCGATAAATCGGAAATCTCGCGCAAATTTTGAGCGCGAATCTTCTCATTCCGCTCTTGCGCTTCCTTCTCGCGTCGCCGCCGAATCTCCTCCTGCTTCTTTTTTAATTTCTCAGCCATTCGTTGCTTCTCGACGGCTTTTGCCTGCGAATCGACGCCTTGCGTCAATTTTTGGACACGCGACAACCGCGCTTCCGACAATTTCGACGAAACCGATTGTTTCGACGATTCTGGTTCGCTGATTTGCGAGCCGGTAACCGTGGAATTCTGGAAAAAATGAAACATGCACATTGAAATTCAAAAAAAAATTACATTATTTGAAAATGTGACATATGTAATACTGTTTGCATTTGGTTCTGGCGGTTGAGAAGAATTGCCACGATTTGAAGTGCCAAATACCGCTCCACGTCGCAAATCTGAAAAACGAAAACAAAAATACGCGAACAGAAAATGAAAAAATAAAAATGAAATGGTCGTCAAATAAATTGCGTAAGTTAACAACACAACGACGCCAAATTGCGGACTCTGATTATTTCATTTTAATTTATTTTATTTTTTTTTCGAAATTTTTTCCGGCAAACGTCAGCACTTTCCACATAATTTCTTGTGAATTATTTTTTTTATGAATAGAAAAATTATTCAATCGAATAAAACGTAAAGTTTGCACCATTTCACGGGAATTCTTCTCAAAATTTTGCCATTCGCACATATTAACACAAATGTGAACTTTTCCTTTTTATACATATGTTATTTGTTATACATAGATTTCATCACTCCTGTGAGTCTCCTCTCAACAGCCGTTCGGTGAAGCTGCCTGCTTGTCTAGCTCTCTCCACCCACCTGACGCGATCTCTTTCTCCAATCATCGCGTTTTGTCCTTATTTGCTAACAAGACATGTTACATGTCCGCAGGCTGTCTCTCCCGTCAGGGGGTATAGCTCAGTGGCAGAGCATTCGACTGCAGATCGAGAGGTCCCCGGTTCAACTCCGGGTGCCCCCTAGCTTTTGCATTTCGTTTTTTTCTTCTCTCCACTTACTACTTAAAATGATGTCCGGCGATTTCGGCGACAACGCCGTCGACGTCTCATCCGACTTCGAATTGCCGCGATACGAGCCCGCCGACGTGTCGGTCATTCCAACGCGTCCATGAAGCTCGGAATCGGTGGCGCCGATGGCGGTGTTGGCCGACTTCGACAACGCCGTCTTGTCGGTATCCGTGTGCGAGTAGGCGGTCACAATGCTCGGCGAACGCGCCGTCGGCACCACCGAGCCCGCCGAGTTCGAGCTCGTGCCAGACATTTGATTCTCGTTCTAGAAGATCTAATCAAAGTGTTGGCTCTCGACCATTTTCTTCTGTTACCGATTTTTGGGCATCGCTCATCCTCGCGTTGCAAGTAGCTACTTGTTACTACTAACTAAAATCAATCAAATATGGTCATTCCGAATTCGCGAATTCCACGTTCCCAATATTTTCATTTATTTTCGTTCTCTGGGTTTTTCTTTTTTTTATTTTTTATTTTTTCAATTTGAGAATCGCCGGCTTCCTGATGTTTGGACATGTTTACACGCCGCCCTTCCGACTTGTGTGTTTGAAATGTGGCGTGTGAATAGGAATAACAAACAATCAAGCAATGCGGGCCAGAACAAAAAAAAATAACAGTGGCGGCGCATCCGGTCTTTGAATGGCATCGCCGCTGCCGGCGACGCTCCCCGCCGGTGTGATCCGGCACGCCACTGATCTGATCCGATATCCTTATATCATATAATTTAGGTCGCCTCAATCCAATGACAATTATTGACTCAACCATATCGCGCCGGAATTGGATGGATCGGATTTCCGACCTGTTTTCAATTTCCGGAAAAAATTTTGACCTATGCCAATGATCAATGAGCATTTCGAGATTGTCAATTCTAGAAGAGACGAATAAGCCATCGATGGATGTCCGCAGCACGATTCTCACATAGTCCAGAGACTACATATGTCCGGTGGTGGGCAAACAGAACGCCGGCCCGGCAACCCGGTGGGAGGTTGCCTATCAGTGTGTCAAAAAGTGTTTCCGCCATGTTTTAACACCATGTCCTTCTCCATTATTTTTTTTTTATTTCGATTGCCTGCCTGTTTGTCGGCGCGATCGCCGCTGACGCGACAATTGTCCGGCTCGGGCCGAAGCTCCGCCCACTTTCTAGCCCAACCCCCCCCCCCACCGGCATTGAATTGTTTTCTCGCGTATTTCCTGACCATCATCCCAACCATCCCGCACAGCAATCATCATCATTATCATGATTCGATTAATTGCGCTAATTGCCTGCCTAATTGTCAATGATTGCGTTGCGAATCTGATGGAGATGGCCGCCGTCGCCGAGGGACCCATCAGTCCCAATTATTGCAATAACAGCGAGCTTCTCGACGAGGCCGGATTGATTCGCGCGACACTCGGCCAATTTCTTGGCTATGATTGCAGCGAGGAGTTCTACCATTGCAGGTTTCACCTTTTTGTTTTGTTCTTGGTGTTTCGCCTTGCGCCAATTCCGCCAACTGTCGACAATTTTTCAGATGGCAAAGCGACGGCTATCGGACCTATCGGAAGAAGTGTAAACCAGGTGATTTTCGGGCGTCGTTTCATTCCTTATCTGAATCGTTCAGGTCTCGTCTATGACGTGTCGGGAACCCAGAATTGCAATTACGATTACAATGTGAAAAGTTGCGGAATTCGAAGCGGAGGTAGCCAATTTCTATTTCAAGCGTCTGCCTGGATGATTGTCCGCAGCACCTGTCATACAATTGATCTCCAGTGTGTTATCAGATATGGGGGGATTCTGTTTGTTTTTCTCAGCCCCAACCCTTTTGATGTTGACATTTTTGCTCCAAACACGATTCTCTCATACACGCATCGAAATCCATCTTAGAAGAAAAAAAAGAGAGACCGAGGGTTTTCGTTGCAGGACCAACACAGTGCAACGCCACCGATTTCCATTGCTCGCTGTCCGAACAATGTGTGCCGATGTCGGCGCGTTGCGACGGCCACTATGATTGCGGTCTCGAGGAGGATGAGCAGAATTGTCGTAGGCGGTCCATTTTTGGGCGGGTTCGATGAACCATTCTCAACCAGATTTCAGCGTTGTGCACAGCCGGCGAGTTCGCGTGCAAGGTGTCGGAGCAATGCATTCCGATCGATCGCCGGTAGGCGTTGGACGCAAACGATTCGAGAATTTCAGTTTTGTTTTCAGATGCAATGGATTAGTCGAATGCGATGATGGCACAGATGAAAGGGATTGCGATGGTAGGGTCTAGTTGTAGATTTACGCGCATGCGCCTTTAAAGTCAATAGTCTTTTTTTTTCTATCGCATTTTGTTTCAGTGTGCGGTCACGGCCTATTCCATTGCTCGAAGAGCAACGAGTGCATTCCGATGGACGAGCGTTGCGACGGTCGACGGCAATGCCCGCACGGTGAAGACGAGATGTTGTGCAAGTATTTTTTTTGTTTTTGCTTTGTCCCCTCGTCTGGAAAATCGATTTTCCAGAAAACTCGACGTCGACAAAAAATTTATGTGTCAATCGCGCGATTACGAGATCGCGTTCAATCAGGTGTGCGACGGTGTGCCGCAATGTCCCGACAACTCCGACGAGGCCTATTGTGATGTGCCGAAAATCGTCGGCGGCATGTAAGCTTTCGGCTAGAAGCCACCTCCCAGCTGAAATTTCGCGTCGTCGATTTTTCTAGAACGTTCTCATCGAAGCCGGTGAACGAGTTGCCGCCGCCGGCTCCAGCTCCGAAAGTGGTCGAGGAGGAGGACGACGAGGATGAGTATGAGTATGAGGAGGTGCAAGACGAAAAGCCGGCGCCATTCCCAATGCTTCCAATCATCAATTTGCCCAAGTGAGCTTTTTTGAGTTTCGCGCCAAAAAAAAAGAATTCTTGGGTGAGTGTTTAGGACTGCTGCTGTCACCACAACCACCACCACCACCACCACCCATCGCCCACCACTCGCGCCAAGACAGCGAACCGTGAAGCCGGCGTTCAGTAGGCCTCGTCCGAAAATCAACAACGTCATGGAGGTTGAGTGGCCGTCAAAATTGTCGGCATATCAATTTTGTGGGATTTAGGCGCGAACGACGCAAGCGCAGAATTTCGTGCAGCCGACATTCGTCGATGTCACCTCGCCACCGGCGACACCGGCGGTAATTTTGTGGCGAAAACAAAAAAATTCGACGAATTCAATAATTTCAGACGGCGACGACGCGCTATCCGACGAGACCGGTGTCGAGCGGACGGCCGTCGGTGACGCGCAAACCGTTGACGATCAACTCGACGGGCTCACCAGCGATTTCCCGCCGACCAGGTAGAGATCTCACCCAAAGAATTGCGTTTCGATGAGTATTGCTCGCTGAGTTATTTTTTTTTGTTTCGTTTCCCACAATCCTTCCGCATTATTAGTTTTTGTTCTGTGCTGTTCAGACGTCGCGCCGATCGCCACGAGTCGCCACGCCCGTCCCAATGAGAAGGTGTTCATAATGCAGGTGACGGCGTCGCCGCGCGCCACACACCATAACGCACCACCAATTGCACCAACGGCGAAATCGTCGGCTAGTCATGAAATTGGTAGTTCAGCAGCGTCGACGGGCACAACACACCAGAGCGGCGAGGAATCGCGAATGGCGTCGTCGTCATCGTCGAGACAGGATTTGTTGAAGCAGATCGCCGAGCAGTTGAATGGTGGAATGAATGAGTAAGTCGTGTTAAACATTTCATTCGCCCTATGCGCCTTTAAATTTGATATTTGACTGTTTTATTTTCAGAGAACTATTGGCCAAAATCGAGACGATAATCAATTCTGAGAGCGCGCCGACGAGAGAAGCCCATCGGCGACGAAAGCCGACAAGGTAGAATAATTTTTTTTTTTGGGCTTTAAAAAAAATTTTCCACTCAGCGTCCAACAAATGGCATCGATTCTTCGAAAATTGGCGAATAATCAATGAGAAAAAAAGAATGTTAATTTTTTTTGAATTTTGGCCGAAAAACTCCATGACCGAACGAGAAAAAATAACAATCCATTGAATATTTATTTAAATTATTTATGCAAATTATATATGTTATATGATCTCAACGGAGATATTTTATGTATATTGTGTGTTTGAAGACCTCATTTATGAATAAATTCGACAATTTATGTATGAATGAGGATGCGTGCGGTTAGAATGAAAAGGACTATGGTGGGATGGTCCCAATATCTTTCAGATCTACTCCAGCTCAAGTAGAATGGTTCCAGCAGCTCCAATCTCAATCCAAATTGAAAATGCAGGAAAATTGTATTTTTATATTCCGACCGTGCTTTACAAACAAACGGTGAAGCTCGAAATCTTTGGTGACAATTTGTTCCAGTAGGAGAACATTCGATTATTTCGCGAAAACGTCAACGGAAAATCAAAATCATGCTCGCATTTATTCCAATAATCGTCATGTGCACATTCTACAAGAGTTCGAGAAGCATGCGAGTGACTCGATATGAAATGACCCATAGAAACGATGGCTAGTGGCGCAGACAACCTAGACGAAAAAAAATGACAATCATTGAAAGGGAAAAAATTTTTTTAATTGACAATCAATCGAAACAGAGCGAAAATAGGAATCTCTTACGGGATGCGTTCGAGTTGGTGGCGACCGAGATGACGATGCTCTCCTGAGCGGCGAGCACTTTGCCGCAGCACAATTGGCGGATGAACGCGTTGCGATAATCATTGCTCCTCCAATAATAGACATAGAAATTGCACGAGTACGAGATGAGGCCCGGTATCACCGCGTACGTCGACACCGTGTCGGCGTCGAGCGACGAGTTGTCGACGGCGCTTGTGATGGCGATGAGGCCCGCCGAGAGGACGCTCGACACGGCGAATATCATCGCGCCGTAGATGACGGTGTTGAGAATCGCCTTCTGGATTCGCAGGTTCTTCTCGCTTTTCGTTTTGAACGCTGGAAAATTGTGGGCGCGATTCGGGGAGGGAATGCCGTCGCGTCGGCCGACTCACTGCAACAATACACGCTTATGTAGGTGTAGGCGTAGACGAATAATGTCGCAATCGCGCTCCATAGATTGTATTGGTTCCAGATGTTGGATATCTGAAATTTGTGCGATTTCGATTTCGTCTTTTTGGGCTTCTTTACCGATGATGGCATCGAGGTTGGAAGGATGCACGGGTCGACGACTTGATCATCAAAATGGCACAAGCTGAGCACCTGAAAAATTGCTTCAAGCATTGGCTCTTTCCACCCTCCTAATTTGTGGAATTTGACGCTTAAAATGAGAATTTCGAAAAATTAGTATAGTGTGCCGCGGGATTGCCAAATTGCCCTTTTTTTCACATTGAATTTTTTTTAATTAAAAAATTTTTTTTTTCATATTATTTGAAAATTTTGAAAAATTTGGTTGACACTTTCAAAAACCCAAATAAAAAATTGCGCGGCACACAAATTCTGCAAAAAAAATTTTTTTGCGGCACGTTCAAATTTTTTCAATTAATTGTAGAATTCTCATTTTCAAAATCAATTTTTTGCCAATGTGGCCGTGGCCGAGGCGCATTTATCAGGTTTCAATTTTTCTAGGCCACGAGTCAATTCAATCGTGAAATTCGAAGGAAATAATTGATTAAAGGCGCATAAAGCGGAAAATGAGTTTGGATTTGATACGGAAACCAACTATACAATATTTTAAAGATTTAAACAATTTTGCTGAATGCACCTTTAATAATTAATTAATTGATTGATTGGGTCACATTGGCAAAAAATTGATTTTGATAATGAGAATTCTACAATTAATTGAAAAAATTTGAACGTGCCGCAAAAAAATTTTTTTTGCAGAATTTGTGTGCCGCGCAATTTTTTATTTGGGTTTTTGAAAGTGTCAACCAAATTTTTCAAAATTTTCAAATAATATGAAAAAAAATTTTTTTAATTAAAAAAAATTCAATGTGAAAAAAAGGGCAATTTGGCAATCCCGCGGCACACTATACTAATTTTTCGAAATTCTCATTTTAAGCGTCAAATTCCACAAATTAGGAGGGTGGAAAGAGCCAATGCTTGAAGCAATTTTTCAGGTGCTCAGCTTGTGCCATCTTGATGATCAAGTCGTCGACCCGTGCATCCTTCCAACCTCGATGCCATCATCGGTAAAGAAGCCCAAAAAGACGATATCGAAATCGCACAAATTTCAGATATCCAACATCATCTACAGTAATCCTACAGTAATCCAAAATTATAAGAATCCCAAAAAAACTTAAAATGGTTACTACAGTATTCTGAAATTATAGTGATTTTCAAAAAAAAATGGAGTTGATATTTTTTTGGTAGCAAAAAAATTTATGTAATTGCTAAATCTACAGTAATCCTACAGTAATCCAAAAATGAAGATTTATTTTGGATATAAAATACATGGCATCTCTACAGTAATCCTACAGTAATCCAAGAAAGGCACTTTAGAACTCGAAATGAAAGCTACAGTGGAGAATTTGCTTTAAAATGCTAGCGATGGTCTACAGTAACCCTAACGAAACCGTTTCTACAGTAATCCTACAGTAATCCAAATTTGAAACGAAACAAATGATAAGGGGAGCGGAAATTGGAAAAAAATGGAAATGTGAAACTCAGAAAAAAACAATGAATAATTTGGGTTCCGCATGGAATATCAATGAAGGCGGACGGGTTTTTCCTCGAAGGCGACGTCGAGGGGGGAATCATCGAGGAGAGGAAGCGTCGGGAGGGGAAGAGGATTGATTCGATATTCCGGACCACTGTAGCCGTCCAAAAAAAGGCAATATCGATTGGATCCAAAAGCGCAAAAATTGAGGGATCGCGGTGCTCGGCTGTCACCTTTGTGTCGCTAATTGATGGCCATTAATCTTATCGAACAACTGATGCTGTGTTCATTTGAACGCACCGCCTGAGAAAATTGGCGAGAGCATTTTACAATTAATGTTTTCCATCGAAAAAAACGCCTTGTGCATTTTTTTCCAAATTTGGGCCAATTTTGGCTGGGTCCCTTTTAAAGGCGCATACATTGAATCAAGGTTACGGTATTTCAAAACATTTCTCTCAATTTCCTTGGAATCGTCCTTTAAAATTGTTTAAAGGCGCATATCTTATTTAGAAAAATAGATGGAAGGAGAAAAAGTGGAAAAAAATAAATAAGGTACGTGAACACGGTACGATTAATTGCAGAGCTTCATTTTTCAAAAAAAAATTTTTTTAGGCGGTGGGTTCGATGCCCGCCGGGTGTGAAAACGATTTTGTCAATTTTTTTCATAGCACCACAAAATGAAAAATGGGAAATTATTGATTGACAAGATTTTGAGGCCGAGTAATGAAATGAAAACTTCTTTTTTTTTGGAAGCGAAATAAGCAGAAGGAGAAGAAGAAGAAGAGCATTTTTTATGGATATCCGATTCACTTCTCGCTGGCGGCCATAACATGGAATTATCGCGAGAAAACCACATTTTTTTGGTTGGGCCGCCGAGAAATTTTTGCGATTTTTGGTCGCTGATATACATATTTATTTTTTTCTGAACGCTTTTTTTTAATCAAATTTAGCAAATCTGCTGGAATTTCATTTTTTCAAACTCTAGCTGCCGACATTCATCGAGGCCAAAAATTCCACGAATATTTCAAGTCATATTTTTAGCGTCTTCTTGCTGCGGACATTCTACGAGGGGGCAGCGTTTTCAAATTTATCAACAATACTTTAGAAAACCAAGTTTCTTCCGATACAGGCTTTTATTTTAGCAATACCGTGCTGCGGACATCCATCGAGGACATCGTTTTGAATAACACTTGATTAACCTTCAATTCAAGCAATTTTCGATTTTTCCTTGCTGCGGACATTCATCGAGGCCATCATTTCGAACAAAACTTCAGAAAGCTGGATTTCTCTTCAATTTTCCAGCAATTTTCAATTAATTACAATACCGTGCTGCGGACATCCATCGAGGCCATCATTTTGAATAAAACTTGATTAACCTTCGGTTCAAGCAATTTTCAATTTATTACAAATCCTTGCTGCGGACATCCATCGAGGCCATCATTTTGAATAAAACTTGATTAACCTTCGATTCAAGCAATTTTCAATTTATTACAAATCCTTGCTGCGGACATCCATCGAGGCCATCATTTTAAATAAAATCCCTTCAATTCAAGCAATCTTGTATCAATTATGCGTTTGCAAATCAATAATTTATAAAATGATATAATAAAAATAATTATAATTGGGTCTCCTCGCCGTCACATTGAATGTTGGCCGAGCTGATGAAGCTGACGGTATCCTTGACAGCCTCGCCAAATCTGGAAAAAGAAAATCGACGATCATCACCCGAATTTCGAGGCGCCCACTTGGCCATCTCGTGACAATCGGCGGCCTCGATGATGAATCTCAGCGCCAAATTGCCGTCGTTCTCGAAATGATCGCGTCGGATCGCCTCGGCCGACGGTAGTTCGATGTTCAACGCGTTCACGATTTTGTCGATCTGAAAAGCGAAATTCAAACGAAAGGAAAAGGAACACCTCGATCTCAACGTACCGTTTCGAATAGTCGCTGTGGGACCTTCGGGTCTTGCGAATACTTGATAAGGGTCCCGAAATCGACTTCGACCTCCTGCAGGGATCTCCTTTTGCGGGAACTATGGCTTACAGTGACTGCCGGTTGCTGTTGAACATTGCCGCAGGTGTCGGCGAGGTCCCAACACGAAATCAGAGCCAACGCGAAGCAGAAGAAGCCGATCGAAGACATTTCCAATGGATTGATGATCAAACTCGGCCAATTCGCTCGATTTTATACCGATTTTGCGCAAATATACAACCAATGATGATGTTCAAATAATACTATACTATAAAAAACCTATTGGGTGTTTGATGGGCGCGTTTTTTGAAAGAATGATCAGAATCGCTATGAGCCTTGCGATACTCGGAATTATTGAATGCTGTGGACATGTTGAGCGTGTCAGCTCTTCAACAATGATGCACACACGCAGACGACGATCGCTTGATGATGCTTTTATCGAATTTGGGACCCTCGAGGATTATTCAAGCGATTCTGATGGATTATTCAAAAAGGTTCGGATTTGTTTAGAAAATATGCCCTACTAGGTTGGGCGGGTTACTTCCATGCACTTCTCACCGGATTGCCTCGTGTGCTGTGAGGTGCAGTGCCTAAGCGCGCTGCTGCCATTTTGCCCTAGCGGGTTCGACACCACCCATGGTCACCGAATTTTTGCCCACTCATTTTTCAATTTCAGATCGATAAAATGGCAAAATCTCTAAACTTGAACACCACCACTAGTCGTAATACCTATGACGACGATGGAAAAATTGGCGTCAAATACGTTTTCAAAAACGTTGATTGCGATGAAATGACCAAGTTGGATGAATACTCAATTTTAGTCTTTTGATTTTTTTTTCAGATTCGCTGAAGCTGTCAAAGACACCATCGATTTCATAGTGTCGGCGAGACTTGTGTGCGGCGAAATCGACATTGATATTTGAATAAAATTTCTTTTTTTTTTGCTAATCAAATTTTCTTATTGATTTTTTTTTGCAAAAAACCCGCGCCGGGTTCGAGCCCCGAACTCATTGATCATGGTGGGCGCTGCAATTCGCAGAAAATTGAGCAATTTAATCGCATTTCGAGAGTGATTAATGGAATTGGCGAGACATTTTGCGCATTTTTTATGCGTTTTATCGGTTAAACGAGAGTTTGTGATTTCCTTTTATAGAATGTGACGAATTGCGCAATTTGTCGAACAATACGCGCAATTTATCGACAAAAAATCAGTGGCAATTCTTTCCCAATTCAGAATTATTGAGTTCGTGCTGCGGACACTTTCTCAGTTTTTTAATACTAAATAGTGACGTCAGATTTTGAAAATTGAAGCGCAAAAAAGTTTGGGCTACAATTTGCTAGAGTCCGGACTCGAACCCTACGAAAAAAATCAGCTTCAATTTGTTTTTTATTATGATTTTTTGAGTTGCAGACAATTTTAAAGTTTTTCCCTATACTAAACAGTGACGTCAGAATTCGAAAATTAAAGCGCAAAAAAGTTTGGGTCACAATTTGCTAGGGTCCGGACTCGAACCCACCCCCCTCCGCGATGTAATTTTTAGCGGTTCAATGGGCGCCATTTGAAGCGTTCATGAAAAAAAAAACTAATTGAAAGCAAAAAATTGATTTCTCTTCTTTTCGAAATAATTTATCAAGGCGGGTTTCCAGTATTCGAATGACGACCAGCACCGATCTGGAAATCATCCGAACGTGTCTCCTGTTCTTCGCAATTGTCGGCACCTTCGGAAATTTGAATATTCTGTGCGCCACCTATCAGAATCGCTCGTTACGGCACAAATGCGGTAATCGATTTTCTCGAAATTTGTTTTTTCGTTTTGGCTAGCCTTGATGGATTTCAGGGATTTTGTTGGCGATTCTCGCCACTTGCGACACGTTCTGCCTATTGAATGAGCTTCAATCGTTTATTAGGATGACGCTGAAGCTAACCGAGTCCACCTTAAGGTCTGCGCCTGCCCCCTAGACTATCAATTTCGAAAATTTTCATTTTCAGAGCATGCTTTTGGGCCAATATTTCATACGTATTTATTGAGCCCATCGAGGTTTATATGATATTGGTGATGGCTGTTGATCGCCTAATTGCCATCAATTTTGTGGTGTTTCATCGAAAAATTCGCCATCGGAGGTATATTGCGATAATGGTGACGCCTGGCATCGCCATCGGATTCATTTTTGTGGTAAGTTTCATTTCTTGTTGCTGACTACCAGTGTGCGCCTTTAAACTTCATGAGAAGACCTCTTACTCTATTTCTGCCTTGGAAATACTAGTTTAATTCAAAAATTTGAATTGCCGCCTTTATTTTTTCATTCTAAAATAACGAAAATTTGTTTCCATACAAGAAATGAAACTTACCACAAAAATGAATCCGATGGCGATGCCAGGCGTCACCATTATCGCAATATACCTCCGATGGCGAATTTTTCGATGAAACACCACAAAATTGATGGCAATTAGGCGATCAACAGCCATCACCAATATCATATAAACCTCGATGGGCTCAATAAATACGTATGAAATATTGGCCCAAAAGCATGCTCTGAAAATGAAAATTTTCGAAATTGATAGTCTAGGGGGCAGGCGCAGACCTTAAGGTGGACTCGGTTAGCTTCAGCGTCATCCTAATAAACGATTGAAGCTCATTCAATAGGCAGAACGTGTCGCAAGTGGCGAGAATCGCCAACAAAATCCCTGAAATCCATCAAGGCTAGCCAAAACGAAAAAACAAATTTCGAGAAAATCGATTACCGCATTTGTGCCGTAACGAGCGATTCTGATAGGTGGCGCACAGAATATTCAAATTTCCGAAGGTGCCGACAATTGCGAAGAACAGGAGACACGTTCGGATGATTTCCAGATCGGTGCTGGTCGTCATTCGAATACTGGAAACCCGCCTTGATAAATTATTTCGAAAAGAAGAGAAATCAATTTTTTGCTTTCAATTAGTTTTTTTTTTCATGAACGCTTCAAATGGCGCCCATTGAACCGCTAAAAATTACATCGCGGAGGGGGGGGGGGTTCGAGTCCGGACCCTAGCAAATTGTGACCCAAACTTTTTTGCGCTTTAATTTTCGAATTCTGACGTCACTGTTTAGTATAGGGAAAAACTTTAAAATTGTCTGCAACTCAAAAAATCATAATAAAAAACAAATTGAAGCTGATTTTTTTCGTAGGGTTCGAGTCCGGACTCTAGCAAATTGTAGCCCAAACTTTTTGCGCTTCAATTTTCAAAATCTGACGTCACTATTTAGTATTAAAAAACTGAGAAAGTGTCCGCAGCACGAACTCAATAATTCTGAATTGGGAAAGAATTGCCACTGATTTTTTGTCGATAAATTGCGCGTATTGTTCGACAAATTGCGCAATTCGTCACATTCTATAAAAGGAAATCACAAACTCTCGTTTAACCGATAAAACGCATAAAAAATGCGCAAAATGTCTCGCCAATTCCATTAATCACTCTCGAAATGCGATTAAATTGCTCAATTTTCTGCGAATTGCAGCGCCCACCATGATCAATGAGTTCGGGGCTCGAACCCGGCGCGGGTTTTTTGCAAAAAAAAATCAATAAGAAAATTTGATTAGCAAAAAAAAAGAAATTTTATTCAAATATCAATGTCGATTTCGCCGCACACAAGTCTCGCCGACACTATGAAATCGATGGTGTCTTTGACAGCTTCAGCGAATCTGAAAAAAAAATCAAAAGACTAAAATTGAGTATTCATCCAACTTGGTCATTTCATCGCAATCAACGTTTTTGAAAACGTATTTGACGCCAATTTTTCCATCGTCGTCATAGGTATTACGACTAGTGGTGGTGTTCAAGTTTAGAGATTTTGCCATTTTATCGATCTGAAATTGAAAAATGAGTGGGCAAAAATTCGGTGACCATGGGTGGTGTCGAACCCGCTAGGGCAAAATGGCAGCAGCGCGCTTAGGCACTGCACCTCACAGCACACGAGGCAATCCGGTGAGAAGTGCATGGAAGTAACCCGCCCAACCTAGTAGGGCATATTTTCTAAACAAATCCGAACCTTTTTGAATAATCCATCAGAATCGCTTGAATAATCCTCGAGGGTCCCAAATTCGATAAAAGCATCATCAAGCGATCGTCGTCTGCGTGTGTGCATCATTGTTGAAGAGCTGACACGCTCAACATGTCCACAGCATTCAATAATTCCGAGTATCGCAAGGCTCATAGCGATTCTGATCATTCTTTCAAAAAACGCGCCCATCAAACACCCAATAGGTTTTTTATAGTATAGTATTATTTGAACATCATCATTGGTTGTATATTTGCGCAAAATCGGTATAAAATCGAGCGAATTGGCCGAGTTTGATCATCAATCCATTGGAAATGTCTTCGATCGGCTTCTTCTGCTTCGCGTTGGCTCTGATTTCGTGTTGGGACCTCGCCGACACCTGCGGCAATGTTCAACAGCAACCGGCAGTCACTGTAAGCCATAGTTCCCGCAAAAGGAGATCCCTGCAGGAGGTCGAAGTCGATTTCGGGACCCTTATCAAGTATTCGCAAGACCCGAAGGTCCCACAGCGACTATTCGAAACGGTACGTTGAGATCGAGGTGTTCCTTTTCCTTTCGTTTGAATTTCGCTTTTCAGATCGACAAAATCGTGAACGCGTTGAACATCGAACTACCGTCGGCCGAGGCGATCCGACGCGATCATTTCGAGAACGACGGCAATTTGGCGCTGAGATTCATCATCGAGGCCGCCGATTGTCACGAGATGGCCAAGTGGGCGCCTCGAAATTCGGGTGATGATCGTCGATTTTCTTTTTCCAGATTTGGCGAGGCTGTCAAGGATACCGTCAGCTTCATCAGCTCGGCCAACATTCAATGTGACGGCGAGGAGACCCAATTATAATTATTTTTATTATATCATTTTATAAATTATTGATTTGCAAACGCATAATTGATACAAGATTGCTTGAATTGAAGGGATTTTATTTAAAATGATGGCCTCGATGGATGTCCGCAGCAAGGATTTGTAATAAATTGAAAATTGCTTGAATCGAAGGTTAATCAAGTTTTATTCAAAATGATGGCCTCGATGGATGTCCGCAGCAAGGATTTGTAATAAATTGAAAATTGCTTGAACCGAAGGTTAATCAAGTTTTATTCAAAATGATGGCCTCGATGGATGTCCGCAGCACGGTATTGTAATTAATTGAAAATTGCTGGAAAATTGAAGAGAAATCCAGCTTTCTGAAGTTTTGTTCGAAATGATGGCCTCGATGAATGTCCGCAGCAAGGAAAAATCGAAAATTGCTTGAATTGAAGGTTAATCAAGTGTTATTCAAAACGATGTCCTCGATGGATGTCCGCAGCACGGTATTGCTAAAATAAAAGCCTGTATCGGAAGAAACTTGGTTTTCTAAAGTATTGTTGATAAATTTGAAAACGCTGCCCCCTCGTAGAATGTCCGCAGCAAGAAGACGCTAAAAATATGACTTGAAATATTCGTGGAATTTTTGGCCTCGATGAATGTCGGCAGCTAGAGTTTGAAAAAATGAAATTCCAGCAGATTTGCTAAATTTGATTAAAAAAAAGCGTTCAGAAAAAAATAAATATGTATATCAGCGACCAAAAATCGCAAAAATTTCTCGGCGGCCCAACCAAAAAAATGTGGTTTTCTCGCGATAATTCCATGTTATGGCCGCCAGCGAGAAGTGAATCGGATATCCATAAAAAATGCTCTTCTTCTTCTTCTCCTTCTGCTTATTTCGCTTCCAAAAAAAAGAAAGTTTTCATTTCATTACTCGGCCTCAAAATCTTGTCAATCAATAATTTCCCATTTTTCATTTTGTGGTGCTATGAAAAAAATTGACAAAATCGTTTTCACACCCGGCGGGCATCGAACCCACCGCCTAAAAAAATTTTTTTTTTGAAAAATGAAGCTCTGCAATTAATCGTACCGTGTTCACGTACCTTATTTATTTTTTTCCACTTTTTCTCCTTCCATCTATTTTTCTAAATAAGATATGCGCCTTTAAACAATTTTAAAGGACGATTCCAAGGAAATTGAGAGAAATGTTTTGAAATACCGTAACCTTGATTCAATGTATGCGCCTTTAAAAGGGACCCAGCCAAAATTGGCCCAAATTTGGAAAAAAATGCACAAGGCGTTTTTTTCGATGGAAAACATTAATTGTAAAATGCTCTCGCCAATTTTCTCAGGCGGTGCGTTCAAATGAACACAGCATCAGTTGTTCGATAAGATTAATGGCCATCAATTAGCGACACAAAGGTGACAGCCGAGCACCGCGATCCCTCAATTTTTGCGCTTTTGGATCCAATCGATATTGCCTTTTTTTGGACGGCTACAGTGGTCCGGAATATCGAATCAATCCTCTTCCCCTCCCGACGCTTCCTCTCCTCGATGATTCCCCCCCTCGACGTCGCCTTCGAGGAAAAACCCGTCCGCCTTCATTGATATTCCATGCGGAACCCAAATTATTCATTGTTTTTTTTCTGAGTTTCACATTTCCATTTTTTTCCAATTTCCGCTCCCCTTATCATTTGTTTCGTTTCAAATTTGGATTACTGTAGGATTACTGTAGAAACGGTTTCGTTAGGGTTACTGTAGACCATCGCTAGCATTTTAAAGCAAATTCTCCACTGTAGCTTTCATTTCGAGTTCTAAAGTGCCTTTCTTGGATTACTGTAGGATTACTGTAGAGATGCCATGTATTTTATATCCAAAATAAATCTTCATTTTTGGATTACTGTAGGATTACTGTAGATTTAGCAATTACATAAATTTTTTTGCTACCAAAAAAATATCAACTCCATTTTTTTTTGAAAATCACTATAATTTCAGAATACTGTAGTAACCATTTTAAGTTTTTTTGGGATTCTTATAATTTTGGATTACTGTAGGATTACTATAGATCGTAAATTTTAAAGGCTTTCGAGAATTCGAAAAAATAGCAATCTCATTTTTTGGAATCACTATAATTTTGGATTACTGTAGGACTACTGTAGATCATAAAATTTATAGGATTCCAGGCAATCGAAAATCAAAAATAACAACCACATTTCGTTTGGAATCACTATAATTTTGGATTACGGTAGAATTACGGTAGTAGATGAAAAATGTCATAAATTTTTACGAGATTTGTGGTCCCACCCCACACATTCCCATATTTGCCTCTGATTCCAAATATGGTGTGTCATTTCTTCTTCTTCGATGAATTTTTTTTTTCGTCGTGTCTAAGCGAAAAGCACTGTTTATACGAGAAGAAGCTTCAATTTTGCGCGGATTTGGGCTCGGCGGGGGGCTCGAATTTCGCGTAAATAATTAATTGATTCGCAATAATATTTTTGAGCTTCTCACATTTTGTTTTGTTTCACAACATCGGCTTGTTTAAAAATGCCGACAGAAAAAAAAAATTTTTTGGAAAAATTTTTTTTTTGGCGAGAACAGAAAAATCGAAAAATTTGCCGATTTTGACAAGTTTGCAACTTTTTTGCAAATTTTTGTTTGGCAAGTTCGAAAAATCAAAAAAATTTTTTCTTATTCCCAGAATTTCCTATTTATTCGTTTTTCGCTATATCAGCTACAAAATTGAATTTCGCGGGTTGCCAATTAATCGGGTCCCGTCGAATTTCACAAATTTCTTCAAACAACCCAAATTCTTTTTTTTATTATGCTCGAAATTTTACGAATTTCTCGCTTTAAAGATTTTTCCGCTCGAGACCCAAGGCGGCAATTCCAAAAATTGCCCGTGAATTCCATTTTCCACGTCGAATTCTCACAAAATCGAATTGATGGTCTTGCGGCGAAGAGAGACAGACGCGTCGCGGCTCGCGTGCGGTCACCCTATTGAGTTCACCTCCAACAGCATTGGCCCGCCCGCACGCGAACCGCGACGCGTCTAACGGTTTAAAATATTTTGGTAGAATTTAAAGGCGCATGGGGGCTGAAAAAAATTCAATAGTGAAAATAAGGTTTTTTTTTCGGTTTTTTCTTGGTTTCTGATAATTTCGTCAAAATTTTAATAATAAAACAATCTGATATCGCTAGAAATCAACCAAATCTCCCCCAAATTTGGGCGTTTTTCTGATAGAACCGTGTAGATTTACGAGCTATGGTCTCGCAACGACTAACTGGCATATTTAGCATTTCAGAGAATTTCTCAATTTCAATTATATTACGAATTCAAGAAATTAATATACTAATTGAGAAAAATTTTTTTAATCGCTTGAAAATTTCAAAATAATGATTCACGCGTGACGAGACCATTTTGAAAGGACCCTCGTAAATCTACAATATCAGTTCGCTTTTTTTTTCTTTGATTAAAAACAGAAATAGAAAAAATATAAAAGAAACGAGAGCCTCGAGAAAAAACGCATTATTGGTTAGTCGCTTCATTGAAAAAAAAATAAATCAGGCAGAAAATCGGTTTTCAGAATTTCAGTGATATTGAGAAATAGTTTGAATTATCGATTTTCGCAAAAATTCCAATTTTTTAAGTGTGTGCAATTTTGCGTACGTGTGTACACACGCACTTTTGCGGACATCGAAATTATTGTGTGTTCCCGCAAGAGCCGCAACCTCTTAAAACTGCCTAACATATTCTAGCATGCGCCTTTAAGGTATACTGTGGTAGATCAAGGCTTTTCATTCTCAATTTCTTAAATCTCTTTTTTTGGAAGACAAAATTCCAAAAAAAAAAAATAAATCAAGGAAATAGAATTTTTTTTAATTTAAAAAAGCAAGGAAATAGAAAATTCGGTTTTTCCCAAAAAAGGTCATATGACATAATTGGATTCATCAATATTAGATGATACTGAATTCATATTTGAAACGTTCAAAGCCCAATGTTTCACTAACGAGAATTTCGAATTTTTTTGGGGGGGGGGTAATCGAATTTCGCGTGGCAAAAATTCCCTAAATAAAGCATATATAAATATGTGAATTTTGCAAAAATTAAAGGCGCATTGTTTCTTTTTCTCTGCTCTCTCTCATGTCTGAAAATTGTTAACCCGGGACCTTGACAACAATTAATAGTTTTCGCTCCCCCCCCATTTTTTTTGCTGTGGCAATTTTATTATTTTTTTTTGCAAAATAAAAAAAATGACCAACTTTTTTTCCGTTTCTTTTCACGATTTTGTTTGAGTTTGATGGGGTCTGACAACAAAATTGGCAATGAATGAAACTCGACGATTGACAGATGCCTTTTTTCTTTTCTGGAGGGGGACCACGATCGAATATGAAATTCAATTCATTTGTGCTCTTTGAAGTGCTCTTTAAAGGCGCATTACGCCAAACTGGGACCCATTGAATGATGTTTTCAAGGTTCCTCAAAATTGTGGGTGAGATTTTCGCAAGGATTTGCAAGCGAATTTTCTCAAAACCAAAATGGTCCCTTATAAGGTCACTAGGTAAATCAAACCTCTAGAATTCGATTCTGCGAGTTTCAGATGTCTAGCGGACATCTGGAATTGGGAACACCAATATTCAATAGAGAATAACGAATGGATGCTCGACTATTTTTAGAATCGATGAGCCATTAGGCAAAAATCTGCGCCAATTTCCATTAACACTGCCAATTGGTGTCATTTGCCAACGACATTTATTTTCTTTTTTTTTCCAGCTTCTTCTTCTTCTTCTTCAGATTTTCACCATTTTCCCCCTCAATTGAATACCCTACTAACGATACATTTTTGAAATTGACACATTTTTTTCGCCGTTGTGGGTCTTCTTTCTATAGGCACACAAAAAAATAGACATATTCTAATGAGATTTTGGTGGGCAGCTTTTGAATGCGATAATTATTCTTTTTTTTGTGCGCTTCGCTCAAGTGTTGATGTTTATCGAGCAATTCTTTTTTTTCCTGTTGATTGAATAAGCCAATGGAA